TAATATTAAAAATACTAATATTATATATTAAAATTTACCTTTATATACTAAAAACTTAATAAATTAATAAAAATTAACTATACTTTATTTAATAAAGTTAAGGCTTTATTATTTATTAATAATTTATATAAATATCTATAAAATAAAGCTCTATTAGCTATTATTTATATATATAATTAAACCTTATATAAAACCTTAAATTATAAAACTCTTTTAGAATTATTAAATAATAATAATAATAATTATAATAATATTAAAACTTAAAGGTTTATAATTTATTATAAAGATTATAACTTTAATAAAATAAACTAAACCTTAAAGTTAAAAAGGGGTATTAATAAATTATAAAAAATAATAAAATTTATAAAATATAAGATTCTTTAAATAGATAAGTAATTTAGTTTTATAATGTAAAAATAATTAAAAATTAATTTTACTTTCTAAAATAATAATTATAACTCTAATAATTTAATAATTAATAATAAAATTATAAATACTAATAATAATAATTTTATAAAAATAATACTAATATTATAACTAATAAAAATATTAATATTAATACTTTAATTAATATAAATATTATAATTTAATTATTAGAAAATAATTATAATAATAATAATAAATTACTTAATAAAAATATTAATATTTTAAATAAAATAACTTAATAATAATAATATTAATATTATTAATAATAATAAATTAATTAAAATTAAAAATAATTTTATAACTAATAAAAATAAAATAATAAAATAATAAATATAATAAATTATTTTAAATTATAAGGATATTTTATTATATATATATAATTTTAATATTAATAGATTTATTTTAACTATTAATATTTTAAATAAACCTAATACTTATAAATAAATTATAAATAATTTTAATATTAAATAATAGTTATTAATTATATAAAGGAAGTAAATACTTTAAATAATAAAAATATATTTAATATAGTTAATTTATTATTTAATAAAATAGTTATAAAAGTAAATAAGTTTTAAAGAAAAGCTTATAAATAATAACTATATTAACTTTAATTAAATAATTAATAATAATAAAACTCTTAAATATAAAGTTTAATAAGTTATTTAAAGTTTTAATTCAATATTAAAGATAAATTATTTAAAAATTTTTTATAATTTATTATATTAAAATTTAATATATATTATTAATATTAACTATAAATAAAAGTAAATTATAACTTAATATAATATAAAAATATATTTATTTATATTAATATTAATACTAATATATATATAATTTTATTTATAAAGTTATATATTAATAAAATATAAAATAAAATAGTTAAATTAAATAAAGCTTTATATAAGTTAAAATAAACTTTATATTTATAAAATAAATATTTAATTAATATTTTAATTAGATTAAACTTTAAAATATACCTTATAATAAAGATATATATATAAATAAAAGCTAAAAGTAATAATTATATACTATATTAATAATATACTAATTATTAATATAAATAATATTAAATTATTTATATTAAAAATAAAATAAATAAGTATATTAAAATAGAAAAATAAAGTTATTTAAATTATTTTAAATAATAATATATAAATTAACTATAAAATAAATAGTTATATATAAATTAAACTATATATATTAATAAGCTTTTAAATAAATTTAATATTAATATAAATAATAACTATAAACCTATTTTAATATTTAGAGTTTTAAAATTAAAATTAAATAAAATAATAATATAAATTTTAAAGAGGAAATAACTAAATTTTAAAATAAATAAAGTTTTATTATATTTAATATTAAAATTAGACCTAATATAGTATATAATATTAATTATAGCTTAAAATTTATATCTAACTTTAATAAAGAGTATTTTAATATTATAAACTATATATTTAAATACTTATTAAAATTCCTTAATTTAAAATTAATATATAATTATTTAAATAATAATTTTATAATAAAAGTTTATAAATATTAATTAAGTAAATAACTTACTTAATAAATATAATATTATAGATTATATATTTAGTTTATTTAATTTTAATATTAAAATAATAATATCTCTAATAATAATATTATTAATTAAAACTCTTAACTATAAAAACTATAGTATAAAGTAATTATAAGGTTAAATATATAATATTAAAAGAGAGTATTAAAAAGCTATTTATTTAAATAATTTATATATATATTTTAATAATATATTAAAATTAAAGTATAATATTCTTACCTCTATTATATTTTTAAATAACTAATTAGTTATTAAATTAGTAAATAACCTTAAATTTTATAAAAGGTTTAAGTATATAAATTTAATATATTACTATATTAAATAAACTATAAATAAAAATAAAGTTAATTTATTATATATACCTATTAAAAGTAAATAACTAATTTTTAACTAAAAATCTACTTAATCCCTAATAGAAAAATTAATTAAAATAGTTAATATATCTAATAATATAATAAATCTATATAATTATATATATAAAGACTTAAACTCTAATAAATAATTAATTAGTAAGTTTATAATAAATAAATAAAATATAGGGCTTAAATAACATATTATAAGTTATCTATATATATAAGTATATAAATTAATAATAATCTACGCTATATAAATAAAAGTAGGGATATTACTAGTAAATTAATAAATATATATATAATAATAATCTAGGTCTAAAAGAAGGTTAATATACCTATATAAAAGATGTAGTAATATATAAATAAATAAATAAATAAATAAATAAATAAATAAATAAATAAATAAATAAATAAATAATAATAAATAAAATAAATATAGTTAAAATAAATAAATAAATAAATAAATAACTATAAGGGTTAATTCTTATATAAATATAAAAATTATAGAGGAGTATAAGATATTATATAAGTAATATACTTATATAATAGTATATAAAATAAGGTTTATAAATATATATAATTTATCTATATAAATAAAATCCTATAATAATAAAATAAAATAAAAGTCTTTAAGTTATATAAAATAAATAAATAAAATTATTAATAAATCTTTAATTATAAGAGTTTATTAACTATAAGTTATATTTTTATATATTAATAATTTATACTATTATATAACTCTATAATATATACTTATATAATTAGTTTATATAAATAGGTTTTAAAACCTTTTATATAAAAGGTATCTAAGTTTATATATATAATTAATATCTCTATAATTAACACTAATTATTTTAATTTACTTTAAATAAATTCTTTATTAACTAACTATTAGTTAATTATTTAATAATAATTAAGTAATTATTAATTTTAAATTAGTAATTAATTAATTTTAAAATATTTTAATTAATATATAAAATAACTATAAATAAGAGGTCTTTCCTTAAAATAAATTAACTAGTTAGAAAAGTAAGTAAGTAAGTAATAACACTATTAATATATTCACTATTCTATATACTAATTATTCCTCTATTCAATCTAATAACTTTAAAACTTTTATATTAAAGTTTAAAAATCTAATAAATAAAAAAGTAATAACTTTATTAATAATAAAAGTAATTATATTAATTATAATATAAATTATTATATTAATTAAAATAATTACTTTATTAAAAATATTTAATATTTAATTTATTATATTATTTATAAATAAATAAAAATATAAATTAATTTTTAAAATAAAGTATAAAATAAAATAAATATAAAAAAGTATAAAAATTATTAAATTTACTTATATATATAAAATTATAATATTTATAATATTTATTATTATATTATTTAATTTTATTTAATTTTAAAATTTAAAATATAATAATAAAATAAATATAAAATATTAAATTCTATAATTAAATATTAAATTTATTATTAATTATTTTATTAAAAATATATTTAATCTTAATATTATAAATATATAATTTATAAAAAATAGTTTATTACATTTAATATTAATATTAATAGAGTATTTAAAGTTTTATTTAATAATATTAATAATTAAAAATATTAATATTAATAAAGTATTTAATAATTTATTTATAAATATTATTAATAATTATATTTAATTTAAAGAGTTAAAGTTAAAATAGTTAATATATTAAATTTAATTAATTATTTAAATATAAAAATATATAAAATAAAATATTTAATATTTTTATAATATATAAAGTTATAATTATCAATTATAATATATAAACTAAAGTATAATTATATTATATTTATATATAATTTAAAAAGTTTAATAGTTAAAAGATTTATTTATAATTTTTAAAATAAGTTTAAAAATATAATTTATATATTTATTAATTAGTATTAATTAATAGTTAAATAACTATTTTTATACTCTATTTATTTATTTATATATAAATATAACTATACTTTATTATACTTATTATATACTTATTATTAAATAATTTTATTTAATAAATATTTATTTAAATAAAATAAAACTTTAATTAAAAATAATAACTTTATTTTTATTTATTTTAATTTATTTATATTTATATTTAAATTATATAATAAATTTAATATTTATATATATTATTAATTAATCTTAAATTAATTTATAATTTATAATAACTTTAATTTTAATAAATTAATAATAATAATTTAAATTAATTAAATATAATTTAATATATTAATATTAAAAATATTATTTAATAATAAATAATATTATAAATAATTATAAATAATTATAATAAATTATAATAAATTAAATATAATAAATTTAATTAAATTATTTTAAAATATATATTATATTTTATTTTTAAAAACTTCAATTATTTTTTTTAATTTAATATTAAAATTAAAAAATATAATTAATTTATATAATATTAAATATTATTATTATTTTAATTATAATATTATTATTTTGTAATTATAAATAAATAGAAATAAAGGATAATAAGTTTAAAACTTTAATTATAAAGGAGTAAGTCTATCTTTAATATTAGGAATAAGTACTACCTTACTTAAAGTACTTACTCCCTTCTTTCTTAGAAGGTGGATACCTAGGTAGAGGCCGCATGTTAATACAGCGAGTGCCTTGTGTTGATTGGTTTTCTATCTATTTATGTGTTTATATATGTACTTTTTGGGTATCGCTTCTCCAGAACCAGTTCATGCGCACTAAATGACGTTAATTCTCTTGTCCCAGCACATTCGCGTCTTGTCCCTGTGTATAGCAGATATCTCCATCCTTGTCCAAGTACGGGAGTGTTGTTGCATAAAGGGTTGCAACTGTGGGTATTGCGGGTCGACTTTGCAGTTTGCATTGTGTGGCGGAGTGTGAAACCATCGATGCATACAGTAAGACGTGAGAAGTACCTAGGTAGGCTTTGGGTCCGGCAAAGGTAGATGGGTGTGTTGCAAGGTGGCGAGAGTGGGTTCCGGGCGGGTCAGATTCGTCTCGATCCGGGCGGGGCGGGAGCCTTGGAAGGGCCATGGTCCGGGGCGTCGGGGCTGTCGATTCTTGGGTCCGGGCAAAGTGATTTTGGTCACGGCTTTCTCACAATCACACGCAAAGCCAACTTCATCACGGCAGACTCAGCAAGTCACGTCGGGGGACGTTAAGTCAAGGATGTTGATCGGAGTAGGACACGGCTAGGGCGACCGGCGAAGAAAAGGAATTCAGACGCGTCCCGCCTACGTTGGTGGTCCGGCATAGTTGGCGTGGCCCCAGACGAAGTACCAGATTGTCGAGATCAGGGTGAAGGCGACGAAGACGACAGACGCATAGTTCATGGTGGCAGCCAAGACGGGCACGGTGGTCGGCATGCAGAACAGGGGCACGGCTAGAAGTGACCAGGCTTTATGTGGTCATCACCAGGTCAGCACAACAACAACAACAACAACACGCACAAAACGCAACACAACCGCCCAAGTGTTTGGGGGGGCGCAGCGAAGGAACCCGCAGGGCAGGCGGGCAGGCGGGCAGGCAGATGAGGGCGGGATAGAAACATACCGAGGGCAATGTAGTTGCAGACAGGACCCATGGCACCGAGGTTGAAGCTCGCACCCTTGAGGGCCTCCCTCTTGTTCAAGAGGCTGACAGCGATGGGCATGGCGTAGCTGGTGGTGAGGCAGATGACGCCAACGCCGGAGAAGGCGTTGAAGGCGGCGGTGGAGCCGAAGTAGATGAGGCCGAGGATGATCTGGACAACCATGGAAAGCATCATGGCGTTGAGGGGGACGCCGGTCTTCTTGTCGACAGTCTTCCACAGCTGGGACCCGGGGATGGCGCCGTCCCTGGCAAAAGCCCAGATGCAACGGGCGCCGGCTGTTGTGCACCCGATGCCGCAGATGAGAGCGAGCACGAGCAGGGGGACGAGCAGGGCAAAGGCACCGCCTGACGAGCCGACGGCGGACTTGATGATGGCGGGGACTGGCTGGCCCGAGGCGAGGGCGAGGAGGTCGTCGATGTTTGGGAGCACAAACATCATGGGGATGAGGGTCAACAGGCCGGCAAAGGTGTTGAGGACGATGGTGTAGACCATGGCCTTGGGGACCTGGGTGGCAGGCGCTCGCACCTCCTCGCACATGCTGTGGGTGGGATTCTTGTCAGCACGTATAACCGGGTACATGGGTAAAGGCGAGGGGAATATATATATATATATATATAGACAACATACGAGATGATCATGCCGGTCGAGGAGGTGGCATATGCGGCCTGCAGGAGACCGACACAGAAGGACCAGCCCGGCACCCACCCGGAGCGAGGCTCGAAGCTGGTGAAGACGTACTCGGCCGAGTGGCGGCCGTTCTTTGCGATGGCGAGGATGCAGGCGACGATGGAGATCAGGCCGGCAAATGTGAAGTAGATGGCGGCGGTGTCGAGCCACGGCAGCCACTTGTCGAACAGGGCCGAGACGGCGTTGCACAGGAGCGTGATGGCCAGGAAGATCAGGAAGACCTGGTACGTCTCGGCGGCAAAGATGCTCTCGCCGTCCGCCGTCTCGAACACGCCAATGCTGGCGACCAGGAACTGGGCCGTGCCGAAGTTGACGGCGAGGGTGATGGTCACGTTGCCGACGACGTACAGCCAGCCGCAGACCCAGCCGGCCACACGCCGCCACCGCGGGGGCGACAGCATAAAGGTCTGGTAGTAGACGCCGCCGGCGGTCGGGTAGACGCTGGTGATCTCGCCCAGCGACGCAGCCACGCAGAGGATGATGCACGACACGGCCAGCCAGCCCCAGATGACGTTGGTCGGCCCGCCGCCGGCGAGCGGGTAGTACATGGTCGTCGAGAGGCCGTAGGGGATGGCCGCCATGACGAACGACATGAAGGCCACCTGCATCGTCGACCGGTTGCGCGTCATCTCGGGGGCGTACCCGAGGGATTCGAGGAGCTGGTCGGCCGAGGTCACGTCGCCGCTGCCACTGGGCGCATCGAGGCTGCTCTTGGTCATGACGCCGGCCTTGGCCTCAGGGTCTCCTTCATGGCGGGCGCCATGGTCCTGGGGCACGACACCAGCCATCGTGGTGGTTCGTTGCCTGTCGCGGAGTTGCTGGTGAGGTGAAGCGCGGGGATGGCGGGAGGGGAGGGGGGAGGCAGCGTATGTGTCGTGGCAGAGGGAGTGTTGGTGGTGGGATGGTGGTGATGAGTTCGGGGGGGAAGAGGGATGTGAGGAAATGAACGGGGGAGCGAATAAAGAGGTGAAGAAGAAGAAGAAGAGTTCGCCAAGGATGCTATTTCTGGGGACTCCAACGATTAAAGAAGTGAGACTGACAATACTGCGAATCCAGAAACCGGATATGAAATGAGCATGGCATTGGCATGGGCATGGGCATGGGTGAGGACTGCAGTACGGAGTGCGTACGAACTTGTATACCCTGGGCACGGTAGATCCAAAGTACAGTACGCGACAGATCGGGAGCGAACGTCTCGAAACCCACACTGGAGACCAGGGAGGGGGGGACGTTGAACGAGAGGGATAGGACACAGGGGAGGGATTAAAAAATCGAAAAAAAAAAAAATCTCATTCAGTGGCCCTCGGGAATAGTCGCGTGCATATTGTGCGCAGGATATGGATGGTAGTCAGTCTACTTACTACCATGCCTTCACTCTCTACCATCCATACCTTCCTGCCGACCCAGAACTTACGACCTCATGCAGCAGACACGGAGTACTCGTCTGCTGCCAGTGCTTATCGAATCCGAGGGGTCGGTACAGTCCTTGGCTTCTCGATGGCGAGGGGCTGGCGAGTCAGATGCTGGGCACGCATGGGGAGGATCTCTGGGGGTCCTCATCTGAACCACTTTTGCACGTCCAATGCCACCTCGGACCTGCACGGGGGGCAGGGCCAGTGACATCAGTACACCCACGCGAGTCCCACATTGGCTTTTTGCCAAGAGCTGGAGCCCCCGCCGGCTGGGGCAAGGAGGGCCCATGGAGGAACGGCCAAAGACTCGGCGAGGCAGTTGGGATGCCCTCGCCGAGAGCCCGGCGTAACCGACGGCGCGGTGCTACTGTACTATGTAGGGTTTTGTCGTAGAGGCTCGCAGGCAAACGAAAGACGAGGGGGGCAAAAAAGGAGCCGTGGGCACCGGCCAGCCAGACCACCGAGGGACGGTTTGGGGAAGCCAGAGCCGGCGCCAGCGACCCCAGCTTCGGTCCGGCTCCTTGGCTGGCAGCCTGTCTGACCACAGACACACCAGCAGGACAAGCTGGGCATGCACACCCGACAGTATCCGAATCCTTGGTCCATCATGCATATTGACCTCCTTGCAGTCGCCTCCCCCGGCCGCGCGGGCTGCCTACTGTGTAATACCTAAGTGCTTGCCCGGGTGGTAGCACGAGATTGTGGTCTGTTTCCGTACGGGCAAAGGATCGACTATTGTCTTGTTCTTCCCAGGCTGGACATACCGTACGAGTTACGTGTTCCTTGCATGGACATGTAGAACACACTTGCAATGAATCCCGAGGCCTGGGAAACAGAAAGAAGAGCACATCGAGGCCGGCAATAGGTGGTCTAAACAAACAGTGTCGACTCCTTGTGCATCTGGTCCATCAGGCACGATGCCAGCATGTTGAAATTTGAAACAGAGCAGTAGTCAGCAGCCGGCCAGCCAGTCAGCGAGCCAGCGGGCCAGTGAGCGGGACGGGACTACCTCGGGGCTCCGCCTCATGGCCAAACGCGCACAGTGTTTCGTAAGGAAAACAGCTTCCTGCGCCGTGAGGCGGGCGTTACTTGAGTATGGATCAGCAGGCCCACCTGCAGAAACGGGATGACGTCTAAGGGGCCCACGCCAACATCTGCCAGGCTGCCAGGCTGGCTACACAAGAGTGCCTGCCTGTCGTATGAAGTGGGCCTGGCCGTGCTGCCGCGATAGATGTGTGCAGTTCTACAGCGCACAAGCATCCCGAAGTTTTCCTTGCAAGTACATGAAGTTAGTCAGCAGTATCTTTCCTCCTAATTTGGCCGTTATCTACAGATCTACAAGAATCCTGGAGAGTACCCACTGTTTGCTTAAAAGTACTCTTAATAGAGAAGCTGGGTGGCAACTACCTCATGGCTAACTCTGGCCAATCAAATTCTCAGGGACAGGGAAAACTCTGGGATGCTTGTGCGCTGTACTTGGCTTGCTTTGTGGCCGGGAGTCACGAGTACAGCATATGCCATCCGGCATCCGACACATGGCAAGGCAAGGGGTAAAGATTGACTTACCCATTTTATATACACACACATGTGTGTGTCCGATAGGCAGGCTGATACATAGATAGCTTTGATACAGAGGCCGGCAGGGAAGATAAACTAGGCGGAGATCTGTCTACATACGGAATTATGTGCCGGATGTGGCCTGTGGCATGCTTGGCAAGCTGGGTGGCCGATTTCTTGGGCGTGCTTGGTGGCAGGGAAGCTGGGAAGCTGGGAAGCAAGCAATCTCTTGATCGACAACCCCAGCTTGTCGTCCATTGCTGTCAATCTGTTGGCTGAGAGATTCTTCGGAACATCTGGGGCTGCAGGGACGCAATGGCGACCATGTGGAGCACTCATGCAGCACAACAGGAGCCACGGGCCCACGAGAGACTCCCGGGAATGTTCCGGAACACACATGCTGACATGCTGCTCGGGTTACTGCAACCTCCGCCCGCTCATCCTTCCAACACCCGCACCCACACACCTTGCCATATACGGAGGGTCTTGGTGTGCTGTGGCCATCCTGCAGTGTTCAACACGGCACAAGCCATCGCTTACTATCCGTACTGCGCGCCGGGACTGTTTCGTACGAGACGGACCTGCGTCTGCAAGGGCACTGACTGACTATGTGACCGACAACCATGGGTCCTCCAAGATAGGAAAGTTGCCGGCCAATCAATCTCCGGATATACATAGTAGACACTCTTGATGTGTGCCTTGCATTACATATGGGAATTCCCATTCTCTCCCTTGCGGCCAGTCACCGTCTAAGGATGCTTGCTCACCGGCCAAAACTCCATTCGGTATTGCTGTCTTCGGTGTGGTTGCGCCAGATCCGTCCGTTCTCTACCGTGCTAACAGCACGAGGTCTAGGTGTGCACTTCAGTGGGTCACGTTCGTCGGTACAGAGGAACGTGGAGCATGAGTCTCACCGTTGACCGACGGATCAGGGCTGGATGGCACCCGACGAGTGATCATCCAGGCACATGCGCCGCACACTGTCTGGTTCCTATCCGGTTCCTCTCCATTTCTCGCCGGCCCTCTCGCCGACTGCCTGACCATACTGGCAATGAGGGCTGTCGAGAGCTATGCCCCTTCGCCGGCATGCCTGGGTGCTCATTGTGGAACCGTTGGAGATGCTGTGGGATGTGGGTGCCGTTTGGTTGTTGCGCGGAACCGGGCACTGAGCTGGCCCGTGACCGCTTTTACGTCTTGAGAGTATACCGTGATGGGACTCGCCGGCACCCTATCAGCCTTGTTTGGTCCGTAATAGTTGCGCCCTGCGCAACGGATAGGCTATTTTTAGTGCAGAAGTTATGTGAGACTTTAATGAAAGGGTTTATTTGCTTTGGCGTGAAGTCTGGCCGACAAGGAATTCGCTTCTGGGTTTATTCTGACCTCTCCCTGATTGGTGTCTGGTCTGGCGTCTGGCTGGATCTGGTTACCTCTTCGTGGTTGCCTCTTCGTGGTTGCCTCTTCGTGACTACCTTCATGACTGCCTTCATGATGACCTTCGTGATTCATAGGTAAACTTGTACCACTATACTATCGAAATTTCATTACATAACCTCTACACCTCAAATACCCATTACGCACCGCACAACCGTTACGTACTAAGCAAGGCTTAAAAACGACATGACTATTGCGTGCCTATGTAATTGTTATGGGGTGTCCAGAAGCCCCGGTATGGTAGTGAGCCAATTGTGCTGCACACTCCACTCGCCGTGATACAAAGACGGCTTTAATAGCTTACAGTTGTACTGTTATCCAATCACTGCATATATACTATCAGCATCCATGGACCCAATAGCTTAATACAATCCAGTAGAGACTCTCCTGCGCTCTGCCAACTGCAACCAGAAGCTCATCCAAGTGTGACGCGACTATTCCATGAATATTCACGGCGGTTGTAGTCAGGCAGCCTCGGAGTCGTCCCACAAGCTCACATTTCACAAGGCTCACGGTATAATATATATCAAGACGAAACCCGGCCGCTTTCCACATGCTTATAGATGTGTAAGCGAGCAGTGGCATTGCGGCACAGTTTCCCCTATAATAGTCGTGCATAAGAACACGGAGACCTTGTACCGCGTATCACATATTTGAAGAACCTTGAAGACAGCCGGGGCATGGAAATTGGGATTGCGCCGATGGCATCATGATTGATACTATGTTGGGGGCTTTTGAGACCCGCTGTGGATCGACCTCTCAGTAGGGGACTGATGAATGCCCGTTGACGGATCGATCACATACTACCTGTCTTAAGCATTCCTCCGGGAAAATATGACAGCCGCATCGCCCACGCCATCCCAGCCCAGGACCGAGGCACCTGTCACAACCAGCGCCCATAACTCTCCGATCGAGCCCCCCTGCATGCCTGTGACGCTCAACGGTGCCCATGATGTTGTCTTCGTAGCTCCTGCCACCAAGGCAAGCACCAAGGTAATCCAGCCTTTGGCATCCTCGGCGGAGCAGCTGCCCGGCGGCTGCCGAAACTCCACCGTCTCCGGGGTTGGACCTGTGGCACTGCCTTTGGAGGAGGACGACGGCCTTGGTAGCATCCTCGAAAAATCCCACTTGTACACCTTTCCTCGGACAAAGTCGTGCTTCTTGCCATGCGCCCTCCCATAGGTGGAGCTCGCAGGGAAAAGGTTCATGCTTCCCACCAGCGCCCGGGCCAGAGAACGGTCAAACAGCTCAGTGTTGGAGGAAGTTGCCGGCAGGTCCCACGCGGCATCTACCGTCACTAGACATTCCTGGAGGCTCATTGACCGCAGGGCCACGCTCGCCCTGTTGCTTTGGCACCAGTACGCGTTGGAAGCTCGCCTGTCGGCTGGGACCAGCTGGTCTACGGCCGGCTCGAAGTACAGGGCAGCCTTGGCTAGCGCAGAGAGCTCGATGGGAGACAGTGGTAGCGGTGTCGCTGACACGTGAATGTGCGTGCTGCAGTGCGGGCTGGGGACCAAGATAAAGTAACGTCTGATGGTCGAGAAGATCAGCTCCATGTCGACCGCCCAGCTCCACGTGGCTGGATAGACCGGGGACACGAGCTCTATGCCCCCTGGTCATGCGTATAAGCGACAATGGTCAGCAAACCCGAGGATATCCATGAGTCGGAACGGGACAGGGGAGATGAGTAGCAGAAAAACCATACATAGACCCTTTCCCAGCTGATTTGGTATGGTGACCTCACGCACAAGGGAGTACTCGCGATAGTGCTCAATTGACTTGTCTCCCCCGTCGTTGACATGATTGGCAATTCCAACCGCGGTGAGGCGTTTGCTCAAATCATTTGCAAGGCTTTTCCAGGATGAGTGTGCTTTTTTGCGTCCGCCCAGGAGCAGCTCGATCTCTATGCCGAATTGGAGGGAGGCTTGGGACATGGCGAAGACTTATTATCGTGGGTTGGGTTATATTCGATAGTAATAGGTAGTGAAGTTCAGCAGAAGGTTGTTATTTCACGAATGGAATGGCAAACACAAGCGTGAGGATAGACACCCGAGGAGGGATTTATATACACTCGAACACAATAGACACACCCCCGAGTGAGGATCTGATACAGGGCTATCTACCCGCCAGCATCTGCGGCCATGACTGGGTTCATGATGAACACCAAGCGCCCGTACGCCTTGAAAGCGCAGCCGGGCTCGGAGTGGCTCGAGGAGGACGAGATTAGCTTGAACCAGCCTTCTGAGCCGCCCATCTGCCAACCTTGGAAGACGATGCTATGTTTGGTTGAAACGAGCCCCATCGGCGAAGGATCATCATCAGCGTCTCGCTGGAGTGACAGGCCTTGATGAGCTCGACGATAGTGCCCTGGCCGGGCCAACAGTTATTGTGCCTCCGCCGCGTTGGCCCCTCTTCCAACTGCCGTGGACCTTGTCTGCCAGGGGGAGTCGGCGAGACGCCCGGGTCGGAATCTTGCTCTCGAGCACTGGACCCTGTACGGGACCCTCCGTCTCTTCATGATGTGATTACCGATAGGACTCTGTTGATATGAGGTTAAAAATGTGGATTAGGCGAGACGCTGGGTCTGTCATCACTTCAATACCCAAGCGCAATGGCAGGACCCAACCAACCCCTGGAGGAAGCTGGCCGGCGATAATATCAGACGACGAGGGGGAAAGGGGACCCATCGAGAGCCAGTCTATCTACTCCCACTGACGACATATCTGACAGCCTGTTGGGTAGCATATCCTTGTGTCAGACCATGGCTCATTGCGAGAAAGGCGGTGCGACTGGAATCCCGCCCCCAGGAGCTTCGTCGTCCAACGATGCTTGTACTCGCAATGGCCTCGACCAAGTCATATTGGGCATGCCGACCGCCCGGGAACCCATTTATGGATATGATCCGGCCCCCAAATGCCTTGCGAAGGCTGTCGACCATCCGAGCGGGACCCGTGGCCGTGACCCCGGTCACAAAGCGGCCAGGCCGCGACCCTTGCCGACCTGACTAGGGAGCTAGCAACATAAAGGACAGGCAACATTGGCGGACGGTTTGCTGCAGCTGAGGTCTCACTCAAGGTGGTTGTGGTCGCCGTTGGGGGCGCCAGAGCGGTGGTCCAGACCCGGGCGTCCTAATGTTTCTGATGGGCTGGTATAGGTCTAGGTTCCGCTAAGCGCCGCGGGGTGCTCGGACGACATAAGAAGCGATATAGCCAGGTGCAGAGGCCTCTCGAACCATATACAATGGAAGGATGAGGAGGGGTGACCAAGCTTTTAACAAACACGCCGGAAGCACTTGAGAGACCAGCGTCCAACTGCATTTACTTCTCAGCCTTCAGATCACCCCCACCATCAAGAGCGCTGCTCCCCAGCCTTGTCTATGCGGCACAAGTCCGAGGCCATTATGCCCACGTGTTATTATACTCTCTCTACATTAGTATTGCCGTTCCCCTTGGGTGCTAGGTGTCAAGTGTTTACCTCTATATGAAAGTGTCACACACGCTTCATGTGTATGCGGACTGGAAACGAAGCCACTTCTGGAGGGAGCAAGAGCTATTTATTCCTATCACTAACTGTCTGTGTGTGAGCAGTTCCATACGCTGGGCTCCTTGCACCTTTGGCGCGCAGTTGCTATCAGAGCACTTGTAGCTGAAAGTCACTGGCATGTATGCTTGAAAAGGCTACACATCTGTGTTTTTCTTCTTGGTTCTCTGGTTGACCGGCCATGTAACTACACAGTACCTGAGTAAACCGCAGAGAAAACGAATGCACCCGTGCTGTGCAGGTCAGATTTAGCCCGTATGAGCTATTTGACTGGGTTCGACTGGACAAGCCGAGTAACTAGCACCCAGAGAGATACCGTCCCAAGGGTTGCTTTGAAGGCTATCCACGCTGGTATCACAATTGACTGATGACCTTATGCCCTCCAGGCCTTGTACATCATGTCGTAGATCTGCACGTCCTTGATCGCATCCTCCACCGATGTCTTGATCTCTGCGCCGTCGACGAGGCATTTGTGCAGCTGCTGCAGTTCTGCCGTGTACGTGTCCTCGTAGGATGAGAGCATTGTCCTTTTCTGGATCTCACCGTGTTCACTGACCTCCTCAACCTCTACCACGATAGGCAGTCCTTTGACATACGGGCTGTCGTACTGCTTGGAGGACTGTGATTAGCCCGTAGCCTTCCCCGGGCAGGACCATTGCCGTTCTGTACGGTAAAGTGACTGACCTTGATTGTGACCCTCTTCCGCTGCCCATAAACACTTAGGTGGGCATCAAATACAGGGACCTCGTCTATGCCGCTCTCGTACGTAACGGAATACGGCGAGCCGTCCGGGTTCCGGTACTGCAGCATGGCATTGTAGAAAGGGTCGTTTGCCGTGAAAGCCGTGACTTTCTCGGGGAACCCCAGCGTCTCCCGCATCAGAGAGATATCATGTGAGCCCAGGCTCCCGAGAAACCGGCACGCCTTCTTCTTCTCGTCCGTGACCTCCTGCCCGGGGAAGGCTTCCTCGAACAGTGTCTGAAGCCTATCATTGCGCTCCCGTGCCGCATCGGCGGGGAAATCGGTGCCTTTCACCTGGAAAGTCCCGCTCTGGTTCACAAACCGGGCGTTGGGCCCACTGAAGTCTCGCACCCGCGCATACAAGATCTTGGGCATGGATGCGACCTCACGTTTGAAAGCCTCAACATAACTTGGTGCGTAGCGGCGCATGTACCCGACGAAAACGCGGGCGCGCCCCTTTGCATCCTTCTCGGCGTCGATGATGCTCTGGACGGAAGGGATGGACAGGCTCACGGGTTTCTCGACAAACACGTGCTTTCCGGCCTGGAGAGCGCGGATCGCGAGCGGGGCATGGGTCTCGTCGGACGTCAGGACAAAGACCACTTGGACGTCTGGGTGGTCGATGGTCTCCTCGGGCCTCGTCGTCTTGTGTGGAATGGAGAACTTGGTGGCGCAGTGATCCACCTGCGTGGGCGAGACATCGCAGACAGACTCGACCCTGAAGAGATGAGACAGGAGGAACAGGCAAGGGCCATGGCAGACCTGGAAGACCTCCTACGCATGCCCGTCGGCACCGTCAGCCATGGAAGCATTACGAGACCCGGCCAGGCACACTTACTCCGGCGCCAATGACGCCTACTCCGAGTTTCTGTGGCTCGGACATGATGGGTGACAACCTCAAGCTTGGAACGAGGCGCCCTTGAGCTGTACGTATTACTTGGCAGTTGTGAGGGTCAGACTAAGTGGTGGTAACTTTCAGTTGACCCCCTCGTGATCCGCACTGGGCACAAGAACCAAGGCCTTCTCCCCTGGCTCTCTTTTTTCTTCCCTGGCGGGCCCTCCTTGGGAATTGTGGGTGAGTAAACGTCAGCTGAGCGGAGCCGTGTCCATCAACGCTTGTTGCCCGCTGAGTCCAAAGACGACAACAACGTCATCCTCAACTTTGTGAGAAGAGAGCGCATGCAGCTTGTCCTCGAACTGGGTCCGACGCCCACTCGGCCAGGGGCTAGTCGTTTTCGGCTAGCTCCCGACACGCCTCGACCCGCCCCGACCCGCCCCGACCAGTCTATCCATATCCGGTATTGACATGATTCTGCGCATCTGAAGAATATTCTATCAACAAGACAATTAATCCCATCGGACTGACTACATGAAAATATAATTACTATAACACTGTGGCTAAAATGAAGCAAGTAGGAGTCTAATGATTCTTGTTTAGTATAGGAACTTGAAAAACATAGATAGTCTTTAGTAAGTGAAAATGGATGTTAGAACGTGAGTTGGAGGAATGCAATAACGAAACTAGGTAGGCAGATACTGGATTCCTCGAAATTCTGGCACACGGGCATTGGCCGCGGAGCAGCAACAATCTCACCCCGGAGCGTCTGCCCGGCCGAGAACCGCCTCACAAGGTCGGTCGGGGACATGGCATGTCGAGTGCCACTCGCATCTGCTGCATTCTCTACGACTTGCCGCCTTGGATGATTTCTTCTTCTTTTTTCAACAGCTCTGATTGCAACACCCTGGGGGTCCCGTGTAACTCCAATAGTTGATTCTTTGGTATCTCAAAACACAGGCGCCCCTGTCAATATCTGAACGCAGTCGATCCCAATGCCTGTTGTTTAGGTGTATCCAACTCCATGCTTGTTTGTTATCAAACGACGGCCCCGCCCACGACGAGTAAGGCTTACCTGGCCGAATGAAGCTATGCCACGCCGACCGAGAAACAGACCCAAAAAAAACTGCAACCAATGAAACATACCCAGTGACGGTCCCAACCACCAGCTCGGGCCCCAGGGAGGCGCCCGAGAATGTTCGACCCGTCGATCGCCGTGTATTACCTAGTCTCATCATACGCCACGCTCCCACAGCGGCCGCAGACCAGTCTCTGGCGGCCTTGGACCCTCTTGGACCTGAACTTCTTTGCCCCACACTTGCGACATGGGACGTCGTCGCCGTCCCCGCTGCTCTGGCGGCCAGCCTCGCTGTCGCTCGTCAACTCGGAGCTGAGCCTGCTGACGACGGAATCAGCCGGGGCAAGCCGGTTTTCATCCTGTGACGTCACGGTGCTCAGATGCGAGGCGCCACGCTGCACCTCGGCTGGCCGCCGCTCAAACCCAGGCACCGGGGGTCGCGTATCGCCGCCCGACGAGAGGGGCATCGTCGAGGACCTCGACGCCGCCAGGCTCTTCCGCCGGGGCCCCTCGGGCGCGGCCTCGCCGTTCTCGGCCCCAGGCGCCACGGCATCACTGGCGGCCCTCTGGTGGCCCTTAGCCCCCGTGTTGGACTTCCCATCCCCGTTCGACCCTCTGAGCCCGGCCAGCCCCTTCCAGCGGTTCAGGTTCCAGAACCCGTAGCTTGCCCCGGCTGGGTCGAGCCGCAGGGCTTCCGACCCGTCGTCAGCGGGCCTAAAGCTGAACGAGGGCACTGGCGGAGGCGTTGGGGCATCGTCGGCCTTTTTGGAGCCCCTGCGGTCTCTGGTCGTTGACGGCCGGGGCTTGGCCTGGGGGGAATCCTCCCGAGGATTGTTCTTGTCCGCCACCGTGCCCTCCTCGGCTGTAGGGCCCAATGATGACGGGCTAGGCGTCGCCTTTGTGTCGGCAGCGTTGGCTGTCTTTGGCCGCAGCCGGCCGCTTGCCACGCTGTTTGTGGGACTGCCGGGAGGGTCATTGACGCCCGCAGGGATCCGCGCAGAGGCTGTCGCGTACTGCTGCTTCCTGGCATCTGCCGCCAGATTTGCGCGGCTGCCGCTGGCCGTTGGCCGCTGGTCCTTGCCGGGGGACATGCTCCGCTCGCTCCGCACGGGGGTGCCTATGCTTCCAGCAACCGACTGGGGCCTGCCGCTTCCCTCAATGTCCTGACGCCAGCTCAGAATCATGTCAGAGGACAGCTTCGGCGTGCCCGGCGCGCCCCACGCGATGCCCGGCGGAAGCGCCGCAGGCTGCCCGGCTCCGGTGCTCAGACTACCGCGCCGTGAGTGTGCAGCGCTGCCGGCGCTCGTCCTGGTCCTGATGCTGGATGAGCGGACCACCCCTGGGCCGAGGCCACCGCCGGTCTTCCTGGAGAAGGTGCTTCCCGTCTCCCAGCTCTCGTGACGCCGCTTCGCAAAGGCACAGTCCTGCCGGAAGACCTTGATGATCCCTTGGTCGTCCGAGGTCACGATGATGTTGCCACCGTTGTGGGACTTGCGAGCGAGGTAAGCAGGCGAGTAATCAGTCTTCCTGACCAGGCCCGGCGTCGGCAGGGAGCTGTCGGGGTCCTGCGCCCTCTCCTGGCTGCCCGCGTCTGACGGGGCGGCCTGAGACGACGTCGCGGCGGCCTCGTCCGAGGGCATCAGGGTGACCGGTGGGGGGTTGCACAGGTCGTAGATGGGGTCCCCCGACTCGCTCAGGAGCTGCCTGGTCTTGACCGGGGCAAAGAGGGCCGTCGTGACGATGTCGCCGTGCGCGTCGAAGCTTTCGCTCGGGTGCTTGCTGGAATCGCCAATGACCGATGCGCCCACCTTCCAGATGAACGTCTTCCTGTTCTCGCTGCCGCTGATGACATACTGTGCGTCGTCGCTGAAGCTGGCGCTGATTTGCGTGCAGGCGTTCTCGTGGCCCTTGAACTTGACATCGAGGCTGCCGTCCTTCAGGTTGTAGACCCGGATCCTCGAGTCGTTGGTTGATACCATGATCTTGACCTCACCAGGCTCTGTGCCACCCGAGCCGCCCGAGGTGAGGGGCATGGTCATGGTCTGTATTCCGGTGATCTTGCTCCCCTTGGAGTTCTTGCCCCGCGAGCTTTTTGCGTGTATTTGGCTGTGGAACTTGAGGCCCTCGGTGTCGTAGACCATGCACAGGCCGTTCAGGAGGCCCGCGATCGCAAACTTGCCGTCCGGGGCGAATGCCACCGCGGTGATCAGGTCCGGCAGGCGGACGCTGTAGGCGACGGCCTTGTCAGGTATGCTCCACAGCCGCAGCGTCATGTCCAGGCTTCCTGCGAGGAAGAAGCGGTCGTCTGTGGGGTGGAAGGCCACCTTGGTGACCACGTCCTTGTGCTTGAACGTGCAGAGGCACTCGTCGCGGCTGGTGTGCCAGAGCCTCACCGACTTGTCCATGCTGGTGGAGAGGAGGAAGTTGTTCTTGCTCCAGCTCAGGTCGAGGATCTCGTTCACGTGGCCCTGGAGCTCACGGAACGGGCGTCCGACAAAGACCGGGGTCGACAGCCTCTCGCCGACGGGACAGGTAGCGGCCTCGTCCTCCTCCTGCGCCCGCCGCTCCTCCTGGGTCGATATGACGGCCCACATCCTGACAACCATGTCCTTCCCGGCGGCGGCCAGGTATTTCCCATCCTTGGAGAACTCGGTAGCCCAAATGGCGCCGCCAGTGCGCTCCCTCCTCCTGCCACCGGCACCGGCCACGGAGACGGTGACGACGGGGACCTTGGACCCTGGTTGTGTGCCGTCGCCGTCGCCGCCGTCCAGCTTGGGGTGGGTGCCAACGAGCTCCTGGGCGAGGAACATGCGGTTGAACTCGCGCTCGTGGTTCTTTTTGTGGTTGGCGCGGACGCGAATGTACCTCGGGGGCTCCTTGTGGCGGGGGATGAACCCCCCCGCGTCGACATTATCGGAGAAAACGCGGGCATCTGCGCCGTCCATTCGGGACTCGCCATTGAACTCGGACTCGCTGTCGTGTATGGAGTCGACATCGCCCCTAGCTTTCCTCGTGGTGCGCATTCCGAGCCGACTGAGAAACGATGGACCCTTCCTGTGCGGAGCAAGAGACGATCAGCAACTTAAAATGCCACAGGCGGGGAGGGCAGAGAAGGATGGATTTACTTCTTGTCCCTGGCAACATCGCCAGGAGGGTTGTTCTGTCTGGCGCTCAGGTCTGAGCTCTGGCGCGGGATAGTCTCGAGGGGTTCCGAAGTGTCATCTGACTTTGTAGGAGCGACTCCCCAGGATCGAGGTTGCCTGGAGGGGATGGACTCGGTATTGGTTCGCAGGAAGATGTGCTAGAAGCGAACACTGTCATCAGCCAGACAGACCCGCAGGATCGGGGTACTCGACGAGCGCAGGCAGGGCTTCGGGGCTTTATGTCGGCGGGAAGAAGTTGGGCAAAAGACGTACTTGTGACAGCGGGTCGACGCCGGGGTTGCTGGACGGAGAGTGGGCAGGCTGTGGTATGCTGGTGGCAGAGGGTTTCGCAGTGCCGGCGTGAGGATCCTTGTCCTTGTCCTTGTCTCTGGTCACGGTGACGGCAGAAGAAGGCGTGGGTGGGATTACGGTTGTGGCGGTGGTCGGAGTCGGGGTGGAGGACGGAGACGGTGTGGAAGTATTGTGGTTGCCTGTTGGTTTGTGTGGCGCTGTCAGCTTGGTCGAATCCTACGGAAGAGGGCCGACAAGGGGCGATGTCTGGGGGCATTGGACGGCATAGAGCGTGGCGGTGAGTCCGGGAACGGGCGGCGCAGGACGGAGACGGGAACGGGGAGAGACACGGGGCATGGCGTGCGTCGATGGAGGGCGCCACGCATGCGGCGGCTGCTGGGCCCGGGGCTGGGGCTGGTTTTCTCTGGCATGTGGGCAGAAGGATTCTGCTGTGGGGCGGCGAGGAGGAGAGAGAGGAGTGTACATAGATAGTACCATGACTTACCTGGGATGGGCGTGAGACCGTGGGAAGGGGAGGGGGAGGGGGAGGGCGTGGACGACGATGCGGAGGAGATGGTGTTGAGAGGCGGGATGAGGGCATTCTGGGCAGAGCGCGAGCCCGAGGGGCCGTGTCGAGGACCGTGGGAGGTCTTTATGGGGGGAGGGTGAGGTGCCATATTTCCATCATGTATGATGGCACACGCACAGCCGCGCGCCCGTGCCCGTGGGGTTGGTGGGCTGGACCCGTGTGGACTGTCGGACTCGTCGAGACTTGTCGGTTGTTTGGTTGGTTGGCAGGTGGTGAGGAGGAACGCTGGCACGCTGGCACGTCTGTTGTTTGTCCGGCCGGGGGTCGGTCTGTCCGTCCGTCTGTGCAGTCCGATGTGCAATAATACTGAGGGGTGGGGAGGGGCGTGGGCCAGGGGGGGAGACGATTATTAGCGACAGCACGGGGCAAGAAGAAGGGGGAGGGGAGGTGAGGAGAGGGGGAGGTGGTAAAAGGTCGAGGTAAGGTTGAGGTCGAGGTCGAGGTGACAGCAGGCTGACAGGAGGAGGAGGAGGAGGAACTGTGTGTTGTGCGAGTGAGCTCTGTCACCCGCTGGTGCTACTAGTACAGTAAAGTGACTTGACTGCACAAGCTCAATCACAAAAAAGGACAGGACCCACACTGCGAGGGGCGAGCCAAGATGCGAAATGGCAGATGGCAGCCGGCGCCAGGGAACCCCAGCCAGCAATTCCAACGGCCCCAAGGGCCCTGCGGGCTGGGCGAGCTGGTGTGGGCCGGGTCGGTGCATGGGGCAGTCTGGTGGGGTAAAGACGGTGGGTGGCAGACCGTGACAAGCCAAACGTTCCGTACTCGCTTATCGTACTCGGTACGGAGTACCTCCGTACTAATCCTGCAGCCCACCGTACCAATCAAATCCAACGTATTATACTTTGAATATGCTGCTCCGCGTGCCAGTCGCATCCCGAGCCGCATGCAGCGAGCGACATGTCGGCACATTGGTAGGCAGACCGTCAGACCGTCAGACCGTCAGACCGTGTCATCCTACTCGAGTGTGAACAAGTGTCAACGATTGTGTGAATGCCTTGCTCAAGTGCACCGCCACAAAGTCTGCCCCGTCACAGTCCGTGAAACAGACACCCGTGAAACAGCTTTGCATCCGTCCAGCCGTCCTCATTGTTTGGTACCGGGTCACATGCCCGGCGGCGGCGGCAACACACACAAGGATGGGATGAGACCAAGGCCAAACCCGGCCCCGAATCCAGAATGACAGCCCGGGGGCCCAAACTCAATCGCCCGTAGGGCTGCAAAACCCCCCGGCGCCCCAATAAGCTTTCCCCCTCTTGCCTCGGCTCGGGGCCTGGCTTACTACGCACCTGGGCAGTCGGGGCAGTGCCTAGATACTTAAGTACCCAGTCATCAATCATGTGTTGACAGCTTATCCACCCCTGGCTCCATTTGCATGTGTTCGCAAAAGGCAGGACTACACAAAACATGTGCCGTCGTCTGTAGGTCGTGACCGTGGCAGCATGAGACCGCCACACTTGGCTGCGGGACATACACTTCGGCAGCCCAGGCGAAATAAGATCCCGAGCATTCCACCCTCCCGCGGCTTCCGGCTGTTGTGTGCCCTGATGTCAATCGGCCCCATGGCCTCCCCTTGCCTTGTGCACACACGTGGCACGCGTTTCCGGCCGGTCAAAACCGGGAGGTTCGCGCGGGCCCGGGTCCATGTTGCCTCGCGCCTGCACCGGATCGGGTGGATGGCGGCGGTCTGACTGACCTCTGTCTCTCCCTCCCTCTGCACCACCCATGCCCTGCAGACAGACAGTATTGCGCTGGTGGCTGTCTCGAGCTGTGGGCCTTGAGAATCATATGATCATGTCGCCGTCCTCTGCCCCACCCCCGCCGGCCTCGTCATCCGACTCGTCCAGGTCGTGCATCGGGTACGTCAGGATCGCCGCGATGCCGCCCAGGCTGCCCAGCCTCTGCCCGCTCTCGTGATCGCTGCTCAGCACCCTGGCGTCGCCCCCGTCCTCCTTGACCTTGTCGACCATGGCCACGTAGCGCTTCCTCGTGGCAATGTCCTGGCTGCGGAAGAGGTCGTTGTTGACCAGGAGCACCCCGCCGCCCCGCCCCACCGCGCCCTCCATGACGGCCTTGTCGACCGGCCGGATGCCGTACCACGCCCTGCCGTCGTCCTTGCGCAGCCTCTCGCCCAGCTCGTCCAGGTACTTGGTCTCCGACGCCGACTTGCGCTCCTTCATCAGGGACAGCACCTCCTTGCTCTTGAGGATCTCGTTGAGCGAGTAGACGTTGCCGCTGCTGGCGTGCGTGACCACGGCGTTCCTCGCGAGGGCCAGCAGCTTCTTGTCGGCCAGGCGCGCGCCCTCGTCCAGGATGTACTGCCTGAAGTTGTTGGCGACGTAGCCGGGGCTGGCGATCAGCAGCGGCCGGGGCTGGGAGAAGTCGATGGCGCGCAGCAGGGTGGCGAGCGTCTTCTCGAAGAAGCGGCGCGTGCTCCTGTCGTCCTTGGAGGAGGCCGAGGCCTTGCGGGGGAACGTGCTCTGGACGCGGGACTTGACCAGCGTCTGGTACTCGGTGATGAGGCAGATGTTGGCGACGCCCTCCTGCATGACGACGGCAGCGACGGCGCCGTCCCTGTCCTGGTTGAGGGCGTCGCGCAGGGTCTGGAGGGCGACCGAGTCCCAGCCGTGCTTCTTCCACAGGGTGAAGGGGCGGTTGAGCTCGAGGTCGAGGGTGTGGTACTGGCCGCGGCTGACAAAGGCGTTGTCGGTGGCGACGCGGCCGCTGACGTGCAGGGAGGAGGCGGCGGGGTCGAAGAAGGTGGAGGTGACGGTGATGGTCAGGTCGGTGTGGACGCGCTCGGTGGCAGACGAGCCGGTGGCGGACTCCTTGGCGACCTTGCGGATGGCGTGGGCGCGCACGACGTCGTCGGGGGCGATGAGGTTGTTGGCGTGCCACATGTCCTCGGGGTCGGTGGGCATGAGCTGGACCGAGTCCTCGCCGAGGTCCTCGATCTTGTGGATCTTTTTGGCGTTGACGAGCTGCATGGCGCTGCTGTGTGTGGAGTAGAGCTCTCCGTTTTCTCCTTCCTCTTTCCCCTGGTACGGGTCTGCAGTCAGGCTGCTCTGTTAGATGGTGACAGTGTTGTAATGGCAGAATGGTGAGTGGTTGGTGATGACTTCCAAGGTTGGAAGATGTGGGATGGAGGGGTAAGGACTGCCCCCACTGGAAGCAAGCACTCAGGTGGTGCTGATGTCACGGATGTGGTATGAAGAGGTGAGATAGCGGGTACATGTGTATGTACATTGTGCCTGGGAGCGCAATGTAGAGGTGGGGCAGTCCTGGCCCAAGCTTTGTACCGCGTACGGAGTAGCTCTGGGCCTCTGCAGATGTCCCCCAAGACAAGCAGCTGGCCAGGTCTCTGCTGCACAGCCAAATTGCCACAGATAAAGTCACCAACCAAGTGTGGCCTCCAGGTCCAGGTGGCATGTTCTCAGTACCCTGCCTGCCTGCCAGCCTTCTTGGAGGTGGCGTCAGTTTGCCCTAATGAGGAGTACCTCGCAGATTGTGCCTGGATTGGATGCTCGGCTGCATCCTGATAAGAAGCAATTTATAAACGCCCAGCCGCCAGGGCCAGGCAGCCAAGGTGAAGCCGACAGGATGGATGGATACTAAGTAGATAACATCTCGAGTGGATGTGGTCCACCCTGCTGCTACTGTGTACCTGCATCAACTCGTGGCCTGCCGATCAATCAGCCCAACATGAGGAACGGCGTCTTCACCCTCGTGGCTGTCACCGTCACGGCTCTGCTGGCCTTCTGGCTCATCTTTGACCCCTTCAACAGGGACTGGACCGCCCCCGCCTACCATCTCTCCGTCACACACACGGTTCTCTTTCAGTTCAAGGAGGACGCAGACCCCCAGGCCGTTCGAGATGTACGCTTGCCCTCTGCCGTCTTGGTCCAGTCGGTCTCATTTGAATTGTCATGACAACTGCTGACCTCGGACATGATGGATGCGTGGGAATAGGTGTGTGGCGGGATGATGGCCCTCAGGACTGCCTGCGTGAACCCTTCCACGCTGCAGCCCTACATCAAGTCACTCACGGGTGGAAGGGACAATTCTCCCGAGGGGCACCAGGTCAGTCAGAAGAGTACCGCCATCATCTGCAGCTACCTACTGTTACTGTACATTGGAGACGAGATGCTAATACGGTGGGCGTGTCACAGCGTGGGGCCACACATGGATTTGTAGGTGATGTCTCTTCTCTGCCTCTGCTTGTCATAACCTGAGCTGAACTTGTGTTTGCTGGCCAAAGGTGGTCGAGTTCGCCAGCACCCAAGACCGCGACTACTATGTCACCCAGGACCCAGCCCACCAGAAGCTCAGGAAGAGGATCTCGTCGCTGGTCCAAGATGTGGTGGTGGTGGACTGGGAGAACGGCCGGTTTTGATGCCATGTTCAGAGGCAACTTGCAGTCGCAGCGGTTGCAGTCGGTCCCGGACCGGCCATGGTCTTATCACGCCGGGGGCGGGCCGGAAGCCTGAGCCCAAGCGTCCATCCCCACCTCCATGACCGTGCCGATGTTCGGAAGCCTAACGAAATGCCGGGTCCAGGGCCACCGACACTCCAGGTTGCATTGCAGTGCGGAGAGAGAGGAGGATCGAGAGCGTCTGGGGTACCCTCCCCTTGGTAGAGATAGAGTGTTGCACTTATTGTACGTACTATGGTATATATGACGTGACGTGACATGGGACAGAGCCTGTCAGACAATAAATATGAGAACGGAAATTCGCGCACCCTCAATCGGAAGGCGCGCACCCATCTGCTGACTAAGAAGTACTCTATACAGACTTCTTCTTCCACGAAAGGGCCGGCTGGGGCGAAGGGGGCGAGCCCCGGAGCGCGAAGCATAGCGGAGGGTCGTGAGTAGGGCCGGTAGGCACGACCCGAGTTCCCAGAGGACCAACCCGCCCTGTTTGTGGCCTCTAAAATCGCGAAGAACACTTATTTGTTGAAGTCGTGAGGACTTTGAGGTTCTGTGCTCTGATTGGCTGAATAGTAGGGAGGGTGCGCGCCTTCCGATTCTGGGTGCGCGAATTTCCGTTCTCATAAATATGCCTCTTTTTTGACCATGGTATAAATGAGACGCCCCTTCCCCGTCGCCTTAATCCAATCCGGTCCAACCTATGCCCCTCGTCGCCGTCACCACATTGTACTACAACAACTACTGTAGACTAACAAACCTCACTCAGCCCACCAACATCGCCACCAAACCACACACATCACACACACACATCACACACCATGGCTTCCCAGCTGACCCTCCAGACCAAGGTCAAGCTGCCCAGCGGCCACGAGATCCCCCAGCTGGGATATGGCGTAAGTGCAGTCCTGATGCTGCTGCTGCTGCTGCTGCTGCTTCTGTACTACTCTTGTGTGTTGGAACCACATTGCTAACATGAGATGATGTCTTACTTGTAGTTGTGGCAGACGTGAGATCTCCCCACCACCCACCCGTGCTCTCGTCCTCACTCACCACTTGGACTTGCTGACATGTTACTACTGCCCCACAGCCCTGAGGACGTTGCTGAGGGCGTCTGCATTGAGGCCGTCAACCTGGGCTACCGACACGTAAGTTCGTTTCCCAGTCCTCCACAGCCCAGCCATCGCTAACCTCTGGGAAGATCGACTCGGCCGCGGTCTACAAGAACGAGGCTGGCTGTGGTGCCGCCATCCGCAAGCTGGCCGCCACCGTCCCGCGCGACCAGATCTTCTTCACCTCAAAGGTGCCCGGCCGCACCCTGTCGTATGAGAACGCAAAGGCCCAGGTCGACAAGACCCTCGAGGTCACCGGGCTCGACTACATCGACCTCATGCTCCTGCACGCCCCCTACGGCGGGTCCAGCGTCCGCAAGGAGGCCTGGCGCGGCCTGGTCGAGTGCGTCGAGGAGGGCAAGGTCCGCAACATCGGCGTCTCCAACTACGGCGTCCACCACCTCGACGAGCTCGAGACCCACATCAAGGAGCTCGAGGCCGAGAGGGGCGGCCCGGGCAAGGGCGGCGTGCTGAGCGTCGGCCAGTGGGAGATCCACCCCTGGTGCGCCCGCAACGACATCGCCGAGTGGTGCCGCAAGCGCGGCGTCGCCGTCGAGGCATACAGCCCCCTCGTGCGCGGCGAGCGCTGGGGCGAGCCCGTCCTCAAGAAGCTGGCCCAGAAGTACAACAAGTCAGAGGCCCAGGTCCTGATCCGCTGGTCCCTCGACAAGGGCTACATCCCCCTGCCAAAGAGCGTCACCCCCGACAGGATCAAGCAGAACGCCGACGTCTACGACTTTGCCCTGACCCCCGAAGAGGTCAAGGAGCTCGAGACCACCGAGTACAAGCCCGTGTGCTGGGACCCAAACACCTCGCCCCTGGACAACTAGACACGTCCCTGTTTTTGTTGGTCTGTTGGTCTGTTGCTCGAGGGGCCTGGCCCTGGTGGTCTTGCCTGGCTTCCAAGCGAGATCGCGGTCTGGATGGGCGCCACACCATCGGCAACCCTAGAAAATAAATGCAGTGTCAGTTGGAACAAGAGCTCCGTCTCTCACCATGCTGGTCAATTTCCTTGCCTGCCATATCGTGTATGTAGTCGCAGCGAAGCCGACGCCCTCCAGATGTCAGACAGGAGCAAGCGCACAAGGCGCATGTGACCAGCGCAAGATTCGGTCACCATTTTTGAAGCGCAAAGTCACGTTACAAGAACCCCCGCGCCGGAATGAAGAATCCAGAGCCTCGGGGCAGGAGGCCAGCCACGGTGTCATTTCTTCATTGCCCTGGCTTGGAAGAAGAGAAGAAGCATGTCTATGCTACCAGCTAGATAGGAGTAGCCTACGTCTGCTGCCCAGATCTCGAGTGATGGCAACCATGTCTATGTTTTCCTCTCCACCTTTTCCCCCTCATTGAGTAGACACTTCGAATTCTCTCCTCTGGCATGTTTATTCGAGACCCGCCCAGTGAGCTGTCCACCGACCCGGTCGTGGGCCCCTCTCCAAAGCAGCGCATAATACTCTTCCACGGCAAACCTCCCTTGTGCTTCCGAATACCAGACAGAGAGAGAATCAAGGCTGTCGGGAGAAACATACACCCCGGAAGCCATGAAGAAAAAGTCGAAGCGAGGAGACTGAGAAAAAGAAAAGGCAAGACCGTGCGTGGGTCGAAGGTGGGCAAACAGCGCAACTGGTGGTCAAGGTCAGCCAGTATGAAGTGGGCAACGCTTCTGGTCCATTGAGCAGACTCGTTCGGCTGTTTTCTATGTGCCTGGTCTGGGACGAGTTAGGTCATGATCAGATGGTGGCGAGAAACCCTTGGGAGGAGTTGTAATAATATAACTTGCCTCGACAACCATGGCACATCGCGAACATGCTCACCGTCTGCTTACTTCTCCTTCTTGAACATGTCCTCGTCCACCTGCTCGGCCGCCTCGGAAGAATCCTTGGGCGAGTCCTTGGTCTGGTCACAGGCATGATCTAGCTCCGTCAAGGCAATGCCCGGCTGCTTCCTAGCACCAGCTCCGTCTCCGTGGACCCAGCTGTCGGTGTTGACGGTGAGTATTCCCCACAGACCAATGGGGATGGGGGAAAAGTCCACAGCCACAGCTGCCAGCAGGTTTCCGAGGCTGAACATGTAAGGGTACGTGGCCCAGAAGGCGCGGTAAGTAGGGACCATGCTGTAGACGTAGAAGGCGAGGAAGCCCAGGGCAATGACCGGGTGGTGCCTGAGACAAAGGGCCCATCCGGCCAGGTGGATCAGGGCCACCGGGACACGGAGGAGACGCATGAGAGTGACATAGACGATGTAGGGGTGGTTGTAGGTCTGGGGGACGTCAGTGAGAAACCTCCAGAAGTTCTGCAGCGTGTTGCGCTCCTAGCGGATACGCTGGTCGAGCATAGTCGAGGTGGTCTTGACAGTACGCCTGATGGTGGCCCCCTCCGTGTACTGGAAGCCAATGACATGGCCCCTCTGCAGCAGGTAGCGGGTGATGATGTTGTCTGATCCCGAGTTCAGGGGCCGGCCGGCCCAGGTCTCGGTGGTGAGGGCATGGATGAACTCGGGGTCCTGGAAGATGGCTGTGCGGCCAAGCCAGGTACAGCCTGCCAGGCACCACGTCCACTTGTTGCAGGCAAAGGCCGCAGTGCCACCACCACGGCCGCCAAAGAGGAATTTGGTACCTGCCAGACAGTCGGGTCAGTTTCAGTAGGCTGTATAAACACCGTTGTCTCCTGGGGGGTGGTCGAACACTCACCAGCAACCTCCCACGGGGTGACAATGTTCCTGTCCCGGCGCTCCTCTGGGATGTAGATTTCAATCGGGCCACCAGCCGCACCAACCTGGGGATCCTCGAAACAGGGGAGCACTATGAGCGGTGGAAGTGTCAGTCAGAGAATGTTCAAGCCAAGCCAGGCCAGGCCAAGGCAGGGAGGGTGTTTGCTTACTGCTCTTCAGAAGGCTGTCGGGCCAGAGGATCTGATCATCGGTGACGGCCATGATCTTGCCACTGGCAGCCTTGAATCCCATGGCTTGCTGGAGGCGGTGGCCACTGACGCCCTCATCAAGATGGACCACCTTGATCAAGGCACGATCCGCGATGCTCATGTCAAAGGACTCGATGACCGAGCGAACAGCCTGAACTGCGCATTGTCAACAGTCTGGGGAAATTGGGAGAACAGGCTGTGATGGCTCCGGTACGACGGAGTGTTTGGCATTTGTCTTACCGTAGTCGAAGGTAGTGACGAGAATAACCTCGTGGGGCTGGTTCTTGAGCCAGGACCTGAGGCATTTTTCGAAGATCGGGGGAGGACTCAGGAGCAGTGCCACGACCGAGACATCCTTGCTGGTGAAGAGAGGGTTATCGGGGATGGGGAACGGCTTGTACTTGGACTTGTACCAAGAAGCCACCTTGCTGTCGGCAGCGCCCCAAGCACTTGTGGGAGGAGAGATTAGTTCAGTTCATAGTGATGATTCGAAATAGTCCTCAGATACTTGCCAGACCATGTGGCCGAGGTGGAGCTTGACAGATACCAAGGACTGGTCGTGTTTCCGCGCTCTCAGTCGCGGGCGAAGGTCGTGTTAAGGAAGCAGTGTTTTGAAGACGTGTGTGAGGTGCCGGTCAAGACAGAGGATCGGTCAATTCAACTTACCGCATGAGACCAAGAATAGCCACGCCAGTGTGAGACATCATGCAAAAGAAAAGCAGGCGTCAGAGGTGTTGGACTGTAGGAAACCTGATGAGGTGCTTCGGTGTCAGGGGAGGACAAGATGTTGGGCCAAAACGTGCTTGGATGGCTGTGATTGGGGTTGGTGAAAGCAACAAGGTGCAAATCAAAGACAAGTTTCAAGGTTGCTATCAACAACAACTCGGACTAGAACCCTGGCCGCGCGATTTTGACGGCTTAACCAACGCGGGTGAGTCACCTGGTCTCATTCAAGGTTGAGCCTCTCAAGCTGTCAAACACTGGCACGCTTTGTTGGACGATATCACTTATGACTACACAGCTCTGACGTTCCATGTCCCCCCCTTCTATGGCCTGCCTCCTACCCAGTTGCAGTCGCCGCCGGGTGACTGCACATGTGGAGGTTGACAACAAACATTCCGAGGTTAGCACTCGACCGTTTTCTGCCCCCCATACGACTTGAGATTTAGCAGATACCCAGGTAGAGACAAGCTCATTCTGGCTTGCAGTGTGTCATGGCTTCTTGTCTTCTAAGGTTTGGTTTATAGCTTCCCAATGTGTTCGTTAATCCAAACAACTTTAGAATCATAGAATCACGAGGGATATGAGGCAGAATACTGCATTGGGCCTGGAATTACAGATGCTCGTTGGAAAGCCTATTATCCAACCTTGGAGGAACATGAAATATTTGAAATCTTATTCGCCTTCACCAGCGCTTCCATTTCAAATGTTATCCTGTCGACTATCAACCGTGCCGTACCTACCCTAGGGTAGGTAATGTGTCAGGCCGGTTATCCACAAAGTGAACCCGCTTCAACCACAATACACTATTTCATGCGGTATATCATCGCTTGGACTCGATGGGTTCGATCTGCATGCTTCTTCCAACAGCTTCATGCCCGCCAATCAATGTTAGAGTGGCTGTAATATATCAGACAAATTAGGCGACCAGCTTTAGGAGCGAAAGCGACCAGTTTGCCCACCCACAGGAGACAAGACCTTTGGGCATCGACCTGTCTTTCTGTCCCCCCCTCCTCCCCACAATGAGGAATCATGTGGCTGAAGATCCCTCCGAGGTACATGAAGCCTGCTTCTACACATGCATGGTCTACGTATGGAAACCTGAAGCGCGCCAGTTAGACTGAGAATTGATACATGACCTGCCCAGAGGCGGAGAAGTCTTGGAAACTCGATCCCGATGTATCACAGGATCTCTACCCGATGTTATACAAAATGAATCATGCTCGCTCATCCTGTATGCGTCATGGTTGGTGATAGAAACGGAAAACACGTAGGGGAAATATGCTTAGGTATATATAAACGACGTTGGAATCATGTCCCATGAATTAGAGATATATGTAGGTCTCGATGCACCGATGCAACTTTTCCCTCCTTGAGAAGTGTGTTTCTAGAATATTGGAACGTTGCACATGTGACATCCATGTACGGAAAGTCAGATCGAACATTGATTGCATGGTAAGATCCCACACCCCATCCCCCACCCGTCCAACCCCGCAGTCAAGATGACACTCTCGTTCCCTATACCGATCGTGCTTCTCATTTAGGAAGATGAGTCTAGCAAGACTGAGAGACAGTACTGGTCATGAGCCGACATCGTCTGAGCATCCTGCCATCAAGCACCCCTTTGTCTCCAGAACTCTCGGTTCACGATCCGCTGACGGATACCTAGCATGCGTAGAACCGACCAAGTCTCACCTTTATAGTCTCTGTGCGACAGCGACAAGTTACCAGTAGTTTCAAATGCTGATAGTTGGCCCAGTCTGTTTCGTGTAAGTCTTGTCGACACAAAATGTTACCGAGTCGAAGGTTGGACCCGGTAGTGTCACCATCATCATCTTGTCTTCTTCATCACAGGAGAAAGCTTCAAGAAAAGAAACAAAAGGTTTTTAAGTCAAGTTTGGAAAGACATTCAAATTCCTATTTACCACGGTCTTGTCCACCAGAGTTCATCCGCATCATCTCCTTGAGAGCCGCCGTCTCGGCTTCCTGCCTTGCCAGCCGAAGCTTCAGGTCATCCCGCTCCCGCGTCACACTCTCCAAGGCGACCTCCAGCTCCGTGATCCGGTCGAGGCGTTTCTGCCTGTACTTGCGCGCGGCGATGGTGTTGCGCTGGCGCTTGAGGACGACGTCTGGGTCCTCTTGCGGCTTGGCAGGCTGTCGACCGGCCCCGCTGGCGCCGACCGGCCGCGGGCTGTAGTCGGACAGGGAGGACGCTGGCGATTTGCTTCCCGAGGAATTGGTGGCGGCGATGGCGGTGTTGGCGGCAGTGGCGGTGGCAGAGATGGCCGTCAGGGCGGCTGCAGTGGTGACGGGCTCGAGGGTCTGAGTTGGCGTTCGCATGTGAGGGTGGTGGGCGCTGGGGTTGACGTGGCGTGTATGGTCAACAAAGAAATCTGGGATGTGGGTAGGTTCCGGGAGGGCGTCTATCAGGGCAGGGTCTGTGGTCACTTGTCAGCGTGCTGGTGCCCTCACGCATGATACTTTTATGTATGTGTGTATGTATGTATATATATATATATATACTATAAGGGGCCCAACTCACCAAAGGTAAAGTCCAGGTCGAGGGGGGGCACGGCAGGAGTAGTGTCTGCCGACGATTCCCAGGCTTGCCCAAACGACAGAGGGTCTTGGGAAGCATAAGTAGCTCCAGTGGTGTTGCCAGGCCAGAGCAGTGGCGACAGGAAATCCGCGCCCGAGGGTTCGAGCCCGAGCCCTGCCGCCGCCGAATGGTCTTGATGGAGACTGTAGTCGACGAAACTACTGCTGGGAAGGTCGGTAGAAGGCACTTGCCCCCTGGCGCGCCGCCGCTGCAGATGAGGATCCTGCAGCCACCATTGTTCGATACTGTAATGCGGCCTCTGGTGTCGAGGCCGGCTTCAAGTCTCCTGAGGAGATTGGGGGGGAGGATTGAGTGCGGTTGAGGCTATACCATCAACCCGGTGCAGTGGCTTGAGGAGGAGGAAGATAGGCATGTGAGAGTGGAGGCGAGGCCGTGGTCATCATTTATAGACAGACCACGACACTGTAACTATGCCGCCCCGGGCTCGAGGTTCGGTGCACGGTAACATCCCGCGGGCTGTAACATGCACCCGCCCCCTGCTCAGCCCCTCCCTTTGGACCTGGATTGGGAATAGCCAAAATGACTCATAGTGACTATCAAAGCCGCGGCGCAGACTGAAACCAGGATCCTGCCAATGGGGGATTGCTGGCAATCTTGGAGTCCCCACACACCGCCAGCACCGTCTCACCGGGGATATTGTACATTAGATACTGCATGTCAGCATGAGCAGCACAAACACTGCCGCCTAGTAAGCACCGTGCAGCTTCAGAGAACCGTGCCGTGCAACTGGGCGGTGCCCCTTCCGAGCCGATGGAGGCCATGCGAAGATCCCTCCGCCTTGCCGTACACCACAATGGCATCGGGGAGAGGCCCTCTTGGCGCGACCGAGTGCGGCAATCGGGACGTCAGGTGCTCGGCTCACCGTTGTACAAGACAGACAGGAGCGTCTAACGTGGCACGACACAGACATGTGCTTGATGATGATGGTAGGTCGTCAATAGTCTTGGATGAATACACCGACAGCTGGCACCGCCGCCCAAAAACGAACTCCTGATGACGACCTCTGCGTGGCCTCATCCCCAATGCTGATTGCAGCCCACGCCCTCGTCCCAACCGTCCAATGCTTTCGCTATGCTTGAGAGGAAATATAAAATGAAAAACGATCATGCGCCTCATACCCGCGCCTCGCCACCTCGGTTCGCCGATGGTCGAGGGATGGGAGTGTGTCATGGCCACACCACAGCAGCTGCTGAATTGCCGTCATATGTCGCTCAAGTCATCATCGGCCCACGTAATATCGGCCAGAACATCAAGTTCTTCCTCGGCCTCAAAGTCAAAGTCCCCGTAGTCCGTCTCTTGCGAGGCCACCGGCCCTATCCCGCGGCCTAAAGCCCCGCATGGGGCATGAGATTCTGCACAAGTGCTCATCCGGATGGGACTGCGTAATCCTGATGCAGCCGGGGACCTGCCAGCGCTGTGGACTTCGTCGGGAAGCGCACGGGAATCACATGCCTGAATGGCCCCAAAATCAATTTCGTCGTCAATGAGGTCGTCCTCAACAATCTCGCCATGGTCTTGTTTGGCAGGTTCTTCGGACAGGACCTTTCTCGCCTGTAGCCGGAGCTCTTCCTTGCGCCTCCGCTCCTCAGCCAGGCTCTCTCTGTAACTGCGCTCCATGGCGACGAGCACTTCGGCGCCGGGCCCACTGGAGCCAAACATTCGTTTCTTGGGGGGCGACGCCGCTGGCGGCATGGCGCAGCCCTTTGGAGAAGGCTTGGTGGCAGTGCTACCATCCGAGGGCGAGTCTGGTTGTGAAGGTTTGTCTAGAGGGCGACACCCAAAGCCCTCGTCCGGCTGGCACTGACCGACAGCATCGCGAACGCCACCCCTCTTCCGTGGCGGGGATAACATGCTGACCTGCGAGGTTGGCCTAGAGGGAAGAGACCCGTTTCTGGAGGCCTGAAGACGTTGCGACCGTGGACGCATGTGTGCCTGAGTCGGGCATCGTATAACCTCCTCAGCCGTCTTGCCCAGCGGTGTGCCACAGGGGCCAGGCCCGGACTTTGAAGCGGCCAGAACCTGGGAGCAATGCGATCCCGCCCCTCCCCTTATCGTAGTGGGCGCCATGACTGGACATGATGCCTGAGCGTCGGAGGGGGCTTGGTTCTTGTCGTCAGGGCAAAGGGTCAAGTTCTCTGGGAGTAAGGGCAAGTCGTTCCTCGGACTGGTAACATGCAGGCCCCGTAATGAAGGCCCTTCTCGCACTTTACTAGGCGTCTCTAGCTCTATCATATCTTGAGAAGATAGAATCAGATCTTGAGTGGCAAGAAAAGGGATTTCGGCCAAGAGAGTCTCGCCCGGCTGACCCCCAGAAGGCGGCGAAGGTCGTCGGGGGACTGCCACACTTGATGGCCTCCCGTCCGAAGAAGGCTCCGCGCGCCCACCATTGAGTGACGTAGGGTTGTGAAGCGGCGACGGCGGGCCGCTTGGTATCGTGGCTGCCGCGGCTGGCGGGTGATCCTCGAGAAGCTCTCGTGCTTCCTGGGAGGAGCTCGGGAAGAGTTCGTCCACATGGTTCATCACCAGAAGCTGAGTGCTCGTGGGGAAAGCATCGGCTGCTTGGTTGGCGGGTCGCCTCGAGCCTGCGTAAGTAGGAGAAGCCTGTACTGGTAGTGGTATGGGTGGAGGTTTGGCTGGCTTGGGCAGGAATCTCGGCATGGCGGAACGCGGGATGATAGGTGCAGAGGGTGGTTTGAATTTCGGAGGACCTGGTGATATGGCCCAGGCGCCGCGGAGGGCATGGCTCTGCTTGTCTGCATGGACGAATGGCACGACAGGCTTCTTGAAGGTGTTGTCGGCTGGCCTCGGGCGGAAAGCGCCTGTATGGTGGACAGCCCCGATGGGAGGTCTAGTCCCGGCTTGTATTTGACGGGCTTGCAATTTCTGTTGTGCGGGAAGCTGAGGTCGCGATGGAGGACGGGGCGGCGCTGGCAGTGGAGCCCTGCTTAACGGCGGGACTTCTCTTGGTGGGCTCTGTCTATTCGGGCTTGATCTGGCTGCACTCTTGGAGGAGGCAAGTTCGACATCTGCTATGAGCTGATCTTCCAGCATGGCCTCGGTGGCGGGGTCGTCGGCGTCGACACTGCTTGGCCGCGACCAGGCCTCCACCTCCACCTCCTGGGCAACCCTTGCGACGGGGCGGGCTCTGGCTGGTAGTTGGGAAGGAATATGTATCATCCTGTCGAGCAGATTCCCGCCTGGCCGGTCCAGCCTCCGCCGCTTGGCTGTTCTTTCTGCCGAGTCTGCGAGGGCATCCGCCGGGTCCTCGTTCTCTTTCCCCGTGGCTCCCCTGGGGTCTTCACCCGGCTCCTCGCACTGTTCGTGCTGTACTTCAGCATCGGATTCGGCCTCGGTGGCGGACTCGGCCTCGGCCTCGTGGACTGAGGCCAGGCGGGTGTTACTCGTCGGGCGGGCGCCCAGCCTGCTGATGAACCTCGAGATTGTGTCCTGGCTGGGGTGGACCTCGACCAGGGGCAGCCCCTTCCTCCTCTTGTCGTCCCTCTCCTTGTCCTCCTTTGCCTTCTTCTTGTCCCTCGCAGTGCGTGCCCTGGCCTGTGCCTTCTCCTTCTCGAATTCCTTGCGGATGCGATCCTGTTCCATGAGATCGATGCGCCGCTGTTCAGCCTTTGAGAGTTTGGGGCCCTTGCCCTTCTGGCGGTAGAGTTTCTTCGCCTGCTTGGTCGTCATGGGTGGTCTGCTCTGAACAACAGTGGCGGCGGCGGCGGCGGCGGCGGATTGTTGATGCTGAACCTGTTGCGCCATGCCGACGCCGGGCAGGTCTGGGATCAGCTCGAAGGTCTTCTGTTTGGGCGCCATGGCGGCATGGCCGTCCTCGAGAGGAGCCTGCAGAGCCTGTAAGTCCGAAGTCTGCCTGTGGATCTCTCCCAATTGGAGCACTTGAGGAGGATGGGCAAGATGGGCAGGGCAGCGCGACGATGCGCGCATCCCCTCAACGCGTGCCTGGTTGGCGGAGCTCCCACCCCTGCTGTCACGCCAGCACGTGCAGCCTGCAGGTGCTTTGCGGTGCGGGGCGCGGGTGCCTATTGTACGGAGTACATTGCGCAGGTTCCCAAGTACCCCGTAGGCAGCAGGTACCTCGGTACCTAGGTATCTAGGTAGCTAAGTACCGTCGTACTGAAATGGACCTACCGCGTATCGCGATGGGCCCCCATGCGTCCATCATTCGTGATACTGGGGAACATTTGAACGCAAGACGCCTGCTGTCTTCACCTCGACTTTCCACCACGCAGCTTGGCAATGTTGCTTGGTATGAGGAGGCCACCTGCTCGTTTGGACTGGGTACATCTAACGTACAACTGCATGCAGCACGCCTATTTATTTCCAAGGCCTGCTTCAACGAGAGGCCATGGCCCAATCGAGGCACAAATCCACCATCCGCCAACTCGAGACATGATCCATGATCCAAGACCCGTCTTCCTTCTGCCGATCCCATCCCGTTGCCCATTCACCATTCTAATCCTGCCTCGCCGGGTCCAAGTCAACCTTGCCGACAATGTCGTCAATCTCGGCCATCACCTCGGGCGTCAGCTTGTCCAGTGCCTTCAGCGCCGCGCAGTTCTCCACCACCTGCTCTGGTCGCGACGCGCCCGTGATGACCGCCGACACGTTCTCGTTCTTCAAGCACCACGCAAGGGCCAGCTGTGCCCGCGTGATCCCTAGCTTGTCCGCAATCGGCTGGTGATGCCCGGTGGGCCGCCTGTCAGCATCTCGTCGCCAGCAGCGGGACCTCGGACGTTGACAGTCTGGAGTCTGGGTCGTCACTCACCTTCAGCTGTCTCGCCTTGGAGATGGTGTCCTGCCATTCCGCATTGGCGAACGAGTCGCGCACCGAGCTCACGAACTTGTCGTCGCCCTTGGCAAACCTCGACCCGGCCGGTGGCTTCTCCGGGCTGTCGTCGTACTTGCCGCTCAGCAGCCCGAACTTGATCGGGCTGAAGGTCGTCAGCCCGATCCCGAACCGCTTGTACAGCCGCTGGAACTCGCCCTCCACCTTCTTCCTCGAGAGCATGTTGTAGAACGGCTGCTCCACCACCGGCCCGATCAGCCCCAGCTGCTTGGCGATCCCGCACGCCTCTGCAATCTCGTCCGCCGACCACTCGCTGGTGCCCCAGTACATGGCCCACCCCTTCTGCTCGATGACGTGGTTGAACGCCCGCACCGTCTCCTCCATCGGCGTCAGCCGGTCCGGCCGGTGCGCGTATACGATGTCCACGTACTCGAGATCCAGGCGTTGGAGCGACGCCTTGAGCCCCTCGATGATGTGCTTGCGTGACAGCCCGTGGTTGTTGACGAGCACCTCCCCGTTGGCCCCTCCCCAGTTGAGCTTGGTGCTCACCACAATGTCGTTGCGCTTCCACCCAAACTTCTTGATCGCCTGGCCCATCGCCACCTCGGACTGGCCCCCGGCGTAGCTACCACCAAGTCAGCAAGGCAGCCCCAGTCTCTGACGGCGGGGGTTCGAGACCGACCTCTCAGCCGTGTCGAAGAAGTTGATGCCCAGATCATAAGCCTGTTTCATGCACGCAAAGGTGCCCTCTGGACTGAATGTGAGTGTCTACTGGCCACAGGGGTCTCTGGGGTGGTTCCAGAACAAACACACCATTCTCAAGCTGCCCGCCGAAGCTGAATGGCACACGGTCAGCACGTTCCCGGCACGGCCTCTGGGGATACCTACGTGAGCCATCCGCCTAGCCCGAGCACTGACACATGCAGCCCCGAATTGCCTGCACCTCGTCAGAACTGGGTCTCTGAACAGCCATTGGATCCTCATCCGCCATACCTAGCCTTCTGTAGGCCATGCCCGTCTTTCGAGGCTCTTCCCAGGCCATTTTGAGAGCTCCAACTGAGGTGGTTCTGGATGGCCTTGACTGTCGTTCAGGTGAAGCAGCACTGGCGAGCTGCTGGATACGTTCTCAGGGTGATTGATGCAGCGGTGAGTTTGGCCAACCTGCGTTTTGCCGTTACGAACATTTCACCTTTCCCTCGGCTGGGCGGCCTGGTAGGTCGTTTATTGACGGGCGGAGAAATTCTCGGCATTGCTGGTCCGATGCACCGGCGGCTCAATGCGGAAGCCCGAGCCGGCGCTTTTCAACATGGGATACGCCATCGTGAATCCACATTTCGAGCATCACCAACCCGCGCATATTTCTGATGCGGTTCGCCTCCGAATTCTTGCATGCCAGCCAAGGTTACTCGTCATTCATATGGCGCCTCACTTGTGATCCCTGCGCAAGTCTACCTGAGTACTACAGCACACCGTGACTCGTGCCAGCGGAGAACCCTGCGACCCATTCGTCCCACGACTCACTGGCTGGCTGTGTCATCAGCATGGCAGCCATCGCCTCCTCGGAAGCAGCCACGTCGAGCATACGCTGGCTTGCCTCCTGCCGGAAGTCGGTCCACATTGGCAGTTGCATGCACGGAGCATCATGTAGCCTTGCCACAGCGTCAACAGTCGGGTAAGCCGAGCTGGACAACCTCCTCGGGGCCTGCAGGCCTGTCTCACCACACCCGTCGCCCATGTTGTCGTCGTCAGCCTCGCATGTCCCTGTCTGTGGGTGGTTCCAAGCCAGATCGCACGGACCGGCGCTCTCCACCTCGGCTATTCTGGCACATAACAGGGTTAAAAGAGTCTTGTTGCCACCGCGCGACGAGGCAAGCAGCCTCTGCAGCTTGATGAGCATCTCCACAGGCCGCACGCCCGTGTTGCTGAGATGCCGTGCCATGTCCGCGCCCGTCGTCAGTGTGTAGATGTAATCGGTGAGCGCGCTGGCAATCTCAAATATCTTGAGCTCTATGGTCGGGCCGTGGGCCTCAAGTGCCGTCTTGGAACAGTGGCAGATGTGTGATAGGAACTCGGCCACGATGCGGTACGGCTGTGACAGCTGGCTCTGCCCCTTGGAGAACATGGCGGCCTTGGACCGCCGTAACGACGCTCGCCAGACCACCGCTTGCATCCAGCACTTCGTAACGCATATGTCGGCCCTCTGCACATCGTTGCTCTCATTATCGTCTGATGAGATCTCTTGCAGGCGGTGCTGGAGATAGTCTAGCCGGCCTTCCTGAAACCCCTCGGCGTCATCATCGGCCTGCGTGAGCAGGTCGAAGGCCCCACTCTGGTCGAACAACCAGAACAGATCGACGAGCTTCTTGAAAGCCGGTAGGATGTGCGCGTCGTCGACCTCGACGTTAACCTTGTCCACGAGCGGTGGGAAGCTGGCCTGCCATTTCAAAACAATAGGCAGCTTGTGCAGCATGGCTACACCTCTCTCCGTGACGAAAAGCAGCCACAGTATACGGCGTCTCATCTGCTGCTCATCTGCGGCTAGCAAGACATAGGATGCCTTCCTGTGAAGGCCCATAATCTGTGCGATTGTGATGGCCTCACGGAGGAACATCAGGCTCTTGGTACCCCCTGGGCTCTGGTTCTCGTGGTAAATGTGTTGGAAGAAGGCTATCCGAACCATGTTCAACCCTGCATCAGGGCCGTCATCCCCATTGGCGTCCTGAAGCAGTAACTTTGTCCTTTGGCATTCGGCAGTCATGGAGGCAGCTGTCGCGGGATCGTTATCGTCTGTCCTCCCTTCGAAAGGCAGCTTGAGTTGCACTATGACAGCTGCGCACACAGCATTTGCCAGTGTGTAAGTTCCAAGATCTGAGGAATCCCTGAGCAGTGAGGCTATGACGGCTTCAGCATCAAGTATGGGCCACACTGGGAAGAGACGAAGACGGTAGATGCATAGCCGGATGATCAAGGACGACACAGGAGTTCTTAGGACGCCGCTGGACTCGCCACCTGGACCACTAACGAGAGGCGGGTCTCGGTTGGGCAAGGTGTGACCCACGGATGAGAACCCTCTTGTTGGCACATCATCCGCCAGGCGGCCACCATCGCTGCCCTGCCCACATGGACTCTGGCCCTCCGCAAGGCTCTGGGAGTCCCGTATTTGCTGGAGGGTCTTTGCCCTCAGGCTCCGAGGCCCCCTGGTTGCTTGGCGTTTGTTGAACGTACACGCGATCCCGATGGATGAGCATCGCGCGCAGGGTGGCTCTTCGGTACATCTCACTTTGCGGATCTTGCAGCCATCGCAGGCACGACTGCCAATCTTGCGTCGCGGCACGGCAGACATGCCGTATTGCTTGTGCTGCCAGCTTCTAGACCCACTTTCTCGGCTCTCTGGAAGATGTCGACCGTACAACCAGAGTGTAGCACGCGGGCAATTTGCCATGCAGGAACCCGGGGATCAGCAGCGTCATGCCCCGCGGGCCGGCCCTTATGCCTCGTCTGACCTGCCCGTACCAGTCAGTCGGGTTCTCTTGGGATGTCGTGATCCGTTGCCGTGATGAGATGCCTGGCAATGGTAGGCTCGCTGGGAGGTTGAACAGGGACAAGAAAGTAGACAGCTGGATGGCTGGACGGGGTTGGCCCCGAGGCCGTTCGAGAACGACCCGCTGGGACCCGGTTACCCCAGATTCCACGGCGGGTCCCTGTCTTTGCGCCATTCCGTCCCACAATGGAGTCATGCATTAGTGCCAGAAAGTTGTGGGTCGTCCATCAACCAACCCTGCGAGTTCCGAACTTGTACGGAGTATTACGCCAATGAAACTGCAGTCCTCGGCGATTATGCTATCAGAAGAAATCTGGACGCAATACACATGTACATCGCAAACGAGGCGCTTGAGACATGGCCCTCGTGTGGCTATCATGACATTAATGCATAGTCACAGATGGCGCTTTATTTCGGCCAGAGCTCTCTCTGACCGCACGGTAACAACAAGGCCCTGACTCGCCCCCAACGTGCTCCTAGTACACGAAACGGAAGTCCAGCCTCTTGTTTCCTTCTTTTTCCCTTGCCTGGGTATCGCTCTGGTACGCCGCCTTCTCCTCCGCACTCATAATCTGCCATTGCCTTTCCTTCTTCCTGTTCAAGAATATCAAGACCTGCCGCTGCACCAGGATCACACAAAGCGCGAGCACACAGATCGCCAGCAGGACTGCATTGCCGTGTTTGTAGTACGGTGAGTCCCACGACCTGTATATCTGTGATCCGATCAGACTTCCAATCTGGACGATCACGTTGTAGGTTGCCGCAGCAATGGCACGCTTCTTTACGTCGAAGGTGTTCTCGGAAAGCCAACTGGAGATGATGGGATGGAAGTATGGGTACCCCGAGATCAAGGTGACCAGCGAGAAACGGCCCCAGTCGCGGCCTCCGTTCGGCAACGTCAGCATAGCGATGAGCAAGGGCATGATCCAGAACTCGCCGAAGAAGGCATGGAACGCCCGCTCGTTGAAGTAATCGCTGCTGAATGCCAGCGCTAGCATTGTGACGATCTGGAGCACCGCCGAGGGAATCGTCAACATGTTCGAGTTGAAGGTGGAGAACCCAAGCCTCTTGAGCGTCAAGGTCAGGTAAGACTGCACCGGAGTGGCGGGGATATAAGCGACCAAGCCAACGAAGTACAGCCCCCACATGGAGCTGTCCGCCCAGGCCGCTCGCACATCTTTCCAGGCGAGGGGCTCCTTGATCGCCGTGAGGCCTTTTGCAGGGTCGTCACGCAAAATACGCTGTTTCCACATCGTGTTAGCCTGACTAGCTGGGCAGGGTGGGGCAGCAGCTTTCCAAGGTTGTTGGGCGGTACGACTTACGTTGACCATGATCACCTCCTCGCGTTCTGTGTACCAGGGCTTGCGCCAAAGAACTCCTTTGGTCGAGACGGGGGACGTTGGAAGGTACAAGAAGGCCACGACAGCAATGACGCAGGTCAACAGCCCCTCGAGCAGGAACAGCCAGAACCACCCCGGCTTGCCTCCTATACCTCGCATTTCAAGAATGCCTGCTGCTAGCAACGCAGATATGACCCGTGCGATGTTCAGGGTGGACCAGAAGGCGGCTAGCCGCAGAGACAGCTCCTTGGACTTGTAGAAGTACGTGGCGAAGAGGATCGTTCCCGCTAGTCGACAAACGAGGGAGTCAGCAAATTCTGTCAGGTCGAACAACAGGCCCGGGGCTTCACTTACGTATGAAACCGCCTTCGCACAGGCCGATGAAGGCGCGGGTGATGTAGAAGGACGTGCGGCCTGTCATCCAAGCTTGAGCCCATGATACCGTGCCCCAGAGAAACATCATTGTGGGCAAGATGTACTTGAAGCCGAACCGCTTGATGAGGATCTGGGCGGGAAACTCGGCGGCCAGGAAGCACAGGAGCTGAATGGTAGTGCCGTTGTTGTAGTCGTCCGTCGACAGGTGGAGGTCCTTCAGCAGATTATCTGCCAGGGCGTTGGACAGGTTGCCACGATCCAGCTGGAGGCCGAAGAACATGACGCACAAGATGGAGAGCAGGTACAAATCCGTCTTGCGGACAACGCGGCGCTCTTCCACGTCGGTCCACTTTGCCGTTGGGTCGAAGCGGTGCCTGCCCTCGTAACTGTCGTGCGGCGGCGTCACATCGGCCAGCGCATCGCGGCCGACGTTGGCTGTCGAGACCGAGCCAGCACCGCTTATTGTCCTGGTCGGGAAGGACTCGATATCCTTCGTGTCCATCCTGAAAAAGCAGACGTACGCGACGAAGCCTAAGTCTGTCTCTGGAGCAAGTCGGGCTGAGAGGAGTGAAGTCCTCGATGGGCCCAAGGGGCGGCGTCTTCTCGAGGGTGGTGGGGTGTTCCTGGAGCGAGGATATCGAGACGCGGCCCACAACCTACCCAACGGCTCGAGTCGATACTTATACGTGATTATGGGATCTCGCCGGGCCACCAATTAGCTGCGGGCTCTCGCTCCCGGAGATGCCAGCGCAGGCGACATGGGCAAGGCATATCACGTCGCCTGTCAGTGTCTAATCTGACCCACCCGGGCACGATGGACATGTACCTAGCTTGCTTGGTCCAGGCCATGGAGAAAGCCGGGGCATCTGGACTTCTTTCTCCTCACAGGCAGCACGGAGACGGGCGTACTGCGGCTTGTTTGATGGCAAGAGACTGTGCTTGGTAAAGGAGCCAATCGCCTCTAGGCTCTTTTGGTCAAGGGCCATGCCCGACTCGGCGGACCGACAAGGGTGTCCCGGAACTTTAAACGAGTGCAACGTCGGGGCACTTGGCTCTTCTTGTGGGGGAACCGCCGCATTCACTCACCCCGGGGTCAGATTGCGCGATCGTCTTCACCCTGAGCAACTCCGACATTTTCTCCGCCCCTCGCCACGGGGCTGGTGACCGGATGTCGCGCTTGTGGCCCCAAGAGCGCCGACAATGTCGAGTCATCTTGTTGGTAGCGATTGGCCGCATCCCCGCCTTCTCTGACACTCGTACGCTATGCTGTATGGGTCCAGCATCCAGTGTATCCCTAGTGACCTCAGTACACCGGCACCGGCCTTGTCCTGGAAGGCCAAGCGGGTATTTGCCCCTAGCAGCCAGCCGACTATCCCGATGGGCAATCCTGGCTCGGCATACCTCAGACCACCAAAGGTGACCATTAGTGAATAATAAGTAGCCAGCCAACGCCTGCTTAAGGTCCAGCGGCTGCTGGCGCCTCTCAGCAGTTACCCCCAGCATCAATACCAATTCCCTGTATTTTTCGTCACAAGGCCTTTTGACATAAAACCAACACCATGCCCTCTGTGGATCTGCCCTCGAGTGAGGAACAGCTTGGCGGCCAGTTCTTTGGTGGCAACGCGCAGGCTCGTCCTCGACTACTAAAACCACTCAGATACACCGGCACCTTGGACAAGTTCACGCACCAAGATGTGACGCCCGTTATTGGCCGGGAGTACGAAGGCCTCCAAGTGAGAGACTTGCTCAGATGGGGTGATGATATGATAAGGGACCTTGCCGTCACGGGTGAGCCTCACAGAACGCCGTAGGGTTCCCCAGAGTCTCGCGAGCTTGGCTGACCAGGCGCTTCTCGTCCCCTCAGTCTCTGAGCGAGGAGTCGTCTTCCTCCGCGACCAAGACGTGACGCCAACGGAGATGAAGGACCTGATGTTGAGGATCACAGAGCTGGCTGGCTGTGTAAGAGCTGCCCTTCCCCGCCCACTTCTGCAGTCCCGGCCTCCAGCCGAGCGTCCAGGGCTACAGAAACCAGCTCGTCAGCTATTGACCCTATCACAAATACGCACTGACACCCACAACAGCCTGAATCATCCGGCCTTCATGTGCATCCCCTGACGGAAGAGGGCAGCGAGCTTGGGGACCAGATCTCAGTCATCAGCAGTGAGAAGCAAAAAAAGGGGGGCGGCCTGACCCATCAACTCTCCGACGTGAGCAGGTTTGCATCTGCGGGTTGGCACAGCGACATTACTTTTGAGCCGGTGCCCTCCGACTACGCGATGCTCAAGATCCACACACTGCCACCCACAGGAGGCGACACCCTTTGGGCCTCGGGCTATGAAGCTTATGACAGGCTGTCGCCGCCCATGCGGAAAATGCTCGAGGGCTTAACGGCCACGCACGATGCCAAATTCTTCCTTCAAGAGGCCGAACGATTAGGCAACCCGTTGAGAAAGGGCATCAGGGGAAACCCTCTGAACCAGGGTGATGGCTTGACAGCGGTGCACCCTGTCATCCGCACAAACCGTAAGTCACCTAGCCGGTTTCTTCGCGCACCCTCCGTGATCGTCTGAAATGAGGTTGGTTGGACGTGTTGCATGCTGATCAACTGTCCCATTCTAGCTGTGACGGGCTGGAAGTCCGTTTATGTGAACCGTGGCTTCACCAAACGCATTAACGGCGTTACCAAAGATGAGTCCGACGTGATCCTTGCATATCTCTTCAACTTGGTCACGCAAAATCATGATGCCCAGGTGCGCTTTAAGTGGCGCCAGAACGATCTGGCTATCTGGGACAACAGGAGCATGTGGCACTGTGCTACCTACGACTATGTCGAGGCGCGGGCGGGCGACAGGGTATGTTCTCTGGGAGAGGCTCCATATCTCGACCTGGAGTCCAAGGGCAGGCGAGAGGATCTCGGACTGCTGTAAGGAAATGCGTTGTGGGTCTCAACAATATGGACATGAGACACGGGCTCGCAGACTTGTGCCATGGTCGTCTCTGGTTGCCATCATCTGTATGAGCAAATGCAAGTCATTGTCGATGCCGCTGCTCACGCAACATTCACGACCGGTCTGCCACTAAGTTCTGTACACCTAAGTAGGCTGTGTCCGGTGCGTTTATGAGAGCACTTGGGGGCCTTGGCATGTAGCGGCTCCAAACTATTGTCAGACCGAACGAATTTCGAGCAGCCCAAACCACGGGGTTTAGTGACTCGTGGCCTATGAGACCATCGAGGCGAATCAAAAGCGCCAGCTAATCAGTGTTGCGATAAACTACCATAAACGCAGGAACCGCGCTATTTATATATAAGTTCAAGTTCACGCAACAGAAAAAGCAAAAAAGACCCTTGCGCCACAAATTAGGACTTGGGCAAGTAAATCCAATTTTGAACAAGAAGCTAATGTGGACTTACAACTATGACACGACCAGCATCAACGGAATCTGAAATGATGGTTGTATCCACCGGCCTTTGTACCCAGGGAATAGATCCATTGGGGACGGACCTCGGGCAAAGTGGCGACTGTCCGTCTGATGTCCATGTTTGCGAAGGTCGCCCATCCCTTTGGCCAGACCACGTTGGAAGCAAGGCTCACTCTCCAGTACAGGACTGGAAACCAACGCACAGAACGGAGAAGACGGGGATAGCAGCAGCTGTTGGGGGAACCCATGCCCAACATGGGGCCTACATACACGTGAAAAATGAGGAAGAGCCGCAGATCGAGCGGCTATCATCTTTGGAGACGGCGACATATCCTCTGTCACGCGGATTCGCCGACTCACAATCCACTTCCGACCGCCACAGTCGCAGTCGCAGTCTGGATCGACCGAATTTAAGAATATGTCAATCTTGGCCTGGTACACAGGCTCCTGAGATCCGATCTGCTACTGTCGACAGACTGTGTGAGGATTTTCACGAAATGAAAGTCACAGAATGGCAGCAAACGGTGGCAGATTTCAGCATGGAGTGGAAGCAATATTGTTTTGTACGCCGCCGGTGCGGTTTCTTGCAAGACAGTCTTGTCAAAGATGCCACCAAGCATATCTGGCAGCCACTCAGCGACTTCAACTATGTCCTGAGTGTTTACTCATTTCTGGGAGGTGGGAGTCACCGCAACCTCGTACCGCATTTACGACCCGTCTACATGGCCTGGAGGTCACCAGAGCAAGCCAGGCTTCACGAGAGGGATGATCTCGGGGGCGAGGACGACTTGCCGTCCGAAGATGCCATCTCGAACGATCACGAATCACGAGACAATGGCTCAGGAGCCGCGGCAAACAAGTATCCCCTCACGAGAAGGCAACATCTGCGGGTGGCCAGGATCTGCGGCGACGCGGATAGGACGCTCGAGCATCTGCGACACTGTCTGGCTGTGTTCCGGGCTTGTCGTGAAGGCTCCACAACGACGAACACACCAGCTGGCCGTAATGTTGCAGTCGCGGCGGAGCATCAACAGGCACTCATCAATTCTGCGAGACAGTTCCAGAGCCATTCGAAAACCCTCATCAGTCTCCTCAGAGACTCCCGGATCAGTCTGTGTGAGGCACTCGGCTTGGACCCGGACAAGGTCCCCGCTGGCAATACCGCCTCGGCTCCCACAATGGCCGTCATAAATTTCAAACAGACCGCAGACGCTCTCGCTCCCTCCCGGGATGGGACGGCGCTCCCTCGGAGCTTTCGTCTGGAAAGGGCCTCTCTCCAAACCAGCCGTGTCGCAATCAAGGTGCTCCTGTTCTCAAACCTGCTCCATGGCCGCCTGGCGAAGTGGATATTAGGGTGGATGATGGCCCGGTCGACTGAGATGGCCACTAAAGCCAGGGGGGCTGGTGACCTCAAAGAAGAGGCTAAGATGCGGCGCTTGTACAACAAGCTCAGGAAACTTCACAAGAGGGCGAGCCAGGAATTCCCCGAGGTCAAGCCCAAGATGACACTGTTGGATTCTATGACATGGGAGGCAGTCCTCAACCCGCGGGAGGACATGCAGCTGGAAATCCACGGCAACATATCATTGCCAGTCGAGACTTTGATTAATATGTTGCAGGCTCCGTGTAACCGAGCGAGAATTTCACAACCAACGCCCGGTAAAACCGATGATCCCCCATCAGTACCTTCTATCACAATGGCTTCAGAAGATTCATCTAGAGCCAAGCAAGCGGACAATAACCGAACTATAAACAACTTAAGCCCACTAAAAACTAGTTAAAAAATTAAAATATATAATATTTAAGTATACTATATATTTTTTTATTTTAAACTTTAAAATACTTATTATTAATATATTAATATAATTTAATAAATTTAATTATAATATAAATTATAAAATAAAATCTATATTTATATTTATAAAGTATTTTTAATTATAAACTTTAAAACTTAATAATAAAATTAATTAAATTAAAATTAAATAATATTTTTATAAAAATTAAATTAATAATTTTAATTATATAGTTTTATATTTTAAAATTAAAAATATAATTTTATTAAATATAATTATTTTATTTTTAAAATAAAATTTAAATATTAAAATTAAATATTTTTATATATAAAAATATTTTTATTTTTATTTTATATAAATTTAAAATAATTTTAATTATATTATATTTTTATATTATATAATTATATTTTTATTTAATTATTTTATTAATAATTTAAAATTTATATATAAAATTTTAAAATTTTAATTATATTATATTATTTTTATTTTATATAAATATTTATTTTTTTAATTTAAAATTTATATATAAAGTTTTTAATAATTTTATATATATTTTTATAATTTTTATAAAAATTTTAAAATTTTATTTTATTTTATTATATTTTTTTATATTATTAAAATTAATAATTTTAATAATAAAAATATAAATTTAAAAAAATTATTATATTTTTTATTTTATAAATTATTTTAAAACTTTTAAAAATTTTAATATTTTATTATAAAATTTTAAAATAATATATTATATTTTTTTAAAATAATTAAATTATAAATTATTTTTATTTATAATATTTATTAATATTATTATTAAAATAATATTTTTAATTTTATTTATATATTATAAAATTAAAATTATAAATATTTATTATTTTATAATTATTATTAATATTATTTATTTTAAATATTAAAATTTAAATATTTATTATTATATAAAATATTATATATATTTTAAATATAAATAAAAATAAAATAAAATTATATAAAAATTAATAATTTTATATATATTTTTATAATTTATTTATAAAAATTTAATTTTATATTATAAAATTAATTATTATTAATAATAAAAATATAAATTAAAAAAATTATTATATTTTATTATATTTTTATAAATTATTTTTATTTATAATTATTATTATTAAAAAATATTTTTAATTTTATTTATATATTATAAAATTAAAATTATAAATATTTATTATATTATAATTATTATTATTAATATTATTTTTAAATATTAAAATTTAAAATAATTTTATATAAACTTTTATTTATAATAATATAATATTAAATATATAATATAAAATTAAATATTTATATTTATTAAAATAAAAATATATTTATATTAAAAAATTTAAAATTTAAAATTTAAAATTTAATATTAAAATTATATAATAATTAATTTATAAATTTAATTAAATTTTAATTATATTATATTTACTTTTTATATTATATAACTTTTTTATATATAAAATTAAAATTATAATTATAATTTTATTATTAATTTTTATTTAATTAATTTTTATTATAATTTAATTTAATTTTAATTTAATTTAAATTTTTAAATTTTATAAATATTTTAATAAATATAAATATTAAATAAAAACTTTTAAATTTAAAATTTAAATTTTATAAATTTTAATATATTTTAAAATAAATTTATAATCTTTTAATTTTAAAATATATTAATTATTTTAAATATTAATTATTTTTATATAATTATAAATTTAATTTTTAGTAATTATTTTTAATTTTATAAATTATTAAAATTATAAATTTAAATAATAAAATATAATTATTTTATTTAATTATATTTTAATTTAATAAAATATATAATAAATTATATAATAAATTAAATAATTATTTTAAAATAATTTTATTAATAATATAATAAAATAAATAATTATTTAATTAAATTAAAAATAATTATTAATAATTAAATTTATAATTATAAAATTAATAATATTAATTTATTTTAATATTTAATAATTTTTAAAAATAAAATATTAAAATTAAATATTTATATTTATTAAAAATAAAAATATTTTTAAAAATTAATTTAATTTTATAATTATAAAATTAATAATATTATTTTAAAATATTTTTATATTAATATATTAAATTATATTTAATAAATTTAAATTAATATTATAAATTTTATATTTTAAAAATTAATTTAATTAAATTTATTATATAAAACTTTTATAATAATTTTATTTTATTTATTTTAAATATTAATTATTTTTATATAATTATAAATTTAATAATAAAATTAAAAAATATAAATAATTTATATATATATATATATTAAAAAATTTAATTAAATATATTTATTATAATTTATTTATTTATTTTAAATATAAAATTTTAATTAATTTTATTTAATTATTTTATTATATTATAATTTTATTTAATTTTAGTTTTATTTAAATTTCTTTTAAACTTTTAAAAATATATTAATTATTTTAAATATTAATAACTTTTAAAATAAAAGTTTATTTTATATAATTATAAATTTAATTATTAATAATTCTTTTTTATAAATTTATTAAAATTATAAATTTAAATATTATATATAATAATAAAATATAATTATTTTATTTAAAAATATATTTTAATTTAATAATATAATAAATTAAATAATTATTTTAAAATAATTTTATTTTAATAAATATTTATTTAAAATTAAAACTTTAATTAAAAATAATAATTTTATTTTATTTATTTTAATTAATTTATATTTAAATTATATAATAATTTTATATATAATATATAATAATATTAAAATTAAATAATTTATAATTTATAATAATTTTATTTTAATAAATTTAATTAAATTAATTTTAAAATATATTATATTTTATTTTTAAAATTTAATTATTATTTTTAATTTAATAATAAAATTAAAAAATATAAATAATTTATAATTTATTTATATAATAATTATTTTAAAAATTAATTTTATTATATAAATTATTTATATTTTTTAATTTTATTATTAAATTAAAAATAAATAATTAAAATATTTAAAAATAAAATAAAAATATTTTTAAAAATTAATTTAATAAAATATATTATATTTAATTTATTTTTATTATTAAAAACTTTTTTATATTAATATATTAAATTATATTTAATTTATTTAAATTAATATTATTAATTTATTAAAAATAAAATTATTATAAATTATAAATTAATTTTAATATTATTAAATATTATATATAAAGTTATTATATAATTTAAATAAATATAAATTAATTAAAATAAAATAAAATAAAGTTATTATATTTTAATTAAAACTTTAATTTTATTTAAATAAATATTTATTTAATAAATTTAAAAATAAATAAAATTATTTAAAAATAATTATTTAATTAAATTAAAAATAATTAAATAAAATAATTATATTTTATTATTATATAATATTTAAATTTATAATTTTAATAATTTTAAAAATAAATAATTATATAAAATAAATTTTTATTTTTAAAAATTATTATTATTTAAAATAATTAATATATTTTTAAAAAATTTAAAATAATTAGAAATTTAATTTAAAATAAATTAAAATAATTATAAATTTAATTTAAAATAAATTAAAATTTATAAAAATTTTAAAATTTTAAAATTTTAATTTTTAATTTAATTTTAATTTATTTAAAAATAATATTAAATATATTTTAAATAAAATTTAAATAAAATTAAGTAAAATTATAATATAATAAAATAATTAAATAAAAATTAATTAAAATTTTAATTATAAGCTTTTAATTTTATATTTAAAAATTAATTTTATTATATAACTTTTTATAATATTAATATTATTATTAAAATAATATTTTTAATTTTATTTATATATTATAAAATTAAATTATAAATATTTATTATATTATAATTATTATTATTAATATTATAAATTTTATATTTTTAATTTTATTATTAAATTAAAAATAAATAATTAAAATTTTAAAAAATTATAAAATATTTTTAAAAATTAATTTAATTTAATTTATTATATAAAATCTTTTATAATAACTTTATAATTTATATTTATAATATTATTTATTTTAAAAATATTTTTATATTAATATATTAAATTATATTTAATAAATTTAAATTAATATTATTAATTTATTAAAAATTAAAATTATTATAAATTATAAATTATTTAATTTAATATTAATAAATATTATATATAAATATTAAATTTATTATATAAATTATTTATATTTTTAATTTTATTATTAAATTAAAAATAAATAATTAAAATTTTAAAAATAATTTAATTAAATTAATTATATAAAACTTTTATAATAATTTTATAATTATTTATAATATTATTTATTATTAAAATATATTTTTTTATATTAATATATTAAATTATATTTAATTAATTTAAATTAATATTATAAATTTATTAAAAATTAAAATTATTATAAATTATAAATTATTTAATTTTAATATTATTAAATATTATATATAATATTATTATATAATTTAAATATAAATTAATTAAAATAAAATAAAAATAAAAATTATTATTATTTTAAAATTTTAATTTTATTTTATAAATAAATATTTATTTATTAATTTTATTATATTATAAATAAAATTATTTAAAATAATTATTTAATTAAATTAAAAAATAATTTTTAAATAAAATAATTATATTTTATTATTATATATAATATTTAAATTTATAATTTTTATAATTTATAAATTAAAAAATAATTATTAATAATTAAATTTATAATTATATAAAATAATTTTTATTTTTTAAAAAATTATTAATATTTAAAATAATTAATATATTTTTAAAAATTAAAATTATAAATTTAATTTAAAGAAATTAAAATTTATAAAAATTTTAAATTTAAAATTTAAAACTTTTTTAAATTTAATTTTTAAAAATAAAATATTAAAAAATTAAAAAAATTTAAATAAAATTATATAAATTATAAATTATTTATATTTTTAATTTTATTATTAAATTAAAAATAAATAATTAAAACTTTAAAAATAAAATATAATATATTTTTAAAAATTAATTTAATTAAATTTATTATATAAACTTTTATAATAATTTTATAATTATTTATAATATTATTTATTATTAAAAATATTTTTATATTAATATATTAAATTATATTAATTTTAATTAATATTATTAACTTTAATATAAATTAATTATTATTAAATTAAAATTATTATAAATTATAAATTAATTTTAATATTATTAAATATTATATATAAAATTATTATATAATTTAAACTTTTAAATTAATTAAAATAAATAAAAATAAAAATTATTATTTTTAATTAAATTTTAATTTTATTTAAATAAATATTTATTTATTAATTTTATAAATAAAATTATTTAAAATAATTATTTAATTTATTATATTATTAAATTAAAATAATTAAATAAAATAATTATATTTTATTATTATTTTAAATTTATAATTTTAATAATTTTATTATAAATAAAAGAATTTATTAATAATTAAATTTATAATTATATAAAATAATTTTTATTTTTAAAAAAGTTATTATTATTTAAAATAATTAATATATTTTTAAAAATTAAAATTATAAATTTAATTTAAAATATATTAAAATTTATAAAAGTTTTAATTTTAAATTTAAAGGTTTTAAATTAAAATTTATATTTATAAAAATAAAACTTTTATAAAATTTAAAAAAGTTTAAATAAAATTAAAAATTAAATTAAATTATAATATAATAAAATAATTAAATAAAATTAATTAAAAATTATAATTATAAATTTTTAATTTTATATTTAAAAGTTAAATAAAATTATAATAATATAATATAATTAAATAAAAATTAATTATAAAATTATAATTATAAATTTTTAATTTTATATTTAAAAATTAAATTTATTATATAATTTAAAATAAAATTAATTAAAATAAATAAATAAAAATTATTATTATTTTAATTAAATTTTAATTTTATTTAAATAAAATAATTATTTATTAATTTTATAAATAAATTTATTAAAATAATTATTTAATTTAATTAATAATAAAATTTATTAAAATAATTTTTAATTTTATTTAAAATTAAAAAGAAATTAAAAATTTTAAAATTAAAAGTAAAAATTTAAAGTTAAATTTTTAAAGTTAAATTAATATTTTTAATATAAAAAATATTATATTATTTAATTTTATTATTAAAAATATATTAAAAGATATTAATTAATTATAATAAAAATATATTAAAATAATTAAATAAAATTAATTTAATTTTATAATTATAAAATTAATAATATTAATTTATTTTAATATTTAATAATAATTTTTAATATAAATATATATAATTATTATTTTAATTAATTATAAAAATATATTAAAAATTATAATTAATAATAATAAAGTTAAATTTTATAAAATTTATAATATTAAAAGTATTTATTTTAAAATATAATAATTAATAAATTAAAATTAAATATTAAAAATAATAATATAAAATAATATTTATTTAATATTTAATTTTATTAATTAAAAATAATATTAAATATAATTTAATATTTAAAATAATATATAATTTATTTAAAGATTTTAAATAATTTTCTATTAATATTTTTATTTTAAAGCTTTATTATAAAATTAATAATATTATTTTTAAAAGAATATTTATTAATAAATATTTTCATTTAATAATAAAAATATTAATTAAAAATAATATTAAAATAAAGTTAAAATAAATATTATAAAATTTTAAAGATAATATTAATAATTTAAAATTTATTATATTAAATAAATAGTTTATATTTATTATAATTTATAAATATATATTTAAATATTATAATAAGTTTATTAATTAATATATAATTTTAATATATAACTAATATACTCTTTTATTTAAAAACTTAAATATAAATAATATTTTAATATAATAAATAATATATTTTTAAAGATATCTAGCCTATTATAAAGTAAATAAACTTTATATTTTATTTATTATATATTATATTAATAAATAATTTATAAAAAATTATAATATTATTAATTAAAATTTAATATATTATATATATTATATAATAAATTAAATAATTATTTTAAAAATAATTTTAATTATATTATATTTTTATATTATATAATTATATTTTTATTTAATTTATTTTTATTATTAAAAATATATTATATTATATTTTTAAAATTTTAATTTTATTTAAATAAAATAATTATTTAATTAAATTAAAATAATTATAAATTTAATTTTTAGTAATTATTTTTAATTTTATAAATTATTAAAATTATAAATTTAATTTAAAATATATTAAAATAATTAATATATTTTTAAAAATTAATTTAATTAAATTTTAATTATATTATATTTTTTTAAAATAATTAAATAAAAATTAATTATAAAATTATAATTATAAATTTAATTAAATTTATTATATAATTTAAACTTTTAAATTAATTAAAATAAAATAAAATTATTTATAATTATAAACTAATAAATAATCTTTTAAAATTAAATAATATTATAATATTAGTTAAATATAAGCTATATATATACTTAAAATAATAAAGTAAGATAGCTTTATTATTATCTTTTATATAAAGTTTAATTTTATAATATCCTTTATATTTTTAATTAAAGTTATTTATTTTAAACTTAATAATAAAATATTATTAAAATTAATAAGTATTAATATAATAAAGATAGAACTATTTAATAATAGCTACTTCTATTTTATTATAACCCTTATTATTTAATTCTATATTCTTATCTTATTTATAATTAATATAATTATATATTATATCTTTAAGTATTATTTTAATAAGATTTTATAACCTATAATTATATATAAGTATTAAAAGGTATAAATAAGTTTTTTATAACTATATTATAAGTTTATATTATTTATAAATTTATAAATATATATTTAAGTAGTTACTACTTTTATTATTATTTTAAAGGTATAATTTTAAATAGAGTAGTAAGCCTTTTATATATCTTCTTATTAAAATCTATAATAGTACTAATAGTTAGCTAATATGTGTTAGGAGTGCTAGAGGGAGGGAGAGAGGGCTTTTTATCCCGGTAATAAGAAGTCTGTCTAGATATAGGTGGGGGAGGAGGACTATAGTTATAACTACTATTATTATTAGGTATTCTATAATAGCTAGCTTTTGGACGGATAGGTGATATATCCTCTACTAACTCTTTGACCTTTATATCTTTATTTTCTTCACCCTCTACACTAAGGTCCATTTCCTTATCTACCTTCATATACTCTTCAGTATTTATATTAGAGGAATTAGGTTTGTAATTACTATCGTGGATAACTGGTGGCTCCTTAGGGACTGGTGGTTGCGGTTCACCTTGCGAATTGTCTTTTAAATATAGAGATGGATATAAATCTCTATTAAATGTAGGTAATATTAGCTTTAATAATGTACCTTGAGAGCTTACTAGTGGTAGAGTATTGGAATTAGCTTTATACTTTAAGATAGGGGTGCGCCTAAGTAGGAATAAACGCTTATTAGTACTACCCTAAACTCTATAGTTTTTATAATTTAGTCTTATAGTAGTATCCTAATGGTAATTTTATAACTAACTTCTAGGAATGCTTATTTTAGTATTAAGGTTTTAAAGGCTAATATTTAGCTCTAATAAAAAGCGCTCACCCTCTTTTTAAACTATATTAATAGAAGTAAGGGGCTTAATATATAGCTATAAGTAAAATTAAAAATATTATATATATTTTAAATATATATAAAATAAAAATAAAATTATATAAATTTAATTATATATAATTTTTATAAATAATTTTATTTTATAAAAAATTATTTATTATAAAAAATTATTTTATAAAAAGTTATTTTATAAAAAGCTATTTTATAAAAAGTTATTTTATAAGAAGTTATTTTATAAATAATTATTTTATAAAAGGTTATTTTATAAAAGATTGTTTTATAAGAGGTTATTTTATAAGAGGTTATCTTATAAAAGGTTATTCTATAAGAGGTTGTCCTATAAGAGGTTGTCCTATAAGAGGTTGTCCTATAAGAGGTTGTTTTATGAGAGGTTGTTCTATAAGAGGTTGTCCTATGAGAGGTTATTCTATGAGAGGTTGTTCTATGAGAGGTTATTCTATAAGAGGTTGTCTTATAAGAGGTTGTTCTATAAGAGGTTGTCCTATGAGAGGTTGTTCTATGAGAGGTTGTTCTATAAGAGGTTGTCTTATAAGAGGTTGTCCTATGAGAGGTTGTCCTATGAGAGGTTGTTCTATGAGAGGTTACCCGTGGGTTCGCTCTCGCTCCGAGGAACCCACTGCTGGCGCAGGGGGCAACCGAAGGTCTGACCCCCGGGTATCCTATGAGGCTTGGGTATACCCCCCGTTTTGGTGGGTGCGAATATCCGATCTCTAATTTAAAGTCATCAAAGCTCCACCATGGAGATAACAGGACACTAGGAGCAAGTGGGAGATCCTGAAGAACCTAAAAATCAACCAAATTCACTATCAACTTAAAAATGTCCCTTCTCTATTACTGAGCATACAGCCTTGGTTGGCCCGTTGCTATTTGTCACCCAAGCTCAATGAGCAACCCGGATCGCCAGCAGATCACATACAAGGCTGCTGCATGCTGATAGTCATGTGCGTGCACCTGGTAAATAGACTTGCAGTGATTAGGCCATGTTAAGTATGAAGATGACTAAGTACAGAGTTGCCCAGATTGTGCTCACACCTCTAGGGAAAGAACATCCCCCCTCAACATAAATAGGTTCTTCAGAGCAATAAGAATGGCGAAGGCGACAACAAAGACAACAGTGTATATGGCACCTGTAACAATCTCCTGCTGGCGCTTCTCCTTTCTCTCCACAACAGAGAAGCGTTCGTTGCCAAACTGGACGCGGGCGTAGACGGTGGTCCAGTCCAGGGCTGGCAGGTAACGGCACAGGACCGCGTCGAAGATCTTTCGTGCACGCGCCGCCGGTGATCGCACGCCATGTCGCAATTCCTCGTAGTGGTTATGAGACATATCGACCATGGCCTGGACATCGGGTCGGCGATATTCAGCTTTGAATTCCAAGTGGTTAGCATTGGCTCTTCCATGGTTGACACGACTGGATTGGAAGATCGAAAGCCCTTGGATATCAACGGGTTGTGGGGTCTGAAGTGGCGAAGGGGCTGAATATTTAATGAGGGGGCCATGAGTGGAAGGCAAAAGCAACTTCGACATACTATAAGCAGCCACAGTGCCAGGTGGGCTGAATGGACCAGGCGAGCCATCGGCGGCGCCTTTGGAAACGCCCCCATAATACCGCTGCATCTTGGCCGCGGCGGGGTCGCGGAACTGCTCAAAGAAGACACGCACGTCCTCCAGCCCTGTAATCATACCCATGGCATGGAAAGGCGTCATTGCGTGGGAGCTGTCGCCCAGCAGCAGCACCTTGTCTCCATAGCCAAACTTGTTGATCTTGACGGACTTCAGGGGTATTTTCTGGTGTGCCACGAACTGGCGCTTCACCTCCTCGGCAGACAATAGCTGAGGGACAATCCCGGGGAATTCGTTGGAGAACCAGGCCGGGAACTCGTCCGGGTGGGCTTCCATATATCGACAGGTATCAGTCGCGCATACCATGCCGGCTCGGAATGAACAATTCTACAGGCGGTAATGCCCAGTCAGCCTCAACTTGAACTCTTTTCACTTTTGAGGGGGGGGGGTGGCGCCATGAAACGAGCGGGACACCAAGGAGACGTACAAAGTCGGGCTGGGCCATGACAATGTTCCGGTCCGCAGGCCAGACATGGAGACACTTTGAGTTCAAGGGATAGTTTCCATCTTTGGTGGGCGGGAATATCAGGTCACACCAGAGGGCATCTTCGTAAGACTGTGAAAAGTCGATGGTTGTACGCCGCATTATGCTCTGCCGGACGGACGAGAATGTGCCGTCTGCCCCGATGAGGAAGTCGAACTTGACATCCTTGAATCGGGATGATTCTGAAGATGATGCCGGCTGACCGGTGCGGCCTTTTTGACGCGAAGCAACATCGTCCGCCAGTTCTTGCTCTGCCAGCCGGGACTTCTCCTTCCACAGTACGTGTTCGAAGGATACGGTTTGGTTGTCGACGTCGCATCGTGCCACTGCAGCGAGTTAGATATTTGATCATGCTGAAACGGAACGACGTGAAAGGAAGGTCAAGGAGGGTAGTGGCGGGAACCTACACTTGTAATTAAAGAACAGCTTGGCTGTGGGCTCTTTGCTCAGCGCCAGGAGGCAAAGCTTGGATATTTTCTCACGCTGAAGGGTGTGAAGACACTATGGACCGGAAATGTTAGCTCTGAATATTTATGCTGCTCGTCCTCATGTTGGTTTGGGTGGGGGGCGTTGTTGGCTTCTGACCTCGCCGTTGGGCCCATATTTCATCGGAATCTCTTTGAGATCCCCATGCGGGCCTGGGTCCCTGGTGTGAATCATGCGATGGTAAATAGGCCTCGAGCCATTGAGAATGTCTTCGAGAAGGCCCGGAACTTTTGCCCCGGCGAGCGCTTTAATGCCACGCTCGGACAGGGCCAGTGGGATGACGGCCATGTCTGGTCGGAGCGACTGATCACCAAAGTTCGGATCTACGAGAGCCGGAGCAGTTAGTTTTGTGGCAGGACTCTGGGTACACTGGGCAATTTTTGGTACCATCTCGGAGCTCGTACAGCTCTGTACGATAGCCTCTCCTTGCGGCATACAAGGCAGCCAAAGCGCCGACGGGACCTCCGCCAACAACAACCACTTTCTGTGCCTCGGCCATAGTTGCGAAGGTAGCGTGAGGAAAGAAGTTTACAAGATTTTTCGGGCTCAAGAAGGTCTGCTGGTACAATGAGGAAACGGATGCCGGAATTGCTTTGATCTTGCTTGAGCAGAGCTTCAAATGCTACAATACGTCTGCCATGGTCTCTCTTTATATTTTCGCACCGCCAAAGCTTCTCGCCCAAAACCATCACGTCGAACACATCACGTCAGAGGCGTCAGGAACCAGCGGACCGTCACACCTGGGTCCACGGGTCTTTGTTAGAACTACCATGTCCTGTGGCCGAGTGTTGACCTTCGTCATATCTGCGCAATGTCTCGGTGTCTCCTCCTGATTATGGCCAAATTCAAGGATATTTTGGGATTAAATCTTAACATGCACATGAAATACGCATAAAAACTGTCCGAGTGGTTATGTTCCCGGGCGACCGATGCCTGCTCGTGTGAATTCGATTCACTTGGCACCGATTCCAATATGCATGCCGACCGCCCCAGGGGTGAATGCCTTCATATTGGTCGCGTCATGGCTAAATCCTTCAAGCCTTTCATGCTGTATGTCAGATTCCAGCCTCGTAAGAAGTAAGTAGCAGAATATTGTGTAACATGCAAACGGTTGAGATCGTTGCAGCCTATTCCATGCATACGCGCACTTCTTCAAAATGAGACGGCATGATAGAGGGAGGCTCTCTTAGAATAATTGATTTTCTGATATTCGTCCATGGTCGATTGTATGTCCGCCGAGCTGAATTGATCGAAAAGTCTGCTAAGTCTTCACCTGTGCAAGTGCGGCGGCTGAACTTGCAGAGTCGACAGTTATGCCTGGATCTGGTTTGAGATTGACAAGACCTTTCCCAAGCCAAGTGTCTTGGAACACTTCCCCGTGTCTACGCCGCAGCCACAGACTAGTTTGGGAAATTGTCTCACCTCACCACGTCACTCAGCGTCAACTGGTGCTTGGCCAGCTGCCCAGGTGCAGTTGGACAAGGAATTCATCCCACGGCTAACAACCAACCCGACCCGCGTCAGCGGCTAAGCACTTGCGGAAAAAGAGCACAGTTCGAGGTTGACATGGTGCCGAAATGACGACACACTGCCTAGGATTAGGATTAGGATTAGGATACTCGACCAGGCAGGGCGCCTATGCAAGTGAGTACGGAGTACTCCGTAACTACAATGTCAGGTCTCGGGCAGCCAGTCAATTGAGCCAATTCATCCTGTTCCTCATGCTCTACTCTCACCTGAAAGACTCCCCCAGCTTTGCTATTGAGACTGCTCCAATCCCCCCATCATACAGCATACTATAGCAGTCCACTCGGGCCGGCCGTGATCGCCATGCCTCCAGAGCCGGTGGCTGAGATTGAGCTGGCCGACCAGTCACGCAAAGAAGGCTCTCCTCAAGCCTCCCCTCATGATGATGATGATGATAATACAACAAACGGCTCCGGGCAAGAAGAGCCGTGGACCAGCCTGAGGGTGAGCAAGGTCCGGGGCGTCACCGTCATCGTGACCCTCGCCGGCGTCAGCTTCCTCAACACGATGGGGTCCGGCATCCTCATCGCCGCCCTGCCGCAGATCGCCCGCGACCTCGGCCTGGCCGAGGAGTTGATCCTCTGGCCGGCAGCCGTGTACGCCCTGGCCGCTGGCTGCCTGCTGCTCATCTTCGGCACCGCCGCCGACGTCGTGGGCGCAAAGCTCATGTGGGTGACGGGCAGCTTCCTCTTCGCCATCTTCACCGTGGCCGTTGGCTTCTCGCAGACCGGCCTGCAGATCATCCTGTTCCGCACCTTCCTCGGCGTCGCCATCGCCATGTGCCTCCCCACCGCCGTCGGCCTCATAACCGCCACCTTCCCCAAGGGCCCGTGGCGGAACACGGCCTTTGCCATGAACGGCATGGGCCAGCCGCTGGGTTATGCCTTGGGGTTGGTCCTGGGCGGCATCTTCACCGACGGCATCGGCTGGAGGTGGGCCTACTACATCATGGCCATCATCAACGTGATGCTTTCCACCGCCTCGCTGTGGTCCCTGCCAGCCGCCCGCCAGCGCTCCGACAAGAAATGGACGCGGAGGCTCATCGACGAGATAGACTGGATCGGCGCCATCGTCATGAGCGCCGGCCTGGGGCTCTTGCTCTACGTGTTGGCCATGGTGTCTTCTTCATACATGAGCATACGGCAGCCCACCAGCGCCTCCCTCCTGGCCGTTTCACTTGTCCTGTTGATCATCTTCCCCTTCTGGATGGACTGGCAGACAAAACGAGGCCGTCCTGCCCTTATACCAAACAAGCTGTGGCGGAACTCGGCCTTCACGTCCATCTGCATATCCGTCTTCTTCTGCTGGGCTGCCTTGAACGGGATAGAATATTACATAACCTTATAGTGAGTGCAAGTACCTGCTGATTCACGCCGTGACCAGGACAGCAGCCCGGGCCCGTGACATTGCATGCGTCAATCGAACGCCGCTGACCCTGAATATAGCTTCCAGAACGTCGAGGGCCTGTCCGCGTTGCAGAGCTCAATCCGGTTCATCCCACATCCCATAGTAGGGACAATCACAAACATTGCTACGGCGTACCTGGTGTCACGAGTTCGGGTCCAAACTCTGGCCGTCGTCTCTGCCCTGATCACCGTCACGGCCCCAGTCCTCATGGCAACCGTAAGGGTCGGCGAGAACTACTGGTTCGCACCGTTCTGGGCCTTGATATTGTCCCCAATAAACCCAGATGGTGTGTCACTTAACTAACCTTGGAACTTGTCCTTATTTTGGCCTGGTTGCTAACCTGTAACTCGATTCTTACGAGGGCAACAGTCCTATTCACCGTTTCCAACATCGTCATATCCGAGGCTTTCCCCGAGGGAGTTCAGTCATTAGCCGGAGGTGTCTTCAACGAGGTCTCTCAGTTCGGCAACTCGGTCGGCCTCGCCATAACGGCAGCTGTTGCAGCGTCCGTCACCGCGCACAAACCATCAACCGATGATCGAGCCCACGCCTTGATGGAGGGCTATCGAGCGGCTCTCTGGACCGTGTTTGCGGCGACGGCGGTTGTCGTGCTGGTGACCAGTGTTGGGCTGAGGAAAGCTGGTACGATTGGGAAAAAGGATCAATAATAATACATTTGCCGACTCGGTACATCAATGGCTTACATACTGTCGTGGGGCGGAGGACCTCTGCAAGCCCAGTTTGGCCCTAATTAGAGCTGAGCAGAAAGCAAATAAGATGGGCCATAGGTATTAATCTTAGAAGAAGTTTACACAGGAAGTTTACACAGGATAAAGCTGTCTCTGTGGCACGAGACTGAGGCCACGTGCCCACGCATTGTATGCCCTATGCTGGTGAGGAGGTCAGGACATCTTCTAAGGAGCAACACATTTCTTCTACACATCACTCCAAGTATACACATGTGTTAGCAGCAAAGAGGAGCAAGCATGGCTGGTGGTGACGTGCAACAAAGCCACCGTACTGCATCCACCAATGGCTCAAGGTCTGTACCTGCTTGGGGTGTACATATGTACTTGAGGAGTTGCAGGCCACAGAGATACCGGGCAGATCCCCCACCACAGCAGACAACTCACAAGGTGGTTGCCACCAGCAACCTCCAAGCTTGTTTGGGCTCCAAGCATTGTGGGTTGCATGCACATAGGGGGAAAAGGGCAAAATTCCATAGGAATGGTTGGCAGCTCCGTCATGGTGGGCTGGAGATGTTGCCGTTATGGCTTGTCAAGTATCCACTACTGGGCGCGTGCGTACAGAGCAGAGGGGTGGTAAACATAACTTACAGTGTAGGATGGGTAAGGCAGGTTGTATACAAGGAATTGGGTGTGAAAGCAGTGTCACTGTCTTTGGGTGAAGCCAGCTGAGCTGCTGGCTTCTTGCTGACGGCTCCTTGCTGCCCCAAGGCAACATCACTCAGAAATGGGGTCCAGCCTGCAAGGAGATTCACATGGAATGAGATCTAGGTCAGGTTCTCGGTCAAGTTCTCAAAAAACACCGCATGGAAATCATTCTCGATGGCCTGCAGCTACACAAAACCCTGCTAGAAGCCTGCCAGTGATGCCGTATGCAATGGTGAGCTGCAAGCATGAGCCTAGCCCATCCGGATATGTAGAGGTGCATGCTGAGTGAGCCATGGTATCATCCCGTTGTCTGCCATCCATTGTGGCCACCAGACTTTTTGTGGAAATGTGGGATGTATGCTTTCCCCCCTCCTTGCCGCCCTCAAATGTAGCTTCTAATTGTGAAGCTCCTGTTCCCCAACGCCTCGCAGGTGGATGAGTCAAGGTGGTCTGTGAATATACAGATAGTCAAACAAACAAAAAAAGAGGCATAAAAGCCAGTGTCGTGGCGGCTGATGCAGTGTTCTGTGTGACACTAGGTAGGCAAGACCATGCCAAGTCCCACCTCCTCCGCTGCCGGCCACGGTGGCTGCCTAAAGAGCCAGCTGCTCACAGGAAGATGCCAACCCAGGCAGAGTTGGGGGACACCTCGGAGTCGCAGTCATCCACAGCACAGAAGATCTTGATCGACTTGGATGTCTCGCTGGGCTGGAAGCGGAAGCCGGTCTTGGCAGCGGCCGAGTCCTTGCCCTTGCTGTGCTTCTTGCGGTTCTCGTAGCATTTCTTGCAGAAGACCTGGAATGGGATCCTCCCGGTTAGCAAGCGGCCTTGTGTGGTGTATGTGGTGCAGGTGACCTTGGTGGTGAATGAGGAGGGGCTCCCGGGTGGGGGGGAGGGGGGCATTCAGAAAGGCGTCAGATCAAAACAAAAAAAGGAGGGGCAAAAACCTACATGGCCACAGTTCTTGACGGCCCAGAAGTGGTGCTCCTCCTGGCTCTTCTTTCCCCTGGCCTTCTTGGCAGGCCGAGGGTTGTCATCCTCCTCGTCGGGATCATACTTCAGCTCACACCCGCAGCTGGGACAGACGACTACGTGCTCCTCCTCATCGTCGTCGTCTTTGTCCCCTCCCTCTGGGCGGGTGTTGCGAGTGAAGCCGGGTCTGGCAGGGGGTGGGGGCTGAAAGTCAGGCTTGGGGGTAGGCTGGCGGCCACCAGGAAAGCCAAAGCCGTTGGCCTGGTAGTTGAACTCAGGCGGGTTGCCTGCGAGGGGGTTGAGGGCGTTAGGGGCGTTGGGATCCATGTTGCCAAAGGGGTGTGGTGGAACGGGTATGGCTCCGACGATCTGTACCTCAGCTTCTCTGGGGTTGTTGTTATTGTTGACAGCCTGTGCGAGAAGGTTTGGGAGCAGACCACGAATGGACCCAATAAGATGGCGGCCAAACTCCTGATACTGGGCACGATTGCCAGGGGGGATACCGGCAGCAGGAGAAGCAGAACCTGGGGCTGGCAGTCGACGATGGTGGTGGTTGCGGTGGGCAGGTTGGTTGTGGAGTTGTGCAGCAGCAGCAGCAGCAGGTGGGGGAGGTAACCGTCGATTCGCTGGGATGATGTCGTCGGGCGAGTCTAGGGTAAGGTCAATGACAGCTGCAGCGTTGCCATTCAGGATGCTGCCATCACTACGGTTGAGAGATGGCATGCGCCCATTCTGCGCAGCCATGTGCCTCCTGGGGTGTCTCGGGGGCAGTACGTGTACTGCAAAACCTCCACCTCCACCTCCACCTCCACCCTCACCTTCCTCATCCTCCTCGTCCTCATCATCATCAAAGATGTGAATGTGGTTGTTCCTGTGGTTATGACCCAGGTTGTGACTGTTGTGTCGCAGGATATTGATGGGGCGGTGCCGTTGAAGATCAGGGCTGTCGGGCTCCTCTGTCAGGTCAATCACTGGGACATGCTGGTCGGCAGCCTGGTGGTCCACATTGTCATCAACATCTCCTTCCATCAAGTCTTGGCCTTGGTTGTTGTCGTTCTGGTGCTGGTGATCGCGGCGCTGCTGCTGCCTCAGATGCCTGGCCTGCCTTTGTTGTCTGCGCTGGGGGCCAGCAGCTCCTGGGGCGGGGCCCTCAAACACGACCTCGATGAGCTCGTCGTCCTGATCCATGCTCGAACTGTCGCCTTGGTACAAGTGCTCCTGACCTGGCCCGATGTCTTGTTCTTCTTCTGCAGCTGTCCTCCCTGCTGGCGCCTGTGGCCCCCAGTTGCCTCTCCCTGGACGTCGGGGTCCAGCCTCCCTGGCCGACCGTGCAGCCCTGCGAGCCCTCTGCAGGCGTAGGTGCTGCTGCAGCAGAAGATCAGCCTCGTGCTGGTTGTGGCCTTGGTGCTGATCTTGAATATTCTGGAATGGCACTGGTGTTGCCTGCCCCCAATGCTGCTGTGTATGGCCCTGGCGACGTGAGCGCTGGGATTGTCCGTGTCGCAGGGAGGGTTCAGCGAGGGGGAGGGGGTGGTGGTTGTCTTGCGATGCCTGGTGACGCGATGCCAGGTGACGCTGGGACACGGGCTGGGGGTCGAAGCGTCGGGGAGGTTGGTGTTGGTTGGCAGGTGGAGGAGGAGGGGAAGGGCGGTTGCCTGGTTGATGGTGGTGGTCACGGTGACGGTGACGGTGGCTGTGACTGTGCAGACGGGAACGGTGGTGATGGTGATGTTGAGGTCGGTGGTGAAGGTGGCGGATCGGGTGGTGGTGGTGGATATCTGGAGTCAGGCTCGCACGGGCGGGCGTGGCGGGCCGGGCAGGACGGGGTGGCGGCGAGTGGTGCCAGTCGAGGCCAATGCCAATGTCGTCGTTGTAATTAAAGTCGTTAGACTGCAGGTGGTGAAGACGGGGCCGATCGACAAGTGGGTCTGGGTTAGGTGAAGAGGAACTCGAGCCTGTGCCTGTCGAGCCTGCCCCTGCTGGGTCTGTCGTGTCTTGGCCCGAGTCAAGGTCGAGGCCGGGCCCGGAACTAAGATCAAGGCCCGAGGCGAGATCGAAATCCGAGGCAGAGGCAGAGGCAGAGGCAGAGGCAGTCACTTGCAGGTCTGATGCCGAGTCAGAGTCGGGGGGAAAGATGGAAGGCGAGTGGCCAAGGGGCAAAGGGAAAGAGCGGGAAGAAGACGAGGCCGACGGCGACGGGTTCAAGTCAAAACCAAGACCAAGATCAAGACCAAGGTCGAGGTCGAATTCGGGCTCGGGCTGGTGGAGACGGTCGGCAGGGTCGTGCTCGAGGTGGTCGCCGTAGCCGCCGTTCTGCAACAAGAGGTAGTCGTCGTCCAGGACGTCCAATAGCAGCGGGGATGCGTTCATAGTGGGAGGGAAACCCGGCTCAAAGCATTGTCTTGTTTTGCCCCTTCTTCTTTCTCCCGTTTTCCCCAGCCCTCAAGTGAGTGCTCTCTCTTTGTCTTACTCTCGACCAACACGGAAGAGCAGCTGCCAAGGAGACGAGATGGAGTGTGGGGCAAAGGTCCACTTCAGACTCGTCGCCAAGTCAAGTCACTGATCAAAGTCACTGATGGGAAATAACAAGAGCAGAAGACTGCAGCCAGTCGGGCCAGTTATGGGGCCACAACACAAGCCTTGATATGCGGCTGGTGAGCTTGGGTAGAGAGAGAGAGAGAGCCGGCAGGAGCTGGCAGGAGCTGGCAGGAACTGGCAGGGAGCTGGATTACCGAGGGTAGGTGAAGGTATGTACTCCAGTACTGTTGTTAACCACCGTTTGATCAGCTATTCTCATCAATCATTTATGACATTCGGCACACCTGCCTTTCCTGTTTCACCGTACTGTGTAATGCCCTGCTTATTGCACATTCATATACATATGGAGGTATACCCAGGCACGTGGGTACCTAAGTACCTAAGTACCTAGATACCTGTATACCCACATATTGTTAGTCCAACGGCTGGATGTGGATGTACGGAGTACCTAGGTACCTAAACACCTACGCCTCCTGCCAGGCAGACCGAGCGGCAATCTCATTGTCGTGGCCGAACAACCATATATCTGCCACCATTGTGAACATCTCCATAATGCAAATCAAAACCTCCGTATAGCTCCCATAAGCAGTGTGCCGAGCTCTCGTGTTCTGATACCGTATCTAAAGACCCTATACCACCCATCCAGTCCAAGTATCATTGTCAACCAGGGTGGGGGGCCCTCCCTCCTCCTCCTTTCTTTTTGATGATATACAGTGTGTTCCGGCCCTATTAGCAGCCCCTCCTCTCCTTGGTCTGTCCAGGCTCCTGTCACTGTCGCCTCGCCTGTGCGCCGAGAATCAATCATCCTTCCTACGCCTCCTCGTCGGGAGCCCTCATGACTGAGATGACGCCGTCCACGTTCACCGTCACCAGCGTCTTGGCCTGCTCGCCCCAGCCCAGCCCCACCGCCGGCGTCGCGCTCTGCAGCAGCTCGCTCCATTTCTTGCTGCCCTTGGAGTACTGCTGCACCGTGACCCCGGACGGCCCTGCCGTCGCGAGGAACTGCCCCGTGTAGTCCCACGCCAGCCTCTGCACCGAGCTGCCCACGTCCAGCACCTTGGCCGTCGCCGCCGCACCCTCCTTGCGCAGGTCAAACACCGTCACCGTCGTCTGGCCCTTGGCCGTCGCCGCGATCCAGTACCCGTTCTCCGAGAACGCGAGGCCCTCCACCGGCGCCCCCAGCGAGAACGTCGCCGCCTCCTCGCCTGTCTTGGTGAGCAGCATCTTGATCTCCCCCGTGCTTGTTCCCGCCGCGAACAGGTGCCCGTCCGGGTGGAACGCGCACCTCGTCAGCGCCGCGTCCGTGTACACCCGGCTCACCCGCCGCAGCCCCGACAGGTCATACAGCACGAAGCTCTTGTCCGTGCCCACCGACGCCAGGATGTTGCCGCCCGGGTGCAGCGACAGCGCCGTCGCCGCCCCCGCGTGCTCCGAGAACGACGCCACCTCGCTGCCCTTGTCGTACACCTTGACCGACCCCTTGGCCGTGGCCAGCATGACCCTGGACCCGCTCCACAGCGTGTCCGTCACGGGCTCGTCCACCTTGAGCGACCGCTCCAGCGTGCCTGCCGTGGTTGAGAAGATGGCCACGTCTCCCTTGAGCCCCCCCACGGCCGCGTAGCCTGCCTCAAGCCCGATGGACGATGCCTGCGGGGCCGGCAGCGACTCGGATAGGCGCGGCGCAAAGGTCGCAATCTCGTCGGAGCTGGCCCACCCGCTGGGCACCGGCCTCTTCTTGCGGCTTTTGGATAACCTGTGATTGTGGGCCAGGTCAGAATCAGGTGGGATGCGCAGCAGGCGGTCAAACATGAGAGGAGGGTGGGGGGTTAAACGTACTTGGCTTGGGTCTCGTCCACATGCGCGGCCAGCTCCTCGGGGAGTGTCTCGTTGTCCACGGCCATAGCGTCGCCGTTGGCGCCGGGGCCGGAGGCGGAGCCTGCCGACACGGTCACCCTGGAGAGGGCAGCCCTGGCCTCATCACGCTCCCTGGTGAGGCGGGCGATGACGCGGACGGCGGCATCGTGCTGGTAGAGGGCGTTTGCGAGCTCGTCGCGGGTTTGTGACAGCTGCTGCTTCAGCTTGAAGGTCTCGAGGGCGAGGGCATCCCACTCGTTCTGGAAGGTGGACAGGAGGGCGGGGATGGAGGTCAGGTTCGGGGCCCTGGGCCGCACGACGCGGGCGGACTGGATGGGCAGCAGGTCTTCAGGGTCGAGCTCGTCGCCGGTGATGGGATCCTTCCCGTTCTCCTCGATGTACTTCTCAATCAGCCGCTTCTCAAAAACAGTGCCGGTCTTCTTGGACACGACAGGCTCCTCGGGAGCCTCACCCGAGACTGTGGACGCGGCGGTCTTGTGTTAGCTAGCAACGACGACTGGCAACGACGACGGGGCCAAAACAGCTGTTGGCAGGTTGAACGACAAAAGGGTAGGTAGTACGTACTGGCACAAAGCATCTTGGCTCGTCCTTGTTGCGCTGGCGAGTCAATGGCAGGGCCAGCTGGGCGATGTGGTGATGGGTGTTCTTTTTGCGAAGCTCGAGGCTGGACGCATCAATTGATCAAGGCTGGCACTGGCACGGTTTTGCAGCCGCGTTACGAGGTAGGCCCAAGATAGACCAGAAAGGTACCTTGTTGAATGTACCTGCAGAGCAAGGCCAGAAACCAGCGTGCTCGGCAGGCAGGCAGCTTCAGCCAGCTGGTGCCAGATGGGCCGGGCCGTCCTTGGTGGGCCCGTGCAGGGTACCTGGGCACCCCGTACTCCGTACTCCGTAAGTACCTAGGTACTTATCTGTCCAGGCGTCGACAATGACGACATGGCGTGCCGAGACGCTCTCCATGTACTCCGTACCCAGGCAATCAGTTTGCTTGCCTATCTAGGTGCTAGGGGCTTTCCAAGGCAGCTGCAGCACTGAGAGCTGTCGGGGGTACTAATAATATAAGAGGCACCGGCCAGCTAGCTAGCTCGATCATGTCGACGAACATTGAACCCACGAGACACGATGGCCCCAACACTCCCAGACGCCACCAGCCTGCCGACACTGCCCGATGCAGAGCTGATAGCAATCCTCGACCTGCTCTTTGAGCCCAGCGACGACCTCCACACCCTCGCGCTCCCGACCCTGCGCGCCATCACCTTCGCCTCCTACGCTGAACTCATCGACACCCTCCGCGACCAGCTCCTGGTCATCGCCCAGAGTGTCCGCGCCGACCCCAATGCGCGGGAGCCCCTCCACTCCATCCTGGGCTCACACCCGCGCCTGGGCGAGAAGAAGGTCCACAGCACCCAGAGCGCCGCCGAGCAAGCCCAGTTGCGCGCCGGCCCTGACGGAGAGGCCGAGAAGCTGGCCGCCCTCAACCGCGAGTACGAGTCACAGTTTCCCGGCCTGCGCTACGTCGTCTTCGTCAACGGGCGCGGCAGGGACGTCATCATGGAGGACATGCGGAAGCGAATAGACCGGGCTAGCCTGGAAGAGGAGGAGAAGGAGGCCATCATTGTAAGTCGCAGGGAGAGGCCTCTGCTCCGTCGTGTGGAGGAGAGCCAATGCACTGACAGCGTCGCACAGGCAATGGCCGACATCGCCAAGGACAGGGCCAGCAAGCTCAAAAAAGAGTCTGATGAGTCCACTGTCGGCCGGTCTGCTCTCCCAGCCGACAGCTGAGCGCGTCTCAAGTCCCAACCGCCACCAATCCGTTCCCCACCAGGTCGTGGCCTCCACCCCGTCACGGAGAACACATCTGCCCTGTGAAGGATGATCTACACAGTAGGGCTGAGGAGGTCGACAGTAACTACATTGCGCGCTCAACTCGCGCTCTTTATGCCATGGTTTACAGCGTGTCTCGAAATACCCCGAATCAACGCGCTATGGGATCTGACCGGAATCTCGAGGCCATTGTCCCGCCCTGGTTGCTCGCTCTGCACCTGAACGAGGTTCAAGTGCTGTGTGTCACTAATGCAAGGCTGCGAGTTGACCAAGATCGGAACAGTATGCTGTATGCTGTGCGGGGCGGATGGGACGGAGCGAGTTCCTTAATGGTCACTCACATCTCAGCTTATGTATGCCAGCATCCATGGGAAGTCGAAGGGCACCCAGTAGGCAAGTCTACTTGCGACAAGTCTCACTTGCAAAAACCTGACGAGGCACCACTCCCCTCGGGAATCTGGATCGTAGAGCTTCGAGCTTTCGGCGTCCCGCTGATTGGCCTCATGCCAGGATGGCCACGGCGAGCTCGGTTCCGGCCGCCCACCTCCGGGCTCTTAGCAGAGCACTCGTATTGCAGCGCAACCCAACAGTGATGGCTGCAAGTCATACCGCAACGTCAAGGCGAAGTGAAATCTACGGCTTGTGGTTGGTCAGTAGCCAGCGCTGGTCGGACGGCTGCCCAGTTCTTGCGGGGCTTGTAGACGGCCCAGATAGCACGACCCGGTCGCTGCGACGATGTGTAAGCATCAGCGAGTCTTGATGTCGGCCCAGCGCGGCGGCGTGCCAACAGGGACTCACATTACCAGCCAGAATCTAATCGTTGCCTCGGTTCCTGCCACAACTGACTGTGCGCCATGTATCATGGCAGACCCGACAGCCTGAGTCGTTGCCCAGGTCTGACCCGGGTCTCGTCAGCGAGCAGTGCCGTGGATATCCGATCTCCGGTTGAGTTGGTCAGGCGCTGAAGAAGTGAGCAAGGGGACGCGCTACAACATTGAGCTCGGCACGATGCCACCTTACGGTTCTGGAAAACCGCACTCAACCCCCTTCGACTCGTCCAAGCACAGCAGGGCTGGCAGGGCGATCTACTATGTATTACGAGAGCAGTGCGGCGCTGGTCACATCGGCCGGCCTCTTCCCCTCTCCTCTCCTCCACCCGGACGTGCAATCTCGAGGGACGCCTTGTACCGATGTACTACGTTACCGACGACCAGCCTGCAGGAGACGGGTGGTTGCAGGTGTCAAGCCCGTCCCCCGGGGATCTACGAGTCTTCACACAACTGATTCTGTTCCCATTTCCAACCACACCAGTCCATACGAGGCAGGTTGGCAGGCCGGCCGGCTGGCTGGCAAGTAGGGGCACCTGCAAAAGCGAGGCTGCCCGATTTCTCACTCGCCTGCATGGAAGCGGCCCCAAGCATGCATGGATTTTTCCATACATGGACTCCACACACAAGGCTTGATGAGCTACTGCACGCCTGCGGTCAGACTCGTCCAGGCCCGGACGCCCCCCTTCCAGCCCATCCCAGCCAAAACCAGGCGAACGCTGGGGGCCCTGGGGCCCTGCTTGGAATACTATGTGGTAGCTCTTTTCCTCCGGCGCGCCCAGCATCCCGCGTGACCAAGCCTCCTTCGAATTGGAGGACATAATTGGGCCTGACCGAGCCGGGCAGCCGGGGTAATAGCTCCCCTGGTCCAGCTCTCGCCAACAACCTGGGCACTCAGGCACTCTGGTACTCTGGTACTGTGGTATACACACCCAGCCAGCCAGCTCCGTCTTGACCAACACCTCCCCTCGACCATGTCTATAGGTCTGATTGGTATTCTTCCACGCGTTCCCACAAGTTGCGAACTGTCACGGTCAGGCACCCCACGGCAGCACGGCCATTGTCTCCTCGAAAAGCCACACCCAGACGTGACGGCCTTGCCGCTTTGATCTCGGTGAAGTCGAACTGCTTGTCGCCCGCCGTGCATACCTAGACCGCGCACATATTACCTCGTCAGCACCAGTCAGCTCGACCGTCAAGCGAGCTGAGTGAGGACAGGACGGTTCCAATCACAGGTGAGCACCTGGCACGACGGAGCACATGTGGCCTGGCCCAGACGTCTCAACCGCGTGGCCTCCGCTCGCTCTCCCGCCCATCAGTTGTGCCTTCAGGCACAATGTAAAATGCAGCAGCGGCAAGCTAGACCAACAGAGAATCTACAACATCCTGCCAGCCTGCGTGTCCTGTCACCTCCCAGGCTAGGCTCGACCAACCACTCATGTGCTCCTTTTCACTACCCCGACTTTTGGGTCATGTTGCACTCCCTTCCCGTCCATTGCCACCCCTCCCCCCTTGTTCTGCCCGCCCGGGGGAGGGGGAGGGGGGTGGGGGACGCACACTGACATGCAGCCTCCCCGGATCCTCGCATGATCAATTCTTATTAGTTGGCAGCAATGGTGCTTGTGCTTTGGACATCCTTGCAACGACCAACCCGTCCTCGTCCTCTCTGGCCTGAACGCGTGCAGGAGAATACATCCAGAGCTTGGGCAAGCGCCTTCCCCCACATCCTGCTATATGGCCCGACTCCTGATGGCAGTCTCGTGTGTCGTGCCGACTTGGGTTGCGCTGTGCTAACAAGCAGCAGCTGAGTCTTCCTGTCTTCTTTTTGCCACCCGCTCTGCTAGCCCTTGGGGTCGTTCACCCTGAGCACTCCGTCCGGACGAGGCATATTATCTTAGCGCATCCTCCCCCCAGCTTTCATCTCTCACACCTCCTCGGAGGGGGCCGATCGATGCTGGGAGGAAACGGGGTTGACCTTTGACGCCTATATGGGGTGCACATGACCTGCGTACCAAACCCAGCTGTCCTTAGGATTTGACCTCTTACACAATCCATTTTCTCGTTTGGGACCGATCAAAACGTCCTGCTCGTTTGTAGCCGCGGACTTGGACGTGGACGACGCCACCTCACAATGATGTTCCGCCGTCACTGACGGACCAGGCATTTCCTGGACTCACTCGATCTTGCGGGCCCAATCGACCATCCCGACGCCCTGTTCCTTCATGACCCCATGCCAGCCAGAGACGCCCTGAGGCCGAGTACACTGCTGAAGCTAGCGGAGGCGTGTAGCTACCTGCCACGTCTGGAAACGAGCGTCCATCGCGGTGTTGGTGGATGGTTACCAGTGCCGATATTTTCCTATATTGTACTATTCGTGCCTGCTCAAGGCGTCTGCGTGTGGTCAAGATATGGCTGTCTCCATCCATGGATTGACCCAGGCGACATTCTACCGAGACCACCATCATTACCAACACCACCAAAGACCAGCCGTGGCTTGCGCGAGAGCTATTCCACCCGTCCTCAGTGATCCCTCGTGGGATCCTCAGCCGCCACGACCGATCTGGTCAATGGCAATACAGTCCGACTTACGAGATCACCAAGAACCTGCCTCTGCCCTCAAGACGTCCTCATCGGGGCGCTCACGCCCCTCTTCACCAGAGGGTGCGTCGGCCCTGACCCTGCCTGCGGCCTCGTCTCTTTTGCCACGCCATGGGCCGCAGAGACGCCCTGAAATCACGTTGTCAGACCAGCCTGCGGAGCTGACGCGCGTGGGCCCCAAGAGACGGAGGGCCCTCCACGATGTTGATGGCCCTCATACTGGATCCCTGAGCTGCAAGAAGCGCCGACTACGTCGCCATCTCATTACTTCAAGGCTGTCGCGGCCGTACTCGTCACCAGCTACCCACATCTTGAACCGGGAGGCGGCAGCCGGGGCCAAACGCTTCCTCAAGATGGCGGCGGCGGCCTCGGCGAGGAAACTCACGACCGTCGTTGTGCCGACGCCGCCCACTGCTGACTGGGGCTCTGGCAGGGCGGTGGCAGCTGCCCAGGTCGCCACCGTCGTCCCTGCGAACAGCATTCACCACCTGGCACCGGCAGAGATGGTACGCCGGGCAGCAATCATGAACAGTTTCAGGATCCGAGTGTGCGACGAGGCCCGGCAACGAGGGGAAAGGACTGATCTCCAGCTGGCGGCCAGTGCTGCGCTCCTAAGGGCGGGGCCCGGGCAACAAGGGGTCGGGTTTGTGACGACACCAAAGACCGCGGGGGCGCACACGTCGCTCAGCTCATCACCCACACAGGACGCAACGAGAGATCCCGGACTGGGACCATACAGGTCAACCATGGCGTTTTCCCCGACAAAGGCCACGCAGCCGTCTCTCACGGCTAACACCACGAGGATGTCTCCACCTGTACAACACGCAGGAGGGACCGCCAGTTATTCACCCCCAAATAGTCCTAACAAGCACCCAAGACCTCGTGGCGCTGGGCGGACATCGCCGGGTACGAAGCCACTGAGATCCCCCGAGCTCTTAGCTCAGGGCAGTCATGCCGAATGTGGTGGACTAGACGACGACGAGCTCAGCTTCCCGGCAACGGATTACTCCGACGACTTCCTGGAGAATGAGTCAGACGAAGTGTATACTGACTTTGGGGCCATCTTTGGTGGGTGTGGTGAAGACGGGGACGAGGCTAGAGACAGCGGTGAGGCCCTGAGGCCTGCTGGCGAGGGGTCTGGAGAACATGGTGTTGAGCACTTTGAGGATTACATGGACGACTTGGACGGCATCCCATGGGGTGCGAGGTGAGGCAAAGCTCGTGCAACTGTAACAGTACTTTTTCTTTTTCTGCATACGAGGGCTGCTGTCAGGAGGCTAGCGATCTGACCATGACTACCGCATCTACCGCATTTGCAAGCATCATTGCGCATCCAGCCAAATCGGGTTTAAAAAAGCAATTTAAAAGGCAACGGTGTTGTTGGGCATGGTCTGTTCCACATCTGTCTCCCTTTGTCTCTGAACATCCCGCCACAGGGAACTTGAGTAGAATGTGAGGTCCCAAATCGTGCTGTGAGTTGTGGAATCGCAACATGGTGCGATTCCAGGTCGAACGGGATCAAATGCTGGCTGGGGCTTCTGCCGGGGTTTCTTCCTGCGCCTCATACAAGATGAATTTGAATCGGGCGGTTTAGAAGCTGGTTGTTTGCTTCTCCTCCTGTCAGTCCTGACGCTGTGAGGCTCCAAAATATACCTCGATTGCCTATATGTCACTAACAACTCGCATGCACATGTGGATTCAGGCCCAGCGACCAGTTGACTTATTGCCGCGGCAGCAGCTGGGCTGGCTGGGACAAAATGGCCATCTGCCAATTGCGGACGACCGCTTTTATTGTGAACTATACAGCTGCACCCTCTGAAGCCGAGTTGGATTGCTGCGAGCGAAGAGTCACGTGAATGTTGTGATGTCGGTTTGGATGCCGAGCCCCCTCCATAGGGGGGAGGGTGGTGTTGATGTGAGTGATAACCCTTACCCTAGACAGAGGAAGCTGGTTCTGATTTGCCCGGGCGATGATTTGACAGCTGGGTGGTGCAGACTGGGCAGACTGGGGCCCGCCCGTCAATCAGGCCATCCGTTGCCGAAATCCCTCTCCTCCGAGCCCTGACGAGACCTCGACAAAACCGTCACCACCACCACCACAAGCACGACGAGGCCCTCTCCACTCCACCCACCTCGCCCTCCCTGCCGATTGACCGACCGCCCGCCCGCCCGCCATGTTCCTGCAACGCTCTGCCGTGGCCGTCGCCCGACGGGCCGCCGTCGCACCCGCCCTGCGACGCACCTTTGCGACCTCGATGATCCGCCGTGAGTTCCCGCCCCGGCCTGCTGCCATTGGCACGAGCCCAGAGCTCCGCAATTGGCTCCTGCGTCATCGCCGCCGGCCTGCTGGCTGGCGGCAGCATGCCGTGCCTCTGGCGTCGCCCTGGCCCTGCCCTGGCCCTGCCCTGGCCTGCACTGCCGTACCATATCAATTGCTGACATGCCGTGATGCCACCTGCAGAAAACGCCGCCAACAACACTCCTGCCAAGTCCGAGAGGACCTCCCAGTCCCTGGCCGGTACGCTGCCACGCCTCTCTCCCCACCGCCTACCTGCCATGCGCAGCTACTTTCACCCAATTGGCCTGTCCACGGCCTGCTGGCCGTCGTGACGGGGCACGGGGCGGGTCGGAAGCAACCACGCGCAGCGAAGCTCGAAGCTGGAAGCTGATTTGATGTGCAACCATCTAGATGTCAAGACCATCGACGACCTCGTGGGACCCGGTGCCCAGCCCGGCACCGTCCCCACCGACCTCGAGCAGTCCACCGGTGTCGAGCGTCTGGAGATCCTGGGCAAGATGGAGGGTGTTGACATCTTCGACATGAGGCCCCTCGATGCCTCCCGGAAAGGAACCCTGAAGGAGCCCATCATGGTCCGCTCCGCTGGCGAGGAGCAGTACGCCGGCTGCACCGGCTACCCTGTCGACTCCCACGGGGTTATCTGGCTGACTGTACGTCTACTGTCATCACTACCAGCCCGGCGTGCGCAGCCCCAACCAGCGAACTAGTGCTAACGCCCAGCTCCCACTGTCTAGATCACCCGTGACCGCCCCATCGAGCGCTGCCCCGAGTGCGGCAGTGTCTACAAGATGGAGTACGTCGGCCCCCAGGACGACCACCACGGCCACGGCCACGACCACCACGGCTACGAGGAGCCCAAGAACTTCTCCGACTTCGTCAAGCCCGAGTACTACTAGGTGGTTTCGGCGCCGCTGGTCCGATGGACAGCAGACGACGTACACACACACACTTTCGAGAGACGAGATGCACTAGAGGGAGGAGGCGAGCGATCCAGGGGATATTCAGCAGGCCGCTAGCGTTGGGAGAAGGGCCTTGTAGAATACTTAGTATCTGCGGGAGGTGTATAGAAGTCCATTTTCTCTGCCTATGGCTACAACTGCATACGTGGTTCCCGCTCACCCTCCGTCCTGGGCCTCACGCCCGGATAAGAAGATCCGTGTTGCCCAGTCTGGGCGGTACCTTGAGACCTCGGGACGCTGGAGAACCCGTTGAATCCAGTGCGGGGGTGCTCGTCTCGAGGTCCAGCCTTGGGGGCAGGACGGGCCAATTCCTGTGGCCGGGGGCGACAGGTGGAGCTCGGAGCCCAGCGGCTGTTTTGGGGATGCCTTGCACGGGCGTGCGAGCCTGGAGTCGCACGCTCGTTCCTGGACTGGCTTGATGCCGGGTGACGTGATATGAATGCAGCTCGGTGGTGCGTCGCTGACGACAGAGGCTGCCCTCAGACCCCGTCGTCGCCGTCGTCGCCGAAGCTCAGCTTGATTTTCTTTGCCTTCTTCTTCGCCTTGACGGGGCCCTTGGCCTTGTCGTGCCCCCTGACAGCCCCGTCCTGCTCCTGGAGACCAGTGCTGTGCTTGTCCTGCCTGTCCTGCCTGTCCTGCCTCTCGTCCTCGGCAGCGGCCCCGACCACCTTGCCGAGCTTCCTCTTCTTGGAGGCGCCGATCATGGCCACCTTGCCGCCCGGAGCAACGTCCTCGGCGCCCTTGCCGGCGTTCTTTTCCCCGCCCGTCTCCGTGCTGCTCTGGTTCGCGCCATCGCCCGCGCCGGCCCCGTGGCTGGTGGTGACGGTACCGTCGGCAGATACTTCGACGTGGGAGAGGACGTTGCCGTCGTCGTCGACAATCAGCGGGGCATCCTCGGCGTCCTGGCTGGCAGAGCGCGGCTTGGCCTGGCGGCGGCGCGAGGCCAGGATGGGGTCGGGCGAGTCGGTGTCGGCGGCATGCTGGCCCTTTAGCCGGGCAAGGAATGGCGGCAGGGACTGGTCATAATGCAGGTTCTTGCCGGTGATCTTGTTGGACATGATGGGAAGTGCTTGGGTGGTCGTGGGGAAGCACTTCTCATCAAACCCAGCGAAGCCAGTTATTATATCTCAACCTGGGTAAGTATCTCCGTACTGTCCCCAGGTGCCTGGGTACCCTAGTAGGTACAACTGTCAGGTACTCCGTACTGGCGCGCCCAGTATCCTGTTACTGAGGGTTGGGGTTGACATTGGTCAGTTCGCCCGCGGGGGGGGGGGGTGGTGGGGAGGGGCTCATCATGTCCAGTGTCTGCCTTGTCAACCGCCCATCGTCTTACCAAAAGTTGGTCCATTTCCGTCAGCACAACACAGAGATGGTCAAATGGTATAATCAGGCTTGGCTGCAGGCCGCCATAGCCCCGTTCCAGGCGCCAGGAGCCAGGAACCAATGGCATGCTCCCGCTGTCACCTCCCCAGCATTCTGGGTTTACCACCCTCAGCCCTATAGTTCGCTGCTGAGCCGTTATTTCTACTGCGTATGAACCTGTGCCCAAACGCTCTCACGAGGCTCTGCACTTGCTGTCGAGTGTATGGAGTACTCTGTTCTGCCGAGGATCCTGACCTGATCGAATGCCCACCATGTCGGACCCCAGTGATTCCTCACCCTTTGTCTCGGCTCTCAAGCAATTCAAAGACGGGCTGGACCATGCCGAAAGGGAAGCCTTCAAGCTTGTGGATTTTGAGGACCTTCTCAGAGAGATCGAACACCTTCAGAGGCGATCGTTGCAGCAGAGGCGCGGCAGGAATCTGGCACGCCTGAAGCCCTTCCTCGAGGCCATGGCCCAGATTGGCAAGGTCGTCGAGGTCTTTGCAAATAGCAGCGAGTTCGTTGCTTTCGTCTGGGTATGCGTGCGCCCTTCCGGGTGGTTAAATATCTGCCCATGTCTGTCTGTGGCTGACCACTTGTAGGGGCCGATGAAGTTCTTGTTGCAGGTGCGACCAACATCAATGATGCCCCCGGCCCCGTCGTGTTTCGCAAAAGGCCTTGGGCTGATGACATGCAATACTGGATATTAGATTTCAAGTTCGTGGGCCGACGCATTACACGACCTCTGTGACATGTACGGGAAGATTGGCGACAGCCTCCCGCAGCTACTCCACACCGAACGCCTCTTCCTGCAGGACACGGCTGTGCGTAGGGTCCTTGGTCTAGTATACAAGGATATCTTCGAGTTCCACCGACTGGCCATGAAATACTTCAAGCAGCCGAGTACGTTGGGACTCCCTGCTGGGTGCTGCTGAACAATGGGTGTTTTCGTCAGAGGCTGACACCAGCACGGGGCCGAGTAGTGCTCAAACAACTATTTCAAGCCACTTGGAAGCCATACAAGACCCGCTTCGACCCGTTGATCGCCAACATTCACGACCACGCCATATTGGTCCAGAACCAAGCTACTCTAGCACAGATAGACGAGTTCCGCAGAGACCGGCAGGCTGACGGTCAGCAGCACGACGCCCACAGGCTCCGCGTGATGTACACCTGGCTGAGATCACCAGAACATGCCAGTTCCCAGGCCAGAAACGCCGAAAATGACCAGTACCATTATGCGAGAGCCCGCAGAGACTGTCCTGGCAGCGGAAGCTGGTTGTTGGGCAAGCAGGCCTTCGTTGAGTGGATGGACCCGGCCTTCCCAGCCATCCCACCTCTGTTGTGGATCAACGGGGTGCCCGGGGCTGGTAGGTTACGGCTGGGATATGCAACCTGTCCTTCTGCACATACCCTTTGTAACCCAGGGCTGACATGCCATTTGCTAGGTAAAAGTGTCCTGACTTCCTTCGTAGTCGAGCAAGTGAGGCTCTTACCCCAAGCGCCGACACTCTTGTTCTTCTACTGCAGGAGCAAGGACAATGGCCGGAATGACTTCATCTCGATTGCACGCAGCTTCTTGTCCGAGCTGCTGAGGTGCCACCAGGATGTCCTGTCCCCCTTCTTCTACGAAAAATTCTCCAAGAGTAGCGAGGCAGTCCTGAGCAAGGTACAGGACATCGAGGAGCTCCTGAGGGTGTCATTGCTGAACTGTGCAAAAGTCTACATCGTGCTCGACGGCATAGACGAGTGCGCAAGAGATGAACGCAAGGCAATTACTTCGTTCTTCCGAGATATTGTAGAAAATCTGGAGCCTCCACATCTGGATCGTATCAGGTGCCTCTTTGTCAGCCAGGACGATGGCATCGCTCGCAAAGATTTCGATGGTATCACCACCCTCAAGATTCAGCCTGCAGATGTAGAAGACGACATCAAGAAATACAGCCTACATGAAGCCGGCCAGATCCAGTCAATGTTCGAGCTTTCGGACGACATGCGGGCAGACATGGCTGCCAAGATGATTAGGGCTGCTGGTGGTATGTGGTTTCTCAGCACCATATGTTTCCACCATGCCTAGACATATACTCACATCACTGGAACGGACTCGTAGGTATGATCCTCATCGTACAGCTGATGGCATTCAACCTGAAACAACAGACGACAGTGGAAGAAATTGAGGACGAGCTGCAAGACGAGAGAATACCCACGCAGCTAGGCGATGCGTCAGTATGATCACAGTTTCTTTAAAACCCACACAAGGAACCTAACAACACACGCGACTGCTTAGATATGATCGAATCCTGGCAAGGCTGTTTGAGAGGGCCTCGGCTAGTGAGAGGGAAGCCTCAAGGTTTATTTTTGGCTGGCTGTGCTACGCCAAGCGACCACTGCGATGGCATGAGATCCAATGCGCCCAGGCCATCAACTTGGACGCACAGCGTGTAGAATGGGAACGCCGGCGCTTTCGGAAAGCGCCCAACGATCTCTGTGGCTCGCTGGTGGCTATATCAAGAGATGGATGGGTTGACTTTGTGCACTCGACAGCAAGATCGTGAGTCTGTTGTTCCCTGGAGTCAACCTTGCCTAACTCCGCAGCTGATCCCCGAGGCTGACGCCGGCTGCCAGCTATGTCTCTACAAGCAAGCACATCGACCTTTCATCTGCTGAACTGGAGCTGGCCAACCTGAACGTGGACTACCTGAATATGCCGGGCTTTCGTCTGGGCACACCGGGCCTCACAAATCTGGTGCTCGGGGGCTGTTATGGCTTCATGGACTATGCGGTGGCCTACTGGGTGCGCCATGTTGAGGAGGCGGCATCTGGTGCCAACCAAGGAGATGCCATGGTCGAGGACTTGAGCGAATCATTGACGGCCCTACTGGAACAGCACTTCACGGCGCCCACAAAGCAGTTGCCGGTTTCTCAAGGAAATAAGAAGAGACTCCAGGCGTTTGAAGGCCTCACACGGTTCCACGACCTCGAACAGGCGGTAGTATGGGCTCGCAAGGAGCTCACTTTCTTCGGCGAGACCAGGGAGTCGGACAGGGCACTGGACCTTGGCCTTATCGTCAGCAGCATACGCCTTGAGCTCGAAAGAGCCATCGAGGGCGCCAGGAGCGGGCCGGCTGGGGAGGCAGAAGCACTGGCGGCCATGTACGGGCCCAATCCGTTCAAGTGTAGCAGACTCAGCTGCCGCTACTTCTACGACGGCTTTGAGACGGCAGAGCAGAGAGAGCAGCACCATTACAAGCACCTTCTCCCGTTCCGCTGCACGGTGGTGGGTTGCCCAAGGTCCGCACTCGGGATGGCATCTAGCGGAGACTTGCAACGGCATATCAAGGATACACACATGGCCCCAGGAGACGACGAGTTCCCAAGCCTTGATGAAACAAGTGTCCAAAATGGCACCGCACGGCCAGCCCGAGAAAAAGACAGACAGGAGTACACATTGGCACCAAAAGCCAAGCGGCGACAGGTCCGCGACTGGACATGCAGCGTGTGCTCCAAGGTCTTCAGGAAAAAGTTCAACCTCGAGTCCCACATGGCCACACACAGCGACGAACGCAGGTTCTGCTGCGGCATGTGCGACCTGGCCTTTGCCAGGGCCAGCGACAGGAACAGGCACGAGAAGACGCACGAGGCACCAGGCTTCGTCTGCGGGGGTGAGCTCTCGGATGGGCAGAAGTGGGGGTGTGGGAGGAAGTTCGTCAGGGCCGACACACTGCAGAGTCACCACAGGACAGCGGCCGGCCAGGCGTGTTTGCGGAAATTTTACAACCAAGGGCTCAGCAACTTGTCGGCGCCGTCACAAACGCCTCAGAAATGGCGAGGAGGTGGTGGTGGGGACTTATGATTGGTTCCTCGTGCATTCCGCTGTGCCGGACTGATCGTTGGAAAAGGCTCAGCAAAGAGTGAGGCTCTGAGGCTCTTGATCATTTGAACTGGAAAATTCTCGGGAGGTGTTGTCCATGGCCACCCATTGGTTTCGGGAGTTGGTCGTGGCTTATCATACATTAGTGCTGACTTGCACAACCTGGATAGGCAGCTTCGCCACGACCAGATGTGCTTGTCTCACCCCGGTTCCCTCTCATGTCATGAGTACGTACCACACCGTGGTTATTCTTCTACTTAGACGGGTGTGTACTACCCTGGCAGATCGCCGGGGGTTGTCTTATTGAGGCTCTGCTTCAAGCAGGACATTGAGCATACCCGTCATTTGGACCTGTTCGTCAATGTATTATTGTCCCACTTGAAAGCTCTGGAGTATTACTAAAGGTAAACGTGCTTCTGGGATTGCTCATCGACAGCAGCGCTTGTCATTTACAGGATATCAACCCACGAAAGGTGATCTGGCCAGTCGCTGGCAGAATTCCAAACGATCTCTACTGTTGAGGAACCATGGATGACCACGATAAATCGCTAAAGCGCAAACGATTACTGTCCGATCCAGGTGATGAGCATGACCTCGATACTGCGGAAGTGTGCCCGCCGAGCAAACTGGCCGAAGAAGCGTCCCCCTTGTGTTACGGCACCGTGAGTTGTATCATATCGGCCCTACAACGATGGGCACCCGAGTTGAAGTTCAGTAAATAGATACTTGACGCGACAATACGAGTACGCCAATGGCCTGATGCTGGAAACGATAGCGGTGAGCCCTTGTCATTCGATCGCCACCCTGTTGTTGCCCAAGGCCTGGCTTACGGACTCACTTCCCACGATACCGTGTTTGCCGTCTTCAACAAAACATCCTCTCAATATATGCACCATCTTTCTGAAATAGAAGGGGTTCACCTCGAAGGGCTGATCAATCACGGGCGGTTTCTTGAATCCCGGGCGAAAGGCGAGACTACTGTAAAGGTGGGCGTTAACGTCTACGGTAACAGAGCAGGTGCCACCAAGGCCGGAGAGGTGCTCTCCTCGTTCGGGGTATATCTACAACAGCCAACAAGCGAGATGGAACACGTCACGTACTATAATCCCCACTTCCTGCATGTGGAGGGATTGTTGGGCTTGGGTCCGGTCCAGGAGACGCCGAGGTTTGAGATGGATACTCAGGTTAACGCAGCGGACCGAGGATTGGGATCCCAAAGCCCTGCGACGCCGGTACCTGAGCAGGGTGACAATGCTACGGAGATCAGTAATGTTCTCAGCTCGCTTTCTCACCATGCAATCTTGAGCAAAAAAGCTGGCGCAATGGCGTTGAAGTCACAACTCAAAGAGTATGTTGGCCTGACACTTCGGAGTACCTTTGCGATCACACGCCAGTGAAGGACATGGCTGACGCAGTAATGATTTTTCATACAGCTACCAGATGGAAGCACTAGACTTTATCTCCAGGCGCGAGTCTGGAAAGCTGCCGCCTGAACTCACATTGTGGGCAGAAGCCGAGGATGAGCACGGAGAACAAATGTGAGCCAGTGCATGTCATGCCAGTGACGTGTAACCCAGAGCCATTGCAACATGATACAGTCATGAATATCTCTCCCAGACTGACCAGAGAGGAAATTGGCTCCATCACAGTTATGAGCACACCATCATCGGTGCTAGAAGACCACATCGGTCAGATACCAAGGGGGGAATTCTCGCCGACGAGATGGGGGTGGGAAAAACTATTGTTGCGTTGGCAACTATAGCGGCATCACTTGATCGCGCCTCGGACTTTGCAACGAGAGGCCCCGAAGACGGCACATTCGACAGTGAACGGCGGCGATCAAAAGCTACCTTGGTCATTGCACCATCATCTCGTGAGTCAGCAACTTGCCTTATAAATCTTAGAATATGAGCGTGATTATCGGTGATGTAGAACACTGACCTCTTTATGCTATGCGGCGTCTTGTAGTTCTCATAGATAGTTGGGTTGATGAGATACGAAAGTAAGACGAGGCCAGTCAGCCCTGGATTTGGAAGATCCCTTTGCATACTGAACGAGACCATAGACATATCTACCCCGGACACATGACATTCTACAAGTATCACGGCCGACAGAGACAGCAAGACGCAAACCTGCTCTTTGAGCGAGACGTGGTCTTCTCGACCTACGCAACACTGGCTAGCGAGCCGGACCGAGGTCTGGGTATTCTCAACAGTGTGGAATGGTTTAGAATAGTGTTGGATGAAGGTGAGCAATAGTCAGGCGCTGACCCATTGGATCAATCTAATCCACCGGCAGCCCACGAGATCCGCAACACCACAACCAAGCAGTTCCATGTAGTCTTCAACCTTGCCGCACAGCATCGTTGGTGTCTGACCGGCACGCCTATCCAGAACTCTGTGGAGGATCTTGGCGCACTCATTTCTTTCTTGCGTGTCCCTATGCTGGAAAAGCCCTCGACATTCCGCAGGTACCTGCTCAGCCAGGCCCGCCAGGGCACTCGAAATTCGTTCAAGAACCTAAGACTCCTCTTGAACTCGATTTGTCTCCGGCGGACCAAGGATGTAGCTGGATTGTCCGACCCCATCCTCCAGACGAGGGTCTTGTCGCTCACATCGACCGAGAGGCGAGACTATGTGGAGCTGCTGGACCAGCTCCGAAGACACGTCGACATGGACGTCAGCGGGCACACGACAAGAGGCAGCAGCACACGTATGCTGCAGGGGATACTGAAGCTGCGGCTCTTCTGCAACAACGGTTTTATGGGCCGGGGCGCATCAAGAATGCCGTTCGACGCGGACGAGGTGCTGAGCTGTCTCCAGCAGACAGGCCAGGCGTCGTGTGTTCTGTGCTCGCGCACAATATACTCCATCAGCCGCGTCCCCGATACAGACGGTGGCTGCCCGCTGGAGCCATGTTCTCACCTCGCCTGCAGAGACTGCGCCGTGGGGCTCAGCAGTAAGAAGCAGTGCCCTCGCTGCGCCGAGGGGGATAGTGGCTCCAGCATCCAGGGCATACTCCACAGTATGAAGGAGTTCGAGGAACAGGACACGTCTGCCCCTGGCCTCGCCGGCCCATCCCAAGGGCCAGTGTACCCGTCCAAGCTGCGTGCCTTTGTGGAAGATATCCAGGCCCAGGTGGCCGTGAAAAGGTTAGTCAAACGGACCAAACGCAGAAGTGCGCCCGAGAACTCATCAATGGCTGACACAGAACCCGGCACCAGTATCGTATTTTCCTTTTGGAAGACGACACTCGATCTCGTCAGCCAGCTCCTGGAGGCCCAGGGATTGGGCTGTTTTATGATCCACGGCTCACTCCCACTAAGCCAACGACGACAGATTCTGGATAGATTCCGGTCTACTGATGATGCCCATATACTCCTGATGACGCTGGGGACAGGAGCAGTTGGGTGAGTTGTGAAATGCGGAGAGGGTTGGTCAAGTTGTGGGCCAAACTCATGCTTATTGTTTCCCAGACTCAACCTCGCGGTCGCGTCAAGGATCTATCTCCTGGAGCCGCAGTGGAACCCGCAGCTTGAGCAGCAGGCGTTCGGGCGAGCTCAGAGGCTGGGACAGACGGAACAGGTCACCATTGTTCGCTACATCATGAGAGACACGGTTGAGGATGTAAGTCATCAGGCTTAGCACCCCCCTTTTGCTTACATGGCCGGGGAGAGAGGTGGCTGACCTGTGAATGCAGAGCAATGTCTGGCCGAGGCAGGCCAAGAAACTGCGAGACGCGACAAGAGGCTTTGAGAAGTCGGGAGGAAAGACCGGAAAAGGTCACGAACAGGATCTCCGTGTGAGTCATGTTGAGGAGTTGCTGAACACGGGTATGAAGCTCCGAGCACTCGTGACACGGGTACTGATGCAAGAAAACAAATCGAATAGGATGTCTTTATCCACGCAACCCCGGCCGCGGTGCGCAAGGAGGGGATGCCATCTATCTCAGAATTGTGCAGCCAGGAGTGATCCTTGACGAACGCCCCGTTCGGCCGCGCAAGTGCAGCAGCAGCAGCAGCATGTCCTACATAATACGAAGGAGGGAGGGACTGATGGTCCTTGCTGCCACAGCCCTGGACAGCTCTTCTCGCCGGCAGCCGCCCACGCCTTGCGGGCAGCTCACTTGGCGCCCGGGGCGAACAAGACCTGCTTGGTGTCGTAGTGATACTTGACCTCGCCGTGCCAGTAGGGTACGGAGTCAACCTTTGAGATCTTCCACGCCTCGTCGAGGGCGGCGACGACGTCGTCGGGCAGGGGCCCCTTCTCGATGTTGTCGAGGTTGTTGGCCAGCTGGTCGATGCTGGAGACGCCGATGATGATGCCGTCGTTGCCGTCCTTGATGTTGAGCTTGGAGTGGTGGACAACCCAGCGCAGGGCGGTCTCGACGAGGGACAGGCCGTGGGGCTCGACGGCCTTCTCGACGACCTGCAGGGCGTTGAAGGTGGAGTCGCGGAAATAACGGCCGCGGTACATCTTGCCGCTGGAGGCGGTGTCGCTGAAACGGCCCTCTGCCGGGGTGAAGTCCTTGGACTTGATCTTGCCGGAGAAGAGGCCGCCGGCGATGGGGTTGTAGACGACAATGTCCAGGCCGTAGCGGCGGCAGGCGAGGACCAGCTCGGTCTCGATGGAGCGCGTGATGGCGTTGTACATGCCCTGGTAGACGGTGGGCCGGACCCAGCCGTTGTACTTGGCCGTCAGGCAGATCTCGGCCACCTCGAAGGCGGTGAAGTTGGAGATGCCCAGCCTGACAAACCTGCCCTGCTTGTGCAGCTTGTCGAGGGCCTCGAGGGTCTCGGCAAAGGGCGTGGCGCGGTCGGCGGCATGGAGGTACAGGAGGTCAACACAGTCGGTGCCCAGCTCCTTGAGGCTGGTCTCGACGCTGGCGATGACCTTGTCGGCAGTGTTGTCGCCCGGCGCGCCCGGATACTGGACCTTTGTGGCCAGGGTGAGGCCCCTCTCCTTCCAGCCGGCCTCGCGGGTGAAGGCCTCCTGCTGGCCGCCAATGTAGACCCGTGCCGTGTCGACCTCGCTGTAGCCACGTTGTTGGTAGAGGTCGAGGATCTTTGCAAACTCAGGCACGGAAGTGATGCGGGCACCGGTGGCCTCGTCAGTGCCAAAGGTCATGAGGCCCAGGATGACGCGCGGGGTGGGGGCTGCTGCGACGAGAGGCATGGCGGGCAGAGATGTGTCTATATACCTGGGTGAGTGTAAATGTGTGTGTGTATACCCAGGTACTAAAAAGCACTCGAGCGGTATATACTGAGGTATGTGTATATATATATCTCTTGGTATTTATATGAAGAGAGAGATGGCGTTATCTCTTGATGAACACTGTTGATTGGTAGATGCTTTTGGACCAAGGAGGAATGGATGAACAGATGTGGAGATAAGTAAGTGGATAGTTAACTCCGGTGGGAAGAGGTCATTCCGGATCAGTATCATGATCATGTATAAACACTACCCTACCTACTGTCATGGATGCCAGCCACGGCATCCAGCTACCCAGGTACATGCGTAGGATACATGGCAAGCGTGGCCAGGTCTCCATGACGGAGATGGAGAGGAAGAGGGGTACATGTGGGCGGGCTACCAGCTCGGACGGAGCGTCATCGGCATCGTGGGAAGGGCGGGTAATAAGTGGATATAACAGTAACCATATGGATCGGATCATCGAGGTGGGGGCGTGTCTGAAGCTTGAGCTTTGACAGTGTGGAGCAGGGTCACTGTTGGTCTGTGATTGATGTTCTTAGTCTTGTTATTAGCGCACGGGGTAATAATACCTTTGTGCCTGATCCATGTTACATGTTGACCTCGGGATCTTGCCGTGTTGGGAGGGCCGTTGATATTCTAGGTTTGCCTGCAACAGTTACGAACAATAACGTTCTAACACACAACACCATATATACACTAATAAGTATACTACTAGTAGTAGATACCTCCGGGCCGACAATGGTCCTCAAGGGGTTCAATGAATGGCGCTGCCGTAGTCAAGAGTCCGTGTAACTTGTGCACACCATATAGCGTTGACCGTATATCATCCACAACATACCAATTAAACCATATTGGTCTCACCAAATCACCCCTTGAGCAGTCAAACCCCCGAACGCCATGGACATCTGGGCGCTGTGCTCGTGGGCCGGCCTGCTCTCCCTCGCCAGCCTCATCTACCGCGTCGCCAGCTTCGTCTCGCCCTTCCTCCGGCCATCGCGGCTTGACCGCTACCTCCACGACACAGACGGCAAGCCGCCATGGGCCCTGGTCACGGGTGCCTCGGACGGCATCGGGAAGCAGTTCTGCCACCAGCTGGCCGCCCGCGGCTTCAACGTCGTGCTGCACGGCCGCAACCCCTCCAAGCTGGGCCGGGTCGTGGACGAGCTGGCCGGGGCCTTCCCCCAGCGCCAGTTCCGATCCGTCATCGCCGACGGCTCCGAGATAGCCTGCAGCAGCTGTCGTCGTCCTGCGGGGGCCAGCAGTCCGGGTGGTCGTCACCAGGCTCACCAGGCTCACCAGGCCGTCGACTTTGAGGCCATCGCCGCCTCGCTGGCAGACATCAACCTCACGGTGCTCATCAACAACGCCGGCGGCGGCGTGGTCAACCCCGTCTACCAGTTCATCCAGGACTGCCCCGACGCCCGCCTGGTCGGCAACATCAACCTCAACGCCGTCTTCCCGCTGCTGATGCAGGCCCGCCTCGTGCCCCAGCTCCTGCGCAACGGGCCCTCGCTCATCATCAACATCGGCTCCCTGTCCGACATGGGCATGCCCATGCTCGGCTCGTACGCCTCGAGCAAGAAGTTTGCCGACACCGCCTCGCGCATCCTCCACCGCGAGCTGGTCCTCCAGGGCCGCCACCGCGACCTCGAGGTCCTGTTCGTGCGCGTCGGCGAGGTCACCGCCACCGCCTACAACTCCCACCCCGTCTCCCTGTTCGAGCCCGACGCCGCCACCATGGCCCGTGCCGCCCTGGCCCGCGTCGGCTGCGGCCGCCCCAACATCGTCGGCTACTTCCCCCACGCCCTGCAGCAGGCCGCGATGGACCTGGCCCCGGCCTGGGCCTACGAGAAGTCCCTGCTGGATGTCATCAGGGACCGCTGGGCACAGGACCAGGAGATGATGGCCAAGGCCAAGAGAGCCTGAGGGGGGGGAGGGGGTGGTTAAAAGGGTTTGTGTGCGTGTGTGTATGAGTGTGTTTGTGAGAATATTTGTGAGAGTATTTGTGGGGGGGAGAGAGAGAGAGAGAGCGTAAGCCGGCCCTGTTATCACTTCGGGATCATGTGGCCCCTGGGCCCGGCACATACCAGTGTCTTGTGCAAGTCATGTTCGATTACAATTGCTCCCATGCGGGAAGGGTATCTTCTATATGAAAAGTAGTCAAAAGGCCCCCAAACGCCAATCCTCGCACCCAACGCTTACGCTCACCAACGCGCACGTGGTCTCACGCCAGAATTACACCAGCGTGTTCTCCATTTTCCAAAGTTCCGGTCATGCACCGTCTATGCCGGTCCACACCCCCGCAGCTTTTATGTTGTGTAAACCGCCCGCCTCCCAAAAACACCCCTTCTGCACCACAAGACACAAGAGAAATTTCACGGCTGGCTCCATGGCCTCAAGAGCACGACAAGCCACGGACAGAGCCCGTGACTCTTCAGGCTATTTGACGTGGGGTTGGCTGTGCCCTTCACTGGCCGTGTGATGATGGAATTTCTGGCCGCCGGCCTATGAGGCACCCGCCATGTGGAAATTGAAGATGCCAAGCTCGCCGTCGACGTCACTGTCCTCGTCCATCTGTGCCGTGTCGGGGGTGGCGGGTTGGTCATCCGAGGAGCTGTCGGACTCGGCCCAGTCCGCCGTGTCCTCGCCCGAGCTGGACGAGCAGGCGTCGTCGTCGTCTAGGCCTCCCTCGCTGCAGCAGCCCGCAGCGTGATGCATGGCCCTGGAGGCCATGAGGTTGCGGTCGCTGTCTGCCACGCGCTGGGGGAACCTGTCTCCTAGCAGCAGCCCCGCGGCCGGGGCTGGGTTCTTGTCCATCATGCCGGCGTAGAGGCCCTGCAGGTTGTTGGTGGAGAGCTTGAGCATCTGCTCCCAGTCGGCGGCGGACCTGGCCCTGTCCGCGGGGCTCAGTGGCTTGCTGGTGACACGTACGGGCCTCTCGACGCGCCTGCGTTTGCTGACACCCGAGGGGCTGTCCTCGGGCCTGTGCCTTGCGTCACTGCTCGCCCTACGCTTCAGGGCGACAGCAGATCTCCTCCTCAGCGGCAGTAGGCCAGAGCCCTTGGAGTCGGTCATGTGTGTTTGCTGGTCGACATGCTGGCGGGCCCAGTCCTGCTCGGAGACAGCGTCGGCGATGAAAGGTGCGGATGGGTGGTTTGCGAACTCCATGACCAGATGGAGGGATTATTGCAGAGACGGGTTGGAAACAGACGAGACTGGGATTTATAGTGGGATAAAAGGTAAGAAAATGCCTTTTTCTCTTGTTACTATTTTCTGGCTTTGCAAACAAATGGGAGATGGATTTAGGATTAGGAAACAGTTGGTGGGCGAAAGAGAGAGACAGAGAGAGAGAGTTGAAACAAGATTCAGAAAGGGAGATGAGGGGTGGGCAGGGGGCCACATGAATATATGTATGTAGATATATATAACACCACGAGCGCTGGCCCTTGATCGCAGGACGGAAGGAATATGGATTATTGAACGAGAGAGATAGTTGGTGCCCCGTGCGGCGAGCCCACAGCGGCGGTCAGTGGCACAAGGAGCACAAGGAGCACAGGGAGCACAGGGAGCCAAAAGCTTGGATGCGACGTGCCCGTTGGTAGGCGAGCGGGCGAGCAGGGGTGGCCGGGCGCGGCGCTGCGGGCCAGAGTGGATGTGAAACGCGAGACTCAACGTGCGCCTGCAGGAGCTCACAGGGCGGCTTGTTTCGAGTGGACTGCGGGCCTTTGCTGACTGCCCTGGCAGCCCTGGCTGCCCCGGCTGTCGCAGGTTGTCGCTCTCTGTGGGTGGTTGGGGGATGAAACAGACAGACAAATATATTCCACACACACCCAACTGCAAGTACACAGACACACACGCACACCGAGAAGGTGAGGGGGGATGGATGAAAACATACCGAGACCAAGAGACGAGAGACGAGAGACAAGAGCACCGAGTACAAGAAGAATTCGGGGCTGAGTTGAGCCAGGCACACCTAATCTTCGGGCGCTCCGCATCTCACGCAACGCAGCGCAGCATCGAGCACTCGATCTCCGGAGGGAACCAGAGAAATGCGCCCCGCGTACCGGAGCCTACAGCAGGACAGGAAACCCCCCGTGCTGGCTGGGACCCCGGCGGCCCCCGAGGTGAGAAGTTAGTTGTCGGTTTCCAAATTTAGCCAGGGCGGGGAGGCGACGGGGAATTCGGCGATCCACCACAAGGCCCAGTAGCCGCCCAGGCGCAGGCATCAACGATGGCCGGATGCCATGCCCACTGCCCGCAGAGGAGGCGAACCGACAGCCCTTGAGAATGCTGAGTAGCATCGTGGCATCGTGGCATCGTGGTCCGTGTCGAGTGCATGAGCGAGGAGGATGGACGCAGGTTGGCGGGCGGGCCACGGTTTTTTGGCCACGGCCAAGCATGTGCAGAGTACAGATTAGACATCTACAAGTCCGCATGCCCAGAATAGCAGCAGCTCACAACAGCAGCTCAGAACAGCAGCTCAGAACAGCAGCAGCATGTGCCGTGCCGTGCCGGTTGGTCGCCTTAAGAGAGGGCCGACCTCGATCGTGGCCAGCCCCAGGCCCGCTGCTGGTGGGCCTCGCTCGCAAGCGGCCCGCAGGCTGGCAGCACGGGATGGGGCCTCTCTCTGTCCACGCAGCCGTGGTGATCGGTGCCTCAAGCGTGGCTGGCCTGGCTGTTGCAGCATACGGAGTAGTGCTATAAGACAGCCTTGGAAGACGGGACGGGACGACAGGTCAGGATGGGACGAGACGGAAACGGATGGTCTTGTCTCGGGTGTTGCTGTGGGCGATCAGGACGAGCTCGTGTCTGTGCCTTTGCAGGCAGGCAGGCAGGCAGTCGTTGTCTTGGAGGGCTGGAGAGATGGCCGATCTGCAGCAGACGGTTGAATGCTGAATACGAGAGGCTGCTCGTGATGGACCAAAATGGACCGACCGGCTGGACAGACATGGCCCAGGGTTAGGGGTGACGGTCCTGGCAGTCCTAGTCCTCCTTGCTTGAAGTCTCATCTCCTGCCAGTCCGATTGTGGCAAGGGCGAAAAGGGGGTTGCTTGCCAGCTTGCGTGGACGGAGGGAAATGGCAGGGTCCTCAATGGCTGATGCTGATGAAGAAAGAGAAGGGGAGAAAAAAGATACGTACCCCGGAACCCACATTCGAGCCCGCCTATCTCGCCTATCTACCAACCAGGTGAGCCCTCCCTCCTGGCGCTAGTCCCCTTCCAGAAGCCGACCAATGGGCGCCCACTGCAGTCCGTCTCCCGTCTCCCGTCTCCCACTTCCCCCGTGTGCCCCAGCCAGCCAGCCCAGCCAGCAGAAGCCCCAGGCCCAGGCCTGCCTAGGCACAGCAGGACGGAACCAGACCAGACCAGGAAGGAACCTGGCCAGATAACGAACGGACACCAACACTTTTCCAAACCACGGGCTTGCTTGCTTGCTTATTACCTCTGGTGCAAACCCACTCTGGCCTGCTGCAGAACAACAAGACCTCGACACACACACACACACAAGACACGAACACGTCGACCGCCATCGACTCGACCTTGTTCGAATCGACCCGCTCGGATCGACAACCCATCCACACTCGATGCCCCCGACAACGGGCTCTGCCTAGGGCACATACTCCGTACCTACAATAATATCCGGACAACCAGAGCACAAACGCGTGCCAGGCGCATCAGCTCCAACCTCCAATCCCCCTCGTCGACTCCTCTGTCGACGCTCCTGTCGACGTTCGAGAGCCAGACCGTCCCTCAGAGGGATCCTTCGTCCCCTGCCGCTCGTTTATCGCCAACCTCGCCAGCCACATAGACAGACCTCGACCGCCCGCATCTCGAGCTGGCTGCCGTGGTCCATCGCCTCACACCCTGCCCCCTTTGGCCGCGCGCCCCTTCTTGGGACACCAGCCATAGCCGCCTGGATATACCTGTCGCGGCATAGCACCTAGCCCGCCATGGATCTGATCCGCCGGGCTGGGAAGGCCCTCTCTGGGCCCCCGCCCCTCCCAACCGCAGACGAGAAGCTTCACAAGTCAAAATCACAACCGGGCAGGTTCTGGTCGCGCCTGGCCTTCTTCCGCAGGCCCCTCCGCCTCAAGGGCAACTCCGCCATCTCCATACCCCTTGGCGTCGTCATCCTCTTCCCTCTCATCGTCGTCATCCTCATCCTGGTCCTCTTTGTCAGGCATCCCAGCTCCGCCGGGAGGATACTGATGCCCGCCGGCGCGCCCCCGGCCATCAGGAAGATCAGCGAGAAGTACGACAAGGTCTTTGTCGAGGGCTGCCTGGAGCCAGACACCTCCAAGCCCAGGGCCAACGGCGCCTTCGTCGTCCTGGCCCGCAACAAGGAGCTGGATGGTGTCATCCAGTCCGTCAAGTCCATCGAGCGCCACTTCAACCGCTGGTACCACTACCCCTACGTCTTCCTCAACGACGGCGACTTCAACCAGACCTTCAAGGACACCATCAAGAACTACACCTCCGCCCCCGTCGAGTTTGGCAAGGTCGGCCCCGACATGTGGGGCTTCCCCGACTGGATCGACCCAAAGGTCGCCAAGGAAGGCATCGCCAAGCAGGGCGACGCCGCCGTCATGTACGGTGGCCTCGAGAGCTACCACGCCATGTGCAGGTTCTACTCTGGGTCAGTTCAGAGCCCCCCTCACCATCCATCCTACCATTGACCGGCCCACCGTCCCACCGTCCCACCGTCCCCTTGCTGACCTGACGCACAGCTTCTTCTACAAGCACCCACTCCTTGCCAAGTACGAGTGGTACTGGCGCCTGGAGCCCGAGATCAGCTACTTCTGTGACATCACCTAGTATGAAGCGCCATGCCAACCCCCCCCCCCCTTCTTTCCCCTCATTATTCGCCCCTACTCTCTGATGCTGATTCCTCCATAGTGATCCCTTCCTGGCCATGATCGAGGCCAACAAGACATACGGCTTCACCATCGCCGTCAAGGAGCTCCGCGAGACCGTCCCAAACATCTGGCGCTACGCCTCGGCCTACAAGCGCATGAACAACCTGACCTCCAAGGGCCTGTGGGAGATGTTCGTCGAGCCCAAGCCGGAGCCTGAGCGCAACGAGCCCCCTCAAGACCCAGAGACCCCGCCCCTGCCCGAGGAGATCCTCCGCTCCGAGCCTGGCCGCAACGGCCTGCCCGACATAGACCCCGAGGCCATGGAGGGCGAGAGCTACAACATGTGCCACTTCTGGTCCAACTTTGAGATCGCCCGTCTGAGCTTCTTCAGGAGCAAGGAGTACGAGGACTTTTTTGAGATGATGGACCGCAGCGGTGGCTTCTGGATGGAACGCGTAAGTAGCCCCAAAGGCACAAACCCCCGCGCCTGTGCCCTTCCCCGCCCGGCCCCGTCTCTCCCTGTCTCAAGATGTCGAGCTGACCTGACCTGTCCCGCAGTGGGGTGATGCACCCATCCACTCGCTCGCCGCCGGTGCCCTGCTGTCCCCCCGCGACATCCACTACTTCCGCGACTTTGGCTACCGACACACCACCATCCAGCACTGCCCGGCCAACGCGCCCCTTGGGCGGCAACTGCCCCGGCAGCCGTACCTCGAGAAGACGACGCTGGACGAGCGCAAGCGCATCGAGGAGGATGACTACTGGGAGCACTGGGACCCGCCAAAGGAGAACGGCGTGGGCTGCCGGTGCCGCTGCGACACCGACATCGTCGACGTCGAAGGCAAGGAGGGCAGCTGTATGGCCGAATGGGTCGACGTCGCCGGCGGGTGGGCCAGCCCTTAGAAGGGGTAAAGCTACTATACTAGAAGAAGGGCCCAGAACACGCCGGCGCTGCTGGCCGAGGGGAGAAAAAAAGGCTCGGTGTGCACACCAAAGATTTACCAACATCAGGCCTCGGATGGCCCGATGACGACGTGAACGGACGCGGACACGAGATAGGAGCTGTCACGACTAAGAGATGGGAATGACGCGGGGGCTGGGACTCGAGAGGCCCGGGGAGGCGGGCCAGGGGAACCTGTGCATCACGATTCATGTGGGGATTTGTCTATATTCGACCGCAAAAGAGCCGCATTAGTAGCGAGCACTGTGCGTGGGAAGTTTCAACGGCCGGCGTCTATACCAGGCCGCATGTCATACAAACAGAAGGGGTTGCCCGTGAAATTACAGTCAGTCAGTCATACTTGCATCTTGTCCTGCATAGAGTCAAGGGGCGGTGGGAAAAGGGCCGAGGAGCAAGCAAGCAAGCAAGCATCTGGGGCGAGCAGGATCAGGGCGCAGAGGCCGGGTGTCCTTGAGCTGTGTGGTCTCGTCTGGTCTCGGGTCTGACGCAGCATAGGAGCTGGTGGCATATGCCCACAGACAGGCACACACACATCTCGGCCCTGCTGCGTGCCTCTCGACTCTCCTTGGCGCGGCTGCTGTGCCCGCCCCTCTCTTGGATTACACAACGGCGCCATATAATTAATCAGAACGGACTGCATTGGCAAGGGCCAAAGATTGGACTTGTTTGTTTCTCTGCTTGTGCTCTTGTGCATATGCCATCAAGCTGGCTGCGTGGAGGACTCCGAGTCGTCCAAACTCTGGACCGCAGGGAGACAGTTGAATCGTCCAACCTACGAGGCGAAGGCCAACATTGTCTAACGGAGGCAGGCCTTTGGATTGTCAGCATCAAGATTCTACACCGAATCACCCTCCCCCAACCACCCCCGGCTGGTCCATCACCACTCTGCGCTGTACAGGGGCTCAGCAGAGTCGGTGACGGCACCATGGCTGGCGTCGCCGACCAGTCGAGCATACTTGGCCAGGGTGCCCCTCAGGGGCTTCTGTACCGGCGGCCTCCAGCTCTTCCGCCTCTCCCTCAGCTCCTCGACCGTGGCGTTGAGCACGTCGATGCGGTTCTCCACGGCGTCGATGCGGACCTCGTCGCCGTCCCTGACCATGGCGATGGGCCCCCCGACCGCCGCCTCTGGGCACACGTGGCCCACGATGAACCCGTGGCTGGCCCCCGAGTACCGGCCGTCCGTGACGAGCGCGACGTTGGTGAGCCCGGCGCCCATGATGGCCGCCGACGCCGTGAGCTGCTCCGGCATGCCCGGCCCGCCGCGCGGCCCCTCGTAGCGCACGATCAGGACGAGGTTGCCGTCCGTCACCTTGATCTCGCCGCTCTGCAGCGCGCTGTTGAGCTCGTGCTCCTTGTCAAAGACCCTCGCCTTGCCCGTGAACGACAGGCCCTCCTTGCCCGTGATCTTGGCCACGGCCCCCTGCGGGGCGAGGTTGCCCCTGAGCACCCGGAGGTGGCCCGTCTTCTTGATGGGGTCGTCGAGCGGCCTGATGATCTTCTGCCCCGGGTCGAGCGACGGCCACGAGCTGCAGTTCTCGGCCAGCGTCCTGCCGGTGACGGTCATGAGGGACCCGTCGATGAGGCCAGCGGCGATGAGCATCTTGAGCACCGACGGCGTGCCGCCGATCTTGTACAGGTCCTCCATCAGGTGCTTGCCGCTGGGCGCCAGGTCGGCCAGGAAGGGCACGCGGTTGCTCGTCCTGTCGATGTCGTCGAGGGTCAGGGGCACGTCGGCGCTGTCGGCCATGGCGAGGAAGTGCAGGACGCTGTTTGTGCTGCCGCCGAGCACCATGGTCAGGACCAGGGCGTTCTCGAAGGCGGCCCGGGTGAGCAGGTCCCTGGGCCGGATGTCCTTGGCCATGACCACCCCGATGGCCTCGGCCGCGCGCTCGCACTCGCGGGCCTTCTCGGGCGACGTGGCCGGGTACGAGGAGCTGCCGGGCAGCGAGAGCCCCATGACCTCGATGGCCGTGGCCAGCGTGTTTGCCGTGTACATGCCGCCGCAGGCCCCGACGCTGGGGCAGGCGTGGTGCGCAATCTCCTCGAGCACGTCCTCGGGCGTGGCGGCGTCGCCGTTGGCCTTGGGGCACCTGGCGTGCAGCCTGCCGTACGTGTAGGCCCCCGCGGACTCGTAGCACGTGGATATGTTGATCTCGCGGTCCAGCAGGGACGAGTGGCCCTTGTTGATGGTGCCGCCGTAGATCATGATGAAGGGCCTGTTGTGGCGGGCCGCGGCCATGATGACCCCGGGCATGTTCTTGTCGCAGCCCGGGATCGAGATGTTTGCGTCATGGCGCTGGGCGCAGGTCACCGTCTCGATCGAGTCGGCTATGATCTCCCTCGACTGGAGCGAGTAGCGCATCCCTGTGGTGGTGGAGCTTGTTGGTCAGACCGCCCTGGGTTCTAAATTCCACTGCAAAGTCCCAAGGTTGTCGAATATAGATGGATGGATGGACCTACCCTCGCTCCCCATCGTGATCCCGTCCGAAACGCCAATGGTGTTAAACTGCCAGGCAAGCATGCCCTGCTTCTCCACGGCCCTCTTGACGATCTTGCCCATGTCCATAACTAGTAGCTGTCAGTCAGTCGGAGCTGTTGGCTGTTGAACTGATGATCACTTGGCCAGGTGAGGCCGTCCCATCAATGATGCCCGGTGCTTACGATGCGTGCTGGAGTACCATGTCAGAATCTCAAGGGAATACCGTCCGGGACGACGAGCTGGCTGGCCGGCTGTCGGGCTGGCTGGCTGGCTCACTTGCAAGGGTTTCCCTCCCACCACACAGTTGAGATGCCAACATGAGGAGCGTTTCTCATGGTCTGGTCGTCAGGAACTCCGGCGGCGTAGAGCATGGCCTTGTGCGGGTGGCACGAGTGTTAGCCTGACGATATCCGGGTTCGTGGCCTGGTCGACCTGGCCTGGAGGACTGACCTGAGCTCCAACATAGTCGTGACCCTTGGTCATGCTGTGGCTCCACCGGTTGAGAGGGCCTCCGGGAGGGAGACAGTCCCATTGGATATAATCACCGTCCCTGGGTTGGTTCCTGGCCCCATCGCCATTGCTGGCTTTTGCGTCCATCTTGTTATTGTCTGACTCTCTTGCGAGATCTCTTCTCTACGTCAGCTCAACTACTATAATATATATATATATATATGTGTGTGTGTGTGAGTATGTGTGTTGGGGAGGGGAGGGTGGAGAAGGGGCAATAAGCAGTCCAAGGCTGTTTATGACAGCAGAGGGTGGGACAGGAGGACACACAGGTCTTATTCCGACAAAAAGATATCAGCCGAGGGCCGTATAAACGAGAAATAACCGGGACTAGGCCTTGGTCAGGGAGTAGACGCTTCAGATCATGCAATTGGTGGGAGGAAGCTGGGTGCAAGTGTGGTCACGCACAAGGGCAGAAGGCAATGCCAAAGGTTGCAAGTTAAGTGTCAGGGCAGAAAAGCACATGGGAGACGAGGCGGAGGCAGGTTCGGTCTTTGCACAGAGACATGGGCGAGCAGACGGGATGCTGGCGCCGAGGTGGCCGGGAAGCAGCGAGCACGCCGAGCACATGCAGCACATGCAGAACTTGAGAGCCCAACCCAACCCCAACAACAACGGGCGGGCCCACCAGCCTGGTCCTGTGCCTGATGCTGTGCTTGTGTCTGTGCTCTGCTGCGCCGGCGCCGGTGTATCGTGTGTGGGGGAGGGAGGACAGGTTTTGGACAGCGCGGGGGCGCAGGTACACGCGTGGTAAGTCAGGTACTGTGTAGTCTACGTGTACCCCGTACACGGACAGATGAGCATCGTGTGCCGGGCTCGGAAGCATGACCCATGCCCCCTCAGTGCCGACCGACAAGGCCCGCTCGAGCGTGCGAGGGAACCTATCCGTATGGCCAGTCCATCACTACTCTACAGTGTAGGGCTCCTAGCAACCTAGGTAGACAAGTAGACCAGGGAGGGATACAAGTACGGGGTACACTCAGCCCCTTCTGTTATATATGTATGCAAGTATATATGTATGTATGTATACCTGCGTATGTATATATAGGCACGTACACTACTTCTTAATATACGAACCAGATCCATAGCTGCGGGAGACTGATGACAAGGTCGGTCTTGTTCCCCCCGAGCATGCCCGAGGTGGCTTACACAGAGTGTACCTAGCACTTCAGGTTGAGGTGCTCCGTACGTCAGCGGGCAGTGGGCAAGTGCAACGGCTGCCAGTAGTCGTCCCAGGCCAGAGGCTAACATGAAAACGGAGAGCCGAGAGGGCGGGTCCTGGCCTCAAGGTGGTACGTCCGCACTTGGTACCCACTCGATCCCAGACGAGTGATCGAATCACATCGTCCTTGTTGGCAATCATCCGGCTGCTGCTAACATGGCCCTTGGCATTGCCCAATCAAAGTCATCCTGCTCTGACGGGAGGGAAAATATACACACACATGTACATATGTACATATCTATATTGCATATATGTATGTAAATCCATGTCCAAGCGGGCTGTCAATTGAGGAAATGCTGCAACTTCTCAACAGTCATCAGTCATGGATCCTGAGAAATACACAGACAGACAGATGACAAGAAAACAGCACTGTTGAACAAAACAAAGATGGGTCGACTGGCCCCGCATTCTTGCAAGTGGGGAGGGAGGTGGGGAAGAAAGGGGGGGTGAGGGGTAACGGCACCACCACCTTGCAGCCATGGTACCCCTCTCCCTATTCCCCTTGCTCGTCTCCATTTCTTAACCCGCGACTGTTCTTTTGTACACAGTACCCCAGCCCAAGACCAATCTACATACCTCCTAGTCCCTTAGGCCCGGGCCAGAATCTAGGGCCCCCAACTCCCAGCCTGGACCAAATAGCTACCTAGATAGGTACTTCTTCTATACGAGTATATGTGCGTATAATATACACAGGTGCTGCTACACACACAGACTTGCACACAGATCGTGGCCGGGTTGCCGTGTTTGGCCATCTACCGCACCCATTAGCGTGCCCGCTCAGCCAGCACGATATAAGATGACAGACATATATATGTACGGCGCGCATATGTATACAGGAGGTACATAAGGTTATATCCATGTACACTGGGGCTGTAGCCCATGTCTACTCCGTACCTTTACAATATATATTTGAACGGGCTGAATGCATCCAAAATCCAATCCTCCCCACTGATCGGTCCAACGAACCAAGTCAGACGCTCCTGAAGTGGCTCAAGCTGGAACACCTGTAGACAGCGCTCACACAAAGATTGTCATGTCAGGAGTGGAGAAAAACGATCATTGGTATTGCTACCCCCAACCTCCCTCACACCGCGCCGCCTTCACTAGATACTGAATGCACAAGTCAAGCAAGCCACAGAGAGACCGCTGCCACCATTCGCTGTCCATCGTGTTCCCTTCAGGCCGGCCGGCACGTTCCTCTTTGTTGAGCTACCAATGCCTGGCCGCCTGTCCTCCCCGAACACCGCGTCCGAGATGCCAATGCACATTGCTCATATGCATATCATGTACATGTGTGAGACTTCCCAGATCCGCATGACTCCATGCTATCATTTCAAGACCAACCCATCCGAGGGGGAAAATAGAAGTCCGTCCCGCCAACAAGCCCAATCCTTTCCATCACTCCCATTAGGGCCGCCCCAGCTCCTGGACCAACCACACACACACACACACACACACATACAATTTCTCCTCTCCCGCCTCAAGCCTTTCACCAAGCCACCAGGTTCTCAAAAAGGTCAGGTATCGGGTTGAAGAGAAGATTTTGCTGTCAAACCACACAATGTCGTGCTCGGAGTGCCCCGAGTCCCCAGGCCGTTGAGGCTATAAGGGGACATCAGGAGAGGCAGAGGCGTCCCGGGTTCTCTCAAGAATCCCCGATCGTCCATCATCATCGTCTCGTAGGTCGTCATCGTACAGGACAAATGAGAGGGAGAAAAGAAAAAAGAAAAAAGAAGAAGAAGAGGTTGTACAAAGGAAACGGCTGGTATCAGGTGCCCAAAGCTCTACCGCCTGAGGGCTCTCATTTGTATCGTGTGAGTTTGAGGATATATATGAGTCCACTGTTCAGGTATCTTGTTGTGAGGCTGATGCTTCTTAGGCGCCGACACCAACCATGACCCTCTCCTCTTCCATCCTTCTCACCATCTCCCTCTCCTTGGGGCTCCGCGGGTTGGCGTCGATCCCCAGGATGGCCGAGATGCGGGTCTTGTCCTGGCACTGCTTGCCGTAGATGTCCCTCTCGTCCGGGCTGCCGATGGGCGTGATGGGGGTCTGTGCCGCGTAGCTGTGGGCCGACGACATGCTGCCGGTGGAGGTGGTGCTCGCACCGCCCGACCTCCACGCCTGCTCCAGCGCGACGGGGTGGACGCCGCTGCCGTAGTCGGCAGCCACGGCCGACCAGAAGCTGTTGCGGTGGGCGCTGTACACGGCCTGCAGGCGTCCCATGTCGACGGGCTGCGACGAGGCGGCAGACGACAACGAGGGCGCGGGCAGCCCGGAGCAGTCCAGGCGCAGCGGGGCCATGGGCGCCGGCGTGTGTGCCGCGCTGGCCATGGTGGGCGGTGGGGTGGTCCTGGAGTGCGAGGCGGCCGAGAAGCTGGCCGACGGCAGCAGCGGCGCGCTGTGCTGCTGCTGCGCGTGGTCCTGCAGCGAGCTGTACCTGGAGGAGCTCAGGGCCAGGGTCATGCCCGCGGGCTTGGGCAGGATGGCGGGCAGGCGCGGCGACGAGCCGGAGCCCACGCCGGCGTTCATGATGCTGGGGAGCTGCACGCTGCCGGGGGAGCCCGGGTGGCCGTAGCTGATGACGGACCCGGGGGGAGACACGCTGCGGCTGGGGGACTCATGGATGGGGCTCGGGATCGAGGCCTGCATCAGGGGCGAGTGTCCATTGGACGAGGAGCTCGACGACATGGACGTCGTCCTCTTGCGTCGGTTGCTGCCGTGGCTCAGCTGGTGGTAGTGCAAGCGGCATGCCAGCTCCGTCTTCTTCAAGTGGGCGGCGATGTGCTTGTAGGGCATCTTCTGCAGGCGGGTCTGGAGAAGATAAACCTCCTGTTGTTGTTCAGAATCGTCAGCAAAAGATACTCCCCTCGGGTCTGCCTCCTGTGTGCCCCCCCCCCCTCATCCCACTCCACAACCGGAAGGCCATTGGCCATTCCTCAGATCTCCCCCCCCCCCAAAACACCTGGCGGCACCAACGGGTTCCAAGTCACGTACCTCGTCCTCGCTCCATGCTCTGCCTCCTCCGGTCGAAGAGCTCTTGCGACTCTTGGTGATGCCATACTCGTGGCGGTCCATAACATCAGAGGTCGGGTTGTACATTGCCGCGGGCATTGTCATGGCCATGGTCGGAGACATGATGTTGCTGTGTTCGTGTTGGTGTGGGTGTCCACGAATTGAATACGTATCCAAGTTGTTCTCCGTCAAATAATTTCTCGCAGGCCAAAGCTGCGTTCTGAATCGAAAAAAGAAGGGGGTAGATTATTGTGAAGCCCTTTCCCTGGCACGCTTTGGTTCTGTCGAGAGCGTCTTGTCCTGTCGTTCCTGCTGCCGAGGTTCGTCGTTGTCGTCGAGGGTAGAAGCGAGCAGAGAATCGGAAGGTGGTTGAAACCGACGGGCAGTGAATAAACCAGATTACACCGTTGACTAAAAAGTGTGTGTATTTCTAAAGAGGGAGGGGCAGCCAATCCAGTTGGTCTCCTTCGTAGAAGACAAATGAGCGTCAGGGTTCAGCCGCGTTAAAATGAATAAAAACTATTAAAGAAAGGGACACACACACGCAACAGCGTCGTGATAAGGTCAGTAATGTGGAATATCAGGATCAACCGTGATGAGAGAGAAGGAGTAAACAAGACAAAACGATCTCCGGGAGGGAGTGGGCATTAATAATAGTTGCTCGAGCGTATTGCCTGGCCCGCCGGCTCCCCATGCCAGGCCAGCAGCCCAGGGATCGACCGCACCATCCAGGGGGGGTGGAGGGAAGGGTGACAAGAGACGGAGAGGCGAGGCGAGAGCACCACAGAATGGTACCGCTACCCATCGTGTGGAGGAAGAAGCATATCAGCCTTGGGACGGATGGGCAGGGGTGCTCGGTCTGGCAGTCCAGGTAGGCTCTAGCCTTGTTACAGACCTTCTCTTGGAAACCGTGGGCCCCAAAAAAAGGTTGCGTACCGACTAGGTTGACGGGTCGGAGGTGTGTGGCAGCAGTGTGTGGCAGCAGAATAAAGCATAACGACGTGCGGCTCCACCCAGCCATTCTGGGCCTGGTGTGGCCAAGCCCTTGTCAAGGCTCCCCACACATCAAGTAAGAGCCTCAGAGTTCGAAGTCTCACCCAGACATGACCATCCCGGCGACCCGCAAGGTCCATACGCTTTGAGTCAAGGGTCGCCGACAGCCACACAGCCAGTAGGGAGCGGGAGCGCCTGGGCATGGCGTCAGTATATCCCAGCCAGACCACTTGATCGGTATCGCTCGTCGTCACCGGCTGGGGGGGGGAGGGGGTGTATGAGTTGTTGGACTAGCCGTTACAGCCCTACCAACTTGGATGGGATGGACGAGCGCGTTGTAGACACACACCCACAGACACGCAGGCGTGTACAATGTGCGCGTGTGTCTCTGATGGTCTCGAGAGTCTTGGGCGACTACTGCCGGACACTAAATTCATCCCAACCGCTCATGAACACCTCTCTGCATGACCCCGGCCCAGAAACAATTCTGCAGCTCTGGCTCAGGACGTGGAGCAACGAGAGACCAATGGCCACGGCCAGGCCTTTCCGAGAAGGAGGGTAAAGCACACATACACATGGCCAGAAGGGGAGATGCGGGGAATGTGAGCGGGTGCATAGGGCGGCTGGAAGCTATAGCATCCGGCAGCAAGGGACGCAGGCAGGAGGCGAAAGGGCGGTAAACACAACAGGTCCAAGACACCAAGCAGGCCTAGGCAGGGCGCAAATACGGGTCCTGCGTTACATCGATCAGATCTGTTCTGTTTGATGTGGATTTCGTTTCGGACAGCGCGACCGAAGACGAAGGGGACGAGGTCCCTTTTCGGCCGGCCGTCGCAGCAAACACAAAGGGAATAATAATAATAGACAGGGTGGAATTGTGTGGTTCTGTGGTACGCGAGCCGGACAAGCGGGGCCTTGGCTCTATGGGGCAGATGGTGGATATGTGTCTCAGGGATCTTCTGCCAGGTGTGTAATCCACCAGACACAGGCAATGCAGGCATTGCCAACTCGTGTGGAATGCGCAGTGGACATGACAAGATAGGGATTGTTTGACCGGCAACTTGAACCGTAGGCGACAACATGAAGATGGGGCGTGCCGAGCAGACGTCTATGCTATGCTCTCGCGTCGAGAACGGAGGGGCAGATGGGCGATCAATGACCGTGTTGGGGCAGAGCATGACGGAGCCCGCATTTAGCCATGTCCCAGCTGGGGGGCGTGATGTTTGGAGTAGTACTATGTAGTAGTAGCAGCAGCAGCACCAGCATTAGCCGACTTTTTTTTCGTTTCCGGAGGATGGGGAACGGCGTTCTGTGCGCACATATGCCACCGTCGTGCAGGGACGGCTGTCAACCAGCTGGGTTGAGGTCGAGTTGAGGTCAGAGTGAGAGAGAGTGTGTGTGACACCTGGACAGTGAGGCTAAGGCGAGGTGAGGTTGAGGTCCGTCACCCCGAGCCCGGGTTGCAAGTTCCAGTGTCCAGGTCCGGCCCTTGGTTGTCCACCATTATCTTCCACTCCTCTAACTTGGGGCCCGCGTTTGAAAGGGTGTGGGGGCCCTGTGGGCCGGCCGCTCTGCTTCAGATCGTTACAGAGCCGCACTGGTCCAGCAGCATCTGCGCCGCCGTGATTGGCCAGCAGCGCCGGTTCCTGTCTCGTGGGCTCGCCCTTCCAGGGGCCACCCCAGCCTGTCTAGTCGCCCCGTATAATCTTCGGCAAGGGCTGTGCCTGTGCATGGGGCCTGTGTGCCCCTGCGCGTCCCGGCACGTCCTGGCACGTCCTCGTGGTCCTGGCACTCCCCAGGCTTCGCCCAGGTCGAGGCTCAGCCGCCGGGTCATCGTCACCAGGACTCTTCTTGATTGGTGCGAGGGCGGCCATGCCCCCTCCCCCGTTGAAACAAGAGGCTGTTTCTATCCCACAGCCTGATACTGACGATTGGTCAATCATGCCGCTGGTCGCATGGGCGCGCGAGAGCCGAGGACGCTGCCAGCAAGTATCTGCTCATCCCGAAACTCGACACCACTCACTGGACGGGTTTCCAAACAAATGCATCCTCGTCCATCTCATCTGGCCCAGCTGTACACACGGCCAGTCTTGGTGTGTGTAGAGACGACAAACAACAACACCAACAACAACACCAACAACAACAACATTGTCCAGGGCAGAAAACATCAGCAGCACTGCCCTGCCGAACACACGAGCCCGGCGCCAATGTCCTTGGCCTTTTGCCGTTGACAACGTGTCAGACCAGGCATAGCACTGGACTAGTTCTGAACGAGAACGACTTAGCATGCCAAACGCCTCCTGCTGACAGACTTGACATGTTGCCGCCGCCGCCGCCACCACCACCAACGCGGTTCGGGCGGGCTTATTGCGGGCTTACCGCCGTGCTTGCTCTGTTTGGTTTTAATCTCGCATGCTGCAGCCTCCGGTCGCGACGTGTGGATCTTGGCACTCTAGCATACTAATATACTAGTATACCGTACCTGGTAGGCCTGCTCCTATGCCCCACGTCGGCTCCGGGCAAGGGCAGCACAGCTCGGGAGCCAGGCAGGCTTGCACAGTAGTAGATCAACATTGAGATTGAAACACCAATGATGTGCGGAGGCTCGTATGGTAAAAGTGCAGCGGGGCCGGCACCGGGTTTTGCCAGCCAGCCTGCAGAGAAGCGACCCGAGAAAGCCTGTCCGAATGTCCCCTTGGAATGTCTCCTTGTCTTTGGTTGGCGAGCCTCGAGAGGGTGCCGGGCAGCGTTCGTGGTGTGGCCGCAAGGCTCCGATCCCTTGAAACTCGCTAGCTGGTAGCCACAATTTCACCCTTGTGTCAAATCAGCCTTCGACCACACCACACCACACCAGTTCGGTTCGGTCCAGTACTCCGTGCAGTATGACAGTCTGACAGTCCAGCACAGGCTCTGCCGTTCCTCATCGCTTCAGTTCATCTCACTTCTTCGTCTTCTTACTGCTGGTTTTGTCCTTGTCGTCGCTGCCGCCATCATTGTTGTCCAACGGTTGGCCCAGCCACGTCCTGTTCCGGGGAGGCCGTCGTTGCTCCTCCCGTCTCCCAGCATAGCATCTCATTACCTATTGCAGAGCCGCATCCCTGTCGAAACCTCGAGTCCCGACGCTCCTGGACTGCTGGGCCTGGCCTGGCGCAGCCAGTCATGGCATATCCTGGCCTGGCCTGCCACAGGGTAGCCCTCTATTCACTCATTCGTCTGTTCCGCCCCTACGGTCAAGGCTCAGAAACAAGATTCTCCTGTGAGAAGTTTGCTTTCCCGTCCCCGCGTCCCACTAATGCAGCCAAACCTTAATGCGTCCTATCCTGCCGCCGTTGGTTCCGCAAATGTGGCAGCCCCCGTCTTGAGCCTCAATTTTTGACGTCGAGCTCAGCTTCGTCATACAGCACAAGACCTACCCGCCATGCTTGGCACACACCATTTGCGGCGCTTAGCCCAACACATTGTCCTTTCACTTTGTATTCCCGTTGCGCTTCCCCGTTGACATTAGTTCGCCCGCTATCTCCTCTCTCCTGCGGAGAGGCTTCGAGGCTCAGACAATTGGCGGGCGCGCTAAGGAGAGTATCAAGCTTGTGAAAAGTCGAGCCCGCCCTCTTCTTCTCGAGCGATCGGTTGTTCTGCGGGCGGACTAGAAACAGAAGACGAGATGAAAACAAGACTGCCTGTGCCTGCGAAAGTGGCGATCACAAACACTCTCAGCAGGCACGCCCTTGACCGCCAGTCTGTCCCATGATCGGCCTTGTCTCGTCTCGACTTGCACATCAGTGGGCCCAATCAAGCCACCACCAGACCCAAGACCAGTTTCGAGGCCGTTTGGCATGTTTGCAAGAACGTTGCGCTCATCCTGCCACCCCCCCCCCCCCTTCGCCGGCCCCTCACCTCTTCATGAGCTAGGCGACACCTGGAGCTACTTCACAGCGGCCGAGTCAGTCTGTCGCCTGGAATAGATCAGCATCACCAGCCGACACCGTTCAAGATCGTAACTTCAGCAAGTTTTGCCTCCTGGCGGCCCAAGACCTCCAGGACCTCCACCCAGATCGAGGACCTTGCCTGCTGTGTATTCCTCACGGCCGCGTGGCGACTTGGCGCTCGTCCGTTGCGCTCGATAACGCTGACGATGATCACACAGGAGCACACACCAGCGCATGCATCTCCGAGACTGAACTAGAGCTTCCTTGCTTTGTGAACCGCGATGGCTGGCCTCTGCCTCTTGGACCAGCTTTGCTCCATCTGAGTCTGATACATTATGGGTGAGCCCTTGAGCCTCTTGTTGTCCTCGGAGCGGCGCCATGGAGAGTGCGTGAGTGTGGGTGGGTGCGCGGACCAGAACCAACCAAAGACTTGCGCCTCAGGTCACGCCGCGACCGCGGCTACGCGACCAAGAGGGTGGCTATCACCTGCGATTGAAGAAGCTTGAGCCTGCGTCTAAAGGTTCGAGTGTCAGCAAATCCGCATGGAGCCCCTTGGCATCCCATCATCTCAGTCAGAAGGCAACCCAATGTTCGCGGCACATGAGCGTGTGACAGAATCTCGGCCGTGTACAAACAGTAAGACTTGCAGTTCTTCACAGAAGCCGCTGTTGTCGTATCCATTGGATGATGAATCCCGCAGCCAAAAGTCGGAAATCAATCAAGTGACAACCACCTCGAAGGGGCTTATCCTGCGATCATCATCCCATCACCACCGGGGGGAGGGGTAGCTTCGGACGCTTGCTGGCCATTCCATTTCGCTTAGTCAATATTCTCCAGGATGTCGAAATTCTTGGGCCCGGTGGTCTTGCGAAATTGCAGGCCCCGGAAGCTTGGTCTGCCGCGCTACGTGGATCGTGAAGGAGGTAGGTAGGTTATGCCGAGACCGAAAGCCGGCGGCGAGTCTCTGCCCATTTTTGGAAGACTCGACACAGGGGTAGAAACATGACAGCCGCCCCCATTCCATCAGTCCTGGCGATTCAGCCAAGGTTGACATGTAGTGCGAGTTCGGCGCTTGACGCTCGTAACTGGATCAAGGCCACATGTGCATGTCAAGCATGCCTATTGTCTGCGAACATTCAACTTCATGTTCTGCGTTTCGTGCGCCGGTGCCCTGCACCAGGAAGAAAGCCGACAGCCACGGGCCTCATAAGAATGCTCCAAACATTGAGTCGGGGCGCGCGCCGTCTTCATTAATTTCCGGTGGTCCGTTTGTGGGATTCAGGGTTGGATATGCTGGAGGAAGCCGGGTCTATAGCCATTTCTTCACTCGAACAGTCAGTCCTTCGCACAAGTTAGGGGCCAGCGTAGACAAGACGAAGAGGTCAGCGCTTCACAGGCGAAAGAACTGAGAGGTGCGGCTGATTTGATTCGCGAACGCGAAAAGTAATGACGAGCTCCCAACCTTGATCGTACGCAGTCCAGGTTGTGTCCACCGTGCTGGCAGGCACCGATGAAGAATTGTCCCAGTGCGTAGTTGTAGGTCCAATTCTTCGGGCATTAAACGAAGAAACCCTTGTTAAGGTTATCTTGACCACGGGCCCACTTTGTCTGGCCCCTGACTGCGCCTGGAACACCCTTGATGCATGGACTAGGGGGGGCCCTTCTTCTCGCTGCAGGGGTTGGTGGTCCCCACAATCTGACGCTTACGAGCTCTTGAGCAATTGTGGCCGGCGGAGTAGCTGTGGCTGTCAACGTGGGCTTGCCGACCGGCAGAGGCCTTTCTTCGGGCGGTAGACGACACCGCAGGTCCTCAAACGCCGCTTGTCGAGGAGACTGACAGCTCTGCAACAGGCACAGTTTCAGCGCCGGGGTCGCCGTTGGGTGACGTGGGTGGAGGTCGGTCAAGCAGGAGAGACGTCGGCAGACAGGCATATGCATAATAAGCGCTTGGTCTTGTCGTCTGAGCATCGCCAAGGATGATGGGGATGGCCACCCTGCTTGGGATGGCTGTTCAACCGACAGTGCAGCGTTCGGTCGCGAGGCTGGTGCTAACGGGGCGTACTACCACGAAACAACGGGCTCCTCGAATGTGATGAGGCCGCGTCAAACACGACACAAAAACCAAAACTGAAGTGGAATTAAAAGACGGACACTTGGTGCGCGCGTCGAGGCCGCCGGTGGGCCGGTCGAGAGGGAGGAGGCTCGTGTTGGGACAACAGGAGCGCGCGAAGCAGGGTGGGCGACCGTTGAGCACAGGTTAGCGCAGCAAGAGTCGGGCGTTTTGTGAATTCCGTCTGAAGTCGGGACGGAAGAGGTGAGCGGCGGGGGGAGGGGTGCATGAGGATGTGCATGATGAGCAGTGTTCGGTCCCGTCTCGTTCTATCCGGGTTTGCTGGCGATGTTTCGGTTCAGCCGCGCGTTTCGATTCGATGTTGAGCATGTTTGGGATTTGCGCTCCTGCTCATGATGTCGATGGTCGTCGGACGGGAAGCTTACGTGGGTAGCCTTATGGGCCTTCCAGGTCTGCCGTGTGCCCTGTCTTGCGTACGGTCGGTCATTTATGCGAAACAATCACCCGCTTGGGCGATGTTTTGAAGCTTCCTTGCCGTGGTTGAATGCCATCCGGTCTTGTGGGCCATGATCACTTGCCCAACCAAAGATCAGGCCTGCAACAAAATGCTGCAGGCTGTGTGCCCAGGTGTCATTGGGCTCGCATCACCACCGGTCTGACGAACGATTCTCGGGTGGAGAAGCCAGAACCACAGCACGTATTGGCATCGTGAGTTCATCATCGCAATACATTTTCCGGCGTCGCCACAGGGCCGTGAAGACCACACCGGGTAGGCCCGTCCATATCGCTGCACCAAGACGCGCGAAAGCTAACCCATGTCAGTGCTGCTTCTCCATTATATGAATCGAAATGGTCTGCTCACAGCGTCGCCAACCTCCGAGTTGCGAGACCGGGCTCCGAGGAGGTCAAGCGGTCAGATGTTCGAGTGGGCATCTCGGTACCTTGTCTTCATAACGGCCCAAAGCTTAGCCAGACGAGTACCGCGCCGCGCACGCATCTCTGGTCATGTTCGAGTCTGAATCCTGTGCTGCGGCGGCAGACCCGGCCAGAGTGGCCATCAATGGATTGGTGCAGTCTTGCCTCTGCGCCTTGCCGGGATCGACCATCGCGCTCTTCTCGCACCAGTTGTGTGGGCGCGGAGGAGGCGGGTGCTATCGTCCCCAACGCCAGGCGGTGCTGTGCGAATTATCTGAAAAGGAAGCAGCAAGGCGTAGTCCAGTTCTTGTGCTGGGCCGGTGGGTGGAGGACAAGTCAAGAGCTTTGGACGTCGTGGTCTGGTCGGCACCCACACTAAATGGCACACAATCGGTCATGGCGAAGTGGCACCGGAGTTTCTACGGTACAACTGTTGGACGTGGACCGCCGAATGGTCGTTGCATTTCGTCCGTTCGCGGTGGTTCCGCAGAGGCTGCGACGCCAGCCTCAACGCGACCTGGCGAGGTGCCAATGCAACTTGGCACGCGCACTGCTGAAGCCCGACCCCTTCGGCATCACTTGCGGGTCAGTGCAGAGAAGCGAGCCACGGGTAACTGGTATATCACGAAGCCGAGCCCACGCGGCAGTCCTGCTACCAAGCTAGGAAGGGAGGCTGTCGATGCCTACACCCATCCCCTTGTACGTGACACGTGGTGCCGCATTGTGGGCAGCGAAAGCCTGTTACCAGGTGTCTGAACCGAGACCGCCGTTGTCAAAGTCTCGAGCCCGTGGATTCGGAGGCGGCAAGGGGTCACAGAAGTGGATGCTTCGGACCCAAATCCATGGGGAGTGGCGGAATCTACTCCTACTCTAGGACCGGCCGGACAACACGGCGGTCTGGCGCTCACCGGATTGCCTAGTGACTACTTTGATCTCGACACGACTGTGGATTGCTCATGGCACAAGGTCACGCCGAGTGGAGCGAGCCCTCAACACAGATGTGAGCCGACTTCCCCCGGCCCACAGTCTCGGGTCATGTACTGTGTAGGAGCTTGAAAAAAGGATCCGAAGGCTGCAGTGGCTTCAGGACCAACACTTGCTTCCAGAATTTCACTGAACAGGCGGGCCGGGGCGTTGGTGTTGGAGGAGTAGATTGGGATACTCGATCACTGGCCGAGGGGTGTCGCCTCTACAAGCTCACGGTCCAGAGAGTGACTTGGACGTAGTCGTCCATGCCGTTTTGAAGCTGTCAACCCACCTTGTCTGACAAGCCATTCACTCTCATTGGGCCCAGAACCGAGGCCAGAGCGGTGGTCGGCCGTCGCTGATGTCGTAAATGTACGACACCCAAGAGCAAGTCGCCAAGTTCAGCCCTCCAATTCTCATGTGCCACAAAGCCATCGCGCCCATGCAGCTTCGAGCGGCGGTGTGTCCGGCGTGCAAGGGAGGAATGATTCATCAACGGGGTGCGTCTGCAGACCCCAAGTCAAATGGCTCACATTGCCGACCTTCTGGATCTGGTCGCCTGGTCTGTCCGTAAGAGAGGCTGGCCGGGTGCTTCTCGGCTTTCGCACATTTGGGTTTCGCTGATACAAAGTCAATTTCCCGTCCTCCCCTCGGGGGCCGGGCCAATTCTGGCACCCCCCGAATTGGCCCGCCCCCCGATGACAACACCAGGGCACATGGCGGGCGGCAGGGCTGGCGGGGTTGAGGCACGGCCGAGTTGTGAGTTGGCCCACAGGTGGTTAATAGGTCTTGAGCGCCATGATGGCTGTTGGGCCTGGACCAAGGCGGGGGATATGGGGATATCAGCGCCTGGTGGTGAAGTTTGGGCATGAATGAAACGAAACAGCGGCCGGGGACTGGATCCTGAGACGACAAACCGTGCTGAAGCGATGTCTGGATCCGGACCGTCGGTGTACGCAGGGGCGCAAGATTGCGAGGCGTGAGGCGGGCACTCTGCAGCGGCAGCGGTGGTGCAGAGAGGAGGGGGCCTAGCAATCCAACGTTGAAGGTTCGCCTAGACTGAGCAATAGTGCCATTTCGTACTGTGGTAGAGCCTAGGACGGCAGCGAGCGGGCGGACGTGAGGGTATGAGGGCAAGGCAGGGCAGTCGAGGTCGTTGTGTTGGTCACTGCTCTGTGATGGTGTTAGCAGGCGGTTTTGGTGGTCTGGAAATAGCTGCAAGGGGCTCACTCTCCAAAGCGTCCGTGTCTTGACTGTCTCACAGGGCACCAAGTACGGAGTACCTCTTGCTGACGGCTGTGCCAACGGGCAAGCAGCGCAAGGAGCTCCACACGGTGTGACGGGATGGGTTGTTGGGGCTTGTCGTGTGTGGGGGACCCTTGGCAAGTCTACTGGCGACATGACGGTGACCTCTTCTGCATGTACTGGATGCTGGATGCTGGGTGCTGGGTGCCCAGATACCAGTGCGTGTGTTCTCATGGCCAGCCTCAGCCACCATGTCCGTCCTGCGGTCCCAGAGAGAAGCTTGAAAGGGAATGTCCCATCCTGGCATGTCGCATTCTGGTCGTCCCCGTCGTCCCCGTCGTTCCTGGATCTCCAGAGCTGCCTCCACCAAGGAGGCTGTTGTTGCTGGGCAGAGCTGGGAAGAGGTGGCTGGCAGGCTGGGCCGTATGCATCTGTCCTTCTACTCAATCCTTGACATACCACAATTCTTGTACTTGGCCCAGCCACTGCAGTGGCCTCACTGCCACCCAGAATGCGGTCCAAGGATACCGAGTGGCAGAGACTGGAATTGGTTGATTGATTGGCTGGCCCGAAATGTGCACGTGCATGAATCTGTGCCTCGAGCATACCACTGGCAATCCCGAATACAAGGGCCTGGACATGGGACAAGGAAAGAAAAGAAAAACCTCTTGTAAAAGAGCTCTGGGACCGTTTGGCTGGCAAGGGTGGGGTGGGATGGAGTGGAATTGAAGGTGCCTAGGCATCCAGGCACCTAGGTAGGCAGACAGGTATGGTAAGGAAGGTGCTGGCTTAGAATGCCTGGTGTAGTGCAGATCCAAGACTGTGGCTTTTCAACCTCGAGTGTCCTAGGAACTAATACAGTACAGTCCAAGTCATCATGATCAAGGCTTCTCTGGCCCAGGTCGGCAGGTACCCAGTACATGCAAGACTGCTACTACTGCTATAAGGCTGGCACATGTACACTGCCCAAGTACAGCCAGAGCACCAGAGGTACCTCCAAGACGGAGGAAGCTGCAATGGCTTGACCCTGGCCCAGCCACTCTAGGCCAGCGCTCGGGCCATCCCGTGCTCTGTTCTCTGCTCACTGCAAGCTTCCTCTGCAAAGAGACTTGAGGTTTATAGCAGGTACAGATGGATTTGAGAACAAGAATCCAAGAGGAAGAAAGGCCATTCATCCTTGATAACCCCTAAGTAGGCTCTTGTCTGCCCGGGGCCTTGCAGTCCTAGACGAAACCACACCTCACCTCTCTGGTCTATTTGCCTTGGCCAAGCCAACTGCATCCCGCTCCCAGTACTGATGAGGTACGGGGGTACTTAGTCAGCCGACCTTTTCATCTCGGCCGATAGGCTATCTGCTGGGGTATGGATACAAGTTGCAGAATTGGCACAAAGTACCTGCGACAAGTTCAACCACATCCTGCATTGCAAGACCACACTACCACACTTCACATTGCAGTCAACATCCCTCCACGGCACTGCTTCACAGCCAACGGGTGCCTTAGTCCGGTACCTTGATTCAAAGGGATACATGAGCGTAAGTACAACAGCCATCACCATTCACTCTGTCTCTCCATCAGCAGCCCCTTCAGCCCTGTCCATTTACCATCATTGTCCACTGCCCAAGCCCAACCAATCCTTTCACCTGGTTCACCTGGTTCACCCTGTCTGGTGTACCTCACTTGGTCACCCTGTCTGGTGTGGCTGTCTGGCTGCCTCTCTCTCTCTCTCTGGGCTGGACTACCGCCATCCTCTGCCGTCTGTGCCAGCATTAGGCTGGTCGTCCATTGCCTCTGGCTCCATGCTGTGTGTGCCCTGCCTTTGGGGCCTCTCTCCGCCGTGGCACCCGCAGAGCCGCATCAGCCATGTGCCAACCAGCGGCAACATTTCATCAGCATTTCAGCATTGATTGATTTGGCCCCAACTGCACAATCATGGAACATAATGCTCCCTCGACTTGGCCACGACAGTGAGCAAAGCTTTGTCACCTTACCTGCTGCAAGTTCTGCTCGACCCTCCCGGTCTGGCAGCCCACCACCAACACCACCACCACCACAGGGGGGCTTCCTTCTCGACCGTCAACCGCCGACCGTCGAACATCCCGTCCACCTTTCCTCAAGAACACTTGACGGCTTGCCCCATCTATCCTCCTCGGGAAGCAACTAGAAGCCTGCAGCCTGTCTTGTCTCCTCTTGTGGACGGGTACGTGGCAAGTCCTTTTCTGGGGCCGCCTCGGGGTCAGCACCAACACCAACCGGCGGCAAGCCTGCAGAAGCCACGGCGCGCGAGCGTGTCTTGAGTCTTGTCATCGGCGCCGGCAAGACAGGCAAGTGCAGACGGTGCCACCTCGGCGCCAGCACTAGCCGACATATGCCTCGTCTGATTCGATCTTGAATCTTCTTGGGGACCAACGCCGGCAGAGCCGCTCGGCCCTGGCGGCCTGGCGACGACGCACCAGCACATTGCGCTACCAACAACACAAACCAAACACTTCTTTGCCACCTGCCATGCTGCCCGGCTGTGTACGCTTTCCGTGTGGACTTCCTTTATTTATCTACGAGACCAACGGGAACATCGACAGCCAACCTGCATCTCGACGGAAGTCGCTCGCTTCTCCCACTCGACAGACGGCCCGGCACGAGACGTCACGTCACGTCACTCGCGTCACTCACACACCACGACACCAACGAAGACCTTTTCTGCCGTCTGCCTTTTCCGCCCACCCCCACCCCCACCCCTCGTCGTGTGAGAGCCCGCCAGAGCCAACCATCATCGACTTCTCCCCACAAAAAAGTCTGCCGGTCCACTTTTCCTATTTTTTTTCTGGCGTGGGAAATTCAGAGTTCTATTTCCGGCCTGCCTGCCCACTGAACCGAGTCCTGCCGCCCTGGCTGCCTGGCTGCAGCCGCGCACAACCACAAACCGTGACGGACCAGGGCTATGCAAACAAGCAAGTCCCCCCGTTCGTGTGAGTTGTGGGGGGGTTGTAGGCGAGGCGCCTGGAGATGGAGAGGTTGAGGCGCGAGGTTGAGATTCACGACAGCCAGTATTAGGCAAGAGCCCTTCAGAAACAGAAGGACAGAGAGACACACGACGGCTGTCAGATGGACGTCCATCACCTGCAACATCAGATCGCCCCCGTTTGGGCCTCAAGCGGGTTGGAGGTGACACCGCAAGCACAGCCACAGCCGCAGCAGCAGCCACAGCAGAGGCAGCAGCAGTACCACACAGGCGAATTCAACATGACCCTGCCAGAGCTCCTGGCTGGCATCCCTGTTGCGCATGGCCCTGCTGTTGCCACCCCTGGCCCTGGTCATTTCGATGTCGATGTCAATGGTGGTGCCTCCTTTCCACCTGTGTCGTCCGTGACACCACACCAAGAAGTACTTCGCCATCCCACCACCACCAGTCTATTCTGCCTGTCATCACCGCAACGCACCGCACCGCACCGCACCGCACTGCCTCGATCCCTCTGCCCGTCGGCCTCCGTTATCCTTCATCCCAATTCTCTATTCCCGATTCCCAATTGTCGATTGTCGATTGTCGATTGTCGGCTCTCGGTTCTGTCCTGCTCTGACGCGTTCCCCCGACCTCCCTCTCGCCGTGCGCGTGTTTGTGTTTCTGGGTTGGGCTAACAGTCTGCGCGACGCGCAACCACGGATTTTAGATGCAGCAGTGGAATGTCGGCCCCATGGCGGCGTACGCCGCCGCCGCCCAGTTCGGGCAATCAGGCAACTCCACCAACCACACCACGGACAGTTTCAAGTGAGTTAGCTACCCCCCTCCATTGTACCTCTCTCGTATCGAGCACACTCTCTCCCAGGTGTCATTCCGCCCCAAGGGTTCCCCCCAACCACCCCCCCAAAGGCCCCCCCTCATCACCGTCTTCGCAAACAAGAGCCAAGCTTTTTTTTTCTTCACTCCCTTCCCCAGCTCTGCCCCCCCCAGCTCCAGCTCCAGCTCCAGCTCCAGCTCCCGGTGCAGCTCCAGGGTTTGTTGCTCGCCGCTTGTTCCCCCTACCGCGAGTGCTCGTATTCCACATGTTACTTTTTTCTTGTCTTTCTCATTTGTCGCATTCTTCGCCAAAACAAAGACGCGCCCGCTTCTGCATTCAAGGCTGGAAGGCAGTCTACGAATCTTGTCTACCTGCCTGTTTTCTCAATGGGGCTTCCGGCTTCGACCAGGTCAGACCAGGTCAGATCAGGTCAGCGCTGGGGGGTCATCTGGTGCTGGCAATCAGTCCCTTGGACCCGAGGCAGTCAATGCCCGCCACTCGCAGCCGCCTCGATGAGCTCTGCACATTGGACGAGGGCCAGCCAAAAAGGGGGGAAAAAGTTTGATGCCGGCTGAAGGCTGGATCTGCTCTGTCCAGTATCCCATACTGCGCAGTGTGCAGCGTCCAGTGCATCCATCGGTCCATCCATCCTCTCGATGACGCCCTGCCAATTGGGGACTGCGGCTTACGCCAGGGCACCCCGAAAGGACGGGGGGACAGGGGGACGGGGGAACGGAGGGAGATGGGGGGAACCTGCTAGGTGGCTTGCTAGCAGGTTCCGGATACTTTGGGAGGGTCTGTCTGGCTTGACCGCCTGCCGTCCTGGCCCTAGTGGACTGGGCCGGCTGGGCTGGCTTGCCCTGTGCTGCCCTGAGCTGTCCAGCCAGGTCTCATCTGATCCGAGATATGTACCCAAAGTACCCCGTCACAGAACTCGTTGGTCCCCGCCCTGATCCCTCGTCCGTTTTCTCACCTTGCCTTTTTACTCCTCCCTTCCATACCTACCTACCTGCCTGGCATCCCCCCCCCACCCAGGACGTCTTGACGACCAAGCATGGGCATGACACCAGGCCGTGGGCGACGCAGGGCAGCACTCATCATCACGGCATAAACTTGATTCAACAAGAGAGACAGACAAGAGGGCAGCCAGCCAGCCGGTCGGTCGGTCAGTCAGGCCTGTATCATCAATCGGCATCGGGACTGCACTGCACTGCACTGCACTACTCGCTACTTGCTATATCCTGCGCTACTCTCCTCCAGTATAACATACAAACAAAACGCTGGAGCCGTTGCGACCACCGGAACCTTCCTTCCCACTGTCGGGATAGTCCCCACAGTTGCAGGGTGCTCTCCCAAAGTCCCAGGCCCAGTCCCAGTCCAAGCTCGGCCCCCCAGGCGGACGAACGAGCCCAGCTCGCGCCCAAGCTCCCTGCCCCCCTGCCCCTGGCCCCCCTGCCCCCAGCCTCCCACACCCCCCAAAATAACCAGCCTACCAGCCCACCAGCCCAGTAGAGCTGTTTGTTCCCGCGTTCGCGCCTGCTCCACCATTCCACAAGGTCCCGGCCGACCCACGGGTTCTCCCAAGCTTCGAGGTCGAAGAGCTGAGGCTGCGGTTGCCCTGCCTGTGCAGTGCCTCGCTGTGCCTGCTGTGCTTGCTGTGCTTGCCTGCTTTGCACTTGCACTCGCGCTCGCACCTACCTGACCTGTCTGCCAACCCAACCCTGCTGCTTGTACCGGCTCGGACCCGTGACTCTTGACTCTACCTCTTATCTACATCTCTACCTTCTACACCCACGTCTACTTCCACTACTCTACCTCTACCTCCGCCTCTTGTCTCGCTACCTCTGCCCAAAAAAAATACATCCTCCTCCACCTCGCGAGCCCCCCCCGGACCCTCTTTTGATAGAGAGCTCGACTAGCAATTGCTGTCGTCTGTCGTCGGTCTATTGTTCACGTCATCGTCATCATCATCTTTCGCGTCCCGCGTCTCGCGTTGTTCCATCTCCTCTTGTTCCCCTCGCCTGGGCCACGCACCCACCCACGCAGCCTGTTTGCTGTCTATCGCGCCTAGCTGTTTGCCTGCTTTGTTTGGTGCACTCGGCGCGACTCCCGCCGCCCCACCCTCGGGGCCATCCCTCGCCCTAGGAAACCCTCCTTGGTTGCATCCTTCCATCCCCGTCCTCCTCAGGCCTTCCGTCTCAATGAAGAAGCGAAACGAGCTCCAGCCGTCATGGCCGCCCCAAGCCCAACAAGCCATGCCCATGGCCCAACAACAGTCGCCTTTTGCTAATCAGCCTTGGGGCTACAGTCCACAGCCACACCAGTATGGCCAGGCCGAAATGAACCGCCGCAACGACGGCGGCATGGACTACAGAACATATGCCACCCAACCACACGCCGCTCAAGCCCAGGCCCAGGCCCAGGCACAGGCCCAGGCTCAGGCCCAGCACCAGCACCAGCAGCAACAGCAACAGCACCACTCGAGCGCGATCCAGCCGCCCATCTCCGTGTCGCAGCATGCCGCGCAGCAGCAGCAGCAACACGTGCCGCAGCAGCACGTCCAGCATCCCCAGCATGTCCAACAACATCCCCAGCAGCAGCAGCAACAACAGCAGCAGCAGCAGCAACAGCAGCAGCAGCACCCGCAGCACCTCGCCCAACAGCCCCAGCAGGGCTCGCCTGCGCAGCAGCATGTCCCGCAGCAGCACGTCCAGCCGCAGCACGTCCAGCCACAGCACGTCCAGCACGCGCCGCAGTCGACCTCTGTTCAGCCGCAACAGGTCCATCAGCCTCCGCAGCAGCCGACTCCCCAGCCCGCCCCGGCTGCCGCCCCGACCCCGGCCACTAATCGGCGCAAACGCCCCGCTCCCGCCTCCGCCGCAGCGACCCCGACCGCCCCCGTAACGGCCCCTCCCCAGCCCGTTCAGACCCCAGTCCAGCAGGCCCCCCAGATCGCGACCCCCGTCCCCGTGCCCACACCTCCCGCTCCGATACCCGCTGCGACTCAGCCCCCCACCCCGGTCGAGAATGCCCAGCCCGCCCCGCAGGCTCCTCCGGCCAAGAAGAGCCGGACGAATACACCGTGGACGCCAGCCGAGGAGCTGCGCCTGAAACAGATGAGGGACTCGGGCGCCAGCTGGGCTGAGATTGCCAAGGTATGCATGCCCTCTGATGCCAGGACGAGTTTGCGTCGACCACGGGACTCGACCGCTAATTAATGTTTTTCTGTCCCGCAGACCTTCCCCATGAGGACAGAGGGCAGCGTCAAGAAGCACTGGTACAAGGACATGCATTACGCAGAGTTTGCCGAGGATGAGGTAGGTGGCGCGAGTGCTTCTGCGCCCAATCCATGCCCCGGTGCTACACACTTAAGGATACTGACGATGGGGCCTTGCAGAGCGCGGCGTTGATGAATGCGATCAAGGAGTACGAGAACAACAAGTGGAAGGTCATCGGACAAAAGGTTGGCAAGCCCGCAAAGGCTTGTGAGCAGTACGCCAAGGAGCACTTCCCAGGTAGGCGGCACCTGCGAAACAGCAGGACCTCAGCCCTGTACACAAGAGACGCTCAGAACTGACACGTTGCTTACAGATCTCTTCAACCCTGCGAAGCGTGGCTAGGAGCCGTCACCACAAACCCCAACCGTGGCGAAGAATCGCAAGCAGGATGCAAAGAGTCATACACCCGTCACCACGAATTCAAAGCCAGCCTCGAGTCCACAGTATCCCGCACCCGCTCTACCCGTCTTCACAAGTCCGTACAGCCAGCGCCCGACCGGCCACGAGCCACAGGGCTCGGATCCCCAGCCCTCACATTCGCAGTCGGACGGGCCAGCATGACGCGCCGGCGACGAGGGACCTTCACCGTTGCCGCCCGCAGTGGCCCCGGCGGTGACAGCACCCGGATTGCGCTGACTCCTCAGCAGCCACAAACCCCGGGAGACTACACCCAACCGACTGGCTTCGTATCTTTTGACCGCTCTGGATGGGAGCAAGGGGCTGGCTGGAGGGCGCCAGGGCAAGATTGCCGCAGATACCGTGGCGATATGGGGCCCCCGTTTAATGCCTAAAATGACTTTTTGTGTGTGTGTGTTGTGTTTGTGCGTGCGTGTGTCTGTGTCCAGGTTGGGCTGAGTTTTCTTTTTCTTCTCGCCTCGCCTCTTGGCGTCGGGCTCGACGGGCGATGTTTTCTTCTTCTTTCTTCTTTATTCCTTCTTCTTCCCTTGTCACGAACGGTCCTCGGTCTTCGGTCAACATCATAGCCCATCTTTTTTTGTTGGGAACGGAATCCATCTGCTGCGAGTCTCGAACATATTCAAAGCAATGCGTGGGCGGCACGGCAAGTCGTGTGGATGCAACATAATCACGATGACGGGGCCATTCATTCACTGACGAGCACTCACATTTACCACACACGGGGCTTTGGAGCGGCGTTGTAGGTCTCTGGACAAACAGGTCGGGGGAGGGGGAGAGTAGCAGGAGGGGGTGTGATGGCCGAGGCAGGCGAAGTGAGAGGTACTGGTAATTGCGTGGGCGAGAGACTGGCTTGGGGGAGACTGTGATGGCTGGAATGGCTTATTCTTCCGAGGGCGGACGGAGGTGGTGGGCATTTTGACGAAGGGCATCTTTTTATACCCACCGATGACCAATATACTGCTTGAAACCCGCCAGACAAGGTCCCCCGAGAGCAGTGAGGGACAGTGGTGAGGGTAGTGGTGAGCGTTGATGGTGCGAGGTGTGCCGCACGTGACGGGCGGCGCAGGCAACTTGAAGGTGGGTTTGACGTAGACACAGCAGCAGCCCCGAGCTGTCGTCGACAGTAGGTACGGAGTGGGTGGCCGAAGTACCGTGTACCGGCATGATCAAGTCTACTGCGGGTGGCCACGATGGCGATGGTGGATGATGTCTTGGGTATCCCTGGCCGCCAAAGCCCAGTTCGCAGTGTGGTGAGGGTCTATTCGATCAGGTACCTGAGCAGTGTACATCCATGCACGGTACCAGAAGTGCAGGCCAGCCGCGGCGCGACGTGGGCTGTGGGGATTGTACACTATACATAGTACCTAGATACCCGCCTACATAGGTGACCTAGGTGGTGTGGTGCATCTAGTGTAGAGAAGCTAGCGGCGGGAGAAGCAGTACTCGGTATAGGGTTGGAGTTCAAAGGCACATGTGCACGAGGTATGCGAGCAGGATGATGGTTGTGGTACTCGGGAGAGGTACGGGAATACGGGGCACGGGGTCAGGGTCTGAGCATTGAGCCCAAGATGCCGCGTGTACGTATACCTGGTGCGGGGACAAGGAACAAGGCGGTGGGCGTGGACGGCGACATGGACATGGACATGGATGGCAGGAATTGAGGCGGAGATGAGGGTGCGTGCGGGTGACTGGGTCTGGTGACGGCAGGATGGGCAGACAAGAAAATGGCACAACAGAGAGACTGACTGACAGACTGGCGACAGAGCAGACCCAGCCAGCCAGCCATTGGTCAATTGGAATTGCTGTGAGCCGACATGCGTGTTGTGGTGTCGTGTGTATGTACATGCCTACCTCTATAGAGGTAGGTGCTGTGTTATTCATCCTGCTTCCGGCAGCGTTGTGCCGCCAGCAGCTTCCAAGGTTCCGAGGCTCATCAATCAGGTGCCGCGACAGCCCGCAAACGAAGACCAGCCAGGCCAGCCAGGCCAGCCTGGCCCTGCTGGCGAGCGCGGACGGGATAAACAAGCTCACCAAGGTTTCGGCTGTGGGTGATCTCTGAGGGGGCCGCCTCGGATGGATGGGGCCCCGATTGAGTTTCCCGACGAGACAGTTGAGTTTTGAGGATATGCAGAGTATGTTCTCGGGACAATAAATAAATCGACTCTCTACCACACGTGTAGTATAACTCTTTTCCTTGCTCTGGTTTCCTATTGTTTCAGATCTTATAGCAGGCAGAGAAGAGTCACCATTCAAGTCACCAGTCAAAAGTCACCAGTCAGGGAGGGCCGTGGTGCCCACCCTGCCCCCCCTGCCCCCCCCTCGTCTCCTTACCCTCACATTGGCAGCTCTGGCAGTGGTGCGCCTTGCTCGATGCGGTCAAGCCCCCTTTCGTATCGAGGTTGAGGTGTGGGCAGGGTGGCCACCCAGCGACTTAGTCGGTCGATCCTCGATCCTCCACCGTCCGTTTTCTGGGGGAATGTTGGTTCTGGCCCAGGGGTCCCCTTTGTGCGTGATGGAAGGGTGGATGGATGATGGATGGATGGATTGGATGGATGGGCCTGATGGGTTGGAGGAAGGAATGAATGAGCCCCCCCCCCTTCCGTATTTTCCTGGTCAGGCTGTTTCTGGTTTTGATTGTTTGTTGTGTGTTCGATTGACCATCTTTCTTCCTCCCTTGGCCGACACTCGCAACCAGTGGCAGTCAACATTCTTACGGAGGCACTCTCGTTACTCTCTATCACAGCCAGTCAGTTATTGGTTTGGTCTCGCCCTTCGTTTTGGATCAATCAAGCGTCCAGTGTCTGTCTGCCTGTCTGTCTCTCTTGCCTGTGCCCGGCAACACCAAGACAAGCAAGCAGTCACCCATCACATCACACCTGTGCGCCTTCCCACCACCTCACACCACATTGTGACTCGACTCGACTCGACTCGACTCGACTCGACTCGACTCGACTCGACTCGACTCGACCACCCCCTCCCCCGACCTCGACGAGCATTGCCAATCCACTCCACATCGTCAGAGACCCAGACCCACGCACATACACACACATCTCAAACCATGTTGCCGTCACTTCTCCTCCCCGTGGGGTCTGTCGTGCTCGCTGCCTCGTCCGTCCTCGCAGCCAAGTGCGGCAGAGGCAGTTCGTGCTCCGAGGATGAGCCCTGCTGCTCGCGTGAGTCCACCCTCCGTCTGTTGTCCCACGTCGCCAGGCCCCGCGGCTGACACAAGCATGTCCACCTGCAGAGTATGGCGAGTGTGGTGTCGGCGCCTACTGCCTCGGCGGCTGTGACCCTCGCTTCTCCTTCAGCCTCGACAGCTGCGTGCCAGAGCCCGTCTGCGAGTCGCGCTCCCTGTCCATGAACTCGCTCGACCGCGTTCAGTCCATCGAGAAGTACCTCGGCGACCCCTCCAAGGCCGACTGGGTCTCGTCGGGCGACCCCCTCGTCTACAAGGACAACGTGCTCCTGACCATGCCCAAGTACAAGGCCGGCACCGTCCTGGCCTCCACCGTCTACATGTGGTACGGCAACGTCAAGGCCAGGATGAAGTCCTCGCGCGGCAACGGCGTCGTCTCCGCCTTCATCCTGCTGTCCGACGTCAAGGACGAGATCGACTTTGAGTTCATCGGCGCCGACCTCGAGACCGTCCAGACAAACTACTACTACCAGGCCAACCCCGTCTGGACAAACTCAAAGAACATCACCGACCTCTCCGACACCTACCAAAACTTCCACGACTACGAGATCCAGTGGACCCCCGACCAGGTCGTCTGGCTCGTCGACGGCAAGGTCGGCCGCACCCTCAAGAAGTCGGACACCTGGAACGCCACCACCAACCAGTTCGACTTCCCCCAGACCCCCGCCCGCGTCCAGCTCTCCATATGGCCTGGTGGTAATGCCACAAACTCCGAGTACACTATTGAGTGGGCTGGCGGCGAGATCGACTGGAATTCCGACGACATCCAGAACTACGGCTACGACTTCGCCACCTTCAGCGACGTCACCATCGAGTGCTACAACGCCACCTCAGCCCCCGGCACCAACAAGGGCAAGGGCTACTACTACAACAACGCCGCCGGCACAAACGACACCGTCGTCGACGGCGACAAGCCCACCGTCCTGGCCAGCCTCATGGGCACGGGCACCGACATGGAGGCCGGCGCCAGCTCCGCCTCCGCCAGCAGCTCGCCCCCCTCGGGCGCCAACACGGTCCCCGGCGGCACCAGCGGCAGCGGCGTCGGCAACGTCGTCGGCGGCGACGGGAGCGGCTCCGGCGACCCCAGCTCCGGCGGCTCCTCCACCTCGAGCAGTGCCGACTGCGCCGCCACCGGCTTCACCGTCGACTGCAACAGCGACTCTGGCAGCGGCAGCAGCAGCAGCGGCGCCGTCGGCAGCAACGACAAGGTCTTTGGCGCGAGCGCGTTTGCCGCCATCGTCGCCTTTGTCTTCCTGGCCTGGCTGTAAACGACCCTTCCCGGCCGCCCGGCCAGCCTGGGCACACAACAACGACACTAAATGAAACTCACGACTTGCCCAGTAATTCTCCCCATGCCGTCCATTCCCGAGCTCACGACGCAACGCAGTCCCTTCCAGCCTTTTATTTTCCCTCCCTCTTTTTCTTCTTCAAGAATATCTCTTCATGTAACCAGGCTTTCCGCCTAGTTTGATATATCGTTTTAGTCTACCAGCATTGCGGCCTGGATACTTGGCATCCGGGGCACATTTTCTTCTCTTCAAGGCCAATGGGGGGCGACAGAGAGGGCAGGCCAGCCGTGGTGGGTGGCTGCCACTGCAGCAGTAATAGAGGAGGGCACGTGGAATTGCGCGGCCAAATGTCTCGTGAAGGATTCATCAGCAGAGAGAAGACATACAAGTAATGGCCTACCAACAACCGCCCACTCTTTTGAACAGATCTAAAGGGAATGAGGCAGTCCGTGCTGACACGGGAGAGGGCACTCATGCCTCTGCTGTGCATAATGAAGTGTGCATTTAGAATAGAATGCAACACTTGGTCAATGAGCGATTTTGACTAGAATTAAACCCAGTCTCGGTCTGGTGTCCCGACCCATTGCGTACTTGAAACGTAAGCCTGGCACATACTTCGTAGACGGGGTAATTAAAAGAGACAGTGATGTAGGTTTGCCCTGTTGCTTCGCACCAGAAAACTTGCACGCTCTGTGTGGGTGTCCACTACAGTACGGCTATGAGACGTCTCCGCCAAACGTCTATGAAGCACGCCTCCCGAAGGACGAACCCCATTGGAATAACTTTCCACACAACTCCCAATGTGAGATAGCCTATTACAAGACAGCCTCTTTTCTTCATATGACCACTTGGAAGGGAGCCTCTGACGAGAGGACCTCTCACATGATAATGTCTTATGGATTAATCCTCTCGGGTAACTTTAATCCTACATTCTCATTCGGGAGTCCTCTTGTCAGATGGGCCTAAAGAACAACCCCCAGGGCTCCCATTGGATGGCAGGCATATAGGTAGGCAAGCCATAGGGCCAAGATGTTGTCTTCGAGTTTCTTGAATGGGGCCGTGTCATTGTGAATAAGCCATGTCACGGTGAGGACGTCCGCGAGGCAAAAGACAGCCACGTCTCACCGGGCGGCCAAGCAAGGGCCTTGGTGGTGTATGGACCGGAAATGATCTGTTATTCAGGGCTGACTAGGTGAATCATTCAATGTTGACGGCAGGTGCCGCGTGCAACGCTGCTCGGATCGCTTCAGAGGACGAAGCAGCACATGCATGCCCGCGCCCAGGAGTGGTTGTGTCGTCCGCATCCATCAAGCGTGCGCGCCGAGAATGGCTGACTATGAGCCCTTTTTTCATCCCCCCGGCAAGCCTCCGACGCTTTGCACGTTTATATACATCTGTCCGCATCACTGCCTTTTCCCATGCTGACGTGTACGAGGAAAGAGTAGTTCAATTGGAGTGCGTGAGTGTTTCAGTTTTGAGGACGGAAGAGACTCTCGGGTCATATTGGTAGCGACCCTCGGGGAGCCATATATCTTGGTGCTCAAGCTGCTCATGAAACAATCAGCTGCTTATAAGACAGCTAACTCGATAAATACATAGAAGCGAAACCAGCCAGTAAAATTTTTAAATGCTAGGTCTCGTCTGTGAGTATTTACCATTGTATGAAGGCGCCGTGTGCGGCTTCGGACGTATGTGGAATAGAAATGAGACCAGTCAATGGCACCTGGGGTTTGTCAAAGATCTTGGGTGTACGTATATAGCCCTGGGCGTAGTCGAATTGTACCTTTTCAATGTTCTGGGTCAACAACTAGGTAGAGAGGAGGATGTCAGGCCCATGGTGAAGAATGGCGTTTACAGGTTTTGGAGACAGTAAACATATATCTCGATGAGTTCGGGCAGACAGCCTCCAGATTTCTCGTGTGATATGCGGGAGATGCCGCATCTTTGAAAATTCGAGAGACTGATAGTGTTGCAAGGTAGTGACCCTGCGAGCCACAATGAGGATCTCTGATCCAAGCCCCACTGCACCTGTTGGGTTAAGATAGAATTGAAGATCCCGGGGCAGAACATGGTTTCTAGCTCGCCGAGGAGCCGACAACACTCTGCCTCGGATATAATTGAAAAAAAATGTTGGGTAATATCTGCCGTCGCTAGCCCAAAGCCAGCCATCCCTTATAATCATGGACGGCAATTCCTGCAAAACTTGTGTGGTTGGAGCACTCAATCGTGATGGACTGCAGTTTGTCGGAAAGCGATGTCACGGTTGCCAGCCCCTTGAAGCTGACCTGTGCCTCGGCGCTGGCCACCGTCTCGACCGCCACGTAGACCTGCTTCCCGGCGGCGTCGGCGGCGGCGAGCGGCTTCTCTGCCACATCGAATAGCTCCTGGACCGAGTTGCGGTAGGTCATGAAGGTGACCGAGTCCAGTGCGCTCAGCATCCACGAGTCCATCGCCTCTCCCGTGCTGGGGTCAGACATGGTGTAAGCCCAGAAGGGTAGATCCGCCGCGACGGCGATACCGTGCGACTTGGCAAAGGAGGCGACGCCCGTGACAATGCTCTCCCACGCGGGGATGTACGTGCCGAGCATTGACTGCCAATCGCTCAAGGCCCACAACTGTGCACCTCAAGTCAGCACCGCACCCAGTGTCACGACATGTCTCGGAGGCCCGGGGTATGGAGGGCATGGGCACATACCTCAATGTCCATGTGGATGCCCGAGAATCTGGCGTTGGCAGAGGCGTTGCCCTGGTACTGGTCGATCCACTTCAGGTTGGACTGCAGGCTGGGTGTACCACCCCCCAGGATCCACTGGGCGTTTCCCATGAGTGCCTCGACCACTATCCCGCTGGCCGTGCACTGTTGGATGAAGTTCCCAAAGTGCGAGTTGTCTATGTCGGCGTCAACGTGCAGGTATGCCCTCTGCAGGCCTTGTTCTTGGGCAAATGTGAAGAACTGTGACGTCTCGGCGGCATCGGTGATGAAGGTCGTGTTCCAGATCCAGGTCGCCAGAGGCGCCCTCGTTTGTGTCTCAGCCTGCCTGGACTGGGCACTCGACACTGCGGCCACCGGCGACACTGCGTTCGAAGAGCCAGAGGAAGACGTCCTGCGAATACACCTGCAAGTAGACAGCGACGGGCCCATGGCGGCAACAGCGAGCGCAAGCGAAAACTTCATCGCCACCACAAGTGCTGAGGCGAGGGGTAAACTAAGCAGGCGTGGGAAAGCGAAAGGATGGCCAAATGAAAACAACGAGTCAGATCGTCCGCGCCAGCAGACTGACTGGGAACGAGTGGCTTTGGCGGGCTATGGCGTTGTTGGGGCCGTACAGACGGAGTCAATCAAGCTCGTAGAATGACTGCCTAGGTAGCAAAAGAATCGGAAAGGAGCGGCGCAGGCAAGATAACTAGTTAGCCAAAGGAATGTGGCCCATGATCACGATGGTGATGGGCTGGTGTTGTGGTGGCCTCAGTAATATCCGCACCGACAACGAATATGTGCCCCTATCAGAGAGAGGAGAAAGAAAAGGCAGAGGGTAAAGGGCAGGCATCGGCCGAGACACGAGGCGGAGGCAGGTGACAGACTGGCGCGCTTATTACCTAGGTAGTAAGTATACATTACCGTGCGTGTCCACGGGTGGTTGTACAAGTACACCCGGGCACCCAGGCTTCATTATTCAATCCCAATTTGACATTCGGGGGTCTGACTGTTGAGCCCACACCCAGAAGCTGCCAGAGCGGCCAGCCAAGCTGAAAAGTCAAAAGGCCTGTCCTGGTCCGGGCCCACAGGCGTGTCTACAGGTGTGGACCAAATTTCAATCTGCGGCGAAGAGGCTGCCGCCCGCTGTATTACTGTGTACACACGTATGTTGCACGATTTAAATTCGAGGGTTATGCGGCGCTTGCTGAGACTGAGGCGAACGCGTAATTTGTGGGCATGGGGCCCGCGAGATGCGCCGCGAAGTCTGCTTTAGCCGCCTTCACGTGGGTTCGGTGCGCTTACATGCATTCCCATTCAGGCGAAGGATATCAATCTGATTCATCTCAAGCTTTGCCTCACGTGAGTGGCCATTTCAGACAGCATTTGGGGCCGAGGGACCACAACCTCAGACAGGACAAAACATCAATGATGCCGGGCATGAGGGGTCGCATTCTAAAGTTATGTACCTAGGTAACTACAACACAGAGTTGGTGTGAAGATGCAACACTAGATTGCGAGCCTTCTGTCCGACCAAGAGCAAAAAGCATGGTCGGAATCACGACCCAGATGCAATCTGTAGTAGAATACGACCTCTGCTGGAGGGTCCGTCACGCAGCCACAACATCTCACCCCCGATCTCATACGGGCATTCTCTTATATTTAAACCTCCTATAGAACAGCCTCCCGATAAAGGATTCCCTGTCATGGAATATTTCCATCCTATGGATGTCGTGCTATAAAAGAGCTTCCAGCGGCCCCTACAGAAGGCGATTGTATAATTGCCGAGGAAATATTGATTCAGCTACAGGGCTTCGTTATGACGTATTGTAATTTTTTTTTTTTTAGAAGCGAAACCACTTATTTTTTTAAAGGTGTGGCTGGCGGTGGAACAGTAATACAGTGGAATGAATGTGTTGTGGTGGGACTGATGATACCTAACCCGGTGATGGTTATTACTAAGTAATTAGTGCCTAGGTACATAGGGATGCGTGTATCGTTGTTATCAGTATCTTATACTTAGACAGTTCAATCACCAGGTCCCTCACCCGTCAGTGTGTCTCCAAATCTTCGGGCAAGAGATCTATGCTCTCCCCATCCTGTACACTACTTGGGTATCTACCTACCCCACTGGCTTGGCATATGTCGGCCAAACCTAGCCGACTGCCATTCCGGTTCCAAGACGGTGCGGGGAGTGGGATCGCTGATGTCGATAGAGGCATGATGGTGTCATCGTGAACCCCCACACTGTATACCTAGGTATGCAGGTATGGTAGCGTCGAGAGTGTTGCCCAAGGCCTTGGAGGCAGTCGTATCTAGAGAAACAGGCTACAGTGAATATTTAGGAGAGAGAACTGACCTTCCGCGGAAAGGAGTGGTCGTATAAAACTGTGGACGGCGTACCGCACAAAATCAACCCTGAAATTTCATTGGAGAAGTCACCGGCTTCCTGTCCTTCAGAGCCCTCGACTTCGAGACCAGTTCACACACCCCTTTCGGCCCGCTTCCTTTCCCAACAGTGGCGGTAAGATAGGGACCAAAACATCAGAGGTTTTCCAAACGGCAATGGTAAAATGTCACCAGCCAATATGTATCGGCAACGGCCTGGCCTCGGCTGTCTCACGGCCGTGCTCAACATCACCGGCGTCCTCGCCTGCCAGCAAGATTTTGACAGTCCCTCTGGGGTCAACCATCTGCACCATACTCGCCCTGTCATTAACGCTCGCCAGGATAGTCCCATCCCCGTCTTGTCAGAAGCTGAGTCTTTGCTGGTAAATTCGTTCGATAACACGTCAATCGATAGCTGGTCTTATTATTACACACATGGCTATCACGTCGCGGGCGGCAACAAGACCATGGCCCAGTGGACCGCAGATCAGTGGTCGTCATTCGGTGTGCCCGCGTCCCTGGTCGAGTACTGGGTATTTCTAAACTACCCCATCTCTCAGTCGGTCTCTCTGGAGCTTCCAGACGGCAGCAGCCACTCGGCGGTCCTCATCGAGGAGATTTTAAGCCAGGACGAGACCACGTCATACCCCAACAGTGTCCCGGCGTTTCACGGCCTCTCGTATAGTGGACAGGAGTCGGCGGAGTATGTCTACGTCGGCAGAGGCCAGCAGGTAGACTTTGACCGTCTGAAGGCCCTCGGCGTCCCTCTCGAAGGCAAAATTGCGGTTGCCAAGTACGGCGGCCCATTCCGTGGGCTCAAGGTAAAGAATGCCCAGCAGAACGGGATGAAGGCCGCCGTCATCTTCACAGACCCGGGTGATGATGGAAATGTCACAGAGGCTAACGGTTATGCACCATATCCTTCTGGCCCTGCAAGAAATCCAACAAGCATTCAGCGCGGCTCCGTGCAGTTTCTCTCGCAACGGCCCGGGGACCCAACCAGCCCTGGCTATCCATCCAAACAAGACTCTCCCAGGGCTGACACTTCCGACGTCACTCCACGTATTCCTTCGGTGCCGATCTCGTGGAAGGATGCCGTACCACTTCTTGCCGCACTTGACGGGTTCGGAGTGGCCGGGGAACAAGTGAACCGGTCAGGTTGGATAGGCGGCCTGAACGTCACTTACAGTACGGGGCCAGCCCCTGGAGCAGTTATTTCTCTCTCTAATGAAATGGAGGAAACAATTACTCCCATCTGGAATGCTGTTGGTGTGATTAATGGAACCTACCCAGACTACACGGTAGTGATCGGCAATCATCGAGATGTAAGTAAAGAATTCCAGTCAAGCCCTCCTGCCTCAAGACTTCGATTGATGTTGCTGCTTTTTATTGTTTTCCTTTTTCTCTGGTACAGAGCCATAACATCTCCAATGCCTCCTGCCGGCTCAGAGAGCCCAAAAATAGTGTGCCCAACTGATGCGTCGTAGGTATGGATCGTGGGTGGTGCAGCTGACCCGAATTCGGGGTCAGCGGTGATGGTTGAGCTTTCAAGGGCGTTCGGCAAGCTCTTGTCCACCGGCTGGAGACCAAGGAGGAACATTGTCCTCTGCAGCTGGGACGCTGAGGAATACGGGCTGTATGGCTCGACTGAATGGGTTGAGGAGTACGCACCCTGGCTTGCGCAGACCAGTCTGGCGTACCTCAACATAGGTGCGTGATTTCGTTATCAATCTGTATACATTTGAAGGCGTATGCGGTGTCGCTCACCCCAACACCTGGGATAGACGTTGGCGCCTCAGGGCCACGACCCCGATTCTCTGCCACACCAGAGCTGCACACCATCGTACAGGACGTCATGAAGAAGGTGTTGTGGCCGCACTCAGGTTCAGATGAGCTCAACCGTACAATGTACGATGCCTGGTACGACGAGACTGACGGAAACGTCGGCGTCTTGGGAAGCGGGTCCGACTACACAGCATTTGTGCACAACGGCATCGGCTCGGTCGATGTCGGCTCTTCTGGCGGCCCAAACGATGCTGTTTATCACTACCAGTAGGTTTAAACCTTCGAATCTGCAAAACCAAGCTCAGCTGACCGCGAATTAGTTCCAACTACGATAGTTATTACTGGATGACTACCTATGGCGATCCAGGGTTTGTGGTCCACAAGGCCATGGGCCAATTCCTCACCCTGCTGGCTTATCACCTCGCGGACGATCCGATAATTCCTCTCGACCTCCCTAACTATACAAGTCAGCTGCGGTCTTACCTGGCGGAGCTTCGTGGCACGATTGCCGAGGCTGGTGTTGAGCTCGACGTTGAGCCCCTGGCAGATGCTATCGGCACTTTCGAGGCTTCTGCCAACAGGATAGCTGCACTTGCTGCCGAGGCCACCGTGACGGGGGACGCAGTTCTTGTCGATCGAGTAAACACAAAGTATCGCGACTTCCAGCGTGGATTCGCCTCACAGGGTGGTCTACCAGATCGCAGCTTCTTCAAGCATGTTGTCTTTGCCCCAGGAGTAGACACCGGTAGGGCTCAATTAATCGAGTTCGAAAGACCACTTGTTGACAGATGCCACAGGGTATGCGCCAGTCATATATCCAGGAATCACGGAGGCAGTTGCGGCTGGAAATACTTCGCTCGCGTCATCGGAGGTGCAGAGGACCACTGCAGCTGTTGCAGCAGCCGCGGCCATCTTAACCCCATAGTTTCCCTAGGTGACGTTGGCATCGCAGAAGTTGGAACTGACTGTGTCGTATCAGCCCTGGTCAAGTAAATGCCACAGACAGAACTAGCCCTTGCTCCTGATCAACAGTGCTTTCTTCGACCTTGGAAACCACATGTGCAAATAGTCGGTTCGGCCAGGCTCTCAACCAGCTCCACGGCGCTGTGGACTGTATTCTCCATTCTCACGTATAATGATAGGGATGTACGGGGCCTCAAGCCTGAGCGATTGTGACCAGGAGCGAAAAGGGGTTGAAACGAAACTAAGGAATAGTACCACCCTGCCTTTTGTTTCTCGTAAAGCAAGTTACTAAGTGTTTCATTGCTAACCGACATATGTACAAAGTGTATGTCACCTTTGTAAAGTAATAGTAAACACTCAAACACTCAGCGTTTTTTTACTAAAAAAAAAGATTGAATACTACCTAGGTAGTGATATATAGAAGGAATGCAAAACGTCCATGTCACAAGGCCTAATGAGCCTCATGATGGCCGCAGAAACAAGGCTAGGGAGAATCGCTCCCGACGGCGCCGTCGGTTAGAAAATTCGACATGGGTAGGTATTATTAGCCCAAGGGTCAATGCGGCAAACTAGTTGTGGAGTGGGGACCAAAATAGTCTCAAAGTGGCCCCTCCATGAGAAGTAACAATCCCACTGAGTGAGGTTGGTAATACACATGCCAGGCAGCTATGCCCAAGGGAGACAATGGCTTGACGACCAATTTGGGAACCTGCTCCGGATTGCCTTAATCTACCTAGGTACTTAATCTGCCCCATACAATATCAGTTGACACCTCTGCAGGGGAAATCAACGTTAATTGAGGTTGTATTTGTTGCCATTGGTTGGCTGGACCGACCAGTTTATGCTCCGGCGAACTTTGAAGCAAAAGCGACTTTAGGTTTTGGTGGTGAGGTCACTGAATAACGCTTATTACTCCTGTGGAGAGGTACAGCAGGGAGTCGCGCAACTTGTGGTGTTTATCATCCATATCCGGCCATAGCTCCCTGCCGCCGTGTGTCCCGCCGTTGTCGCATCTTGAGTTCGCGGCCGACCTATTTACAGAGTAGTTACGAGGCTGTGAACTTGATATGAAATTGAGTCATTCAGGGGATCGTGAGGGCTCGAGCACAGAATCGGGGCTGGTCGGGACCGTCGGGGTGGGTAGAGCTTTTTCACAAAGCTTGTTTCCGCTAGTCTCCAAGCACCTATCATCGCGCAGTTACCACGCCCAGAGGCATGGGTCGTTGCGCGACTCTTGCGTGGTGTACGGCCTATGCATGATGTCTAATAAGAAGAGAAGACAGTCGCTTTGCATCGTCGTCACTTTGTGAGAATCTCCCACACAGCTGACAGCATTCCTTCACTTGTACACACACACGCAGGCACTCATTCTTTGTTTCAACAAGAGTTCTTGGCAGACATTCTCTTACTTTTTCTTTTTTTTTAAAAAAAAAAGCCTGTATATCAGTTAGTCAAATTGTAACCATCATGAAGGCCATCGTTGTCCTCAGTGTTCTTTTCGCCATAGCAATCGCTGCCCCCAGCCCCGACGCTGTGGCACGCTCTCTCGCCCGGAGAAAGGCGGCGAGGGCCCTGCGATCCCAGCAAAACAAGGGTCGTATCCTCGAAAGAGCCTCGGCCTACAACGTGAACTGGGCTGGCGCTCTCCTCACCGGGAAGAACGTCACAGCAGCGTCGGGCAGTTTCCCGGTCCCCAAGGCTGCCGTGCCCACAGAGAAGGAAGCCGGTTTGAAGGAATACACTGCGTCGGCGTGGGTCGGCCTCGATGGCTACAACTGCAAAGGTCTCTGGCAGGCGGGTGTTGATTCTATCGTTGAGTCATCGGGGGAGACCTCGTTCTACGCGTGGTACGAGTGGTGAGTGCCCAGGAGCCTTGGGAAGCTTGACGGTATTTCCGTCCTCGACGTTCAGTTCTGACGACATAAACTCAGGCTCCCGGCCGATACGCAGGTTGTCGACCTCGGGGAAATTTCCGCTGGCGATGTAAGCACCGTATCCTCGTGCCGTGCTGGGTTCAGACGGTTCTGAGAGGCTAACACGACCCCCTATTAGGTTATCAACGTCGAGCTCACTGCAGCTAGCACAACCGAGGCATCTGTGGTTCTGGAAAACAAGACGAGCGGCAAGAAGTTCACCAAGACGGTCACGTCATCCGACGCGCTGTGTGGGACCGCTGCCGAATGGATCCTCGAGGACGTGACTTTCCAGGACCCAGACACCGGTCTGGCCAACTTTGGCTCCGTCACCTTCTCCGACACCAAAGCAACGGTGGGCGGATCAAACACCTCTTCAATCAGTGATGCTATCATCATGGACATTCGAGACACCAACAACACTGTCCTCACGTCCTCCAAGGTCTCTGGATCTGATGTCGTTGTGACCTATGGCTGAGTGGCGAGCCGGGGGCGGTCCGAGTCGGGTATGGGAATAGACGTGAACCCGTTCCAATCTCAGTGGTGCACATGTAGTATGCCCTGGAGTTATAGCTGGTGACGGCTCGAGGAGGACTTTTCATGTTCATGTGGAAATATTTATGAATTGTAGATACATGTAACTAGCTTGTTCACTGAGACGGCAAATCCGAGGCGCGAGCCTGTTTTCACGCTCATACAACCCGCAAGATGCATGGAAACTCTCATACGAGGCGCAACACACGAGGCACCACTGCTTGGTGAGGAACACCTTGAAGACCCAAGGATAGCTGACTGCCACTGTATGAAGGCGCCGTATGGCTTCGGATGTATACCTAGGTCCGGAGTGTTAGCGAACATTTGAAACCAATGAGAATCTGGGAGATTGCAGCCAGATGCACGGTACACCCATACACGTGTCAACAGCAAACGAATGTGGTCGCTGTTGGGAAGTGTACCATGTCCGTTGTGCTACTCTTGTGCGGATGTTATCGGCTGCCGGGCCGGAGGGCGGCATGGCATGCAACCGGAAGCCAAGACAATCGGGCTCGGGATCGGAGACTTTGACTCTTGCTAGCCCTATTGTAGTGTACTGCATCTGTGGTGTACAGGTGTGGGGCTAGAGCGAATTAATTCCCTGTCATGTCGTGACTGGGCGCCCCGATTTTCGCTCCTCGGTTGCGCTCTAGATTTGCCAATACCGGGCGCAGAACGGATGACTCCGCTCATCCTTTGCCTGCACCATTGATGTGGGTTCCAAGGTTCCAAATAGCAAGGTTGTTGGCTGGAAGCGCACATGTGTGTCTGTGAATGTGTGTACGAGAGAGGGAGACAGTGACAAAGACAGACTTGAGATTGATAGCTACCTACTACATGAGACCACATGCAAGCGTGACAAGCTTGACAAGTGTGTCATCGGTATGACTCTGCCATTCACCCACACACTGAGTCCGTACTTAAGTACGTACATAAGTACTTACAAGACTGGTCTTCCCACTGTCGAAAGTTCCCCCCTACTCCAAAAAAATGTGAGCCATGTCCGATTCTTACTTGTGGCTAATATTGGGAACTAGTACCTGGTCAGCAGGACAGCAAAATCAATACACTGGAAGTCTCGACCTCAGCCCTAGACCTGGAGTTTAGAGTCCCTGTTCCGCCACGCGTAATTCGATCGATCATCGCCAGGCGATCCACAAACCGGCTGTCGAGACTTGACCAGCCTCAATTTGGCCACCTCGGAAGGCCTGTGCCTTGTCCGCATCAAAGCCCATAAATCGGAACCTTGTTGACCAGATCCACGTGCGAAAGTCTAATCCGACGTCATGAGTGCCCCTGACAGCAGCCAGCCTGGGCATAAGCCTGGACCTCGCTCGCTCTCCACCATCCCGGATGAGCAGACCCCTTTGATTGGGAACAACACCGCATCATTGCACCCGGGATCTCATCAGAGACCAGCAGATGGGGACGTCGACGGCGAATATGACGATGACGATGACGATGACGATATCGACCCGGACGAGTTTGACTTGCTGCTCACTCGCTCGTCCTCGTACGCGACTGGGCTGCTCGGCCCCGAGGCGAACGAGACCCCGCTTCTCCGAGGGGACCGCAAACACAGCAGCAACAGCAGGGCAGGCCGACTCCCTCATATCTTCTCCAGCCGGCGGGCATCTGTGGCGAGCGAGGCCCTCGAGGACGGGGTGGTCGCCGAGCTGGAGCGGGCACCCCTCTTCCTCGGGGGCATTTCTCGTGGCCGCTTCTGGTGGATCTTCGGCATCGTCCTAGCACTTCACTTTGTCTCGTGCTTCGACGGCACCATCATGGCCTCGTCGCACCCCGTCATAACCTCGTACTTTCAGAGCTCAAACTCTGCCTCGTGGCTGTCAACCGCCTTCCTGCTCACCTCCACCGCCTTCCAGCCGCTGCTGGGCAGCCTTTCCGACACGGTCGGCCGAAAAGGCCCCTATCTTATCACCACAGCAATCTTCGCCCTGGCAACACTCTGGTGTGCCCTCGCACAGAGTATGGCGAGCTTCATTGCCGCTCGGGCTGTCTGTGGTATCGGGGCCGGTGGGGTCATGACCCTGGGAAGCATCATCGTCTCGGATCTGGTGCCTATCGAAAGGCGAGGTGGTGAGTAATTAATCGCCTTCCCAAGGCTGAACAGTGCAGCTGCCCTGCCCTGCCCTGCCCTGCCCTGCCAGGCCATGTGTCTGGGTTGGCCTGCATTTCAAGTTCTATCTGTTTGTGCGTGTGCGTGTGCGTGTGCTGATCGACCAACCCGTCTACAGCATATCAGTCTTACATCAACATGGTGTACGGCGTCGCATCGACGTCCGGCGCCGCTCTTGGTGGCTTCCTTGCGGAGAATATAGGCTGGCGCGCAGAGTTCGGCATCCAGGTGCCCCCGTTGTTCCTCTGCGTCGGCGTCGCTGCCATCACAATCCCCAGCGATCTTGGCATGGACGTGCAGGCCCACAAGGAAACAATGCTGCAAGCCATGAAGCAGTTCGACTTCAGGGGTTCTTTCTTCCTGACGACTTCCATCACCTTCCTCATCCTCGGCCTGAATCTCGGCGGCAACATCCTGTCCTGGTCACACCCATTTGTTATCACATCGCTAGCTATTTTCGCCGCGACCTTCCCGTTGTTCCTATGGACCGAGAGGTCTGCATCGAGACCCATTATGCCTCTCCGCCTAATACAACGATCGCCCCACGCCAACATGATATTCGGCAATTTCCTCGCCGCATTCATCATGAACACTGTGCTGTTCAACATGCCCCTTTACTTCCAGGCCGTGCTTCTCACCTCGGCCACAACGAGTGGGCTGTGTCTTGTAAGCCGGCAGTGTGCCGTTCTGATTACACCCAATACCGTTGGGGCCCTTCTCATCTCAGATTACTGATCCTTTTGGTTTCCAGATGGTCCCAACCATTGTGTCTAGCAGCTGTGGCACTGCGACCGGCTTTCTGGCTACTGTGAGTGAGCCCTTTGGACGAGACACTACCTGTGCACGTGTGTTGCAGGCACAACACAAAAATGCGAATCTGCCCCGATCAGCTCCACTGGCACACACCATGTTCCACCACTGTGGACAATTAAAGCATGTTTGTGATTACTGGAAGCGAAACTAATCGTCTTTAGTGGACCAAGCGCTTGAAATGGCCTCTCGTGCTCGGCGCAGTCTCGTTCTTTGTTGGGACGGTCGTGCTCTCATCTATGCAGCGAGGTTGGCCGCTCTTTGTCTACCTGATACTTTTGGTGCCCCACTCTATGGGACAGGTATGTGGCCTCCTCAATCTCTTCTCCTGATCAGGAAACCTAGCACCCAAGCCCGGAATCTGTACACCCAATGTTAACTCTTGCGATAGGGTTTTGCTTTTCCCGGCACTTTTATCGCTATTCTTGCGGCAAGCGAGCAGGCGGAGCAGGCCGTAGTCACCAGCACCTTGATACTTTGGCGCAGCGTGGGTACCGTCCTAGGCATAGCAGGAAGCAGCCTCATTATCCAGAACTCACTGTGGGTCTACCTCGACATGTATGTCACCGAAGGGGCGGCCCGAGACGCTGGGTTCTTGGGGGGTAAGCAAGAGGTGATTGAAACAGTCAGGGAAAGTATCGAGGCAATCGGGAACATGGGGGGCCTCATACAGGAGCAGGTGGTGGCGAGTTACGAGGCTTCTATCAGGGCCGCCTTCCTGTCCTGTATCATTCTCGCCATAGCCGGCCTTGTGCTGCTATTGCCAATCAGGCTGCCGCGGTTGGGCGAGAGGAAGAAGTAGTTAGATGGGCTGTGACAAAGTCGTGACAATTCCAGAACCCCCCTGGGCGGTTGTGCCCTTTGAAGATCCTGGCGCTACTGCGTTTTTTGTTTGAGAGTACATGGGCAGCTGTGACATGATGAGAACTGAAAGCACTGTCGTGATGAGTGCGCTGAGGAACAAACGTATATCAAGCCGCTGGTCTGCCAGGATACAGCCGACATGATAAGAATGTGGTGGTGGGTAGGTGTTGACGTTTGACGCAGCGAAGCGAGGATGCCCAGGTGTAAAGCAGCCAAACCTGGAGACACATTCAACCTCAATTGTACCCCCCTACATAAGGTATGCCAAATCTTTCGCCTCCGAATCATAGTACTTTGACAATGAGCTGATATTGTACCGATGTACCCCTTCAACGAGCCTGCAGGCGGACATGCATACATGGTGTGGTGTTTTTTTTCGTTATTTCGGAGGGCAAGCCACGGCGCTCAGAGGCGTGCAGCAGAGACAACAGAGACAAGTGGCTGCGGGTGCTGGGAACACAACGTCATTGTCCAACATGATTCCGCACCGACACATGCAGAATGGGGAGCGGCCGCCCATGATGACATCTGCTGTGTGAAAACTTTAGAACTGCCACAGGCAGGCGAGGGAAGGCAGCCCTCGGGTCCACTACCACACGTCCATCTCAAAATAAGAACCCCCCACCTGAAGCATGTATTAATGTACATGCAGGCATGATGGGTTGCCATGCACCTGCCTTGCGATGGCTCTGAGGATGGGTGTCTTCTAAATCCCCGAGGTGTGTTTTAAGTATGTACCACTTCGTGCCCAGACTTTGAGTAACTATACTACCTAAATCCAGTATAGAGCGTGCTTAATAGATGGGAAGGATGAAGTACCTCTCTGTTTGTGTTTGATGCTATTACTAACTTTCTCATCCCTCTAAATATATAATTTTCTCTTTTTTTATTATTTATTTTTATTAATGCGTTTAAAAATCTTTGTTATTACTAAAAGATTGGTTGGGGACTTTATATAGTGAGTAAGGTGGTAAGCCCTTAGGGCTATCTCCTATTTTTAACTTTCTTTTCTTCTCTTTGTTTCTCCTACTAAAAACCATTAAAAATCCTTATACCCTCTATAAGTAGTATTATATTCTCCCTCTCTCTCTTTTTTTCCCCCCTTCTCTCCTTAAGGGTACTAATTATGGAGTGAACGGCTTTAATAAGGGTTGTGTAGCTATTAGTGACTAACCCTCTTAGGTGAAACCCCTTTAATCCCCTAGTTGAAGGCTGTCGCTTTGAGAAGTTAAATTTGAAGTTAAATTTAAAGTTTATGGTAATAATTGCTTAAGAGTGATGTATTAAATACTTTTAAGTAAAAGTACCTTACTTCCCTATTTATTATATTATACTCCCTTGCATTTGTGTATAAGTGAGGACCTATTAGGGATATAGAAGGGACCCTGAGGATGTGTTGTGGCCTATTTCCGTCTTGGTGGGAAGCCATAACCCGACTACGTTTACATCACACAACCTTGGAAGTCAAGTACTTGAGTACCTTGGTAGCCTTGTTGCCCGGGCCGTCTCTCTGGCATGCCCAGGTGTGGATACCTGCTCCGTACCTACCTACCTAGGTACCTAGGTAGGTACCTAGGTACCCACCTACATGTAGGTACGGATACTGACCTGACCTCCACTCATCCTGAACCCCATTCACTTTTGCATTTCACATTTCACTGATAGATGTTCACGACCATTTACACATGCAGAGTTGCGCACCGACGAAGAATATACAGCCTGGACCATCTGAACCTCACCGGGCATCCAACATCCAACACTGGAGGCGATCCAAGGGCGGGTGTTGGCACCTGAACCAAAGCCTCCCTGGTTCTGTTTGACAAGGGCAGGTCAGGTCAGTCCTGCTGACTGCTGACCGAGCTGCATCGACAAAAGAGGCAGCCAGGGCAGCCAGCCAGCCAGCCCCGGGCTCGCCTGTCGCTCGGCACAGACGTTCCGTGCGGGTGTGCCAGTTGCCCCAGCCGTGCATATCCCTTGGGGGCTCGGCACCGGCAAGACGGCATCGTCTTCGAGATCGGCACCGCGACATTCCACCAAATCTTGCGTGCAGCCTGACTGTCTGACTGTCTGCCTGTCTGCCTGTCTGCCTGTCTGCCTACCTGCCTGCTCAGCCAAGCCAGCTGCCAGGGCTTTTGATACACAGTACTTGTTACAATTTGTTAGGGCGACAAGCAGACGAGAAAGTCGGACGAACAAGGCCGGCCAGGTGCACGCTGCATCAGGAGGAGGACGTCCGGCAAGACTGCCAAACAGGTTGACAGGCCACTCCAACACACACCAACAGTGGTAGAGTGCCCTTGCCTGCAGTCGGCTGTGGAGCAAAAGGAGCAGCGGGCTGGCTTTTGCTTGGTCGAGGCGACGGGACGACCTGCCTCTTGACGGGAATAAGGTCTTGGCTCTCACCTCTCTGTTTCTCCGGCAGCTTGGCAAAGGATCCTGCGCTGTGCCAGAATCGGACTCGCTCAGCACTTCGGACTGGGGGCAAACCGCGCGCGCTTGGCTTCTTTTTATCTGGCGGCTTCCCGCATTCTCGCCAGAGGCGCTGGCGCAAAGCTGCGTTCCTCTACCTACTTGCCCAGGTGTCGCCCGCTCCCTCACCCGCCACCCAATTGTCACAGCACAGCAGCCGGTGTGGTTGGATCGGAGCACGGGGGAGAGAAAGAGAGAGCGAGAGTGAGTGAGAGAGAGTGTGTGACTGGTGTAATACCAACCAACATTTGAACCTACCTAGGTGCAGACGTACTCATTATCATCCTCAGAACCCCCGAGGTCAACTCCTGGCCTGTCTGGGTGTGGCACGACACGACACGACACGACACGATACCAGGCGCCCCGTTGTTGGCGCATCCTAATTCACTCCTGGCCCGGCCAAAAGGACCCCATCGCCACTTCCGGCTTGTTTCTCAAAGGGCTCGGGCTTGTCCTGACAACCTCTCTTCTCCACAGCCCGTTCAACATCCCGGCCGGTGGCTTTTGGGCGCGACGAGTGCTCTGATATGCTGAGACTCCTGGTGATACCTGGAATTTGTCTTGACATCTGGGCGCAGCCCACCACGAGGCAGCGCCCCTTGTACCCGGGTTGATCACGAACAAGCCGCACTACGCACTACGCACCACACAACACCCACCCCGAGCCGACTGTCGCCATGACTGCTCACCAGTCCGCAAAGAACGTGAAGTGGGTTGAGGGCCTCAGGGGCATCGCCTCGGTCATGGTCATCATGACCCATGTTGCTCGTGCCTTTGACTTCCCGCTCTTCTGGCCACGCGACGGACCAGACGTTGCCCCTCGTTTCTGGCAGCTTCCCATCATCCGCATCCCGGCCCAGGGCAGGATAGGCGTGCCCATCTTCGCCTTCCTCACCGGCTTCGTATGCGCCCTCAAGCCGCTCAAGCTTGGCCGGAACCGCCACCAGCAGGGTGACGCCCTCGTGACCGTGGCAAAGAGTGCCTTTCGACGGCCGCCCCGCCTGGTCCTGCCCGCCGCCATCGCCACCTTTATCAGCTTCTGCCTCACCGCCATCGGGGGCTACGAGACGGCACACTTCTGCGACTCGTTCTGGGTCCGCTTCGACGCCCCCGGCATGGAGCCCTCCTTCAGGCAAGAGGTCGAGCGCCTGTTCCGCTCGCTGCTGACCACCTGGACGAGCACAGACAACCCTTACGACCGCCACCAGTGGGCCATGCGGCCGCTGCTGGTAGGCGCCTTCCAGGTGTACATCCTGCTGGTCGCCACAATGGGCATGAGGATGAGGTATCGCATGGTTGTCCACCTTCTCCTCATGGCCTACTGGTGGCTGAACAGGCAGGCAAAGACCGAGACCTTTGGCTCGCTGATATCCCTCGGCACCCTCCTGGCAGACCTGTCTCTGCACCGCCCGACCCAGAGCCTGATCGCCTCCAACCACCGGGTCCTGTCGCTTGTCGTCGCGCCACTGCTCCTTCTCAGCGGCCTGTTCCTCGGCTCTTACCCCCAGGAACACGAGGACTGGTCCCGGTGGTCCCTCGGCCTCCACCAGACCTTTGTCAACATGGACCCACCCCCCGGCATATCTCGCGGAAGCCTCCTCGTGCCCGAGGGCACAGACGCTCGTCGCCGCTTCTCCTCGATAGCGATACAGTGCTGCGCGCTTGCCATCTTCATCAGTCCTTTTCTTCGCGAGTTACTGAGCAACAGGTACTTCCTTTGGCTCGGCCGACACTCCTTTGCCGTCTACCTGGTGCACGGAACCATCCTCAGGACCGTCGGCATGTGGATCGCGTATGGGCTGACGCCCAGGTTTGAGCAGCACGAGGACGGTTCTTTTGAGGAGTTCCTGCACATACGGAGCAAGGGCAGGGTCTGGATGGCGATCCTGGTGTTCGTCGTGCTGACCTACACCGCGGCGTGGGCCTGGATGCGCTGGGTCGACACCGCATGTGCGCGGGCGACGCAGTGGCTGGAGAGCAAGGTGTTCCAGGCCGAGGACGATGAGGACGCCGACGACGCCGAGAAGGGCTTTAGGGGCGGTCCGCCCGTCGACAAACACGCCAAAGACCACCAGCGGATGGCCGACATGGCGCATGCAGGACCAGCGGTCGAGGCCAACATCAATGGAGGCTTTCCATCGGCCGCTGGCGCTCAGAATCAACGTCGCTCGCTCAGCCAGGCGGCCTTTATGAACCTGACCTCACCCCTGAGGACTGGATCGATGGATAACGGGATTCGACCACCATGAAACCGGGTCAGATAAAGGTGCCGGCGACAACGAGGCCACAGAATCGTGTCCTGGGCCTGCGACGCCTGCAGGCGTGCACATTGGACCCCGGCAAACTGGACGGGGGAACGAGTCTCGGCTTATGACTTTGATACGAACAATTGACTCCGGTTGATGCATTCAGCCAGCGCTACCAGGCGTTGCCCCTCACTCATGATTTGCCACCTTGTAGGGATGCTTGGTGCTGATGCAGAGTGGGAATATTTGTATCTTCAGGCTTTTTCATTGTACGTTGCAGCAGCACTGGGGACGCGTCACAGCATATGGAGCTGGCGCTTTTGACGTTATGGCATAGCATGATATAACCACACAAGCGTTTTGAGAACCGAAGTACCAGGGAAATGGTGGCAGAGGTCAAGCAACGAGGAAGAGGGAAGAATGTCTTGAACGTGGGAATAAACAATTAACCACAGGCGTCTGGAGGTGGTGAAAGACGGCCGGCAGTAGACAGGCACAGTAGAGAGAGCCCTTTCCCGAACAATCATGGATTGTGGCGTTCTGCCATGGGCGACTCATAGCACAACTCATCGATACCCTTTTATTGAAACCAATCAAAATGTCACGAAGGAGTCGGTCGCCTATAGTAAGATTCAGGGGCTCGCGGCCGCGTGGTGCGTGTTTGGCCGGCCGCGTTTCAGAAAAGACACTGGGAGTGTGTCGGAAAAGGCTAACCTTGGATGCTTGTCAGAAACCGAGGCCCCGACTAGACGACTCCATTGACCACATCGGAGGCGATTTGGTGACCGGTCTAACGGCCACACTCTTCCATATCTATCATCGAGTTCTTCCTCCAGAGCTTCCCTTGGTCGTAATCGGATCACAAGCGAGCATGGCTTTGGTTCAGATCTCGGCGCAGCGGTGCGGAACCTGGCTGGTTGCACTTTTGCTGCTGCAAGCCCAGCGGAGCTTTTCTCTGTCACATCAAATGCTCAAGGATGTCGACTGCCCAATATCACCAATTCCCGGCCAGACGCTGACGGTGCGTATTTTCGAGGCTCGTGAAGCTCATCCGTCCCCAAAGTTCGTGTCAATTTTCTGACCGCGAGTTCAAGTGTGCCGCACATTCACACCAGCTGCCAGCGCCAAGTGAGCAGCAGGGTGAGGGGTCGACATGGTCAATGAAGCCCTCACCGGGGAAAGGCCGCGGCCTCTTTGCTGCCAAACACATTATAAAAGGCACGCATGTGCTGGTGGAGACACCCCTCTTCGTCGTGAACCCTCCAGCACTTGTTCCGGGCATGGGTTATTCCCTGTCCGCAATGGCTGCCGACGTGGAGCACGAGTACTCGAGACTCAGCCCGGATCAGCAGCAAGAATACCTCTCGTGCCACGAGCAAAGGCTCGAGGGAGACAGCCAGGACGATTCGGGCCGTCTTATGGCCATCCTCCGGAGTAATGCCTACAACTTGGACGATGGCCGGGTTGCCATCTATCCTAAAGTGGCACTCATCAACCATTCCTGTCAGCCCAATGTGCTCAACGCTGATAACAGCGGCACCAGGATCATCGTGGCAATACGTGATATCCAAGAGGGAGAGGAGGTATGAATTTTCAAGCACCACTTGGTCGCCAAAAACCCCCCGGAGGGGGGGGGGCTCACATCAAGTGCTTGTGATCTCAAATCAGCTGACCCCTTCCCCGCGCACAGATTTTGACAACCTATATTCCTTTACTTACGGACACAGAGAGACGCAACCAGAGGCTTCAGCCGTATGGATTCCGTTGCGACTGCACAGCCTGCCGGACTGGAGCTTCAGATGCACGACGGCTCCAGGCTGGCAGAGACCTAGAAGAGTTGGAGAACGCTCTGCGGACACCCGGCACGAGAACAAGTTTTGCAAAGAACAAGCTCATGCTGTCCGCTCAAGGCTTGGCAGAGTACGTCGAGGAAGAAGGATTTGCAGACTACCACATCAAAACAAGCAGGCTGGCTTTCGACCATGCCGTCTTGGCCAGCAACAAGAGCAACGCCAGGGAGTGGGGTTTGAGACACCTGAAGCATCACGAAGTGGTTGACAAAGATTCGCACGCGTCACGGCAGGCCCAGAGACTGCTGGACTCATTGTGAGACACGCATGAGTTCAACTGCCGTTCATATGGAGTGAATCTGCATCTTTTCTTTCGGTGCTGTGGCCAGACTCTGGAGTAGAGCAGCCTGTAAGCGCGCGGATGCTGAAGATCTTCCGAACTTCCGAGAAGTTTGCCCTACGTGCGGGCTGAGATCGTTTCTCGGACAGTTGGGAACGCCGATACCATCTGATAGGTACAAGTAGTTATGGCAGGGCCGAAAAATAAACATAAGATCAGCTCTAACGACTTCAAGTCTATATACCTCAGGCTATGTATGCAAGTAAAACGAGTGGATCCAGTTCAGCTGGACCTTGGGCATTATCTAGCATTGGCGTTGAGCAATGGTGTTCGCACACAGTAACGTGTTGTAAATCCAGATGAACCGCCTACTCCTGACACCATGTGGCCGCAATCCATAAGACACATCAAAAAGCCCATGATAAGGGACAGACACAGATACGGACCCCAACGCCTAACAAATGCATGCAAGCACCTCGTGCCGATGACCCCACACCCATCTACATAGACACAGGGCTCACCGGTTCGCCATGGCATTCTCCCGCACGAGGTGCCCAGCCTCGTGAGTGTCGTCCCTCGCCTGCTTCAGGAAAGGCAGCAGTGCCGTCCCCCCCGTCCCCGTCAGCTCCTTGTCGGCGCCACTCTTCCCGGCGTCCTTCTTCTCGTTCTGCTGCCTTGTGGACAAGGTCGCCAGGTTGACCGCCTTCTTGCCGACATCTCCCGTCCATGGCTTCCTGGATGGGATGACGATGTATGTGGTCACGATGCCCAGGTGCTTATTCCTGAACTCGGTCAGTGTCTTTGTGGCCGCCGCGTATGCCTCTTGCATCCTCGCGTGCTCTTCGCTGCTCGTCGCCACCATGGCCAGCGAGCGGATGCTGCCTGACCGCCCGACATGCTCAAGAAATCGCCGGTGCCCTCCCGGCATGTACTCCCTCACCTCCTGGTGAAAGCTCTTCTCCTCTGGCTTACCGCCCGTGGCGTGCGGGTTGTTGCTCCCCTCGGACGTGTGCGTCACGCCCAGCACGACGTCCCAGAATTGGATCAACGAGGACTGGCCGTTGCTGCCGCCGCGCCACTGCTGCCACGACCCTTGCCCGTTGCCCTCGTCGTAGAAGAGACCCTTTGGCAGGCCTGCGGCGGCCATGTTCTTGGACCCGGCCAGGAACGGGCGGATCTTGTGGTAAAAGACCATGGGATCGCATTTCTCGCGCATGCGGTCCAGGAGCACGCCAACCTTCCTGATGCAGACCGACAGCTCATCCAGTGCTGCGGCGATTGTCCCATAATCGCGGGTGTGGATGGCCCGCAGGGCTCTGAGCATGGTTGGCATGATATAAGCGCCCTGTGCCTCCATGGCGACCGAGACACAGAGAAACCACGACTCATCCTCGGTGCCCGTGAAAGTATGTGGCGACTTGAGGCTATCAAGGTCGGTGAAGCAGCCGGTGGATGAGGTAAAGTTCCAGAGATTAAGGGCGGCGTATGTCGCCACCGGCGGGACCTCGAGGTGCCTGGAGACCGCGAGGAGCGGTCTTGATATTGCGGGAGGCAGTACCTGAGAGAACGGAAATATCAGCATGGGTTTCTAGGTGAGTGCATCGCGAGCATGCCCCGCGGCAGAGGAAGGCTCCAGGCTAACCTCTGCGGCTCTGTCACCTCCCCAGACATATGAATGCGTAAGGAGGGTCAGGATAACATAAGCCCGCCTCCATTCGGGCTCCGTCCTGAGACCGTCTGTCGAAAGCACCGGCAACTGCTCGACTCTTTGCCTCAGCGTGCCATTGGCCAGGAGGTCCTGGGCATTGTGGATCAGGAGTTCCCAAGGCTCATAGCAAGCGTTTGGGAGAAAACGGAGAGGCTCTTCCGCTGGGAGAAAGCCATTGCTTGTGACGTTAAAAGACGCAAGAAGCTCCTCGTCCTGCAGTTGCTCAGTGAGGGCGTGAGGTGACATATCGGATGCTGCGAGTCTCGGCGGAGTGACACCCGGGGAAATGACAAAGCGCAAGGGGAAATAAACACAACCGTGCTCAAGTGTCTAGTCTGCTGCTGATACAGCAAGAGAAGAAGATGGAGATGGGCCTGGGAGCAATGTCTAGATGATTCTTGAGGCCCAGCAACAATGGCACTTTGTGTAAGAAAACAACAAGGTTAATGTATCTATGTGGGATGCGAAGTCTATAAGAAACAAAAAGACACCCCTTCCCCGGTAGGATCGAAAGGCTCAAGCAACAAAACTTGCAGGGCAGAAAGGATGCTGCGAGGAAGGGGGCGGACACTCAAGGGGGTGGGGGGCACGATATCCCTACGCATGCTGCCACTTCTTCCGCGATCGAACCACACCTGTCTTCTCTTCCGTCAACATCTGGGGCTTCCGCGAGCGCAAGCAACACCTCTCCTCTCCAGTTGATCAAGATAAATGCTGGGCCAGGGACGTCGGACCCGGAGGACTTGGCCCTGGCTTCGGGAGACCGAGACTAGAATGACATCCGGTCGGCGGCTAAACGCGGAAGGGAGAAAGCACGACTCGGAACGGCGGATGTTCGGAATGTAACCTCCCACAGGTAGCTTGGGCCACCGTGCTCGGCCTCTCCTGCGCCTGTTTAGCTGCGTCGGTGCCGCTCTCGGTGCGAGCCGAAAAGCTTTCCAGGGCCCAGAATCTATTACATCAGCATTCTCAGGCCTGGACCGACTCGGCTGGGGGCATCGACGGCGGCGGCTTGGTGCTTGACTGCCCACTACATAGGGAAGCCGATCAGGCACACCGGAAGGAGGGGGAAAAAAAGAGAAGCCTCACTTATCTGCCACTTCATACCTTTCTCTATCACAGCCTGGGCACGAAGCATAACTTTGTTCTTTTTTTTTTTTTCTCGACACTCTTCGTCTCCGTTGTTGGCCCGTGTCAAAGATGGATTTCAGCGCCACTGCTGACCAGATTCGGTCAGGGAAGAAGCCGGCCTTTTGTGATTTTTCTCGGCAGCATGCCCGGTCACTCGACGACGCTGACCCGATCAAGCACCTGCGGAAAGAGTACATTTTCCCAACAAAGGCTTCACTCAAGGACAAGGCGCTCAAGCCCGTAGTATCATCCGCGGCTTCGGCGGTGAATGGAACCGCACATGCAGCCGGCGGGCAGGAGGAGGACGGGGAGGGCGCCATCTACTTCTGCGGCAACTCCCTGGGCCTGCAGTCCCGGGCGACACGGCGATACATCAACGCGCAGCTAGACACATGGGCATCGATCGGGGTCAACGGCCACTTCACGGACCTGGAGGACTCGCCCCTGGTCAACTGGCAAGACATGGCCGCCCAGTGTGCCACCCAGTCGGCGGGCTTCATGGGCGCGTTGCCCAGCGAGATTGTCTACATGAACACCCTGACGACCAACATCCACCTGCTGCTGGCTGCCTTCTATAGGCCCACAGAGAAGCGCCACAAGATCATCCTGGAGTGGAAACCCTTCCCAAGTGACTACTACGCCATCCACTCGCATATCCAGTGGCACAACCTGGACCCGGCAAAGTCCATGGTGGAGATCTGGCCCAAGGATGAGAACCTGTACATCCCCACCAGCCAGGTCCTGGCCACCATCGACGAGCATGCGGACGACACGGCCGTGATCCTCCTCCCGGGGATCCAGTACTATAGCGGACAGCTGTTCGACATACCGACCATCACCAAGTATGCGCAGGACAGGGGCATCGTGGTGGGCTGGGACCTGGCCCACGCGGCGGGGAATGTCGACCTCAAACTCCACGAGTGGAACGTCGATTTTGCCATGTGGTGCACGTACAAGTACATCAATTCCGGCCCGGGGTCCATCGCCGGCGCGTTTGTGCACGAGCGCCACGGCAAGGTGGAGTGGGCCCCTGACAGCAACAGTGACGACGGGCAGCCGAGGCCCGTGTTCCGGCCCCGCCTCAGCGGCTGGTACGGCGGCGACAAGAGCGTGCGGTTCCAGATGGCCAAGCAGTTCCAGCCGACTCCCGGCGCGGGCGGGTTTCAGATCGGCAACCCCTCGGCGCTGGACCTTGCCGCCCTGAGCGGCGCCCTGAGCATGTTCAACGAGGCGGGCTTCTCGAACCTGAGGAACAAGAGCCTTGTGCTGACGTGCTATGCCGAGGCGCTGCTGAACCAGATCCTGGCAGACGAGCAGGGTGCCGACAAGGCCGCGTTCATCACAGTGACGCCGGCCAACACCGCCGAGAGGGGCGCACAGCTGAGCATCCTGCTGAGAGACGGCCTGCTGGACAAGGTGTTGGACGAGTTTGCTGAGGAGGGAATTGTGTGCGACAAGCGCAAGCCGGACGTCCTTCGCGTGGCCCCGGTCGCCATGTACAACAGCTTTGAGGAGGTGTGGAGGTTTATGGAGGTGCTCAGGAGGGCACTGGGCGTGCCTCGAAGGTGATTGATTGATTGCATGACGGCCTTCGAGTCAGCGGTTGATGCGGCCCGGAATGAAAACTGAGATCTCAGGCACAAGTTTTCGAGAAGGAATGGTAGTTACATCGAGACATGATGCAGCTTCAATCTCAAGTGCTCCCTTGAGTGTGTCCACTCGAGGACATTGCTACTGTGGTGACTGGGAAGTCCAGTCCTGTCTCGACGGTGAACGTTTTCAAAGGTTCGGCGGGCAACTATGGCTTGTTGTTACACAGATATGTCCGCTTCGAGTCTGCGGCCCACGCTCACAAGGCTGCTACGCTCGCCCTCAGCACAGGTGTTACTGGCCTGGGTAGGATTGAATACCTAGGTAGTGATATGAGGTAAGCGTGTTCAAATCCTGCGTGCATGGAAAACTCGTCACATCTGTGAACAGGCATTCTTGTGGCTCCCAGAGGTTGACAGCATCACTTGAATGTGTAGCCCTTACAAGATGCGGCTCTTCAGAAGGCGGTCCTGAGGGAGGCGGGGGACTCATAGCAGACATGGTACAATGGCTTCTGAAGTAGAGTTCTCAAGTTCTCTGGAAAACCACTTGCACCGTATCAACACAATTCGCCTGCGTCACTCATGCTCAAGAATAAGCAGCCGTCTGCCTGGGTAACATGAAAAAGAGGTCTCAATACCCAGCTGTGAGTAATACCTACCTAGACCTCGCAATGAGAACCGCAATGCAACGCAAGAATAGATCTCTTACCGAAGTACAATGGCTTGGGCCAACCAATCGACATCAGCATCAAGCGGCTTTGCACCACAGGCAGGCCAAACACCCCGACGACGAGTTACCCCTGGCAGAGGCTTTCGTCGAATTCTCCCCGAATCAAGCGTCGACCAATACGGTCTCAAGGTAGCAAGGCAGGCGGGGGATTGGGAGTTTCCAGACATGTTCGGCTAGCATGTTCGGAGCTATTAGCTCCGCAGTGCTGGGATGTCGGCCATTCTGTGACTAAATTTCCGGGTTTGCCACCGACCAACACTGACGGACAACAGAGCCCTTCACCCTTATAAGAAGATGCGTTTGCCTTTTCATCAAGTGGGTACGCGCCAGTGGTTCAGAGGTCAAGCTGTCCACACGTATTCGACTTCGCCGACTGATCCCGCAGCGCCCAGGACCAGGAGCCAGAGGGTGTTTGTATCGCGTCTGGTTTACAGAACGAGGAAGAATACGGATTCTCGGGGTTAACAATCCCCAAGAGCAGCAACATTGCCAAGATGACGCGTTTGTCGTCTCAATTGGCAGTCCTGGCCTCTTCGTTTTCTTTGCTCCACGCCGCGTCCCTTCAGAAACTCAATGTAACGCTCGAGCACAACCCCAGCAACGTAGGCTTCTATATCTACGTCCCCGACCAGATTGCCCCGAACCCGCCAGTCCTTGTCAACCCTCATTGGTGTCACGGCGATGCACCTTCTGCGTTCGCTGGATCCACGTTTGCTAGTCTGGCCTCCCAGTACGGTTTTATTGTCATCTATCCCGACAGCCCGAACCTGGTCGACAAATGCTGGGACGTTTCCTCTCGTGCCACTCTGTCCCACGATGGTGGAGGCGATAGCCAAGGGATTGTGAGCATGGTAAACTGGACACTCGACAAGTACGGGGCCGATGCAACTCGTGTCTTCGTCACGGGTGTCAGCTCCGGTGCCATGATGACCAACGTCCTTGTGGGGGCCTATCCCGATGTCTTTGCTGCCGGCTCAGCGTTTGCGGGTGTGCCGTTCGGGTGCTATGGGGCAAACATACCGGCAAACACTAGCGATGTGGATTATTGGAACAGCGACTGTGCCGAGGGGCGCGTCCAGTACAGCCCTGCGGAGTGGACTTCGATAGTGAGAGCGGCGTATCCCGCATACGGCAGCGGCTGGCGTCCAAAGATGCAAGTATTCCACGGTACGGTGGACGAGACGCTCAATTACACCAACTTCGGCGAGGAGATCAAAGAATGGACCGGCGTGTTTGGCCTGAGCCAGACACCTACGATCACCGTCCAAGACACGCCATTGGCAAACTGGACCAAATACGTCTATGGGGATGCGGGCTGGTTCGAGGCGTATAGTGCCTTGAATGTCCCGCATAACATACCTGTGCAGGCGGACGTCGCGGTCGACTGGTTTGATCTGCGATGTACCGAGGGCGATTGCTTCCACTGGGGGACAGGAGGACCAACAAACAAGAGGTCTGCAGGTGACCACAACCAAGGACGTGCCAACTGACGCTCGACGGCATGAATGCGGCCGATACGGAGAAACCATTCATGACATTAAAACCACAGAAACAACGCTTGACTTCCATATGGTCTTTCCGTGCATCCTGTCGTGGCTCATGATAAATGGTACATATTTCCCACGCAAGCGCTGGGTCTTGAGTGCTTACCACCGTATGAAGGCGCCATGTATGTCCTCGGACGTATACGGAATAGAAGCGAAACCACGCATAGAATAGGAGCAAAACCAGATACACACACGACCTTGGAGCACATTCGTCTAGAATGCTTTCTGCGGGACTCGCCGACTTCCTATCTGTATGGACTGTGAGAATTGCGCTCGATATAGTGGCTCTCTATGCTCTTCGACGTTTCAGGATGTGGCATTTCTGACTACCTTCCTAGAACCAAACATCCCCCGCAGCCAAGTCAGCTAGCTATGCATCCGCTTCACAAGTGGTGTGGTGTGCCAGAAGGGATTAGAAAGTACAAGTGGATGGATTTTCGGGCTACATCACTCAGAATGTATAAACTTGTCCGATATATATTGGCTCGGGTGCTGCGTGACGAGGCGCTGTGAAGGGGAGCGTGCGCCGGGCGTGCGTAGCTCGACCAGAAGGTGTGCAGTTAGTTGATTGCCTTTCCCCTTTTTGGCATTATCATCAACGTTATATGCACAGTAGTCTCAGATATTGGAAGGCTGCCATCGTTACACCGGTCTCTCAGCTGGCTGGCGAAACGAGGAGCATCCTGGACAGCACCAAGGTCCCGATGCTCTGTCGCGCTGCTTATTATTATCCCACAACGGATAACCATGTGTCTAGACTGCCAGAATGCCAGACTGCTGCGCAGCCCCAGTGCTGGTTGAGCTGTCCCTTATCTGAATAAGGGTATCGATACTGGCGTCGTACTGCCGGCATACTTGGGGCCCGCTCAGCCAGCAGACGGATCTCACTCCAGAAGAGGAAGCTGACTGTGCACCCCTGATCCCCATCCAATATCTGTGATTGCGATCTACTCCGTACTGCCGAGCGACAGTATAACCTTGGATTGAAGCTTAACCTGTCGGCTCCGAGCCCGACCCGCTGAGCCCTGACCAGCTTCCCATGTTGGGATAGGTCGTGGCTCAACCGAGTCACGGCATTGGTCTGTTTCACATTTTGTTCATCCGGTCCTGGTAGCATTGCATCGGTGTCAAAGTCTTGGCGAACACGCCTAGGGCAAACACCACTGGATGAGCCGGAGATGCCAAGTCTGACGATGTCCACCCCGGCTATCAGAAGGCCAGGACGAGACGCCGACATTGTGTTGTGCCCGACCGCGTGCTTATCTTCGTTGGCTGTCAGCACGTGAACGGTCGTAGCGTCTTGACTCGAGGTGGAGTCGCAAGCGAGATGACCACCTGGGCACCAGGACGGGCGTGCAGTCAAGTGTGCCGGCCAGGTGGCACTGGCAAGGTACGAAATACGGAGTAGCTAGCTGGAGGCTTATGTGCAGACACACCTATGGTAGACGGGGTGAGAACAAGAGTTCGTGTGTACGAATATAAATATGTCTGTGTGCGCGCGTCCCTCCAAGTGGGGGATGATCCAGATATCCACGAACAGTAGCAGCTTCTGGGTCCTCGACAACTGCTGAGCCGATCACCAACTTCATCATGAAGGCCCCGACTTCCCTCCTCGCCGCTCTTGCTGGCCTTGTGGCCATTGTCTCGGCGGCGCCGGCGCCCATGCCAACACCGCCAGGCATCCCGTCGGCATCCGCGGCCAAGACCCAGCTGGCAGCCCTCACGGTCTCCACGCAGGTTGATGATGGTGCCTACAATAGGGATCTGTTCCCCACGTGGGACACGATCGAGGGCACATGCAACACTCGGTATGTCCCCGTCGTACATATCTCCGCCAGTCGATCACACGAGGGGGAAAAAAAGATACTGTCGGGCCTGAGGTTAACCGTTCTCTCACCCCAGCGAGTACGTCCTGAAGCGTGACGGCACCAATGTCGTCGTCAGCTCAGCCTGCACAGCGACATCTGGGTCGTGGTTCAGCCCATACGATGGTGCGACCTGGACGGCAGCCAGCGATGTGGATATTGACCACATGGTCCCATTGAAGAACGCTTGGATCGTGAGTCACCTGTTCCGCTTGTCGACCGTGCTCGAAGCAAAGTGGGGGACTGCAACTGACAGGGACGCAGTCTGGGGCCAATGCCTGGACCACCGCGCAGCGCGAGGCTTTCGCCAACGACGTAACTCGCCCGCAGCTCTGGGCCGTGACGGACAACGTGAACCAGTCCAAGGGGGACAAGAACCCTGCCAACTGGAAGCCGCCACTGGCGAGCTTTTATTGTGTCTACGCGAGGAGTTGGGTCCAGGTCAAGTCCTACTACAAATTGACCGTTAGCAGTGCGGAGAAGACGGCTCTGACGAGCATGCTCAACACCTGCTGAGCATGCACTGTCTCTGTGTATATAAATTGGCAACCGCACGGGTCAGGTTGACATGGTATATATATATGTTTGGGGGGGGGGGAGGCAGCCGGGCTGATACGGCCAGAGGATGACAATCAAATGGCCGGATAGGAGATAATCTGAGAGCTCCCAATTGACCCGGATTGATCCAAAGTTGTTCACGATGGACCCTTCAAAGCTCGAGCGACATGTACTGAATCGAATGGTATCATTATTGTGTTTCGTCCAGTATCTGGGACGGATGAACTGTCGAATATCTCTTGTGACGCGGGAGCTTAGACACTAATCGTCTTGAAGACGCTGAACTCCTGGCCCGTGGCAACCAGGGTGCCGGGGATCTGGGGGTGCCAGTGCAGCTCCTTGGCCTGCTCGTGGTAGTGCACAAACAGCAGCTGGGGCGGCACGTCGTTGACGCCTGCGGTGTCCTTGCTCTCCTCGTCGTCCAGCTCGACGGCGAGGTCCCACAGGGTGACCGTGTTGTCGCCCGCGGCAACGGCGACGATGCTGTCGTCGGTGGGGTGCCATTCCACACTTGTGATCTGTTCCTTGTGGTAGTCAAAGCTTGCGACGGGCGTGGGCTTCTCGGTGGCGTTGGGCTTCCACTGGCGCAGGTCCCAGACGCCCCAGACACCATCATCGTCGCCCGAGGCCAGCAGGTTGGACCTCTGTTTGCTCCAGCTCATGACATTCACGTCGGTCCTGCTGACGGGCATGGTGATCATGGCCTGGCGGCTCTTGCTCCTCACGTCCCAGATACGGATGGAGCCGTCAGAGGAGGCCGAGGCAAAGACCTTGTCCTCGGTGGGACTCCATTGGATCTCCTCGACACTGCCGGTATGGCCGGTGAAAGGCCTCGTGTCTGTGACCCAGCCGCCGCCGTCGGTGCGGGTGGTGACGTAGATGACGCCGTTGTTGTCACCGGTGGCAAGCTTCCCCGCGGGCGACAAGGGCGACCAGTCGACAGCATAGCCTTCTGACTTGTGGGCACGGATGGTAGACAGGGGCTTGTTCTGCTTCTCAGACACTATGACGCCAGGCGTATCGAAGCTGGCAAGATGGGGTGTGATGTCGTGGATGTAGACGTCGGAGGACTCGGTCATGGTGGCGACGAGGGTGGTGGGGGGTCTCGAAGGGTCTGAGTTGGGAGTCTGGTGGGCGCGTATGCGGTTTGTGGTGGAAGACAGCGGGATGCTCTTGGACTCGAGGATAGGGTCGGCGTCCTCGTCGTCGTCGTCGTCGTCGTCGTCATCGCTGTCGTCGGCGTCCTTGTCCATCCTGCTCAGGCCAGCAAACTTCATGACCATCAGGGCGTTCTCGTTGGCGCGCTGGCCCTCGGCCTGGGTGCCCGAGACAGTGTACATGGTGGCGGGATAGACCTTGCGGTTGTCGCCGAGGGAGTCGCGGACAATGTCAAAGGAGAGGCAGGGCCACGGGGTAGAAAGGTTGTGGAGCATGTGGTAGGTGGTCGGGTCGGGGGCCAGGGTCTGGCCTGGCTCGAGTTTTGTGCGGCCGACGATGAATGTGCCGGGACCTGTGGCGGCGCTGTCGACGTCCATTTCTCCTGCGGCTGCTCATGTATCGTCAGCCACGCTGGCCTCCCCCCGACGTGCTCCCCGACGGGCTCCCCGACGACGCGAGCTTCGGATTGGGGTGACGTACCTGCTTTCTCCTCGGCCTCCCTCTCAGCATCTGGCCTGCCATCAACACCGGCCTCGAGGATCTCGTCCTCGCTCTCGAACTCATCCTCGAACTCGTCCTCGAACTCGCCCATGCCCTCGTCGGCCTTGTCGTCGATGTCCATGGCGTCTGGGCGGTGGCCGCCCTTCAAGGGGCCGTCGTCGTGTTCTCCTGCACGCTTGGACATGGTGTCGGTCGATTGGGTTCGAGAGCCAAGGGACAGGTGGCCTTGAGGATGAGGAGGCGAGGACCGAAAAGAGCCGAGTCAATAGCAACGCAATCGCTCGTGGTTGAGATTTTGGGGTCGCACAAATCAGGAAGGGCAGCTGGTGTGGAGGGGTATTGCCATCGGGGCGCAATCATGCTGCCTCGAGAAAAAAAAAGGTAGATTGCTGGGCGGTGATAAGATAAGTGTACGGAGTAGCTAAGATAGCGATAAGACCGCCCGTCCACACAATCATCAATACCTAGGTACCTAGGTATCTAGGTACTTAATTACTTAGGTACTTTCGTATTATCTCACAGCTCACTCACCAACCAGTCTTTACTAGAGTTCCATCATTGATGTGATGATGTCAACATGAACCAACTGACAACTGCACAGGGCCAGTCAACTTGTCTTTGGCATCCATTATTTTATATCCAAATAATCTTGTCAATGGTCAAGGGTTTTACTCTTGTGCTTAATACAATTCTAGGCATGAGAGCCCTGTTTTGTACTTAAGGTAATCTGTACTCCATACACCTACCTCACCATGCTCAACACTCGGCAGTGAGAGGGCAGCAAATTCGATAGTTGGCATCCAATGTGTGGAGTTGACCAGCCCGAACTTATTCCTTGTAGAAGACCAGACATCTGACCTCTATGCTCTGTCTCCCCTTCGCGTCGCTCGGGGTGTTGGGGTCCACAAAGGCCGTGTGAGGGGTGAGAGCGGCAATACCGTCCTTTCCGCCCGGCTGGCCCTGGCTTGCCGAGTCAAAACACTTGATGAACATGGCCTCACCCGGCGTCATGTCCTTCATATACTGTTGCGGATCTCGTCGATTAGCCACTCATGTGTGCTGCACAAGTCGGGGCGAGTAAGACGGGCCGGGGAGGTGGTCAACTGGTGCCTTTGCCTTGGACCACGCGGGTCAATGGGCCCCGGATGGGAGAGCTCTTACCCAGAACTTGTGTTTCTCGTTGGGTGCGATCGAGTATGTCTCGCCTGGACCGTCGGAACTGGTTAGCTGCATACCTGCACGTGGGCAGATCAGGCCAGGCCTGTGGCGGCCGGTGCACACTCACCTCTGACTTCGTATCCAGTGGTGTCTCTCGCTTTTGCTGGGTCTGGCAGTATCTCCTTTCCCCTGTCGTCCTTCTCGTCTCCGATATCCCTGTTTCGCACGGGATACAGCAGGTCCACCTTGACCAGGTCCTCTGGCGCAGTAGACCTCCAATCCACCACGGCAAGAGGGAAATCACTGGCCGCATGGCCTATTGGTCTCCAGACATTGATCAGCTGGTACCGCCTGCTGAGCAATTCGTCTGCCTCGCCTGCTGGTACGTGCCGCCGGACCCTGGCCTCTGCTGCCCTTGGCGTCTGGTCGACGTGCACCTGCTGCACTGGCTGCCGAGGTGACGACGGATCGTGCCTCCTGATGGTGTGGTCAAAGATGACGACCCTGTCAACCGCCGGCCCCAGCTTCTCCCTCAGGAGCTGCTCCACCTCGGCGTAGTACTCGGAGCGGACCTCCGTGTCGTCCGCCGCAAAGAATGCATCCTGTTGGAGCCCGGATGGATAGCCGTAGACGGCGAACCCGGAAATGTCCACGCCGAACTCTGTGCCGTTCTGAGCTGCCTCACGGATGTTGGCAACAGACCTCTTGCGCTCCGTGCGGTCGAAAGACGTGGCATCGGTATCGACCTTGGCCCATGGCTTGACGAAGGGCTCCTCAGAATCGGTGATGGTGGCGGGGTCGATGTACTATGTAGCATGTGATACTGTCACGTCAGACCTTGCGAGCTTGCTCAAGTGGGATACAGGAACATGGCAACCTCAAACCCCTGGGCCGTCAGGCAGGTAGGTGTTGACAGCCTGAGAAGACGGGGTCGAGCGCATTGCATGTGGTGCGGGTCAGCCGCTCCTCTCAAGGCAGAGCACGTACCCGGAATACGCCTGTCGTCATGGTGGAGAGTGGCTTGTTCTGATGCGACTCGGGGCGTGGATTCGGAGCTGGGCTCAAGCGTGAGTGCGACTCGTGGTGCTCGAAGCAGGTTAATTAGGGGTATGCGCATGCTCCAGTGAGAAGCACTGGCAGAGCTCGATAAGAAAGTTTAATTACTTGAATATGAGGTGGTGGCTGGTGCAGCTGATGTGGATTTTTGTGCACTACAAGTGGAAGCCGATCCGGGGGGTTCCATAGATCGGTGCCGGATCTGCAGAGGACGAGCTTATTACCCACCCAACGCGTTTGCTGTCGACGATGACGTGAACGGATGATTAATAATACACCAAGAGTGCTCAGAGGCGGCAGTTGGGCGGTCTGAAGTCTGGCCCTGACTCGTTTGGGAGTGGGTGGCACCGTGTATGTGTGTACGCCTTTTCTCTACACGACACACCAGCCCCCCCCTCCATGACCTCGACAGGACTCTTTGTGATTTCAAAGACATGTCGCTCGAACGGCCATGTACAGCCGAAGCATTTTTCCAACGCTCGGCCTAGTACGGCCCGCCTACTGACTGGCAATTCCGTGATGACAAAAGAAGCAGGCCGGATTAGGCAAGCATCTAGCGTTTCGGGATCACCGCGGATTCACGGAATCCCTCCCACGCTACTGGCCGTCCTCGTCTCATTAGTCTCATCTGCTTAGCGATCACGAACTACTGGTATGGCAGGTCGAGTGGTGGCGGAATCCTTGATACTTACAGCCTGGAAGTAATAAGTTATTTAAGCCGATAGCGAGACTGCACCTCCCGCCTAGCTGTCTGGATTACATCATTGATCTCGTTCAGATATCCTTATTTACATCGTCTCCCACTAATAAGATCGTAGCAATTTCTGTCCCGACCTCCCAGATCCTCCACCTCGCGTGCATCATTTCTACACCTGAACACAGCATTTAAAGTGCCCGATCTTGACCTAGGCACTCAGGACTGCACCATGGCCGAGGAGACCAGTCTTTTCAAGCCCCTGAGGCTGGGCCGTTCTGATCTCTCCAACCGCATCGCTCTGGCACCGTTGACCCGCTTTCGCGCGGACGATGACAGCGTCCCCCTGCAGGATCTCGTACCCGAGTACTATGCCCAGCGCGCCTCCGTGCCTGGCACCCTGCTCATCACAGAAGCCACCTTCATCGCGCCGGAAGCAGCCGGGTACCCCAAAGCACCTGGCATCTGGTCGCGGGCACAGATCGATGGCTGGAAAAAGGTCACCAGGGCTGTGCACGACAAGAAGAGCTTCATCTACCTGCAGCTCTGGGCCCTGGGCCGGGCCTCGCACCTGGAAGGGCTGAGGCAGGTGGCCGGCCCCGAGGCTAAGCTCGTGTCTGCCTCGGACATTCCTCTCGAGGGCGGCGAGAAACCAACACCACTGACCGAGGACGAGATTCAGTGGTATGTGAGGCAGTACGCACAGGCCGCCAAGAATGCCGTCGAGGCGGGCTTCGACGGTGTTGAGATCCACGGCGCAAACGGTTACCTTGTGGACCAGTTCATACAGGACGTCTCCAACCAGCGCACCGACCAGTGGGGCGGCAGCATCGAGAACAGGGCTCGTTTTGCACTCGAGATAACAAAGGCCGTGACCGAGGCCGTGGGCTCAGACCGCACGGGAATCAGGCTCAGCCCTTTCTCCGACTTCCAGAGCATGAGGATGGCCGATCCGAAGCCACAATTCTCGCACCTCGTCAGGGAGCTCAAGAAGTACAAGCTTGCTTACATCCACTTGGTCGAGTCGCGCGTCTCGGGCAATGCTGACGTCGAGGCCACCGACAAGATCAACTTCTTGGTCGACATCTGGGACAACCAGAGCCCTGTGCTGCTTGCAGGCGGCTTCAGACCGGCCTCGGCCATCGCCACGGTGGATGAGGAATTCCCAGACAGGGACGTCGTCGTCGTCTTTGGTCGTTTCTTCATCTCCAACCCGGACCTGGTGTTCAGGTTACAGAAGGGTATCGAGCTCACCAGCTACGACAGAGGCACTTTCTACAATCCCGGGAAAGCAGATGGCTACACCTCGTATCCATTCAGCAAGGAGTTTGTTGAGGCAAGGGCATAGGCAGACAGGCCATTAGAACCATTTGTACAATGTAGACCATCCGTTCTTAGATATAGGGGTGGCATAGAGCCACACCAGTACATCACAACTTTAATAGATGGACTCTCCCATGTGTGCAAGGCCTCCTTGCCAGCAGCAATTTGTGGCACACCTTGAGATCCCATGGGATGCTTTGGGGGTCTCCCATCCTAGCCCTGCGCAGACCGCGTCATGTGTACAGCTGTCATTCACAACGTCACTGCTGCCAGTGTCACTGACTGCGAACGTGGCCAGCTGCATGACATGTGGTAAGCACCGCGAAGTTTGCGTGCTGCGAGTCGGCGGGTCTGGGGGTAAAGCATCATCCCTGACGGTCGAGATAAGGGCCCTACGGTCAACTCCGATTCGGCGACATGCCCAACGCTTCGTTTTGTGAGGCGAGCGAATCCATGCTGGCACTATCGGAAATTGGTTACGATCAGCAACTGTGTAGTTCGAGGCTCGATAAGAGAACTATTGGACATCCACGCCTGTCTTTTACAAACCGCCAACTCAGAACGCCAATCTTCCTTACCCAAAGTCTCTAATCACAGCGGTGAGCCTCCTCACACAAAGTCCCTACAGGCACCATAAAGTCCCTTATTACTCCCACTCGACGCCTGGGCCCAACAGCTCTCCCATCGACATCGCCCAACCTACCCAGACAGCTTCAGGCAGAATGTCACGCTTATATGTAACTGCAAGTATGCCGCACAAGAACTGGGCTGGTCTCGCTGTTCCGACCCTGAGCGTCGAAACGAATGACCACACAGGAGGTGGAGTAAACTATGGGGGCCTGCACCCGACGAGCATTGCTGCTCTGCTAGGCAAAGGTCCAGAGGTGAAAAAGGGCGAAAGATTCGACTTCAAGTTCAATATCAACGTGAGTAATTCACGAAAAAGCGTTTCAAGTTAAATCATTCAGTAGCAACAGTTCATCCGCAGCTGACTCTGGCTTTCCCAGGGCTCACGGAGCTCAGCGGCCCTCGTGGTCAATACAACAAAGCATTTACCTCACGTAGAGTGGTCGTCAGACGGCGGTTTAGGTCAGTGTGATGACGGTCCAACCTTTCCTTGGAAATTATGTTGACCCCATAACAGGAAAGCTTCCCCTTGCAGGGGCTACTGCCCTCGCAGCCAAGTTCTTCTTCCAGTCTACCAAGGGCAACCTCGGGCAAAAGAAATCATTGAAGAATTCCGAGAGTGACCGGAGACAAAGAGATGTTGCACACATACATAGTTCCTCCAGAACTCAACCTATGAGCTCATCCACCTCCCATCGAAGCTCACAAAAGAAAGGCCGAAAACAGGGCACAAGAGCGAATAGCCAGTCAAGCCGAAATACAAGCCCGACATCCCAATGCGTCACATCACGGCAGTCTCGAGTTCGCTCCACCGAGTCTAGCCACCCACACAAACGAAGGAAACCGATTAAAGAGGAGCAGGGCTATGATTCTGGCTATGCAAGTGGTTCGGACCGGAACAGCGTCCGCTGTCAAAATACGCCGCGGCCGAGAACTGTCACTGGAAGCATACCTAAGAAGGGTTAGATAGAATCCAACATGTATACCGCCGCTCAGTAACCTGACCTCTCACAACACACGGGCGGTATTAAAGGTAGAAGGAGTCAATCGGAGCATTACCAACGCGAGTAGTAATGAGAATTAGGTGGTATGATAGCGGGATCGACGGAAATTCACGTTCTGATCCCACACCGTAACCCATCAGTATGTATAGTATTGTAATAAATAATACTGCTACTATACGACTAACACCTCTCCCTTTTCACCTATCTTACCTGTTCTAGATTGTTCGGGTTCAACGTCTGATCAGCATGACGCACTACTGCCAAGCCCCCTTGGCATTTGTCTCAGGGAGCCCTTGTTTTGAATTCGTACTCACGGCACGCTGCCAAGACTTCACTGACACACGCCACCACAAGGACTAACCCCGGGCCCTAGCGGACAGGTGTGCAAGGCGATTCAGTTCTTCACAGGTAACTGGTTTCGCCTATATTCCGCATACGTCCGAGGTAAGTTCGCGCCGTTCACCAAATACTCAGGCCCAAGAGTATGACCCTTCGTATCTTAAACATCCAAAGAAATCATTAAACTGTTTCACCAGTGTTGCCCACTTGTTAAGTCCTACCTGCCCAACACCGGGCATTCATTAATCATTCTGAGGTATGGTTTTGCGAGTGAATCATACACACTCTTCAGATAGTACGTCGCTCTGCGTGGTTGCATATGTTTCGGAAGAGACAGTTGACCTGTAGCAGTCCAGTTTAAGCATTCTTGGGCAATGTTGTCCTCATCAGTGGTACATCAGGCGCTCCAACCGGCACTCAATGGCGGTGACAACAATCATCGACCTCATCTTATGAAGACTATGCGTCGCCGGGTCGAGTTTACATATCTGTTTGGCGCGCTTTGGGTGGTACGAAATGCAACCTATGATTGACAGGAGGTCGTGAGAGGTCGTGAATTGGTCACTTGAGACGCGCAATTTGAAGAGTGGAGGAGCTAATCTTTGATCCCCAGTTCTACCGCCTGAAGCGGTCCCATTTCCTGAGATGAGCCTCAAACCGCCTGTTTATCAATCAACACCACAGTCCGGACAGGAAGCGTCGTTCATGGACAGGAAGACACCATGATAGAGCTGCAAGATGTGAAAACATGGCGCCGAAGTGGTATCGTTCTTGTTCCCCATACACAGAAAAATGTAGAGAACGGAAATTCACATACCTAAAATTGGAAGGCACATACCTAACTATAACTAAATAGTACCTATATATATATATAAATTTATTTTAATTAAGGTCTATTATAATAATTAGTAAAGTTATTATATATAATTACTATTTAATAATATTTTTTTATTAATTTATAAAAGTAAGGTGGAAAATTATATAAATTATATACTCTATAACTAAATTTAATAATATTTTAAATATAATTTATATTTAATTATATATATATTTTAATTTTTAATTATATATTTTATTATTATTAATAATATTATTTATAATTAGATTTATTTATAATAATTAGTTAATAATCTTATACCTTTATATATTACTTTTAACTATTAGTAAGGTATTTAAGGATATATTTAAAAATAGATTATTACTTTAATTAATAGTTTACTTACTTTATAAACTTTACTACTAACTATTAGTTTTATTAAATAATTATTTATTAGGTATTATTATTATAAATATTCTTTTAGTTTAAAAATTATAGGGTTAAGTTATTTTACTTTTAAGTTAAATTTATTTATTAAAGAAAGGTTATTATTATCTTTATTTTATTATTTAACTTAATTTTTAAGTTAATAGTTATTAAGTTTATTTTTTATTTATTATAGTTATTATTTAATTTTTATTTTATTTAAAAATATTTACTTTATTAATTATAAATATAACTATTTTATAAAAGTATTTTTAATTAATTTAACTTATTTTAGTAAGTAAATTATAAGTAAAGGGTTTTTAATTAATAAGTTATAATTAAGTTAAAAGAATTTATATATATTAGTTTTTTAAAGGGTTATATAATCTTCTTTTATTAATAATTTAATTAATATAAATTAAGTTATATTATACAAATATAAGGTAAGTATAGATTAATTATAAATAGTTATTTTATAGGATTTTACTTTTAAATATTTATAAAGTATATTTTTAATATTTAAGAGAAGATTTAAAGCTATTTATAAAACTTATATTAAAAGGTTTTTAATTATTTTTACTTATTAAACTTTTAAAAGAGGATATTTTTAATATACTTTTTAATTAAAAGTTATAAGTAATATCCTTTAAAGCTTTATAATAACCTTAATAAAATAAAAGTATTTTTATTTTATAGTTTAAATAGACTTTAAATTTTTAATATATATTTTTATTAAAGATATTATATATAAATTAAAGTTAAGAACTTTATAGATTTTATAAATTATTTATTTAATTATAACCTTTTTTATTTATATAATAGATCTTTAAGTATTAAATTATTACCTATTAATTTAAGAACTTTTTTATAGGTAGTATTAAATTAAGTTAAAGATTTAATAATTAGTTAAGTATTTTATAAATTTAAGTAGGTTAAATAAAGTTTAATAGGTATAAAAACTTTATTTAAGATCTTTAATAGGATTATTATTTTATTTCTTATTAAAGTATTAAGTAAAGTTATATTTTTATTTTTATTTTTAAATCCTTTTATTATTAACTTTCTTTTCTTTTATATTTTATAAATTTAATACCCTTTATTATTTCTTTTAATATTAAAGATAATATTTATATTAATATAAAAATATAAAGTTAGTAATAAATATAAGGAATATATACTTAATAATATTAATTAAAATAATATTATAATTAATAATAATAACTTTTAAATTTATAGTTTTATACTTTATTAGTAATAATTTAACTTACTTTAAAAGCTATTAGAAGTTTATTTTTATTATTAATAATATCTTAAAATAAAAGTAAGTTCTTTTTATATATATTATAATTATATTTTAAAATATAATATCTTTTACTATTAGTTATATAAGTATAATTAAAAGAAAATATTATAAAATATATTACTTTTAAATTTATATAATTTATTATTTTTATATTAAAAGATATTAATAATACTTCCTTTTATTTTAAGTTTAATAATATTAGTAATCTTACTTTTAAGGTTAATTTAATATTATTTATATTAATATATAAATATTTTAACTCTCTTTCCTTTATTTTATTAATTAAAACTTTATTATATTAAGTTTTAATATTATTATAAAATATTCTTATTAAAATATAAGTTTAAGTTTTTTAACTTTATTATAAAAGGTTATATATAATTTAAAAAAATTTATATTAATTTAATATTAATTTAACCTAACCTCACTCTACCTTAAATATTATTTAAAGCCTATAATAAGTATACTTCCTTCCTAAATTATAAACCTCTACTTACTTATTATAGTTTTAATTATATAAATAAATCCTTACTAAATATAATTAACCTTAATTATAATACTATTATAAATAATTAAAGTTAAAAATTACTATATATTATAATTATAAACTACAACTTTTTAATATAATTTTAAATTATAAAAACTATTAACTAATTAACTAACTTTATAACTTTATCTAACTTAATTTTAAACTCTTTATAAATATTATATCTATTATTAAAAACTTTAAAAGTATAAAAGATTAAAAATATTAAAAGGTAATAATTATTAATAATAATATTATAATTCTAATTATAATAATCTATTTATTATTATAGCTTAAACTTAAAGTAATTAAGTATTTATATTATTAATTATAATACTTAAAAATAATATTTAAATAAATATAATAAAAATTTAGTTTTAATTAATAGTTTTAATATTTAAATAGTTAATTTAACTTATAATAATATAATAGTTAAAGAGTATAATTAGATAGGAAAAGAATTTATTATAAGGTATAATAAAAAGAATATAAAAAAATACTCTTTAAGTAGTATAATAAAATAAAATAAAGTCCTTTAATTAGTTAAAGTACTACTTAATTATAGTTAGGTATATACCTTTCAATCTTAAGTACATAAATTTCCGTTCTCAAAATATATACGGTTGAAATGCTGGGAATTACATTAAACACGGGCTGTCAGTATATACATAAGTGCTCATTGTAACTATGGGCGTTACACTTTGATATATGTTACATGTATGAGCTCATACACGCCATTCTAGTAGTAGTATGATGAAGTCTGTGTGAGGCGTGTGTGCTGGCAGGAGTGATAGACCAACCAACGGCGGGTTGTTAAGAGGGAGCCTTCCCATTCTGCAACCAGTTTGGGGGGGGGGGGTTCTCCACCACGACATCATCAAATTAAGAATCACAGTCGCTTTCTAGAGGGCTACACACGCAAATATTAGTATTTCAACTATAGTTATCAACATCGTGTTTTTTTAAGCGCTGGGTCTTAGGCATTTGCTACCGCATGAAGGCGCCATATATGTCCTCGGACGTATATACGGAATAGAAGCGAAACCACCTGGGCAGTTTAATTATTTCTCAAGCTGGGCAAGATCACATATCACCGTCAAAGTCGACGAGATACGTCGTTTAAGATAATGCTGTAGCCGAATGTGTCTTTAAGACTAAATTGTAAGTGTTTAACTCTAGCTCTAGCTTCAGCTACATTATATTTTTTATTTAATTATATATTTATTTATTTATTATTTTCTTAACTTTTAAATTAACTATTAGTTTATACTTTAAGCATAAAGTTAATAATTATTTAATATATACTTTTAAACTTATTTATATATAATAAAGTTATTAACTTCCCTTATAAAGCTCCCCCTTTTACTATATTCCTTATATATTATATAAAAGTAAATAAATTCTTAATAATAAAATAATATATTTAAAAAGAATTTAATTCTTAAATATCTAAACTTCTACTTTCCTTATATAATATTTATTTAATATATAATAAATAAACTCTACTTAACTTTTTAAAAGGGTTTTAATCTTTTATAAAATTTATATAAAAGACTTTCTTAAATAAATTTATTATTATAATATTATTATTCTATTAATTATATATTTAAAATAAGGATTATAATTTAACTTATTTAATAAGAATAGATTTAAATAGCTATATAATAAGTATATTAATAGGGAAAAGTTAGCTTATTAAGTCTTATATTATAAGATTTTTTTTCTTATAAAGGCTATTTTAAAACTATTTTAATCTTACTATATAACTACTTTACTAACTATTAGCCTTTAAGCTACTTATATTAATAATTTTAATATAATATTATTAAAAGTAATATCTTCTAACTTTATTTATATAATATAAAGTTTAACTATATACCTATATATTATATTTTCTTTCTATTATTATTAATACTATATTTCTTTAAATATTAAATTTTAAGTATTTATTACTATATAAAGGCGCTATATATATTTTATATATATGGGGATTAAAAACGAAACCACCCTAACTCTAGCTCTCTTCTCGCCCATGACGCAGTCGCATTGTGGGTGGTCTACGTTGGGCGATCAAATGCTTGACAATAGCGCACAAGCCTGCACATACGAAACAGTTGTGGTGGCATTTGATTTGCTCCTGAGCTTTTTGGGACGGAAACGTACATCACAGCAGTGAGTTAATCGGACGATGACGCGACGGGTTGCTCCCCGGAAGCTTCCGATCGAAAGTGAATGCTTATTTTCATCCCCAAGAATGCCATATTATCACAGCTTTGTTGACCATTCAGGCAACGCTGGCCGGGCATCCGGTTTCCAAAAAGGGCTGTCAGCGCGCTCTTGGAGGGAGGTTTGCGGCCCTCGGACTGTCTCTTGTCGAGCGATAAGATCGGCCGGACACATCTATATCGGGCAATTCCATGAGCTGCTTTGGCACGGGCCAGGTATCCCTGACGAGTGAACACATGCGTCACGCGTTGGCATCCTCAATTAACCAATAACCAGATGACAAGCCGGACGGCCACGGCGGCTCGCGAGCAATGCATGAAGTGGAGGACCCTGGAAGAATGAAACCATTGCTATTCAGGGCTGACAAAAATGCGTCGTTGGTGCTAACGCACCCGAGACCCCCCTTATTTGATTTATCTAGGTATGTATAGCATGACGTCGCTGGAAGACGCACAGCACAATATGCCACTCAGTGGCAACCAACTAGGCCGCCCGTGGTATTTGGAGAATTACGAGTACGGAGAGCATCAAACGGGCACAACTTTAAAAGGATGCTGCATCACTCGTGCCTCCCCTCCCCCATCGCTAGCTAACTCAACAGCTTGATCACAACTTCTGAGTTCGAAATAACCACTGATAATGGGCTTCCGTATTACTGCCGCGGCTCCGGCCATTGCTTCGATCGCTGCCACTGTTCTTGGCATTGTCTTACTGGTCTCCGGGTCGTCCACGGGCACTGCTAATGACAATTACTGGATTGCGGTGAGTGTTCCCAGGGGACCACATGGCGGTCCCACAATCCTACAGGTGCAGATGCGCACTGGACAGCGACTGACTTCACCGAACTGGATAGCTTAATACCTCAAAAATCGGCCAGGATCTCATACAGATTACACCTACGGACCAGTCCACCAGTGGATCCGGTGACTCGAGCCTTGACCCTCTTCCAGGACTGGGAGGAATCATCAATAGCATACCAGGCCTCAACGGAATTCTCGACAACTTGACAAACAGTGTTGACCAGGGGCTGAACGATCTCTCGGGTACAATACTGGGGAACCTGACGGAGGCCTTGGGGGTCAAAGACACATACCGCCTTTACACCACCAAGATGTGCCAGGGAAGCTTCCGGAACGAAGATGACTCCGACAGTGACGTGGATATCGACGCGTGCTTTGCTTATCGTGACAAAGGCCGAGGTAAGGAATACGCGCTGAAGGTGTACACTGCCCACCTGGGAATTCGAGCTCAAATCCATGTCACGGTGCTCTTGCTTGCGCAATCCTACTAACATTTGCCTCCGACACACCAGGCTTGACCAATATCACGAACTCGATCCCGTCGTCGCTGACGGTCGGAACTGCGCAGGTATCCGTGCCTCTTGTGGCAACACTTAAGCAGTCCCTCCAGACCACAGTCAACTTGGCTTCAACTGCAGCGACTGTTATGATGGTGTTCCTGATCATCGGTTGCGTCTGTACTGCAATCACGGCCATTGCCTCTGGTAAGAGTCCTGTCCCCTGGCCCCGTTGGCCGTGATCGTGCTCTTTACTATCACTTCGAGTATGATTATCGAATCTGACACTTTTCCGCAAGTCCTCGGGATCCTACGCGCACAGTCCCGTTTCTTGACCCTTGTCAATACAGGGTTCTCAATACTGGGTGCCGCCATCTTCTTGGGCCTTGCTGGCATTGTGACTGGCGTCATCGTTGCAGGGAGTGACAGCATCTCAGACCTTGGAAAGGGCTTCAATCTAGGAGTCAAGCAGGGAGGCGCATACTTAGCGATCATATGGGTGGCTGCTGTTCTTGCTTGGATTGCTAGCATTTACTGGTTCATGATCTGGTTCGTTGAGTTCAGACGAAGTGCTTTCTCGAGACGGCACAGGACCACGGCCCAGATTGGTAATTGGAGGGGGATCATTGGCGAGGTGAGGAGGGATTTGAAGGTCAATGGACACAGCAGCGGTCATACGTCCGACGGTGAAGGAGGTGCACTCAAAGCATAGAGGCCAAGTGAGCAGCTGTATCGAGAGTCTTCAAAATTTAATAGTCTGTATATCGCGGGTCTTAGATCCTACATGTACCTAAAGGCGGTTTATAACTATTAATATAGTAGTGTATTATTACTAATAAGTATAGAATAATTATTAGAAATAAAGTATATAAGTTTTAAATTATTTCTTTAATATTATAAAATATATTTTATTTTTAATTCTTTTAAAAATATATTAATTATTTTAAATATTAATAATTCTTTTAAAAAATTAAAATTTAATTTATAACTTTATTTAATTATTATTAATTATTAATTATTTCTTTAAATATATAAATTATTAAAATTATAAACTTAAGTAATTAAAAATAATTATTTTATTTAAAGGTTATATTTTATATTATATAATAAATTAAATAAATATTTTTAATTAATTTTATAAAATAAATAAATATATATTTATTTAAATAAAGTTAAAACTTTTGAAATATAATAACTTTATTTTTATTTATTTTAATTAATTTATATTTATATATAATTTAATTTATTTAATAAATTTAATATTTTTATATTTTAAAAATTATAATAATAATAATAATTTAATTATAATTTAATTATAATATATTTTAATTTAATTATAATTTAATTATAATATAATAATAATATAATAATAATATAATAATAATATAATAATAATATAATAATAATATAATAATAATATAATAATAATATAATAATAATATAATAATAATATAATAATAATATAATAATAATTTAAAAGCTTATTAAAATTTAATAAATTTAATAAAAATTTAATAAAAGTTTTATAAAAGTTATTTTTTAATATTCTTTTTAAAGTTATTTATAATTATTAAATTTAATATATATTAAATTATAATATTAAAAATATATAAAATTTATTTAATTATTAAATTTTAAAGTTTTTATTATTAACTTAAAGTTTATAATATAATTTAACTATATATATAAAAGTTAATACTCTCTATCTTATTTATCTCGAGCTTTGCTTTATTGACTGGCCAAGGGCCTTCACCGTTCACTAAGCTTTAGGATACCGCAGATCACTCCTATGCCTAAGCAATGATAGATGTGACGGTGACACGACGGCGATTCCATTTTATCATAGTTAATGGGCTGCGAGAACCGCAGGAAATGGCCTGCGGACTTGGTGGACTTCTTGAGTCGCTATTGCTATCACCACCAGGTTGATATTAGAATCTAGACATGCCTGACATGCTACAATAGTACCTGGACTTTTTGACACTCTTGACAGACGGGTCGAAGTTTTGGCCTCTGTCGGAGGTCAGAGTGATGCCTGGCAGAGATCCCCGGGGATTCCATCAAAAACAAAGTCGACCCAAACCATGTTACCGCCGAGAAATGCGGAGTCCAGCATCAGTTGGCAAGTTGGCCATGTCAAAAAGACGGTGAGGTCTCCGACGCTGCGTCATTGGGCTTCGGGACGCGGACCGGGTCTCTCGTTGGCCGTGAGATCAGCGTCAGTATGGGGGGCGGGGAGAATTAGAGTTCCGCCTGGGGATTGAACTGGAAAGGTTCTCCGTCCCCTGTAGCAGATGACCAGAGCAAAGTCATCAGAGCGTCAGCAGGCCGGCCCGAGAGTTTCTCACTGCTCACTGACAATGGACCCAGCGAGACACTAGTAGGGAGGAGAGGAGAAGTGGGAAAACCCGAGGCATTTAAAGACACATGAGAAGGGCAGCCAGGGACATGCAGGAGGTTGTTGATGCTCCCCACAAGCCTGGTTCCCGGTCCAGTAGGAGCCGGCGCTTCCTGAGGTCCGGTCCGTTGGCGGAAGCGGACTGCTACCCGGTTGCACCTGGGATAGCAAGGCGGAGTAACTGCGGGTGACGCCTCCTCGTATATGGCGTCAGTGAAACGGGTACAAAATTTATCCCCCGCACGTTCGGAAAAGGCCCAAGTGTGGCCCCAGGGGCCCAGGGCCCTTTTGCCTGTGGATATTTCTGGTACCTATGCCCCGGGGAACGAGCCGCCGTGAGAGACGACGAGGCTGTCACGGCCGACAACTTACAAACCTCAAGTGCTCCAACGGCTGACTCGCTCACATGTCTGGCCAATGTCGCCGCGAGGGGGACTAGTGCAACGCCGCGAGCCTTGTCCAGTCACCGTCGTCGCCGCCGCCGCCGCCGCCCAGGTGCCGCCTGCCCCTTATTAGCCAGCGTTCGACCACCACGTCGCCAGGCTCTTGGAACGAGTCAGGGACATGCATGGAGCTTGAGACGCTCGCCGCCCCAACACCAAGGCCAAGGCCAGCGCCAGCGCCAGCTTCAGCTCCAGCGCCGCCCGGCATGCCTCGCGCCGCCACCAGCGACCTGCCAGCCTGCTCCGACTTCTTCTCCGGCTCCATCCACACGGCCCGGCCTCTCGGTCACTTCGAGACCCTCTTCGACGTGGAGACATATGTCACCCGCGGCACTGCCACCTCCAACTCGACCATTGTCTTCTTGACCGACGACTTCGGCCTCAACCTCGTCGACAACAAGCTCCTCGCCGACCAATACGCCTCAAGGACGGGGCTGCGCGTCCTCGTGCCCAACCTCCTCCCAAACGGGGGGCTTCCCGTGTCTACAATACGTCTCGCCGACAAGCTGGCGGCGTCGGTCCAGTGGTACAATCTCTTTGGCCACGCGGGGCGCGCGTGGTCCGGCCTGAAAATCACCATCATCCTCACCAGCTTCTCCTTCAAGGTGCGAAGAGCTTTCCCTTCTGTCCTGAACTACGTGCGCGCTGTGAGGGCCTCCTTGCCTCTGGGGTCCAAGCTTGGCATCGCCGGCTTCTGCTTGGGAGGCAATTGGTCATCTCGGCTGTGCGCCGAGCATGCCACGGAGGGAGGAGGCTCGCACCTGGTCGGCGCACACTTCACCGCCAACCCATCAAATATCGACCCCGGTGAGTTTGCCAGGCTTGCGAATAGATTCAAGGTACCGCAGAGCCTGGCCCTCGGGAATGGGGACGCCGACTTGCCTATCGAACAGGCGCACGACTTGGAGACGAACCTCAGGCGGGTCTACCGAGACAACCTCGACAGATTGGAAGTCAGGATATATGAAGGGTGCAGGCGTGGCCTCGCACTGCGCGCGGACTCGCAGACCGACCAGGCGGTCGCGTGGTTCCGAAGGTGGCTCGTCTGAGTTGTCCCTGCACCTCGCAGGCAAAAGAACCCAGGACTGTCGCTCTTGGACAAATTCCCGTCAGCCTCAGCCTTGCTTGCCTACAGCTTCTTGTTCCTTTTATATACGCCACATCAAATCGATGTGCTTCGCAGTGCAAAAGAGTCAGGCGCACCGTTCGGAGGGCCATGCATGTCACTGATATCGACCCCCTAGTACTTACACCTACGTCACCCCCGGATGGTGGTTCTCGTTGATACAATAAAAATACCTTTACGTGAAGACCAAAGTGGCGGAGACAGTCATAACGGGTTGCATCCCCGAGTCCGAAATTTCCGACCTTCCAACGCACCGGGGTGCTTCCACTGCCATCACCGGGAGCAATAGATATAGGTAATACCGCTCGCTTCGGAACGTGAACGCTCTCCAACGCCGCAGTAGTCAGCTGGATGCTCCTGGCTGAGGTCGCTTGATCCGGAACCTGCCACTTCTTGATCCGAGATCAATGCACACCAAGTGTTATGTACAGAGAAAAGCTTCCTCGAAAATGTTCGCTATGATGACCTGAAGTCGACCGGAACATGACTGGCAAAGACTGCCTTGTTATAACTTGAGAGAAACGGGTACGTGGGGTTCACTCCTGCAATTCACAGGTTTTCCCAACCCAGCACGGAGTAGTGTCAAGGCCCCCCCTCCCGGGGTTTTTCTTTCTTTTTCTAGCTGAGGCTGCCTGGAGGCGGGTGCTTTTACGAAGGTGATACTGAAGGTCTCCGTGCATGATGTCCACGGACAACGGAACCGGCCTCCTTCCTTACCGGTCACAGAGGCTGACAGGAGAACTACCTTTCCTGGAACTGGGGCATGAAATGGTATTTCATGGCAGGCTCGGACAACACTCAAATGCACTAGAGCGAGGGCACCGGGTCACCTGCGTATTTCGTGCCGTTGTATTACCCAGGTAGCCGTGGAAAAGCACTTATTCCTGCAAACGACACTTGCCTTCAGCATTCTTCTAATACTGGTCGAGCATTAGTACTGATTACACGTATGCATCTGTCTTCTTGGTGTTCTCTTGTTTTCATTCTCGAGTCAAGTCTCTTACAACTCTCGTACGCAATCATGTCTTTTTGGATCAGCATTCTGTAGAGATGAACAACGCCGTGGACTTTTCGTGACTGACTATCTCCAGGGCTCCCGGTGAGAATGGTTTGTGTGGCGCGGGGTGGGGCAGATGCCTTATCCCCTCCCATCGCCCGTGACTTCGTTGGGCCGATTTCAGCTCTTGGGATTCTCAATTTAACGAGTAGGAGGAACAACATTCCAAACAGGATAAAGCCCAAAGCCAAGGTATACGGGGATAACATTTCTGAACAGGGCATGCGATCCAGATATCGTTGCAACCAACAGTAATCTTAAATATCAAGACCTTGGTCCTCACTACACCTCCGCATCTTTGCTTTCTAAAGTTCATCGACAGATTTCAACATTGGTGGGGATTGCATTCATTATTCTTGATGCTTGCAAGGTGGGGTCAATGGCCTTTTTGGGTTTGGGAAACATTTTATTCCTGGGGGTGGGCTGAATGATCAACTGCCATAGTAAGGGATTGAATTTTAAAGGGGCTCGGACCACGCCTGGAACTCGGGCCACAGTGGTATCCTTCACAGCCCGCTCCGGTTGGTTCCCAAGGGTTCTCCTCGTCGAAGACATTGCCATCGACGTACACTAGTGCTCCTGAATGCTCCTGATGTCGATCGTGAAGCCACTGGGGTCGTACTAGCAGTCAAAGATCTGATTGCCGAGGAAGTGTCTCCCGATGCCCCACACTTGGGTGTAGCCCCTCGCTCGGAGATGATGATGCCTAACTTGCTGAATATCCATGTCGTGTACCGTACCTCGAACGATGCATGATGCGGCCTAGCATACTTGTGACCCGGAAAGGGTGCGCAACGGAGAAAGCACGATAATCCTAGTACGGGTCTCCACAATTAATATCGTAACAGATAGCTATACCTTAAGGTGTTATTATATAAACTTATAGTTTTATTTTTAATCCTTATATATATAAAATTTATATAGTGCCTTTATATAATAGTAAATATTTAAAAGAATGAATATTTATAAAGTAAAAATTAGATAGTATAGAGTAAAAAATAAATAGTATAAAGTAACTTTTTTATAAAAATAAAACTTTATATTATAACTTTAAAAGAGATTTAATTTTAAGTAAAAAAGATATCTTATAATATAGTAGAAAAAATAAACTATTTAAAGATATTATTTTAAAATTTTAATTTTAATATTTATATAATTATATATTATTATAAAATAAATATTATTTTATTAAAATAAAATTTAAAAATATATTTATAATTTTTATAACTTAATTCTTAATATATAATATTAATTAAATAATAATAAATAATAAAAGATTTTTAAAAATTAAAATATTACTTTATATTATTCGTTTTATCTTATAAATATTCGTTTTTATATTTAAAATTATAAATTTAAAGAAGTATATTTATAATAATAATAAAAAAGAATATAATATATTTATAAAAATATAATTTAATTATATATTATATAAATCAAGTTAAAAATATAATTTTTAATAATAATATATTAAGCATTAATAAAATAATTATATAATAAAATTAAAATAGTTTATTTAAAATAACTTTTATAAAAAAGATTTTATAATATATTTTTATTTTAAATATATAATTAATAAAATAATAATATTATAATAATAAATTTCTCTTTTAAATATAAAGTTAAAAGATTTATAATTATAAAATTTTTATTAATTTTTATTTAATTATTTTATTATATTATAACTTAATTTAATTTAATTTAAACTTTTTTAAATTTCTTAACTTTTTATCTTTAAATAAATTAAAGTTTTATATTTTTAAGTTTAAATTTAAAATTTTTATAAATCTTAATATATTTTAAAATAAAATTATAATTTCTTAACTTTTTAAAAATATATTAACTATTTTAAATAATAATAACGTTTTTAAAATAAAGGTTTATTTTTATATAATTGTAAATTTAATTATTAATAATTAATTCTTTTTTATTTATAATAAAGCTATTAAAATTATAAATTTAAAGTAATAATAAAATATAACTACTTTATTTAAAAGTTACTTTTAATTTAATAATATAATAATTTAAATAACTACTTTTAAGTAGTTTTATTTATAATATAATAAAGTTAATAATCTTTTAAATTTATTAAATAGATATTTATTTATAAAATAAAATTAGAATTTATATATATTTTTAAAGGAATAATAACTTTTATTTTTACTTATTTTAACTAACTTATATTTAAGTTATATAGTAATCTTATATATAATATTTAATAATATTAAAATTAGTTTATAATTTATAATAACTTTAACTTTTAATAATTAATGATATTAACTTTAATAAATTAAATATAATTTAATATATTAATATAAAAGTATTTTTAATAATAAATAATATTATAGATATAATAAATTATAAAATTATTATAAAAGTTTTATATAATAAATTTAATTAAATTAATTTTTAAAAATATATTATAATTCTTTTTTAAATTATATAATAAATTTAATACTTATATATAAAACTTATTAATATTAAATTAAATAGCTTATAATTTATAATAACTTTAACTTTTAATAGATTAATTTATATTAAAATTAATAGCGCTAACTTAAATTAATAAAATATAGCTTAATATATTAATATAAAAGGTGTTTTCTAATAATAAATAATATTATAAATAATTATAAAGTTATTATAAAAGTTTTATATAATAAATTTAATTAAGTTAATCTTTAAAAGATATATTATATTTTATTTTTTAAAACTTTAATTATTTATTTTAATTTAATAACAAAATTAAAAATATAAATAATTTATATTTTATTTTTAAAACTTTAATTATTTATTTTAATTTAATAATAAAATTAAAAATATAAATAATTTATAATAATAAATTTATTTAAAAATCTTTTATATTAAATTTTATAAAATAATTAAAACTTTATTAAAAATTAAATAAAGTTTATTTATTATATATTAAATAAATAATATATAAAGAAAATAAAAATTTAAATATTTAAAATAATTTTCTTTTAAATATATTACTTTATTATTAAAAGTTTATTAATTTTTATATAATATATAAAAATTATAATAATAAAAAACTTTTATAAAAAAAATTAATAATTTTTTATATAATTATAAGTTTAAAAATATATATTAAATAATTATTAACTTTATACTTAAAATATAAACTAATAGTTAATTTAAAAATTAAAAAGATAATAAATAGATGAATAGATAAATAAAAAAGATAATATGGTTAAAGCTAAAGTGTTATCATGTTGGTTCATTTCAACGTGTGCGATTCTCGGCCGGCAGCTTGCCGCCTTTGCACCCAACTTCCATCGGGAGCGATGCTTCCCAGCCTTGTCTGTGAAGCCATGCGCCTAGTCCTCTTACACCGTTGTTGGCATCTTTTTCTTCTTTCAGACGCGGGGTCTATGAGTGTTTACTACTTTGCAAAGGGACCGTATGCCTTAAGGATGTGTACGGATTAAGACGAAACCACTCATAGGGCTTTTATCGGGAGATTCCACCGAGACCTAGACTTCCGGAGAAAGAGTGTGAGTCTGAGTCTAGATTTAATTTAATTCGGAGGCTCAATTGACAAGTATCACGTTTTCACCTGCAGCCGTGCAGATTCAGCGACCACATATAGGTACAATCCACGGCACGAGCACACATCAACCAGGAAAGCTTCCCGAGGTGATCCGCAGAACTGAACGTTTTCAATGCCAAAAAGCCGTGACTTCGGCCCCCGAAATGCCCATTGCCAGCCCATTGTGCAGAAAATTTGCCCCTCCGGCGGCACCCCCGTGCCAGTTGGATCAGAAATAGGCCACCAGCCAACCCTCACTGGATCAAACACACCATGAGAAAGCATTGTATCCAGTTCTGTCCGTTTCTAAGGCGACCCAAGTACGCCATAACCATCGTGGCGTCAGAGCTTACCAGGGGTAATGCTTGGCACGTAGTGATCCTTCCACAACTGGTCTGAATCTCCCCTGCTGGCTGCCATGTCTTGTCCAGGGATGTTTCCACTTGTGGTACTGCTCGCTTGGCCATTCGAGTTGGCCGGCTTGTGCCCACAGCCCTCAAAACAGCCAGCCGTCGTCACATCAATTTGGATCCGCCCGCCGGGGAGGTCGTGGGTCTGGACGGAGCGGAAGCCCAGCTTGTCCGCCGCAGCGCTTAGCTTCCGGGTGACCTGCTCAGACATGACAAAATCCTTGTTCAGACGCTCAATATCCTCCAACACCTGTTCGAACAATGATCAGCACCCTGCGGTGAGTTTGGCGGAATCAAGTAAGGGTGGGGACCGACGACAAAGATTGCCGCCACGTTGAACTCACCGACGCGGCATCCTTCCTCACCTTTGGAGGAGTCGCGGCCGTCCCGCCTTGGAAAACAGCCTCCAGACCAGCTATCGATTCCATAACTGCTGCCTTCATCAAGTTGTCCGACGTCAGCCCGGGCTGTGACTCGAGATGGGCGCGGATCTTGTCAGCCATCTTGTTCATATCAGCATCGGGGGTGAGCTCAAAGTGTTTGTGGATGTGCGCGGTGTTTCTGTGGGGACCAGAGAAAACAGCGTCGCCAGGAGCGTCGGTTCGTTGACCATGATGAGCCTGATGAGAGGCCTTCCCTGTGAGCTTGCGCGCGGATGACGGGAGAGAGGATGAGCGCGGCGGCAGCGTGACCGAGGTCTGCGATGCGGTCTGCTTGAGATTGTAGGATCCGGCCTGGGCAACACGGGCGGCATCATCCGGTGCCTGTTCAGGAGCGCCACCATCAACCCGACAGTCTTTGATCTTGTCGGTGGGGCCCTCACGACCCGGAGGAGCAGCACTGGCGGCGGTGCTAGTCTTTGTGTTGCAACCGGGGCGGGCGGTGTAAACAACCTGATACTGTTTCGCAACGTCGTGGTCCTCCTCCCGGGAGCGCCTGACGAATCCCTTGTAGTCCGTCTGGTTGGCCAGGTGGAATAGCATCGGCTCAAACGCGTCGTCGTAGTCTGCATGGAAGACAAAGTGCTTCGCAACGTAGGCAATGCCACTGCCGACCATCAGGGACTGGCAGTAGTGCTTGTTCTTGTAAAAGACGGACTGGAGTTCCTGAGACGGGCATGGATTGTCAGCAAGGGTGTCGACTTCTTTCTTGTGGACGTGCGGCTTGATTAATCCATGCTCAAACTGGAGGAGTGGGAGGAGAGGGAGAAGTGGCAGAAATCATCGAGTAGCTACCTCAAGATGCTTGTTGACCTTGTCCCTGGGCCAATTGTGACAGTTGCCCCTTGCGATGGCATTGGTCATGCCAATGAGGATATTGGTCAGGTTTTCCAGCTCCTTGATCCTGAATTGCTCGGCAACGCTGCTGTCGATGGCCTCGGCGGCAATTGCCTGGGCTTTGTGCAGGTGCTTGCTGGCCTTGTCCATGGTTGCCTGCATGGCCTCGATCTTGGTGGAGATGGCAGCAATCTCGTGCTCGCGTTGCTCGACAACCTGCTTGGCCTCCATGTAATCACGGGCACACTCGTTGACCCGTTTGAAGAGCTCGCGGCCGCTGTTCTCGATGACGTCGTCTTGGGCAATGGTAGTCAGAACCTGGCCGAAAAGCTGCTGGTCGGCCTTGTGACCGGTGAAAAACGGATCGTCGTCATTCAGACATGCTTCTCCTCCCCTATTCGCATTCATCCTCGGCTGTTTCTTGCCCATGTTGACGGCAGCAGTCTTGTTCTTTGCAGCGCTCGAGGCAGCTTCTTGGGCTCGGGGCTGGACTGTCGTAGGCTTGGCGCCAGAAGGAGGGGGAGGCTGAGCAGGGGAAGATGCTGGCACAGGGTAATATGGAGACATTGCGGCGCCCAGATCATCAGGCAGTAGGGGTTGAGGTCGGAAGGAGGAGCTGGCCGAGCTGAGGGCGGATCTGGCGTCGCCGTCGGTGCTGCCCTCAAGAAGGTCTGCAGACTTGTGGGCCATGAGAGAAGTGGTGGAAAGGGACTTTGGGATTCGAAAGTGATAGTCCGCACGCCTGGTTCGAGTTGCCAGGTCACGTAGGCGATCCATTTTGGCGGTCGAAGTGTTGACTTCCAAGGTTTGGTTGCTGAGCGAAGACCCGTAACCATGGGGGAGAGGTACAAGGAGACAGGGGTGGGGATGAAAACATCAGACCAAGAAATGTTGTTGCCAGGAATGACTGGGCACTGCAGAACGTGGTGTGCTGTGTTGGTGTGCCTCGTTTTCATATCATCCGAGCCTGGAGGCGAGAGGTCATGTTGTTACTTGCTGTTTTCAGACCCCTCACAGGCACACTTGGTTTATCCCAGTCCACATATTCACCTGCACGGTTGAGGTCTGGGCATCACAGGCTGGAATGATTCCAGGTTATTTATATCGCATCTGCCTAGTTGCACTGTGAGCTGTGTAAGCCCTTGCTGGCTGGGGCAATGGCATACAGAACAAGACACCCCAGGCAGTAAGATCTGTTGCATGAATGATCATTCCATAGGTAGAGTGGGACGGGGAGGTGTTTCTCCCCCAGTGAATGGAACAGCACCTGAGGAGCTCTCAACTTGAGGTGCTGCTGCCAAGCCACTGGCATCAGGACCGCCACCGTCTTCACCGCCGTCCTCACCACTCCACCTCAAAGTCTCGTTCCGGCTGTGGCTTGGCTTTGAACCCGCTCATCTTGACATTGTTCCAGGCCATTTGCTCCGAGGTGATGGTGCCTGAGAAGCGCTTACAGTCGTTTCCCGAGAAGACTATGTAGCCTGAGCCGTGGACATCGCATCCGTCGCCCAGGTCTGCCGCTGCCGAGGCCTCGTCCGAGAGCTGGCCCTGCCAGCGAAACCAGAACTTGGGGTGCCGAAAAGAGTTCTTTTCAAAGGTCGAGGTGCGACGGCGCTGGCGCTCCTCCGAGTCGAGGGAGCTGGAGACGGACTGCAGATCGTTATCCTCGTCCTCGTCCTCGTCCCCGTCCTCATCGCCGTCATCCTCGCCGTCGTCCTCGCCCCGGGCATTGTCTGTTCTCTGCCCCCTCTCGTCTCTGAGGGACGCTTTCCCACTGCCACGGCCCCCACGCTGACTGTTGCTGGAGGATCCCCTGCCATTGGGTAGCCCCGCCGTCCGCTCGGCCGTCTTCTTCCCCTTGGCCTCAGCCTCGGCAGGGTCGGCCGCCCCGGTGCCGCCGAGCTGGCTCCAGATCCTCCAAAGCAGCTTCCTGCTGCCGGCGAAGACGACGGTGGCGTCGATAACACCAGCCGACGTGAGGGAGCCCAGCAGCCCGTCCTCGTCATCGGTCAGCCTGTAGATCTCCAGGACCACCTCGCCGCTGGCGCTGCTGCGGCGCCGCTTGGCCTTGTTGGAGCTCCCGGTGGCTGCGGCGGCGCCTGCGCTGTCTGCCTGCAGCCGGTCGATGGCGGGGCACTTGATCAGGTGAGTGCCAAACATGCTGCTCACTTGGAACTCGTGGCGTTTCTGACCGCGGCCCCCGCGGTCGTTCCGGTTGTGAAGGTGACGCGTCGTGAGGGCTGCGTCTTGCCAGTCATTGTCGCTCTCCATCTCTCACTCGTCTTGTAAGAGGCCCAACGAGGACCGAGGGGAGGCCCTAGTCTAGTGTCTGAGTGACGTGGAACAAGGCGTGGAAGGCGATCGATCACTGGGCCACCCACCAACTTTCAAGTTTATACCCAGGTAGGACAACAGGGGCAGTACGAGGCCGAGGGCTTTGGGATGGCCTCAATCAAGTCGCCCTTCTCCTCTGCCAGTGACAACTCAACCAAAGAAATGCATGTATCGGCGGCGCAAATTGAAAGGGCTGGTGAGGGAAACCAAGTATTTGGAAGAGGACACCTGGAGCCGAGAGAGGCAGAGGGAGACGAGGTTAGAGAGAGGCTTGGATTGGTCAGAGTCGGGTTGGGGAAGGCATGGGGGGTGGAGGGAATTGGGATGGGGGATGGGGGTGGGCAGGGGACTCGGCCGGGAAACGGGACAGAGTCGCGTGACGTTTGCCGTTTTCTGTGCTAAGCATCGAACCACTCACCCGCCCGCCCACCGCGCCGTTGCTAGCCTCCTCGTGCTGGTCCTTTTCGCATTAGTTGGCCCACAAGTCCTGACACGGCATCTTTTGAAGTCCTGGCCATTTGTTGCTGTACAGCGCACAAGCATCCCGAAGTTTTCCTTGCAAGACATGAAGTTAGTCAGCAATACCTTTCCTCCTAATTCAACTGTCGTCTATAGATCTATAAGAATCCTAGAGAGTACCCACTGTTTTCTCGAAAGTACTCATAGTGAAGAAGCTAGGTAGTAACTACTATTAAGTGCTGCAGTGAGTCGTGACATTCGTATGCCAAGACGATAGATATTATCATTAGAGGCACATGAGCCCGGTGTGTGAACCCTGGAAGTCTGCCGAATGTCATGATTAGCTCTATGCTTAACTGAGCATCGGAGATGTTAATATTTTGATGCTGTCACGATCGTCTGCTCGTACAGGAACGAGCCCCCGTGCTTGATGCAGCCTGAAGCGGGCGACTAACCGTCGCGTCATGCCCAGGTGGAAAGCATGGCCGCAAGGCTCTGGCCTGCCGGTGCTGGGGCATCTTCATATGTCACGAAGATAAGATGGTGTAGAAGGAATTTTTCTGCTTACAGGCGTGGGCCTGCATGTGCAGCGCTAGTTGATGGTTATGGATTGGATACAAGATACATACGTGTGCATATATATTTCAACAGTAGTGAGCAGCCATCGAGGTAGGTCACTGAACACATTTCTGTATGTACATACACTAGCAGAAAAGAGAAAGAGATACTCCCGAGGTGCTTGTGGGATACGCCACACAAAATATCTTGCGTCACGTCCAAACACACGAGGCACGACAATTTTAACCACCCAGGTACTATTAGTACATTGCTCTTTTAGAGTAGGGAGACAGAGAGCCCAAGGTGACAGAGAACGAATCAAACAGGGCAGAAAACCAGTCTCATCACCTACAAGATGGAACCAAGTATCCCCTACCTAGGTAGGCACCCAGCAGAGGCATAATAGGTGATGCATAACCGGGGAGACCGCTTACCGGCCGAACAGCCACTCCCCAGCCAGTGTGATTATCTGATCCCTCTTCAGCCTGCCGTCCTCGACCGTCGTCTCATCCGCACCATAGGACCCGGCCATGTCGAAGCCGTGGCCGGCGTCGGGGACACACAGCCACTTGACCTCCCCGTCCCGGTTCTTCTCCTCCCAGGCGAACCTCTGGTCGCCCGTTGTGATCAATGCGCCCAGCTTGCCGCTCCCCTCGGGGGCCTCCTGGCCTATGGGCTGGTCCGGGCCTGGGACCTGCCTGTTGGCCAGGCGACAAGCCAGGCGCCACGCCTCGTGGCCGAGCATGTCGAGCTCGCAGCCGATCACCCAGACCCGCTCCGGGAGGGCGGACCGGTCGGCAAAGACTGGCGACAGGAGCGGGTCACGGAGGTCCTGGCCGACGGGGATGTAGGCCCAGTCGAAGGCGTTGGCCGAGGTCAGCAAGAAGTCCCGGGGGTTGGCACGCCAGCCCTGCAGGGCAGGCTTGTACCGCCTGGTGGGGGCCTTCTGCTGGGGCGTGATGCTCAGGTCGCAGACGGGGTAGACTGGGACGATGCCGGCGGTGATCCTGCTGCGGACCGAGGGGAACTGGGTGATGGTCAGAGCCAGGTTGCCACCGGCCGAGAAGCCCACGACGCCGACCCTGGCGGCATCGAAGTGAGGAGTGAGCTCGTCGTCCGAGAAGACGGCGCCGATCTGGGCCTCGAGGTCCGCGAGGGGGCCGGGGAAGGGGCTGCCGGGTGCCTTGGCGTAGTTGAGGGCGACGACCAGGGCGTTGTGCTGGTTGGCAAACCTGTGGTTCCAGGCGTCATTGTCAAAGGGGTCGCCGACGACGAAGCCGCCCCCGTGGATGGACAGGAGGAGGGGCAGGCCAGCCGCAGGCGGCGAGGGCGGCTGGGCGCGGTCGTACGCCTCGGGGAAGAAGACACGGACGGGCAGGCGGGGCCTGGCCGGGTACGCCTTGACCAGGGTCGGCTCGTCCTGGTGCGACCGGCTCTGCCTCCAGCGCCGGAAGGCCATGGCCGGGGGGATGAGGAGCAGCTGCAGCCCGTTGACGACCAGCCCAAACAGGACTCTTGTGAGGAGTGGCCTCCGGGCACAGGGCAGCTTCTCCGAGTCCCGGCCAGCTGCAACCGCACCAGCACCAGCACCAGAACCTGCACCCGTGTCGGCGACACTGCCGTCTTGTTCTGCCATTGATGTTGATGCAGAGGGAGAAGAGAGCTCTGTGGTCGGGCCGTCTCGGGCTGGCTTGACTGTCCCTATGTCGTATGTCGGTCAATCTGGGGTCGTGTATAGTCGTGGTGTGGTGCCCGGGTGGTTCAACTTTGAAGTCGTGCTTGTCGGCTCTGGCATGGATCTCAGTGTGGGGGAGGGCCGAAGGGGTTGTTTATCAAGGTTGAAACAGCCAGCACCTGAGGCGTGCAGGTTTCGGCAGCATGGTACCTTTGGACCTCGGGATCACTGATCACTGCCCGGACATGTGCAGTCGCTAGCTTGTCGCATCGTCTTCCCTCTCTCCAGGGCTCCCAGCCACCGTCAGCTCACCCACCTATTTTCGGTGGCTCACATAATACCTAATCTTCTGAGCAACTTCCTAATATCTATAAGTACTTTAACTAGTTTCGCTTCTATTCCGCATATGCTCGAGAATATATATAATATATAAGTACTTCTTTTAAAGTTAACTTAAATAATTTAAGTTAAAAATAAAGATTAAAGGTAGTAAATAAACTTTATAAAGATTTTTATTAATTTTAATTATTAATAAAGTTATTTTAAAATTTAAAAAATAACTTTCTTTTTTTCTTTTTTTTTTAAATAACTTTACTTTTTAAATTTATATAGTTTTACTTCTATTTTATATATATCTAAAGATATATATAATACTTTTATATAATAGTAAATATTTAAAATTTAATATTTAAAAGAATATAATATTAATAATAATAAAATAATATAATAAATACTTATAATTTTAACTTTATAATATATAAATAAAGTTAAAAGTATTATTTTAATAATAATATTAATATTATAAAGGAGTTATATAATAAGATTAAGTTTTAAAATAATTATTATATAAATAAATTATATTAAAAGAAATTTAATTAAAATTATCTCTTTAAATATATATATATATACTTTATAATAAAACTTTTATTAAATAAGTTTATAAAGTTAATATTATAACTTATATTTAAATATATAATTAGCTTTAAAAGAACTTAAAATAAAGAAATAATTTATAATATACTATTTTTAAAACTTTTATAATAAAGTATTAAAACTTTTAAAAAAGTTTTAAAAGTAATTTATAAAAGAAAAAAGGTAGAATAAGTTTATTCTCTTTTAAGTTTATATTTTTATTATTAATAGTTATTAACTTTTAATACTATAAAAAGTATAATAAAATAAAGGAAAGAATAAATTTAAAGTTTCTTTTAAAAGGATTATAAAGATATATATAAAGTTATTAAAAACTTTATATATAAGTTTTAAATTATTAAAAGAAATAAATAATTAAATTAAAAATAGTTATATAATATAAAGAAAAGATATAATATAATTAAAGTTTTAAATTTATATTATTTAATATAAACTTTAAAACTTTATATTATAAGAATTAAATAATATTTTAATTTATATAAATAAAGTTATTTTTAATTTATAAAACTTATTTTAAAATAAAATAAAATTATTTTATTTTATATTTTATATAATTCATATATTTTATAATAATTAAATAATAAAATATAAAATATTATAAAATTAATAATCTTTTAAATTTATTATATATTTATTATATAATATAAAAAATTAAAACTTTTATAAAAATATTATTTATTATTTATTATAATAAAATAATTATTAAATTAAATAATTATATTTAATAATAATATTTTATAATATATAATATAATATTAAAATATATAAAATATATTTAAAATATATATATTTTATTTTATTATATTATTAAAATAATATATAAATATTAATTTATAAAATTTAATTATATTATATTTCTTTTATATTATATAATAATTTTTATTTCATTATTTAATTATTTTTAATTTAAAGTTTATATATAAAGTTTTTAATAACTTAATATATATTTTTATAATTCTTTTATAAAATCTTTAAATTCTTTTATTTTATTATATTTTATAATCTTAAAAGTTAATAATTATTAATAATAAAAATAAATATTTTTAAAATAAATTTATTATATTTTTATTTAATTATAAATTAAATTTTAAAACTTTTTTAAAAGTTTTAATATTTTATTATATAATAAGTACTTATAATATATAGTAAAAGAATAAATTTTAAAAGCTTTAATATTAATAGAATAGGTGGGAAAGTGCTTTTTTAAATATAGTAAAACTTTATATATTAAAACTAAGCTTAAAATCGACTTAAAATTAGTTTAATTTAATTTTAATATATATTAAATATTTATTTAATATATAAAAGCTACTATCTTTAATAATATAATAATTAAAATCTTTTAATTAAATTAAAGACTATTAATTTAACTTTAAAAGTTATTATAATTTTCTTTTATTTAACTATTTTCTTATTCTTAATTTTAATTATAAATAACTTTATAAAAAAGTTATAAATAACTTTATAAAATATATTAATTTAATTAATTAATAAAACTAATTAGAATTATTAATTAAAGTGACTTAATAAACGTTATTTATAATAAGAAAATAAATTAATTTAAAGGGTTAATTAATAAAAAGAGGTTAATAAGTAATATTAATTAATAAAAAGTAAAACCTTTAATAAAAAGAGTACTAACTTTAAAATAAAGTATATATATTATAAATAATTAATATAAAACCTATTATTAAAAGTAATTATTATTATTATATTATAATTATTATTTAATAAATATTTATAATATATAATAAAAATAAATTTTAAAAGCTTTAATATTAATAAAATAAATAAAAAGTACTTCTTTTAAATATAATAAAGCTTTATATATTAAAATTAAACTTAAAATTAACTTAAAGTTAGTTTAATTAAATTTTAATATCTATTAAATACCTACTTAATATATAAAAGTTACTATTTTTAATAATATAATAATTAAAATCTTTCTAATTAAATTAAAAGTTATTAATTTAACCTTAAAAATTATTATAATTTTTTATTTAACTATTTTCTTATTTTTAATTTTAATTATAAATAATTTTATAAAATATATTAATTTAATTAATTAATAAAAACTAATTAAAATTACTAATTAAAGTAATTTAATAAATACTATTTATAATAAAAGGTAAATTAATTTAAAAGGGCTAATTAATAAAAGGGTTAATAAATAATATTAATTAATAGAAAAGTAAAACTTTTAATAAAAAAGTATTAATTTTAAAATAAAATATATATATTATAAATAATTAATATAAAACTTATTATTAAAAGTAATTATTATTATTATATTATAATTATTATTTAATAAATATTTATAATATATAATAAAAATAAATTTTAAAAGTTTTAATATTAATAAAATAAGTAGAAAAATACTTCTTTTAAGTATAATAAAGCTTTATATATTAAAATTAAGTTTAAAATTAGTTTAAAATTAGTTTAATCTAATTTTAATATATATTAATTACTTATTTAATATATAAAAGCTACTATTCTTAATAATATAATAGTTAGAATCTTTTTAACTAAATTAAAGGCTATTAATTTAACTTTAAAAGTTATTATAGTTTTCTTTTTTTTTATAATAAAAGAATGAATTCTAAGAGTTTTAATACTAGTAGAATAAGTGGGGAAATACTTCTTTTAAGTATAATAGAGCCCCGTATATTAAAACTAAACTTAAAATTAATTAAAAGTTAGCTCGGTTTAATTTTAATATATATTATTATAAAACTTTTAAAAATATTATATTATAAATTATTTTTTTTATTTTATTTTTAATATAATTATAATATTTATATAATAATTATTTTTAAAAATTTAATTTTATTATATTAATTTTTTTATAATATTTTAATTAATAATATTATTAAAATAATATTTTTTAATTTTATTTATATATTATAAAATTAAAATTATAAATATTTATTATATTATAATTATTATTATTAATATTATATTCTTTTTAAATATTAAATTTAAAGTATTTATTATTATATAAAAGTATTATATAAAGTTTTTAAATATATATAAAATAGAAGTAAAACTATATTAATTTATAGGAATTAAGTCTGTTGTAACTTGTGAGGTTTTAGCTGTTATAAAGTTGTGGTCCACCTATTTGGTAGGGAAGGCCTGAACCCCGGGTAGTTAGTAAGCCCACAACGTCATCACACCAGAGTCCACCCACTCGACTTACGGAGTTGGCACGTCGTCGCTCCACCACTTTCATCCCTCGATCATTCCGCTCACATAGGCCCCGCAGTCCATTTACAGAAGAACACAAAATGGCAGCTCAGAACAAGATCACCCTCTTCGACCTGGCTAGCAATGATGGCAACAAGACTTGGTCTCTTAACCCGTGGAAGGCCCGCTTCGTGCTCAACTTCAAGGGCCTCGACTACCAGACCGAGTTTGTCGAGTACCCGGATCTCAAGACCCGCCTGGCCCCTCACTTCGACACCCCGCTTGACGCCTACACGAGCCCTACCATCCAGTACACCGATGGCAGGTACATCATGGACTCCAAGGTCATCGCCCAGACCATCGACAAGGACCACCCCGAGCCGCCCCTGCACCTCGACTCGCCATACCTCGCCAGGCTCGAGGACATCCTGCCCAAGCTTATGCCTGCCCTGAGCGGCAACTACGTGCCCCTCATCCCCAAGAGGCTTCTCAACGACGCCAGCGTCCCCTACTGGAACCGCACCCGCGAGGCAAAGTTCGGCATGACGCTCGACGAGCTCGAGAAGACTCAGGGCGGGGAGCCCGGCTTCTCCAAGGCAGAGCCCTTGCTGAGGCAGGTCACCGAGATCCTCAGCGAGAACCCCCTCGGCCCCTTCTTTGCCGGAGAAACGGTCAGCTATGCCGACTTCGTCTGGGCCGGCTTCCTGATCTTCTGGCGACGCATCGGGGACGACAAGTTCAGCGAGCTGTTCAAGAGGACCGGCAATCCTGCCGTCCATGAGGCCTTGCTTAAGGCCGTCGAGCCCTGGTCGGCTAGGGACAATCACTGAGAGGTGACCAACAAGTTTAGGTTTACCGTCCTGTGCGCGCTAAAAGAGCATGAGGGGCTGGTTATCTTTACCAGCAGACACCATCGGCCGACTGCGTACACCGCCGGTGGCCTCAGACCGGGTCTTATCCCCACGCAAGGCCATTACCCCGTAACTTCATGGAAGCATCGCCCAGCAGTGGGCCTGCAAGTGTTGCCTCCTCAAGAGACTGGAATTTTAAAACACAATACTTTTAGACTTTGATAACTCCTTGATAGGTGCCTGCCACCAGATGCTCAACATCTTGTATGTGCATTGTTGGTTGGTATCTGCGTGACATGCCTGACCCGCTTCATATATACAATTCTTGTGGAGGTGTGACAGGGCTGAGACCCGGGTTTTGAACCGCCTGGTGCTAAATTTGTGGTCCCTAGAGTGGCGCGTTCCGATGACCTAGACACTGTTGCCTGCAATCACCATTCTCGGCCCAAGTGTTAATACTCCACACATCACAGGCACTGCGAGTAATACGTGTTTGCGGCCTTGCACGTGCCTGAGGAGCAGCAGGACGCTCCGCTCCATCCTTGGCCGCCGCACTGCCCGTACAGGGCGGCGCAGTTGCCACCGCTGGCAGGGGGCGTGGGTGAGGTCGCCGGGGGGTTCGCCGCCCCGCCGTCATTGCTGCCTCCGCCGGTGGATGAGCCGACCGTGATGGTTGCTGAGCCGGTGCTGAAGTACTGTTTTGTTTGCGAGCAAGCCGCTGTCAGCCGGGTCCAGGTGCGAATAATACTAGTAAAGACATTGCGGAGGCCCAAAGAGATTTCGGCCAAGAACTCACCCCTTCGGTAGCAACAATCTGGTAGTTGTGCGTGCCCAGGTTGAGGCCAGACTGGGTCCATGCATTGAAATGGTTGGCCATGTTGACCGTGCCACCGGTTCTCTTGGCCTGCCTGACAGACCAGTACTGGTAGAATGTCGCCGTACCGTCGATGCTCGGCTGGTTGACCCGCTGCGTCCGGTAGATGTCGTACGTGCCACCATCAGATGTCACGGATCCAAGACGGGTGGCGCCCGTGCTGGGGTTGTAGGTCCCAAAGTTCTCGACCACGTAGTACTCGATCAGCGGGTTTCTTGTCCAGCCGTAGACGGCGAGGTACGAGTTGCCGTTGGGCGAGTACGTTCCCGAGTAACTAATCTGGCGGGCGCTGCCAGGGTTCCAACCTGAGTCGGCACTTTGTTAGCCCGCAATGTGCAAGATAGCAAGTACCCTAGGGTAGTCGTGGGACCATGAGATCTTGTGCACTTGCCCTTGCCTCCGACAAAGTTGCCACCGCTTCCCCAGGTCACACTGTACTGGCCCCCGGGTCCATTGGTGTAAGTGACCTGGGACCCGCCGTCGGTCCAGAAGGAGTAGTAGAAGCCGTTATGAGTTCCCGTCCCGCTTTGCGACTGTCGCGCAACCAGCTCAGACGACTCGGTCACGTTGGCATCGCGGCCAAAAAGAAGCTCATGGAAGGCAGGTCCGCGCTCCGTGGGCACCGCAAGAACGGAGCCTGCGGCGAGGAGCGACACGTAGGAGAGAAGGCTTGTCAAGGCGACCATTTTGACTCGGTGACAAAGTTTCTGGGGTTGGTGGTTTCGAGGCAGCTTGTGAGGCATAGAGCCGAGCCCACCTGGTCGCCGAAGCCGTGCACTTATATACGCCCCGCCCAAGGCCTGATCATAATCTCGTTCCGTCCTGAAGTCGTGCGAGCTCCATATGTTGCAAGCAACGCTTGGCCTTATTTGTCCGTACCGCCGAATGCAACTCGAAGCACCCCCTAATCAAGTAAATGAATCCTAGCCGGGAAAAGGCAAACTGGCCCGGCCCCGTGACCCCGTCGTGCTCGAGACATGACTGTGTAAGGCTTTATCTCCTTCAGGGGCACATGTGCATAAAAGCCAACCATTCATCCGAGACACTTAAAATTGCCATAGACTGCTCGCTGCTTTTGCGGCTACCGCCTACACGTGCACAGATACAAAATTGCTCTGTGCCACCCGTATGGCTATTGAATATCTTGGCAGGCCCTCGCCAAGAATATTCAGGCTAAATGCAACGTGGCTTGCTTGTACGTCTCTCATCCACAATATAAACATTCAGGGCCTAGCCATCTTGGCACGGTCTGGGTCACAGGAAAACTGGTTAGAGAGTCTGGGCAAAGACCCTAGATAGGAAGTGCGGTTGACAACAGCCGAAGATTGGGCCACCAGGCTTGAAGGTAAACCTGCGTCGACTGTGAGAAGCGGCAAAACTGTCCCTGATCAGGGAGGGTCGAGGTTCGAAGACTTTTTCCCTTTTCATCTTGAGCGTTCACCACTGTATGAAGGCGCCACATACATTTTACATGTATGGGGATGAGAAACGGAACCACTTACGTTAAGTCCTTAGAAAGGAGGGATATGTTGTGAAAACCCTTAGTATTGCACGCATTCAGTCCACGCTGGTCGCGGGTACCACTTACGCAATCGGGCTGTGTCAAGAAGCATATCTAGGAAGGCTTTTGTTCATGGAGCCCTCGTTACAAAGATGGCTAGAGCTGACACTGTCATCGTCAAGAGGGTTTCCGACGTGTCTGCGTAACACAAAGCTGTAGGATAGAATTCATGGTAGCGAGGCTTGTTGAAGAAGCCGGTGCCGGGTCTTGTTACTCTGCTCACAGCTACTGCCAGCATTTAAAGCCACATAGTCTTAAATATATCACTATTCTTATTCATTATAATCTTACTAAATAAAAAATTATTTAATATTAAAATATATTTATATAATTATTATATCCCTTTTAAATATAAAGTTAAAAAACTTATAATTATAATTTTTTAATTAATTTTTATTTAATTATTTTATTATATTATAAACTATTTATATTTTTTTAATTTTACTATTAAATTAAAAGTAAATAATTAATGTTTTAAAAAGATTAAAATATAATATATCTTTTAAAAATTAATTTAATTAAATTTACTATATAAAACTTTTTATAATAACTTTATAATCTACTATATTTATAATACTATCTATTATTAAAAGATACCTTCTTACACTAATATATTAGGCTATACTTAATTTATTTAAGCTAGCACTATTAGCTTATTAAAGGTTAAAACTATAATAGATTACAAGCTAGTTTTAATACTATTAAACACTATATATAATATTACTATATAACTTAAACCTTTTAAGTTAACTAAAATAAGTAAAAATGAAAGCTACTATTCCTTTAAAGGTTCTAACTCTATTTAAATAAATACCTATTAAGTAAAACTACTTAAAAATAATTACTCAACCTATTATATAAACTAAAAAATAATTAAATAAAGTAACTACACTCTATTACTATATATAATATTTAAATTTATAATTTTAATAGCTTTATAAAAAAGAAATAACTATTAATAATTAAACCTATAATTATATAAAGGTAAACCTTTACTTTAAAAGAAGTTATTATTATTTAAAATAATTAATATATTTTAAAAAGTTAAGGAATTATAAACCTAATTTAAAGTATATTAAAATTTATAAAAATCTTAAACTTAAGTTTAAAGGTTTTAAATTAAAGTTTATACTTATAAAAATAAAAGCTTTTATAAAACTTAAAAGGTTTAAATAAAATTAAAGATTAAATTAAATTATAATATAATAAAATAGTTAAATAAAAATTAATTAAAAATTATAATTATAAGTCTTTTAACTTTATATTTAAAAGGATTTTATTATATTATAATTTAATCTAACTTTATTTAAACTTTTTTAAACTTATTTAATATTTTTCTTTAAATAAATTAAATTTAAAATTCTTATAAATTTTAATTTACTTTAAATTAAACTTATAATTTTTAACTTCTTTAAAAATATATTAATTATTTTAAATAATTATAACTTCTCTTTAAAATAAAAATCTACCTTTATATAATTATAAATCTAATTATTAATAATTATATTCTTTTTATTTATAATTTATTAAAATTATAAATTTAAATAATAAAATATAATTATTTTATTTAAAAGTTATATTTTAATTTAATAATATAATAAGTTAAATAATTACTTTTAAATAGTTTTATTTATAAAGTAAATAGTTTTTAAATTTATTAAATAAATATTTACTTAAATAAAGTTAAAACTTTAATTAAAAATTATAACTTTATTTTTATTTATTTTAATTAATTTATATTTAAATTATATAATAACTTTATATATAATATTTAATAATATTAAAATTAAATAATTTATAATTTATAATAGTTTTAACTTTTAATAATATTTAATTTAAATTAATATAACTTAATATATTAATATAAAAGTATTTTTAATAATAAATAATATTATAAATAATTATATTTTTATTATAAAAGTTTTATATAATAAATTTAATTAAATTAATCTTTAAATATTATATTATATTTTATTCCTTTAAAACTTTAATTATTTATTTTAACTTAATAATAAAATTAAAAAAAATATAAATAATTTATATAATTATTATATTTTTATACTTTTATTAAACTTTTATTTTATTATTATATTTATTATATAAAAATATTATATATATTTTATAACTTTATTTATATACTTTAAAATATTAATTTTTTTTATATTTCTTTTAAATCCTCCTTTTTATACAAAAAGTAGTACTAATATAACTATAATTAATATATAGAGGATAGTTACTTAGCTTTTATATCATAACAATAAGTAAGCTCTAAGGCATGGACGCCGTGGCTATCAAAAGGTGTTCAGCCTCCTTGAAGCTTTGTTCGGCAGCTTCGTTCGGTGGCTTGGTCGGCGCCGGCCGGGAATAATACCCGTGTCTTGGCGTTCTTGATCCGGCAGGGATCGGCGGTCGAACGGAAAACACAATAAATCCGTCCTGCTTCCCACTCCAAATGTGAAATGCGTCATTGGCACCTCGAAGCAAAGAACTAACCACTCACAAGTCGGCCCTTACTGGAGCCGAGGTTACGTTCACAGTATCTCTAGGCACTGAAAAGGTTTTGGCCAGCTGGTGAAATTTACCTAGGTACTTCGCGGCATCCTGGAAGAAAATGCCGTCCATCAGTTAGAGAAGCGTCCGAGTCAGACATTTTCGCCGACAGTCCGTCCTTGACACGGTTGGAGATAGCGCCTCCTTATCAAGCGCATCGATGCTTACAATTGAAAGGCCACGGGATCTCTGCTCAGTCCTTATTAGTTTTAGTTCTCCGTGAATGGTCTTTCTGCCTTCTGAATAGTCGCGGACTGTGCTCTAGCCAATTTTCGACAATGGCACAGCAAGTTCGTGTTCAGCGTTATCCACCGGGCAGAAGCAAGTGCAAATGTTCTGGAACAAACAGCTCAGACCCAATTCGTCCGACGGAGCACCGGACAACGTCGAAGCTATCCGATGGAGCATCGGTCAATGTCGCAGCCGCCACAGCGGCTTCATCCCGGGCTTGAATCACTTCCCGACGCTTGACTTTCAAGTCCGTTGCCTCTGTTCAAGACCCGGCATATATAGTTGCGTGGTTGAAGGGTGATTTTACACCTACATTTCACGACAACCTACATTTCATAGCTATTTGAGCGCTTGCAGCCTTCCATTCTTCAAACACTGCTGCCCACCATTCACGTCATACCTGAAAAATTACGCAAAACACTATCCTGTCCATCAATACATTTTGCCACTCCATCGGTGACATAGCCACCATGCCAGATCAGCCTTTCACCGTTCTCATCGCCGGCGGTGGCATAGCCGGCCTGGCTCTCGCAAACATGCTTGAGAAGATTGGGGTCAATTATTTGATCCTCGAAGGATATCACCAGATGGCCCCTCAAGTGGGAGCCAGTATCGGCATCCTGCCAAACGGCAGCCGTATTCTTGATCAGATTGGAATTTACGACGAAATCAGGAAGCTCATCGATGCCCCTCTTTTCGAGTCAACTCTTCGCTCCCCTGAGGGACTCCCAATCACTAGCTATGCCGGCATTGGCAACCAGACGGGCAAGAGGTAAGTCGAAACGCATCTTCGGTGCAAGCAGATTTTCGTACAGCTTTTGACATGAATACAGGCACGGGTATGATACTATTTTCGTGGACCGCCAAATGATTCTGAAAGCGTTGTGGCAAAACCTGAAGCACAAGGACAACATCCTTGTTAGCAAGAAAGTTACCAAGGTCGAGCTCGAGCCCTCCCGAGTGAAAGTTGAGACGAGCGACGGGGGCTCTTACTACGGAGACATCCTAGTTGGCGCAGATGGTGTCCACAGCAAAGTCAGGAACGAGATGTGGAGGCTTGCGGATGCCATGGAGCCTGGCTGGATCCCTGCCTCCGAGCACACTCGTAAGTCTGTGATGGTAGAGGATTCTGTGCACAACGTTACAGCGACTGACAGACGAAACAGAGTGTCTGCCAACAGTTTACAAGTGCATCTTCGGAATATCGGTTGACAAGAGCTGGGAGCCCCAGACCCTACAGACAAACTTGAACAAGGGCTACTCGTATCTTGTCATCAGCGGACCTCAAAATCGCGTCTACTGGTTCCTTTTTGTCAATATGGGAAAGACATACTATGGCCCTGAGCCTCCTCGTTTCACAAAAGAAGACGAAAAGGCGCTAGTGAAGGAGCACATGAATGACCAGCTTATGGAGGGTCGCACCTTCGGAGACTTGTATTCAACCAAGATCTCGTCGGTACTGACTGCCCTCCCCGAGTACGTCTTCAAGAAGTGGCATTTTCAACGTATCATCACCATTGGAGATGCCGCCCACAAGGTGAGTCGTCACATTTGTATCATCAACTTGAACCACCGAATAACAAATTCTCTCAGTTCGAGCCAATTTCCGGCCAGGGAGGCAATAGCGCGATCGAAACCGCCGCCGTCCTCGTTTCAAATTTGGCAACCATGCTGAAGAGCAAGACGGACTCGATGCACATCACCACGGCCGACATCGACGGAATTTTTGCCAAGACCCAAGCTATGCGTGAGACGCGCGCCGAGGCACTTGTAAAGGCATCCCACGAGGAGCAACGCTTTGCCGCCATGGAGACAACTCTCCTGGGTCTGTTTGGGCGATATGTCACGCCAATCACCTCGATTGATGAAAGGTTGCAACCGTGGTCCACCAACATTGAAGGCGGTCACAAGATCGACATTTTGGATGTCCCTCAGCGTCCACGCGCTATTCCGTTCCTTGACGAGCTGGCCAGTCCTCCGTTGCCACCATCTTACACCCCCAAGATCGCGGTGGCAGCCTGCCTGTATGCCTTGCTTTACTTTGCGCAGCAGGCGCTCGTTATCATCCCAGGAGTCAACCCGCAGCGCTTTCCGTTCCTGGGAGAAGATGCGAAGACCACATACACCGGAGTGGCATCGATCGACAACCTCCTTTCTGTGCTGGTGTGGGCTTTCTCGGAGCAAGTCGCGGGTCCCGATCCCAACAAGAAGATCCAGTGCCTTTACTTCTTGATCAACTTGATCCCTTTGATTTACATTTGGACTGTCGAGGGATACCGCAACGGCAACCTCAAGTCGCTGGTTTCCATACCCTCCATCTTCGCTATTTACCAACTCATCGGTATCGGAAAGGTCGCGCCCGCCTACTTCCTCCTCAGCGTGTATACAACAAGCAGAAGCGTCTATGCACGCACGACTGGCCGTCCGGTTCCATCAAATGTCGCCAAGGCCCTCCTGCCGGCATTGTGTCTCGGATATGTCATTCCCACCGCCCTCATGTTCTTGCCCCACGAGGACAGTATAACTCAGCAAAACGCCATCGCCTTCTGGCAGCCTTCTCCTCTCTATGTCTCTTTGCTTGTGTGGGCGGGATCAAAGGCTCTGAGCGCTTTGAGTGCACCCAAGCCCTTAGATTTGGAAATCTTTGAGAAGAAGGACCTGCCGTATCTCCAGTCTGGCTATGCCTTCTGCTTCTTCGCCACTGCCATCACTCACATTTGCGTGTTCCTATACACTGGTCTCAGCAGTTCCGCATCCATCTCACAGTCCTTTTTCAATCTGCCCACGGTTGGAGCCGGTGATGTCCTTGGGTTCTGGAAATACGACATGCTACTATGCTTCGGCTCTGTGGCAGTGTGGCTATTTTACAGTATCTTTGAGCTCCGGAGACTTGGGTATATCACGACTTCCACGGCATTCAAGGCTGCAGGATCAACCATAGCTTCTGGAGTACTTGTCGGCCCCGGTGCGACATACGCAGCCGTCTGGGCCTGGAGGGAGTCTGTCATTGCAAGCTATACGACAAGCACAATGTAATGGCTATGGTAGTTGAGATGCAACTCAGGCGTCACGGCATGGTTTGAAGTTGGACAATGCATATAGACTCTGCTAAAGGGAGAGGAATGAAAGAAGGGTCTCAGGCCCTAGGACTGGTTTTCATATGTTAGGTGATATGGAGCGGCACAATGCTGAGGCCATGTGCCCACATATTATATTCTCTTTCCACTGTTATTAGCACTATTTCTTTTTTTTTAAAAAAAGCTAGGCCTTGAGAATTTACTACTATATGGAGGTGCCACATACATTTTATATATATGGGGATTAGAATCAAACCACCCGGGATGATATGGAATCCTTATAGTTTCATTTTCAATCCCTATACATGTAAAATGTACATGGCGCCTTCATACAGTGGTAAACACTTAAGACCCAGTGTTTGAAGAATGTATAGAATCCTTAAGCTGTGATAGTGGAAGAGTGGATAGAGACTGTGCACTGAGGTGTCCCTTGCGATCCTAGCAGTATAGTGGTGATTAGAAAAGACTGAATATCTGCCTACTCCTACTTAAGTAGAGCCCTTGAAATCTAAACACCATATAAAGGCGTCATGTATATCCTTAGACATATACGGAATAGAAGCGAAACCACTTAAGTTCTCTTAATCCTCTTATACTCTTTCCCTTTATATATGCTAGCTTATGTAATTTACTAGTGCTAAGTAGCTGACTAATCTATGGTTCCTAATTTGTCTACCTTGCATACATCCTCATCCTACATCTAATCATGATAGCTATTTCAAGGGAATTAATTAGGTACGAGACAAGCGAATGCTTATCCTCGGCCCTACCTTGCTTGGATTCATGCCGCCGTCGCCACGGCTTGGCTGAACAAAGGGGTGCTGTAGATTGATGGCAGCCACAGCAAGGCGTAGAGGTGAAAGCTGAAGTGGTCCGCCTTGCGGGTTTTGCAGAGCAGGAAGCGCCCAGCCACAAAGGTTCCGATAAGCCCTGGCACCAGGTACCCCATGACCGAGCACGCCCACCAGGCTGGGGCTGCGAAAGACCAGAAGAAAACAAAGAATGACATGAGCACGCGAGTGGCTCCTTCGCCTAGGGCCAGGGGTAGCGTGTTCCTGCCGCGGGCCTTGTCACCATCCAGATCCCTAAGGTCTTGGAGGTGGATAGTCGTAAAAATTATCAATGCGTCTGTCAAGCCAAATTCGGATTAGTACCCACATGGCAATCGCATGGCGCAGGCTCAGGGGATAGTCGAGGGGGTGGGTTCAGAAGTGGGTCGACGCAAGGCCATGAGTCGTTAAGTGCCGGGCAGGGGGAAAAAACAGACCATGATTTGCGCCTCGCTAAGCGTTTTCTCTTGTACACAGTACCTCTGAGGCACCTCGCCAGACAAGGAAAAGGGAACAAGGAAAGGAGAGGCGGGGGAACAAGAAAGGTTTTTCTTACGTATCATGCACCATTGGTAGCCCACTTTGCTCACGGTTGTGGATGTTCCTGCTGCCACACGAATCGCACCAAGTTGGGCGGTCGAGAAGAAGAGCGGGTTGATGATGGACCGGCCCCACCAGGTCGACCCACCACCCAGGCGGTCGTAGACCTGGGTCTCCAACATGAAGGCGATCGCCTCAGGCAAGGCGCCGAGCCAGAGGGCGACCGCGGGCATGATGCAAGCTGAGCACACGTACCAGCGCTCCGCGGCCTCGACGCTGAGTCGTCCCGACGGGATCGCCCGCCAGGGCTTGTTGAGCCTGTCCTCCTCGATGGACCCTGGGTCCTTCTGGTTGCTGCAATCGAAGTAGAGGTCCCAGAGCCAGATGTAGAGCGCCATCTTGGGGACGGCCACAGCCACGTCCGGCCAACTGAGAACGTCCGTCGTTACACCCCCAGATGCAGCCGCCATCAGACCGTTGAGTACGGTCGGCGTGACAAATGCCTTGATGTTGCTCTCGGTGATGAGATGTGCTAGAGACAGGATGTCCCGTAGCTGAGAGAAAGCCGATCGTAGTGCAGCCATGATGGATAGATGAGTGTGCTTCTCTGATGTGATTCAACTAACGCCGTGTTGCAAATTTGATGCCGTGGAAAGTGCCGCAGTGGAGCCTGGTAGAGGGCGTGCGGTATGAATAGATTTGAAGAAGAATGTAACATGATTCAAACTGAGAATGCCGACACAAAGTCGTGGGCTTTATATCCTGAGACATTACACCTATCACTTTATCATTTATCCACTGCCTGTCGCGAGGTCGTATGCATTCTGGGTCTCCCCTGGTTGTGTTGTTCAGGTGTAGCACCAACAGGCTCGGTAGCATAATTTTCTCGGTATTCGCGCGAGATAAAAATTTAGAAAGGTTTTAATAAAAATAACTACTTCTATTCTTTAAAAAACTTTAAATAAATTAAAAAAATTAAATTATTATAAAGTTATTATTTTATTTATTTATATTTATTAAAATTATATTAAAAAATTAAAATTAAATTATAATTATAAATATTATAATTTAAAAATATTAAATTTTTAAAAGTATTTTAATTTTAAAAATTTTAATTATTTATTTTAAATAAATACTTGTAATATATAATAATTAAATAATTTAAAAAATATATATTTATTTAATTTAATTATTTAATATATATTATTCTAATAATTATTAATAATTATTTTAAATATAAATTATATAAATAAATATTAATATTTTAAAATATTTTTAAAATAATTTATTTCTTTTATTTTATTTAATAAATAATTAAAATTAATTATTTTATTTTTAAAATTTATTATAAATAAGTTATTATTTTTAATTTTATTATAAAATTAAAATAAATAATATAAACTTTAAAAATAAAATATAATATATTTTTAAAATTAATTTTATTATTTATATTTATTATATTATTTATTATTAAAAATAGTTTTTAAATTAAAATATTAAATTTTATTTATTTTATTTAAATTAATATTAATTAATATTATATAAATATATATATTTTTATTTTTAATTTTTTTAAAATATTTATTTAATTTATTTTATAATTAAGTTAAAATATAATTTATAATTATTTTTAAAATTTATTTATTATTTTAAATATATAATTATATTATTATATAATTATAATATAAATTATTAATAAAATATTTTTATTTATAAAATAAATTTAAATAATAAAATAAAATTATTTTATTTTAAATTATATTTTATTAATAAAATTAATAATTTTAAAAATAATATTATATTTTTAAATTATTTTAATTATATATTTTAATATAATAATAAAATTAAAATAAAATTTATAAAAATTAATATATAAAAATATTTATATATTATTTAAATATTTTAAATAATTATTTATTAATTTTATTATTAAATATTATTAAAATATAAATAATTTATATTTTTAATTTAATTATAAAAATAATTTAAAATTTTAAAATAATAAAATATTAAATTTATTATATAATTTAAACTTTTATTAATATAAATTAATTATATTTTATTATTATTTTAAATTTATAATTTTATAATTATATTATAAATAAATAAAAATAATTATTAATAATTAAATTTATAATTATATAAAAATAAATTTTTATTTTAAAAAGTTATTAATATTTAAAATAATTAATATATTTTTTAAAAAGTTAAAAAATTATTATTATAAATTTCTTAATTTTATATTAAATGAAAAATTATTAATTATATATATTTTCCTTATTTAATTATAAATAAATTATTATTTAAATAAAAAACTTATAATTAAAACTTATAAATTTAAAAACTAACTTACTTATATATTATTTATTATAATACTTTAAATTTATATTAAATATATAATCTAGTATTATATAATTAGTTAATTTAGTATTCTAAATAGTAAAAGCGGTGTATAACACCCTATAGAGATTAGCCACTCACTGGAATCGGTTGATCTAGGATGTCCTCGTGATGACACCCGGGGACTGGAATTCCGCGCCGTTAAAATAACAATAAAAGTCTATACACTCACCGGGGGCCAGAGGGAGCTGCATCGGTAAATCCACAATGTCTGTCGTCGTACTGCTTGGAGTTTCTTGGACGGCTAAGGTAAAGGGAGGGTGGCAATGTCGGTCGCCAGTCCGGTATCCCCGAGTAGGTAGATGTCAACTATCATTCTAGGTTTTTTTTTTGAAATTTTCCACAGCAATGGCGCACACAGTAGAAGAGCGCGCTAAGTGAAACATAGAAAATCTCATTAATTTACCTCTTACTCTAATATAGTTAACCCTTAACACCTTGTCCCGAGCCCTAATTCAGCGCCTAAAGTGTTAATGAAGTTCTGTTTAACATTGATATTAAAGGTAGGTGCGATTTCTGCACATCTCCTTCCACTAATTCAAAATCATATAGGAAAAAGAGCTAGAGTCGGAATTACCGCTTCAATGAAAACCCTTCCGCTCGAATAGCGCCAAAGTCCGTACCAGCAAAGTGCCAATTCAGCCCGACCAACTTCGCCTTGCCAACCCACACGTGCAGCGGCAGCCTCTCGAGACTCTGCCGCTTACCTAGGTACCCCGCAGTTTCTCCCTGCCCTCCATCGCCGAATCTATCCCGCGGATGACCTCAAGTGCTCCTCCATCCGTAGGCATATCTCGGACGGCCAGTGGAAGTAGCGCGCGCTTGGCAGTGGCTGCCAGTCCACGGCAGAGGACCCGCCGGCGGCGGCGCCGCGAAGTTGTGCACCAGCTTCCCAACCAGCACCGACCTCCGCAGCATGTCGAGGAGCCGTACCAGCCCTGCGGCTGCGGCACGGCCCCGAGCGTGGCGGCGAGGTCTACGAACTCGGCGACGAGGTCCTGTGGTTGGGGGGGGGGGGCAGCTCTTGGCGGCGCTCGTGTCCGCCACTGACGAGGGCCCATCCTCGCCGTTGCAGGATGGTGGTGGTGGTGGCGGGGTGGCGACGATGCGGTGGATGTGGATGGGCAGGCCGAAGTCGCCTGCTGCCCGCTCCAGGTACGCCTTCGAGGCTCATTTTGTGGCCAGGTAGCTGTTTGATCCGTCGACTGGAGGGATGCCGAGGCTGGTGATGGTGTGGGGGGAGCTGGGCTCGCCTCCGTTAGAGCCGCTGAATCGGAGATGAAGTGGATCGGAGTGCGGTTCGCTGAAGCCATCTTGACGAGGGTCTTGGTTGATGTCACGTTGGACCCGCGGAGGGTTTGAGTAGTCCCAGAAGGAGCGGTCCGCACCACTGTGGATGATCAAGCTCGCCTCCTCGGCTCGCCTCCTCGGCCAGAGAGTGGAATGTCTCGGCGCTAAGTCCCAGGAGTGGACACCTGAGGTCGCCGGGATGCACCACCACGGGCTTGGAGCACTGAGGAGGTATGATGTCTCTGAGTTTGGTCTAGTTTCGGACAGCGACCCCGTGGGCGTTGGAGACGGCGTCGTTTTCCCACAACAAGCCCAGGAGTCTGCGCCCGAGGTAGCCCGTGGCCCCGGCAAGAACGAGGGTGAGACACGAGGCTGGCGACTCTCGGGACCCAAGCGTAAGACCTTCTTCCAGTGCCGATTCTGCGTCCCAGTCGACCTTAGAAACAAGAGCAGCAGTCGAGATCTTGGAGGCCATAGCCCTAAGGCTGCTCGAGTCGAACAGCTGCATCACCGGGACGGAGACGTCGAACCGCCGGCGTATCTGGTGCTGTATGAGCACCAGCAGGTACGACCCGCCCCTGAGGCTGAAGAACTCGGTGTCGGGCCTTATTGCCACGGCACGCGTGCACTCCTCGGGGAGGACATCCAGCCAAATCTCCCTCAGCGTCATATCCGTGTCGCTCAGGGCCTCGCCGGCGCCGGCCTCCTCCTCCTCGTCCTGAACCCGCGCGGGGAGCGGGAGCGCCTGCACGGCCACCGGGTCTGTCGTGAAGTGGGGGCTTATCGGGATCTCGTCCAACGGGACCAACACGGCAGGGCACATGTACTTGGGCTGCGGCAGGCGTGCCACCACGGACCGCAAAAATGCTGCCTGCTCGGGCTCGCCCAGCGCGGCCGCGAACTCGACATGGCCCACCAGGAAATTTGGGTCCCGCCGCGCCAAGACGACCGGCTTGCCCAGCTCTCTGAATGCGACCCGGAGAGGCTTTTCAAGCGGCTCGCCGCCGGCCATACAGTACCTCCAGCTGTCGGCCATTTGGAGGTCGGCTGAGCCGAAGCGGAGCCGGTGGGCGTACTCAGATGGTGTGCCCACTGTGAGCGTGATTTTCTCCTCGCACGTAATCTTGCTTAGGGCAATAGGGTCGCCACGCTCATGCTGGGGGGCTACAAACACGCACCCACCAGTGCAGAGACCGAGCAGGACCAGGACCTGACGGAAGCAGAGCAAAGCTTGGCGCACTTTGGTGAAGAGAATGAGCTGGGTTCTCAGGTCTGGAGTTGGCTGCCAACACGGCAAGTCTGGATGGAGACTGGAAGGTGTGAATCAAGGGGGATATACGCAGCGCCGATGTCCCACACAGTCAGCAAGGAACATATCCAATCCACTGATGGCTGCTGGTAGCCGGCCACTCGCTCGTGCTTGACTCTGGAGGCAAGCAGGGCCCTCACGATCCGGTCAACTCGACTGGTAAGGCCTGCATACATATGTAAGTGAGTGCATTCCCTAGGCCGTCCTTTAGTGCTTGCTCCGCGGGTCCCTGGGCCGAGATCGCTCCAATGGCTTGCGATACCGTTCTTACAGTTTGAGTGTCCATACCTAGGTAGAATTGTCTGGGGATAGTTCAAATGTTACCAGGGAGACAGGTGATTTTGACAAAAGAAAGCACATGGGGGTTGCTTAAAGGCCTTGGGAACGTACCTCGTGACATGTCCTTGCCCAGGTGGCCAGCTGGACCTGCACAGGGTGATACAAGTCCAGATTCTTGACTGAAAGATTATGGTCAGGCGTGGCGAACCACTTGACAAGCTTCGTATAATATATGCCAAGCAGCGTCTGCACCCCATCCATGGAACAGAGCGAGCTCTGCGCCCTCCAGCGGAAGCGGATCTCCGACGCAGAGATGTCATTGATATCCAGCATCATAAAAGTTGTAGTTGAGCTTCGCCTTGACCTTGTCCGCGGGCGTGCCCAGCGACGGAGGGGGCTCGAGCCTGTGCGGGATGTACTCCAACAGGACCCGGCGTCACCACCGGCGCCTTCAGTAGCATGGGGATCGGACCGGGCATCTGGCCCAGGGACGTCTGCCAGAAGTCGACCTCGGGCTTCGGCCACACTATATTTTTCTTTTATATTATACAATAATATTCATTCCTTCCTAATCATTAAGACGTCACTTAGGCTTCACGGCACGAGGGCTCGAAGTTTGCACGTGGCATCCTTATCGATAAGGGGACCTGCAGGGACCCCTGCGGGGCCCACATGCCACCATCCAAGGCCTTCACATGTAAGTACTTAGGTACCTAAGTAGGCAGCCAACCTCACCTCGTGTCAAGACACCAACCACAAGGAAAGAGCCAACTGCACAACCCATCACCATCACCCTTGGCTTCTTTTCACCAAACTGAAGGAGGTCACACCTGGTGCAACAGGCAGGGTCGATGAGAAATTTGTTACGCGGGGTTCCACACAGTTTGACCTCATCCAACCCACATCATATCATTCCCAGCAAGGCTCCTTTTAGGCATCATCTCTTTCTGCTCATACTCACGGAAACATCCGGCAGTTTGCAATTCCCCACTGCTGCAGGTGTCACTGTCTGTCACTGTCAGTCAGCCTTATTCTCGGTACTTTGATTTGCCATCGCAAAGGGTCTTTCACGTTGCAGCCTTGGCACCCCTGCAGGGCCCATTCACTGCCCCGGCTAGGAATCAACACTTCCCAAGCAGCAGCCAAGCAGCAGCGCGTCAGGTTGCCAACAACTTTTCGAGTATCGATCGACATCCTCTCCAACTGAACCTCAAGGGGGACCTCGACTCTCGGGTAAACAGCATTTTCAAGTCAATAGGAACACTGAAACGAAATCTACTTATCTAGGCTGAGACCACTAGTATTATATGTCATCGTCAGCAGTCATGGATCTGCCGACACCAGACCCAGCACCCCAGGGTCCATCAAAACCCGAGGGGCTATCCGAGCAATTCATCGCAGCGGTTCTTAGGCACACTCGCATGCAGGACGAAGAGGTCTCCAAGCAGCACCAGAACCTGCGCAAGGAGATACGGGAACTTCAGGACCAGGCCGCCAACTCCGAGGCCAGTTACTGGCGAGATTATCACAAGCGGCTCGCAGTGATCATCGCCGGGAACCCAAAGGGAGGCACAAGCAGTTGCATGACCACTTTTGCAAACAACGAGAGCCGTTTCCTAAACGAGGTAGCAAACCACCAGATCCAGATCCATCTTGAGGTGCTACAAAGACAGGCTGAGCTGGCGGCGGTCAACCGTGACGTCTGGGCTGTGTGGCGCAAGCACGTTGACTTTGTGAAGGGCCTGCCTACGCCTCCAGCCCTAATACCCGATGCGACGGTGCCTGCTGATGAGCCTCAGCCTACCGACAACCAGACAGGCAGTCCTTCACCGTCTGCATCTTGCAATAACCCCGGTCGAAAAGACAGCGAACCGATCTTGACTACAGCGACCACCGGGGACACGCAGAGCACCGCGGGCAGCCGCAGCGCACCAAGCAAGCCGCTGCCAAAGTCACTACCCAAAATCTCAACAAGTGTGGCGGAGGGTGGGAAGGCTGAAGACTCCAGCCTCACCCAGACCACCAAGGAGCCGAAGGGTAAGGGCAAGGCCACGTGGATGGCTCCAAACACCAGCCCCTCATCTCTACCAAGCCCCTCGCTGTCGCAACCCGAGACAGGCGTGTTTCCCCCTCCAGCTCCCCCAGGCAACGAACAGAAGCGCCGAGCACCCGGTTCCACGGAAACAGCACCTCCTCGGAAGGCCAGCGTCACTGGGCCACAATCCTCAACCCAGGCAAGAGCATCTGCCCCTCTCGACAACCCAGCCGAGTCCATACAAGAGCCTCAAGATTCTGGTCCACCAGCCAAGCGACGCAAGACTCCATCAGCAGGGCATCAAGAGCAACTCGCGTCTACTTCCACCAGCACTATCAAATCTTCCCCATCAGCTGCTGTGCAACAGCGAGCCGCTACACTGAGCAAGGGCGGTGGCTTTCGCGGCGTCACAAACCCTGTCGTGGGTGATGTTTACCAAGGCTACTACAAGGACGGTTCTCGGCAGGGATGGTGGATGTGTACTGTGTTGCCGTGGGATGCCTGGGAGCGTCAGGTCGGCATCGGCCTGACCTTTAAGAACGCGCTCCTGTGGAACAACTGGCCAGAGGACCAATATGAGATCGATCACGTGCAAGCTAAGGGTTCGAAGCGAAAGAAAACCAAGGTCATCACAGGCTGGAAGGAGGAGTACCAGCTGACGGGCTCCAAGGTGAAGGAGCGCATGTTCCCGGTGCTATTCTTTGACGACAACAAGGGCGAGCCGGGCAACCTGCAGTTCCCGGCGGACCCTACGAAACCCGTCACCTTTAAGGGAGATGCGTGGAAGGCTCTGCCCATCGAGTGGATCGCCTCCAAGGACCTGAGAGTGCCTGGTGCTTACGTCGGCAGCCGCATTGAGGGGCGCATCACGGCTCAGAGGTTCAAGGAGAGGTTGAAGGAGCGGAAGGCCCTTCGGGTGAAGACGTTGTCAGCCCCGGGGAAGAAGGCCGGCAGAATTTCCGGAAAGGACAGCACGCCCATGAAGGCGGCTTCTAGGACGAATGACTCTATGCTGGACGACTCTAGGCAGCCATCCGCCACGGCGAAGCCTTCACCGGGTACGAAGCCGCCCCCGAGGCCGAAATCCCCTCTTATGTTCAAGCAATATCAGCCTGCAAATGTCACCAAGAGGTCTGTTTCCACACCCAAGACTTCATCGACCGTCAAGACTGCTTCGACCCCCAAGGCTGCTTTAAACCGCGAGGCTGCCTCGACACCCAGGGTTTCTTCGGAGACGAAGCAATTTTCGACAGCCAATGCTGCTTCGGCCCCCAAGGCTTCCTCAACCCCTAAGTCTCCTTTGACTATCAACACTTCATCCACACCCAATCCTGCATTGGACAACAAGAGTTCTTCGGACCCCAATCCGTCTTCGACCATGGAATCGGAGGCTACCCGCCCTGCCCGTAAGCGGTGGCCTGCAACTTTGTACGAAATACCAACAGGCCCCTTATTTGCTCCGCCCGGCACTCCCCGTTTGCCGTCTAGAGTCTAGGAAATGAGACTGTCTCCAGAGCAGGAAGGTGAAGAGGACAGCGCCGGAGTGGGGAGTTCTGGAGAGGGGAGTTCTGGAGAGGGGAGTTCTGGAGAGGGGAGCGCCGGAGAGGGGAGCGCCGAAGAGGAGAATTCTGGAGAGAGGAGTTCTAGTGAGGATTCTAGTGAGGAGGTTTCCGAAGAGTGGAGTCCTAGAGAGGGGAGTTCTAAAGAGGAAAGCCCTAGATAAAAAGTGACTTAAAGAATTAATAAAGTTATAATAAATTTTTTTATATAATATTTTTATAATAAATATTTTAAATTTAAAGTTTAAAAATATTTAATATTAATAATAATATAAAAAATATAATATATTTTTTTTATAATATTAATATTATTATTAAAATAATACTTTTTATTTTTATAATTATATTATAAAATTAAAGTTATAAATATATATTATATTATAATTATTATTATTTCTATTAAATATAAAGTTAAAAGACTTATAATTATAAAATTTTAATTAATTTTTATTTAATTATTTTATTATATTATAACTTAATTTAATTTTAATTTAATTTAAACCTTTTTTTAAGTTTCTTTAACCTTTCCTTTTTTAAATAAATTAAAGCTTTATATTCTTTAAACTTAAATTTAAAATTCTTATAAATTTTAATATACTTTAAATTAAGCTTATAATTCTTTAACTTTTTTAAAAATATATTAATTATTTTAAATAATAATAACTTTTTTTAAAGTAAAAGTCTACTTTTATATAGTTATAAACTTAATTATTAATAGCTATTTTTTTAATTTATAATAAAGTTATTAAAACTATAAACTTAAATAATAAAGTATAGTTACTTTACTTAATTATCTTTTAATTTAATAGGTTAAGCGACTACTTTTAAGTAGTTTTACTTATAATATAGTGGAGCTAATAGTTTTTTAAGTTCGTTAGATAGATATTTATTTAAGTAAAGTTAAAACTTTAATTAGGGGAATAATAGCTTTATTTTCACCTATTTTAACTAATTTATATTCACCTAAATTATATAGTGAATTTAATACTTATATATAGTACTTACTAATATTAAACTAAGTAACTCGTAGTTCGTAATAGCTTTAACTTTTAATAAGTTAATAATATTAACTTAAATTAATATAACTTAATATATTAATATAAAAGATATTTTTTAATAATAAATAGTGTTATAAATAATTATAAAGTTATTATAAAAAGTTTTATATAGTAAATTTAATTAAGTTAATCTTTAAAAAATATATTATATCTTATCCCTTTAAAACTTTAATTATTTACTTTTAGTTTAATAATAAAATTAAAAAAATATAAATAATATATAGTTTATAATTATTATTATTAATATTTTTTTTAAATATTAACTTTTAAATATTTATTATTATATAAAAACGTTATATATATCCTTAATTATATATAAAATTTAGAAGTAAAACTTTATATTATAATAATATACTTAAGCCTAAACCTTCTAAAGCTTCCACTCGGTCCACTGCTTCACCGAGCTGCCACCGCAGGTCATGTGCCCACTGGCGGACACCTTTCCGTCCGTGGCATAGTTGTTGACAGACTTCTCGATAAGGTCGATGACGTTCTGCCCACCCACGCAGAAGACGGAGTTGCCGTCGATCATGGACGCCCTGAATGAGAACTTGCAGCCCTCGGCCTTCAGGTCCCTCCAAGGCTTACCAATGACGTTCGTGGTCCAGTCGGTCGTGGTGTCCCCCTGGATGTTGCGGATGATCTGCTCGCAGTCGGCCACGGAAGGCGAGTCGCCGTCGGTGCTGCCCTCGTCGTACTCGTACTCGCCACAGTGGGAGGTGCCCTTGGGCGGATCACACGGCCAGTTCGGCGTCGAGCCCTTCTCTGGGGAGCCCTCCTCCCCACCTGTGGCGTCCCACGACTGCTGCAGAACGGGAGGGAGATGAACCCCGGCGTGGTGGTGTCCAGGTTGAACAGCGCGTCTCTAACGGCATTGTCGTTAATGTCGACGGTGCCGGGATCTGCACCATTCTTTAGGCTATTTTTTATATACGTGCGTATTGCTCCAGTGATGATGTTATCCCTAGTGAGACCGCTATAGTCTTTACCATCGAGGCCGGCAAGGCCTTTGGGCGCATCGAATGTATTGTCCACGCAGTCGGCCTCCGTGCACGATCGCGCATCGCCGTCTACCATGGCCAGGAAGTAGATGCGGTTGTTGTAGTAGACGCCCGTCTTCTGCTGTACGTCCTCCGTCATATACTTGGTGATGGGGCTGATCGTGCCGCAGGCAGCTCCAGAGTCGATGATGAAGGGATAGTAGCCTGCCCTGGACTACAGTATGGGAATTGAATATGCAAAAAATGCCTTGCGGATGTTATTGAAAAGCACGAGATCGGACTTGGGAGATATGCCCTTGGGGAACATGGCGCCGTTGGGGAGGACCTTGTTGAGCACCTCGAGCGCGTCGTCGGTGCCGTTGAGGGACTTCTCCAGAGCCCTGACGGTGATGTCTTGCCAACCTTCAATGACCTGGCCCATGAACGCCGAGAATTTGGCCTGTTCCCCCGGTGTCCAGTCGCCCTGCTTGGGTGGGCTTTGAAGATCCTTGGCCAGACTAATCGACTGGCCGATTAAGGTGAAAGCTGTGTCTTTGGCGTTGGGCACTACTGAGCTGTCCGATCCGGAGAATTTGGGCAGCTTGGCAATGAAGTTGTTGAAAAAAGGTCCCGCAGCCGTCAGGGTGCCCATGGTGACGAGATTGAGGAGTAGGAAGAGCGACTTGTTGTCTGGGGCTGGGGGGATTGGGGCAAAATTGTTCTCCATGTCCTGCAACTTGAGCGCAAAGGTCGACGCGCCGTCGGTGAGGGCCGTGTAGTACGATTTGTGCATGTCGTGGATCATGACGAGGGAGTTCCAGATCATCATGCCCGCGGGACCCGAATACTTGCTGTTTAGGCTAGCTATCAGACTCGCACTGTCCGTCCAAGACGCTCGTGCAGCCATTGTATCCGCCCTCGATCTTGAGGGTGGAATGAACGGAGTGCATAAAGGTGAGCGACGTGTCTTGGTTGCTCTCAAACCGCGGCCGGTGAGTCTGAGTCTAGATGCGCTTAACGTCGGACCAGGTGTCGTCGCCGCCTAGGGTGTTCCATATTTGAGAGATGTTGTATCTATCTTCGTTAACTATCATCTCGTGTTGGCAGTCAAAGCTCGTCCAGCTGCCAGTGCGCGAGTCGTCATTCTTGGGTTCCTCGCCGCTAAGCACCTTTTGCTTAAATGAAGCCTAGTCGCTCGCCGGCACCGGCAGGTCCTAGTACTTTTACAAGTCGGT